ATCTTCCCTCCATTCATAATTATGATAAAGTAAGTCACTGACCTTTTAGTGGCAATAAGTCTTGAAAAAGGTCTTGATCTCTTAAAGGATTAGAACACCCAGGGATCCAGTTGTCTTGAGGTCTTATTGATTATCCATTACAAACTTGCCATTTCAAACTACATTGAAGAAGTTCTTTTCCCCACATGATGCTTCGACAACCCCATATAGCGTCCTTCGTATGTTCACATCTTAGGAACTCTCTGCCTCTAGCATATTTTTCTTTGAAGATTCTAGCAAATAACAATGTGGGGAATTTATGAATACGCCAGGCCAGTTTTGCCAGTAAGGCTTGATTTAGCTCCTTTGCCGAGCGGAGCCCTAAACCTCCTCTGTACTTGGATTTACACAAGTGTTTCCATAATTTCCAATGTATACCTCTGTTTTCACTGTTACCCTTGCAAATGAAGTTAGCAATGATTGAGTCAATTTGCTTTGTGATGGATTTGAGTAGTTTGAAGGCACCCATCATATAGACTGGCAGTGATGAAAGTGAGTGTTTTGCTAAAGTAATCCTTCCCATTATTGAGAGCGATTTATTCTTCCATGTGTGGAGCTTTTCTTTCATCCGCTTGATTATGTTGTTAAACAAGATCGATTTCCTCTGCATGAAATCCAAAGACAACCACAAGTATTTACCTGAATAAGCACAATTGTGTATTCCTAATTTTTCTGAAAGGAGTTCCTTCACTGTTGCTTTTGTTCTTGGACTGGTTAGAATTGCCGACTTGTCAAACTTGACCTTTTGCCCTGAGAGTGCAGTGTACTCCATCAGAATATCAAAGACTGCCTCAATGCTTGTTTGCTTGCATTCCAAAAAGATGATGCAATCATCTGCATACATTAGGTGTGACAACCGTGGGGCTGACCTTCCGAGTTTAATTCCAAAGTTGATGTTTTGTGCTTCCAAACCTTCCAAAGCTATAGACAACACTTCTTGGCATAGAATGAAAAGCTAAGGTGACATGGGGCAGCCCTGGCGTAATCCTCTATTTGGAGTGAAGTAATCTGAATTCCACCCATTGAAGCTGATTGAGTATTTTACCGATGTGACGCATTTCATGATCAAATTTACCAGACTAGGTGGAAATCTTATTTTTTCTAAAACCAATTTGAGAAATGACCAGGATACTCTGTCGTATGCCTTGCTCATATCCAATTTAATTGCTGCTAAGCCCTTCTTTGATTTGTTCTTCCGGATTGCCTCAATTGCTTCATGTGCTAGCAAAATATTCTCACTAATGTATCTTCTTGGGACAAAACTATTTTAATTTTCTGCAATGAGATTTCTAAGAACTGCTTTGATGCGATTCGACAATACTTTTGCAACTATCTTGTACGATACATTGCAAAGGCCGATTGGCTGAAAATCTGCAGAGACTGAGAGTCCTTCTTTTTTGGAATAAAATGACTTGTTTGATTCCAACTTTCGAACCATTCTTCATGATAGAGGATCCTACATAAACCGTGAAGCGATATACCTCTTATGTCATCCCAATACTTTTTTATAAAAATCAGCTGGAATCCCGTATAGATCTGAAGCTTTTCATGGAGACATATTGCTTATCGCGGACTAGATTTCTTCATCTGTAAATGAGACATCAAGACAAGAAATCTGATATGAACTTAATTTCTGATAAAGTAACTCTTAGAGCCTAAACCTTATATTTCCCTTTCTTGTAGCACTTAGGGATTTTGGCGTTAAGGCAAATACACTTTTAAAGTGTTCCAACATGATGTGTTGTATTTGAATATGATTCTGGCATCATTCCCCTTGAGAGTTGTAGATACCGTTGATCCAATTTCAGCTCTTTCTTTTGGATGCCCAATTATGGAAGAAGGACGTGTTGCGGTCCCCTTCTGTACTCCATTTCACTTTACACCTCTGTTTCTTATATAGTGCTTGGAATTCCAACAGTCTTTCCATTTAGTGTTCAATCTGAGCAATTTGATCAGCATTGTCATTGACCCCATTTCCTTGTTGCATTGAGCTCAGTCGATTCAAAAATTGTTTCACAGTTCTATCTAGCATACCAAATGAGGATCTGCTCTAGCTGTCCAAATGCTTCAAACTTATTTGTAGAAGATGAGACAGTTTGTCTGGAGTAGCCTGGCTAATTAGGGAGGCATTTGTCCAGATTTTGGAGATGATATCTTGTGCTGCCTCTGTATGCGACCAGAATCTCTCGAATCTCAAATTTCTTTTAATGGTTTGAGAATTAGTTCCCAGAATATGCAAGACTAATGGGCCACGGTCAGAAACAGATATGGGAAAGTTGTGTACATTTGTCTGACCAAAGTGATTTTTCCATTCTGTTCCAGCAAAAGCTCTATCAAGACGTTCAACCACTCTGTTTGCTCACTTTCTTTTATTTGTCCATGTGAAGTGGTTTCTCTTATAAGCAATTTCAGTCATGTGCATCTCACTTAGGAGCTGAACTAATTGATTGGCAAATGACTCGGAGGTTCTGTTACCCCCCAATTTGTCTTCTGACGAGATAACCTGGTTAAAATCGCCTATGAGAAGCCATGACAACATATACGTGGCAGCTATATTTCTCATTTCATTCCAAATTTTCCACCTCTGATCTGGCTTCGGATGACATTTACAAACATGGCTCTCCATACAAAAGAACTCGGATCCCCGATCCTTACCGCCACTATAGAGCTACTAGATGATAGAATCTCTAAATCAACAGAATTAATCCAAAATAAGCCTATTCTACCATTGAAACTACTGATGACTGAATCTCCTAGTTACTAAAACTAGTACCTTCAACCCAATGATCAATAGCATCGTTGTTAATGAGGAGCTCCCGCAAGAATAAAATACTAGGACTATGTACACTAATTAGTTATTTTAACATTTGTTGAGTAGGTAGGCGCTTCAGCCCCCTGCAGTTCCAGCTGAGGACTTTCATGGTTGCTCGGGTGATTGACTTGGTTTAACCACCGAAAAATCCTTATATTCATTATCAATTGACTCATGTTTAGGAGAGTAATTAAGATGAAAACCAATCACAAAACAAGCATTTAACATATGCATTACTTTATCTAGTTTACCTGGAACTTCATGCAGTGGTAGGTCGATTTTGGGACGCTTGACATCACTCGTCCCATTTGCACTTGGACGTGAAAAGTAATCATCGTAGTATATTGACTCTCTTTTTTTTTTTTCAGTCGACTATCGCTTAGTAGTATAATTATTGTCCTCTTGAGTTTCTTCGGTGGTGATTGTGTCAATATTGTCGCCACATTCTTTTCATATGAGACAAGAGAATATGAGAATATTTTATTTGTTTTGTTCATTTAACAGTAAGGTTATTATTTTTTCTCACTCTGGACCAGAATTCTGATCAATATAGTTAACAATTACATTTTATATTCTCTCGGAACCATTTTACAAGAAAGATCAAAAGAGCATTTCCTCGATATCCACGTGCTAAAATGCGCCTCCCCTTCCCTTCACATTTGTCCTATTCTCTCCCTCCATATTCTTTTTTAATTCAAAAAATGGCATATGTAAACAAAAAGGAGTCCTCTTTTGGAGTAGGAAAAACTTCTTTACTATTCCTAGAAGTCTAGAACATTATGCCCCGGATGAGAAACGGTGACTGATGATATTTTTTTTTATCTTTTATGTGTGTGTTTTTTTTTCTTTAAAAAATAATGTTCTTGGTGACATTAATTAATTCTGTCCGAGTCATCGATTTCGTGTAGGCACAGGTTACCTCTGCGTTTACCTATTTCATTTAAGTACTATTGCTTCTTGAATATGTATTTTAACTGCAGAAAGCTGCTGCAACAAAGGATCCTTTGGGTCTGGGGGACTGGGTAATAGCATGCATTCACACCAACAACAACAACAACGACCAACCCTTTTCATCAATTTTCATTGAGTTCCAAAAAAAAAAAAAAACTATTTAACCAAGGAAGTTTACTGCAATAAAAAAAGAAAGAAAAACCCAGAAGGAAATGGGCTATCTTTGATGATGGGGGTTGTGTTTTTGGAGTTGAAAAGATTGGGACTTTTTGATGCATTATGTTGATTGTTGGAGACAAAGGGGTGCAGAAAGTGAAAGAGAAAGGCAAAGGGCAAACAAAATTTGGAGTGGGTTTGGAGTGTTTCTTCAAAGCTTAGAAGAGGGGAATCAGAAATGATGATGATCACTTTCATTGAAAGGTCGATTTCTTTTGAGGATAGGTGGTAGTAGTAGTACAAAAAAGAGAAAAGAGAAGGGGAAAGAAAAAATTATCAATAAAGGAGGAAATCAAAGCACTTGATAAATCATAAATTCTACCACTTACTTCTACTACTGTTAGTCATGCTTTGGTCCGCGTGCTTTGATGCAAACTGACCTTTGGCCCGCATCTTTTCTTTTTCATTTTAGGTCATTTTCAAAAATTTTCCTTCCCTTTTGCTGTGTGATGGGGTTATTGATGAAGATAAACCCCACTTAGATTGCAGGTCCCCTTTTGACAGGGTTCTTTGTTCCTTGGTTTTGTATTATTTGGGCATGCTCTCCCTGTCCTAAATTGGATTGTCTTCCGCGTTTCTACTTAGATTCTTTTAAAGAGTGACCTGCTTCAGTCATCACTTGGTCTTTTGGCCTTATTCCACATTGAAGTAGATGGTATTAGACTATTAGTGGGTGCCTATTAAAAAAGGTTGAAGCAGATAAGAAGAATTTTTGAAGGGGTCGGTCGGCTTGTTCTGTTTCTGATGAAGGACTATGTAAGGTTTTTCTGGGGAATTAGCGTTTAGTTTAGTTTTAGTTCCTGTTGGGAGTTGCATATTGCAAAGTATGGTTGGAAAGAAGAGCATTTGGTGGTGCTGATTGATCGGCTGCATGTCTCTTTAAAGGGATTTCTGTTTGGATTTGATTGATTGTAGAGACTTTCAGGTAAAGATGAGGTTTCTTTCTGTGTTGGTTTAAAACAAGAAGAAAAGGCCGGCCATTATGAGTGCTGTTGAAGAGAAGATCAAATCAAACTTGGTTCCAGGGGCAAATACACTTATTGAGGAAATGAAGTTATTAAAGGAAATGCAGGATCATGCTGGTTAGTATTTCCTAATCCCATTTATCCATCTCCGGAAAAAAACATCTCTTTTATTGGTAGGAGTAGGACTGTGCATGTATCTCTGAAATTTCTAATGTTTTAGGAGTTATGCTAAAAATCCTGTCTTTTTCTTGAACATTCTGTTTTAGGTTTTATCCTAAATGATGTGCACTTAAGAATGTTCGATCCTGAATTGTTTACAGGAATCAGAAAACCAATAAATTCGGAGCTATGGCACGCATGTGCCGGTCCACTGGTGACACTGCCTCAGGTGGGCAGCCTTGTGTATTATTTTCCTCAGGGACACAGTGAACAGGTGAGCATTCCTCTACAGTGTAGTCTGATTTTATTAGTATCCTCATCAAAGTTTATCATGTTCAAAATCCTAGCTAATGGATGGTGTTTGTTTTAGTTATAGATTTATTTTTCATTTTCTACTGTTTTGTCATGAGGCCTCTCTAGTCTCTACTTCTGTGTAGGCTGTAGGGTAATTGATCTCTGCCTAAGTTGCATAGTCAAACTGGCCTAATTTACTTATGCTATGTTGAAGTATCAGGAATAGACTGTAAAATCAATCAAGAAATCATGGTTATCCTGTACTGCACCTTGTAGCTACTTCATCATTGTTTTGTTTGCTCTGTGGTTAATGTTTGTTTACATCAACTGCATATTATTTATGTACATGACCGCTGGAAGAGTTCTTTGATATACTATGTAATGTAAATCTTTAGATTTTATTTCTTTCTCTTTCTATTGCCAATGAATTTCTGGATTGTTCAAAACAGGTAGCGGTTTCCACGAATAGAACTGCAACCTCACAGATTCCGAACTATCCAAACCTCCCTTCACAATTGTTGTGTCAAGTGCACAACGTCACTCAACATGTATGTGCTCTCCCTGAGGTTTCTATCTAGTGTCAATGTGGGGTCAGTTCGGTTCTTTAATGTATAAACTTAGTTGTTGCAATGGTGTGTTTGTGGCAGGCTGATAAAGATACCGATGAGATTTATGCCCAAATGACCCTTCAACCGGTGAACTCTGTAAGTTCCGTGTTGTGATTTGTACTTGTGTATCATTATTATATCAGCTGTCCCGCTGGAAAGATTCAAAAGAGCATCCTTCAGTGATATGGAGTCTTTATTCTGCTTCTGGATCAGGAAAAGGATATCTTCCCCATGCCAGATTTTGGGCTAAGGACTAGTAAACATCCTACTGAGTTCTTTTGCAAGACTTTGACTGCAAGTGACACTAGCACTCATGGTGGGTTCTCAGTTCCGCGAAGGGCAGCCGAGAAACTCTTTCCACAGCTGGTTAGGCTCTCCATTGCATGAGATTCTTTTCCTTGGTTCTGCTGGATGGCATTCGCATTCCAGGAATTTCTTTTCCTTGCTTCATGTTCATTTCTTTCTTTGTAGGATTATTCAATGCAACCTCCAACCCAAGAGCTTGTCGTCCGTGACCTGCATGACAATACCTGGACTTTCCGTCATATATACCGAGGTGAGCAGGCTATACATCTCCTATTTATCTCCTTTGTTAATTCTTTACCATTTTTTTTAACTTACAACCAGATTACCTAGGCAAATTCCTTTTAGCTACAGGTGGGTGCGGCAATTAAATAAATGATCTTTTTCACTTTTAACAATGTTGGACATTGCAAAATATGATATTCACAAAACTTTTCACTGGTAAAGCTAAGACATGAGAACTTTTTTTTTGCATTACGTGGGATGACATATTTGTTTGCTTGAGATGATTTGAAGGAGTCTGACACGTTCCTCTCATAACATTGACTTACAATTAGTGAATGCATTACTTCTTATCTTTTCTACCCACTCGCTGAGTGTTCCTTCTTGATTTTTTCAATTTCAGGGCAGCCCAAAAGACACCTGCTTACTACTGGCTGGAGCATGTTCGTTGGTACAAAGAGACTTAGAGCTGGCGATTCTGTTCTATTCATAAGGTAATTTTAGGTCCGAGTATGTCTGTTTTGTTTCGTGTTGAGTGGTCTTTGTCTTTCAAGGCTTCAAGCATCTTGTTATTCTTTGGCATTTCCTTTCTCCTATTCCTGCTCTTCATTTTAAGCATTTGTTGTTTCTTTACTTGTATTTTTTTCTTCATCATGAAGTCGTGACGAGTCTTAATTTTTTCTGCTCCCAGTTATTTCTGCATGGCAAGTTGTATTGTTTGATTTATTAAGTTTTGAGCGCTGTTTGTCCTTTTTATAGGGATGAGAAATCACAACTACTGCTTGGTGTGAGGCGTGCTAACCGTCAGCCGGCTGCATTGCCATCCTCTGTTCTATCTGCTGATAGCATGCATATTGGAGTCCTTGCTGCTGCAGCTCATGCTGCTGCCAATAGGAGTTCGTTTACAATCTTCTACAATCCTAGGTACCGTTAAGTTCTCTGGTCATATCTGGTTTTCGATATTTTATTCTCATCTTGTTAGTCCTGAACTCATCGGAGTTTCGTGTTCACACAGGGCATGTCCTTCGGAGTTTGTCATTCCTTTGGCAAGATTTCGGAAATCAGTGTTTGGAACGCAGCTCACAGCTGGCATGAGGTTTGGAATGATGTTCGAAACAGAGGAATCAAGCAAGCGTAGGCAAGTTATTATCTTAATGCCAGTTTTCCTGTTGAGCTGAAGTTTTCCTCTTGATTAATATCTTTGTGCTGTTTCACGGACAGATATATGGGCACCATAGTTGGTATAAGCGATTTGGATCCACTGAGATGGCCTGGTTCCAAGTGGCGAAGTGTTCAGGTAACAGAAAGTTTTCACTGAAGCGCTTGATAGATGGTCCCAACTTTGCCGTTGGTTGCATTTTTCAGGTACTTGTGTTCTTATTAAACTTTTCATCTGTTTTTTATGGCAGGTTGAGTGGGATGAACCTGGCTGTGGTGATAAGCAAAACCGAGTGAGTCCTTGGGAAATTGAAACCCCTGAAAGTCTCTTCATTTTTCCTTCTCTAACTGCAGGACTTAAGCGTCCTTTCCAGTCTGCATTTTTGGGTTAGTGACTTGTTACAATGAGTATAACATGGTAATCTTTGCAGTTTCAGAATTGTGAAAATGGAGATGTTTCTTTTTTCAGGAGCACAACCTGAGTGGGAAAGCTTAATAAGCAAGCCTTTCCTCCGAATTCCCGGGAATCTTAACACAGATATGATGTATCCTCCTGTTTCAAATCCATGGTCAGATCAGTTAATGAAGATGCTATCACGGCCGGATGCTGTTGACCATCTAGCAATGGCTGCGGCATCTTCCACATTGCAAACAAACGTTAAGGTTCCTCCTGCTCCCGAGACCCAAAACACTATGCAGGCAGTAACCAAGCAGAAACCCGAGGTAGTCCATTTAGATAATGCCTCCTCACCAAGTGTGAATCATACACCTAACCATACTGACCAACCTAACCTTCCGCAACTCGTACCAGAAAATTCACCCTCTGTTGATAAACTTGGAAACCAAATACCTAGCAACACCCCTGCTGAACCAGTCAAATTAGAGTCAGGACCGCAACTTGATCAATTTAGCCAATATGCATCATCACTAGGACAGTGTGTTGACAACCGACTGTTACAAAAGCCGACGACAAATAATCTTGTGAGCGATAGCATACTCCTGAATCAGAGTAACAATCATCTAGCAATGCAATCAAGCCCAAGGGTTATGCAGGCTCAGTTAGATCCGCACATTCTCCAGGCCTTGTCAAATGACCCATCTCTTGCAGAGTATGCCGGTGGTAATGGCCTCATGTCGTATCCAGATCATAATGAATGGAACTTATATCCTTCATCTTTCCAATCTCATGGTGGGCTTCTCAAGTCTCCTGGATCCTCATCTGCTGTGTTTAGGAAGCCAGACCATCCACTTACCTTATCAGGACCTATGGGTTCAGCTGAAGTTGCTTCCATTGAAGAGTTGTTGAATAACCAGTTTACTAATGCGAAAAGTGTTCATCAAGCCGGCCAGCAGCATGTTCCATTACCGCAACAAGACCTAGCTAATGTTCACCTTTTGTCTAACCAATTCGGTTTAAAAGATTTTTCGAATATGAGCCCCAACCATAGCGACCTGTATAGCTGTCTGCATTTTGATGGAAGTAACAGCGGGAGCACGGTGGTTGATCCATCCGTTTCTAGCACCGCATTGGATGAACTGTGCACATTGAAAAATGCCAATTACCAGAATCCTTCTGATTATTTGGTTGGGAACTTCAGTTCTTGCCAAGATGTTCAATCTCAGATCACCTCAGCAAGCTTAGCCGATTCTCAGGCCTTTTCAGTGCAAGAATTTGTTGATAATTCAGGTGGTGCTTCTTCAAGTGATGTTGATTTTGACGAGAATAATGCTTTGCCAACCAGTTCGTGGCAGCAAGCAGCTCCTCGTGTACGGACATACACTAAGGTAAGCAATTTGTCTTGCGTTGACAAGCTAGGTCACATTGTCGATGTTTGTTTTCCACATTTTGTTGTCTTATTTAACCTGTACTAAAATGGGAAAATCTGCGACATGATAGATTCAAAAAGCTGGGTCCGTTGGAAGGTCCATAGATGTATCGAGTTTCAAGAATTATGATGAACTATGTTCTGCAATCGAGCGGATGTTTGGACTTGATGGGTTGCTGAATGACTCCAAAGGTTCAGGCTGGAAACTGGTTTATGTCGATTTTGAGAATGATGTTCTTCTTGTTGGTGATGATCCTTGGGAGTAAGTTCTTTTTTTCCTAATTATCAACTGTTGACTTGGCAAGTTAGAATAACCTTCCAAATTTTAAATGGTGCATCTCAACTGAATTGCAGGGAATTTGTGGGCTGTGTGAAGTGCATCCGGATACTTTCGCCTTCCGAAGTTCAGCAGATGGGTGAAGAAGGAATGCAAATTCTTAACTCGGTCACCGAAGCCGGACGTTCTTTTGATGGCCATTGTTAGGTCTGAGACGTGCTTTTGTTGACAAGTTTCTTAACATCTTTAATCCCTGTGATGTTGGCTTTTTAATATAAGTAGGGACTGTCTCCTTAGGAATTTTAGATAGTTGTTTAGTTGAGTTGAGCTTGTTTGTTGTCTGTCTTGTTGTATCCAATCGTAAAACAGATGAGTTATGATGTGCTATATGAGTAACGACATTTCTTAGCTATATTTCCTGTACATATTTGCCATCATCTGCATACTGATCACCTGGAAAATCCAGAAAAACGAACCAGTCCTTTTTGAAGAGCAAACCATCTCAATTCTCAACTTAAAAAGATCAGATGGGATTTAAGGCCAAAATGAAGGTGTTGCAGACTTGTATTGATTTTGCCTTTTCAAACTTGAAAAATGAAAGGTGTGGACTGATGGTCATTCTGAATACATTAGAGGCCCTTGACGTTAGTTTCCTTCATCAAAGGGCATTGATTATGCAGGGGCAAGAAAAGCTAGGATATGTTAAAAGGCTGGAAGCAATGGAAACATATCACCCATGTACGACAAACTGAGGATGCGATTGCAAGGAAGTATATTTAGAGTGGGAATGGGTTTTCCAACTATGGTTTTAGAGTGGATGACTAAGGTTGGTTTCGCCTATGAGGTGAATTCATACTGCTACTACTACCATTTAGCTTCCAAATCATTCCTTGACAACAAAACAAGAAGAAAAAAGCAGCAGAACATGAGCACATATACACTTTTTGGGTTTCTGCACAGAGTCCTCAACAACATAGGCGAGAACCAAATAGAATGTATCATGAGACCTACCTTAGGGCTAGGTGTTTAATCTTACAAGCAAATGAGCAATTGCAGCTAGGCTCATGCAAATAGAATGTAATATATACAGTGTAATAAAAGGCTTGGAGACACTCATGACAAACCCAGTCCAAAAGAATCAAACCAGGCATGATTTTACGGAGCAACTCTTATCACAAAATGACATGCCTCCTTAATTCTTACATCACTAGTGCTCGGAATCATCCAGACACATTACAGACCAAGGCCAAAAGGATTGATTAAAGGAAAGTGTTATGGACCTTTATCATATACAAAATGCCCCCAGCAATTCCATGGCATACAACTAGACAGTTGATTGAAAAGTTTACCAGAAATGAACATCGAAGTCCAAGATCTGGAAATAACTCCAATGAAGGACTTAGCCATGGGATCGGAAAATCTAACAGACATGAAACCACGAAGCCAAAAGCTAGTAATTTGCATCCAATAAAGCACTCATCCATCGATAAAAGAAAAATGTAGCAGTAATGCAGCAGCAGAAATTATTTATGTCCATGAATGCTATAGATGGATAAATCGACCATGTAAAAGATGCCTTTGTGTCCAACATTGTGCAGTGTCAAGGTACAAAGCTGAAGAGCTGAAGCTTAATATTCGCAGTAGTAATTGACAGCATCAGCTATATTGACCCAGTCATACAATTGCTAAACCTCTTAACAGTTAATCAATTAAACTAAAACAAAATAATAATAGGAGAGAGTAAACGGTGTAAATTTGTAACACATTCCAACTTGGAGAGCTAAAAATTTCTATGTTCTTGTTCACGGTAGGATAAAAATTTCAATTTACCATAGCTTATTTCACAGTGCACATAAATTCTTAATGAAGTAATGAGATTAAGTAAAATATTCTGTGGCAGAATCTATTGCTACAAGAGCCCTTTTGAACTAAAAAGAAAACCTAATCAATCATTATACTCTTACTGGTTTCTGTAGAACAGCGGAGAGGTAAGCTTCTGATTTTCCTGCTCCATTGATCTTCTCCCCCACAACCCATTTTAACTTTTTATACCTGAATTGCTCGATTAACCGAGTTAGGACTCTTTTCTTGTCATCATTGGAGCAATAAAAGTTGTCCAACCACAGCAATCCGCCAGCTCTCAGTACTCTATCAATGTCAAACAACAGAAACTCCAATTTTTCAGAGCGCCCCCCAACGTCCAACCCATTAGCAGCATGAACCAAATCAAACGTGTTATCATAAAATGGAAATCTGTGATCTAAACTCAAGTATAAAGGAAACAGCCCTCTTGCAGCAATGAATTCGTTGAAGGGTGCATCAACATTCAAAGTGGCAGTCACTACAGTTACATTCCTCTCAGCCATTCTAGCAGCAAAAGTCCCAGAGCCACCACCGATATCAAATCCAATTCTAATCCCACCATTACTCCCCATAGCCAAGACATCATCAATAAGGAAATCATTTTTGCTACGAACTTTAACATATTTTTGAGTCTCATATCCCTTTGTGATTTCAAAACAACCAGCGCAGTCCCTATTCAACTTCTTGCTATTCAAACAAGCTAAATTCTTGCAACCAAGTCCACTCCAACTATAAATCTTTTCACTAACATTTTTCCAAAGAGAAACAGGAAAAGATTCCAAACCAACCTTAGGAATTGCTTTGGCAAAACACCTTCTCCTTGACAAAGGCTCGCATCCACTCAAGATCAGCTTCTGCCCAAGACTCCAGTCATCAGGACAAGGACCATTGATCTTGTAATTCATGTACTGAGACAGCAAATCCACTGATTTCTCACAAGAATGGCCCACGGATGCCACCATCTCAGTGATCCCTGTTCTTGAATCCTTCCCTAACGGAAGCAAATGGTGCTGCAGGAAGACTTTCAGCTCGTTTGCAAGGTTAGGTCTGCCAAGATCGATGCTTTCATAACCTAAAATCTCTTTCTCCATCTGGGCCAGCTTCTTTTGGGAAGATTCAATCTCGCTGAGAATCAATGCCACTTGTTCAGAGATTAAAGAAATGTTCTTTGGAGTATGGTGAACCAAATGACCCAGCTGCGGATGATCCCTCGGAGTGTATGTGAAAGCATACAAAGCAAAAAGATTTGTTGTGATTACCGAAAACAGCATCAGTAAATTCACTGCAGAAGAACAAATTGAAGCCCTCTTAAATCTTGCTGTTCCATCACCTATTTTCAAAGAAACAGATCCCATTTCTTGGCCACTTCTGCTTCCTCTTTCTTTTGCCAATGAATCAGAAACTAGTATTCTGTGAAAGAGAGCACTGAGATTTGCGAGATTCCCTTTGGGAGACTGAGCACAGTGAGCACTGAGCAGCAGCCAGCCAGCAAGTGGGAAAGAAAAGAAAAGGCTTTGATAATTATGAAAGAGATTACTAAAGATTAAAGACAGTGAACTTGAGAATTAAGAATGCTTGTCGGTTGGGTAAATGAGGTAATCCTTGTGAATTGTGAGGGAAATTAAATTCTGTTGTTATACGCTGTAAAATAGTAGTTGCAACTTGCAAATCCAATTTGTGATTGGAGATTAGTAACTTTTGTTTACTGAGCTCAAGAATTACAATATTTGTGGAGGGATTTCTCACCGTAAGATGGAAAGCCAAGGGCTCAGATTTCCGGAAATTTTCAAAGGTTATTCATCTCTTGCGTTTTTGGTAACTAAAGTAAAGATTCATTTATACCAGTTCAATTATATAATACAGGTACAGTTGGGTCCACGAGTCAAATACTCCAAGAGGAAGTAAAGTTTTTGTCAACGGGTTAACATGGCAGGAACATGGGCAATTTGTAGTTTTTGTGGGTCTCAAATCACTAGCGACTCAAAACTTTACTACTAAACAGTAAAAATCATTGCCTAAATCCCCTCCTTGAGGATTTATTAGCCATTCATTAGTAGTTTAGCACCGAGGTATTATCCCTTATTCATGAATAATTTATAATCCTTCCATCCTACTTTGCCGTCGAAGGTCAAATCTGTTAGGACGAGAGTCAACGGTGTCTATAGACCTGAGACCTGCAAAATAAGGGTTAGCACTCTAACGAACAAGTCAATCTAAGGAGTGATAGAAATAAAGTGTGTGAGCTAAGAAGGGAGTGAAAGTGAGCTTGCTCTCTTCACCACAAAAAATGGGTTATATATAGATGAGGTAAGGGAGAATATTTTCTGGAATATTCTTTTTTGATGATGGGCTTGGGCCATTGTTAGTGTTTTAGCCGGCCCAATTAGCCATAAAAGAAAATTATTGGACCCATGAATGGTTGTTGGCCCAAGTGATAGTACATCCTTCGACAGTTGCATTTTAGAAATATTTACTCTGAGTTTAAAGCAACAATGTTGACTTATAACTTAATGTCATTTTTATTTCTTCTCTCTGACAAAAAAGAACGATAGTGTAAATTTTAAATAATATTTTTTTTCGTATGGACATTATTGTCCAGTTTAAATCTTCATTTCTAATAATCAGAAAAAATTCTAGAAATAACGTATATTACAATTCACAATCTGAATTATTTTATGGAACTAATGAAGTACCTTGCTAGTGTTACATATTTTCATGAACTCGTATAGTTAAGAACTAATAGATTCGGCTAAAAAATGCAATAATGAACCTGCAAAAAATAAGGTCAAAACCCCAAATCATTACCAAGTTGGGCAAGTTGTAATTATGAAAGCCCACTCAAATATATCGTTATCTGCAATAAGAACCCAGCAAATAAGCCCATACGAACACCTGTCCAAAACAGTTATTCCCTTTCGCGGGTAAAACAGATCGGTCTTGTATTACAGGATCATGTTGCAAAAGAGATAATGGATGTTTGATTGATTAATTGATTGATTGTAAGCAAATTTGCAAACGTGTATGCTAATAAAAAATCTTTAATTTCATCTGGAAAGCCGAAGAAAGGAGGAAGAAAGAAGGTGATTCAATGGGGCAATCCTCCTCAACTGACCAAATCTCGCCGGCCCAAAGGGAGGCGGAAACTTTAGCAGCATCTACTGGAGCTCTTCCCACTCTCCGGGAGGCATTTTCTCGTCTCTCCGATCCTGAAACTGGACTTATCCCTCTTGATTCTATCCGGGTATCTTTCCTCTTACACCCTCCGTATTTAGTAGAATGATCTCCAATCCATTTTTCTTCAGGCTGTTGTCCTTTATGTTGGAACTTTTGGGAAGATAATTTCGTGAATTAGTTTATGTCTGCGAGGATTTAATCTTTTTCTGATTGTAGTTGACTAGGATATCATATGTGTCAGTATGGTTTACTTGTATAGCCTGTTAAGTTCGAGATTGAAATCTTTGGTGACTATTAGGCTTATTGGTTTTATGTACATTTGTATTGATCACAGAAATGCTTTGCTCTTGTTATCGAGAACCCATCATCAGGCACTTCGGGAACATTAGCTCCGAAAGAATTTCCAGTGTTGCTGGCCCATGTGGGTTCTGCTATTGTGGACCAATTTTTCCTGGTTGAGAAGGCAGGGCTTACTTGGGTTGAGTTTTTGAGAGGTTACACCAAATGCTGTGGAAGGACAGTTGCTTCCACTTCCTTGAATAACTTATTCAAGTTGGTGTTTGTGTCTGCTAATGAAAAGGCTGGCCTTCCCGTGAAGCTGCAGGTCGACCCTAGTGAAGATGATGATGGCAAATTGAGTGGATCCTTACTGCCTGCTGATCTACTTAATCTTCTTTGGGCATGCTGGACTTTGTCCTGGGATTCGAGGAATCTGAGATCTTCGACAAGCAAAGGGAGTCTTGGTCGTCCAGATGTTGACCATTTGGTGTTGTCCGCCGTAGAAAGTTGCGCTGAATCTGCTGATAAATTGAACTTTTGGGACGCCAAAACTTCTGGATTGGATATTGAATTACCTGTTTCGAAAGTTCTCACGTGGGCTTTGAAGACAGTGCCATATCTTGCCGATTGCTTGGCTCAATTTGTTAATTCGAGATTGGGTTACTTGACAAGCCACCAGGTACCTCTTCCGTTAGGTGGAATGTGAGTTCATGTAGCCTTTTACTTTACTTCTTCAACTTGATAGGTCATAGAGGGATGTAAGTAATAGGTATTGACTAAATAGTAATAAGTGATCATTTTACATTTCACTGCATTAAGTATTTAGTATGTGAACAAAATATTGAGGACTGATCAAAATCTTGATGTTCAGAACTAAGATTTAACAAGCATAGAATTCCATTGCGCGTGGAGACATGTCTGGAAAGATTTGTTCCTTTATTCTATATTCTGTTGTTGGAAGCAGTAAATTTGTTTTAATCTGCATGTTTTCATAGGATTTTGCTTTCTGAGGATTTAGACATTATAGTGAATGATGCTCATAATTTTACTGCTCCTTGTATGACTATCGAGCTTCTTTAACATGCATTAAGAGCCAGAGAGTGGTGGTGGTGTCAGCTTTTCATTTGATTTGATTTATTGTTCCCCTTAAATTATCTACAAGAAAACTTATATTTCAGGGCAAATGGGAGGATTTATACTTTCCAGTGCATGGCATTTCCCCTGCCGAAGTTTCCAATACTGGTCTTCTTACTTGTGGAAGGGCCTGGGCTATATCACTTACACTAAGGGATAATCTAAGTGAGGAGATTTCAAAAGCATGTTTCCTTGGTGAAAGCGAGGATATTAATGAAAGTTTACTCTACAGGTTTGTCTTCTCTCTTGTCTCCCTCAAAGACTTGATTTCATTGGAATCTAATCTTTAAAAGATTTTGGATAAATGGTTACAGTTTTTAATAATGAGCTCAAGTGGGATGTCGATTTTGTTGAACAAATATTGCTTTTACTAACATACCATGCATTCTTTATTCTACTCGGTTGGATTTGATTATACAGCATTTGTGCTGTATTGAAGCATTGCATGTTCCAGATTCTTGTTGTTGTGCTACTGCTCGTTAATTTAAGCTAAATGGCTCAGTTGTTCACTTCTTCTGTACCTTTTTTATTCACGTGCAGGTCATCTTTGCATGGAAAAGGTCTAAACAGATTTTGGTCGCATGTTGAGGGCTATCTTGGTCCAGTTATAATGCTGATTGATGCTTGTGAGAGTAACAATGTTGAAAGGAGGTTGACCATTGGGGCACTGACACATCAGGGTTTTGAAAATAAGGACATCTTTTATGGAAGTTCTGGTAACCTATATGCTTTAGGTCCAGTCTTTCATGTCTTTGCAGCTTCAGGTTGGTGAATGATCTTATTCTCTTTCAGCTTTAGAATGAAGCATTTTAGCAATGCAATGTGTAATTTTGAAAATCTCTGTCATTGTTTTTGAAGGGAAGGAGAAAAACTTCATATACAGCCACTTGCATCCTGCTGTAAGGGTGTATGATCCTCATCCAAAGCCTGTTGGAATTGCCTTTGGAGGCTCAATTGGAAATGAGAGAGTATTCATGGATGAAGATTTTTCTAAAGTTACACTTCGCCATCATGCTGTAGACAAAACTTATCAACATGGTTCTCTTTTTCCCAATCAGGTATTCTTTAAATAATGGTCAGTTGGTTGCAACTAGCAACCAAGATAACCCTCAGTAGCACTATCCCCTCCGTGGGGATGCTTCAACCAACTCACCTTTGTAATCAGCCTTATGAATGTAAATCTTTGCAAATGTCGCAACTGCTGTTATTTAAGCTTGATGATTAATTACCAAATCTGTACTAGGGCAAAATTATGCACAACTCAACATGAATAAAAATATTGGATTGCATTGTTTTTCAGGGGTTTTTACCAACCGAGATGTCAGTTTTGGAGGTGGAGATATGGGGGTTAGGTGGCAAAAGAGCTAAAGATGTCCAAACTTCATACAAGAAAAGAGAAGAAATTTTCACCGAGCAAAGGCGAAAAGTAAACAATCGAGGACCCTTGAATCTCAAAACCTTGCTTTTCTGCAACTTTTTCCTTCGTAAGTTCCTTAATGATGCCCCTTTCTTTTACGTATTCTTGCAGGTTGACTTGAAGGCATTTGGAGACTGGGAAGACTCACCGGAGAAGATGATGATGGACATGATGGCTGACCCCAATAGGGTTCGCCGGCAAGACCGATAGGTATTCCTCTATGTAGGTTGTTTTCTAAGTCAACACAAACCAGGGAGATTGGCAATCATGGAGAGTGTATAGATGTTTTTGTGCATGTAACATATAGAGAGAAAACAGACTTGGATCTTGTTCTAGACTTTTGTGTATTACATCACTATAATAACATTGATGAAGCGCAACTTGAGAAATTGACTATACAACAAGTAGAGATTATATATGATTTATTTGAAATACACCAAGCCGCGACAAATTACTTATGGATTAGGCATAAACCAACAATGGCCAGAAAGTTGATGCTTTTCAACTGAGGAAGGCAGTGGTAGTGTTGATAGGGAGCCGTTTTCTATGTCGTATATATGAAGACGTTGATCACCGGGTTCAACAAAATACACACAATTGGTGATTCATTAGTACTATAGGAGCACTCTTTACCTATAAACTAATGAAATTTTGCAGAATAAATCTTTAATCTCGTCAAATTAATCAAATGACAGAGTGAAATAAAAAGTGAAAAAGTTCCGGAAACCAAAAAAACATTGTAACAAAAATAAAAGAACAGCTCATGCTTATAATAATACTGCCAAGTGTGTCTGCCTTTAATAACATTATTGGAGGAACGTCACTAGATTTCCGAAAGCAAAAAAAAAAAATCCTCCTCCCCTCCCTAGAAAAAAAAAAAAAAAATTCTCTCTACCCCTCCCATAAAATACAAAATCTCATAACTCGATATTGAAATCCCAAATTTGAACTAATATGGTAGGTAGATTCAAATTACAAAAGTTGATGTTTTCATATGAGTAATACTCCTCCTATTCCAAAAAAATAGTCTACATTTAATTTTGAGATTTGTATTATAAAATACGTTTTAGTTTTCAAAATTTGTACTGTTGTTAGTACAAAATCTTAAAATTCAATGTGGACAATTTTTTTTTGGTCCGAAGAGAGTAATATAATAAATTTCAGAACTTGACAAATACTCCGAAAACATAATTAAGTACCTTGTAGTTGGAGAGGTGACCTACGACTGGCAAGAGCTCCCCGCTGATAATAATTATTTTGCTGGAAAAGTATGGGAGATCGACTTGGATTGGCAAAGTTGTTACAAAAACATCCCAGATACATCTTTATTTATAGAGTTCTGAATCACCTCTTTTTTGTTTTTACATCCCAAACAAAATAGGAAAATAAAGATAAATCCGTAAATTCCCACAGTTTTTATTTTATTTTGTTTATTAGGTAAACAAATTACTTGTGTATTTTAATTGAGGAATGACGATGGAAACTTTTGGGAAATTTTCTACGAATCCAATTTGGGTACTATCAGAAAAAGGGTAATTCCTTATCACTATAGAAATTTGGCTTTCAATCTCAATTTTTCTATGCTTTTTATCACCCCAACCTCCCGGTTTGTTTGCTTGTGTTTTGTGTTATTTCCTTTGGGGGTCATGAAAGAAAAAAGTATGGATCGCAAACCAATTCATTGTTTACCAAGAACCCAAAGAAAAAGTACGCGGCTAACCAAAACTGTTACTTGTTTGCCTGCCAAGAAGAAATCAAGATGAGAAGAAGCAAATCGGCGATGACAGATTGTCCGTTTTACCAAACGATGTTTTGAGATTGATACAATCCTATCTGGCTATAGGAGATCGAGTATCCTTCCATGCTGTTTGCCGAGCCACAAAATCAATCCCAGTTGTAACCCTAAAATACAATAACATCCAAGCAGGGGCCATTCTCTTGTTTTCCGAGTTTACTTTTGCATCGCCTGATTGGCTGTACCACCCGTACAGGATGTACTCAAATCTTCCATCCAGCCTACAATTTCTTTTATAACATTGAGATCCCAGAATTGAACAACGCAGAAATTCATTGCTCCAAGTTTGGCTGGTTGCTCATGTCCACCACATTAATCACCAGGGACGGACCTAAAAGAATTATATTTTTGTCTGTATATTACCGGTGGTACATTGAAATATATATATACAAGGATACATAAAACCTTAGCCGACTATTCTGGAAACCCTAATTTGGTTTCCTTAATTACATACTCTATCATCCCCCCGCAATCGTAGCAGGATGAGGAATCATGCCTAGATTGGTTCTAAACAAATAGAATTTATCTTTAGCTAATGACTTGGTGAAGACATCTGCAAGTTGAGATTGTGTGCGGATATGACGAACAACAAGAAGACCAGCAGCAACTCGTTCATGAACAAAATGGATATCCAGCTCAATATGCTTTGTTCTGGCATGATTAACAGGATTGGCGGCAAGGTAGGTAGCAGAAATATTATCACACAGAATTACTGAAGATTTGAGAAGTTTGATGTGAAGCTCAGATAAAAGATTTTCTAACCAAACAACTTCAGATAAGGTAGTAGCAACGGCGCGATACTCAGATTCAGCAGAAGATCGTGAAACAGTAGATTGCTTTTTAGAAGACCACGAGACTAATGATGAACCTAAAAAGACACATAACCCAGTGGTAGAACGTCTAGTTGTCGGACACCCAGCCCAATCAGCATCCGGATAAGCCACAAGACGATCACTAGAGGCTGTTAAGAGAATATCATCAACATAGAGGAGGAGAACAGCCATGTCAGTGCCAGCAGTGTAAACAAACATAGAAGAATCCGAGCGACTGCTTTTAAAACCCTGTGTAAGCAGGAAAGTAGTAAAGCGGTGAAACCAAGCTCGGGGGGCCTGCTTTAAGCCATAAAGAGTTTTGTTCAGGCGACAGACATAGTGAGGATGGTCTGGATGAACAAAGCAAGTAGGCTGTTTCATATAGACAACTTCATTTAAATGGCCATGCAAAAATACATTTTTAACATTCAACTGATGGACGGGCCACTTACGAGATGCTGCAATACTTAAGACAGTCCGAATTGTCACTGGTTTAACCACAGGACTGAACGTTTGATCATAATCAAGTCCAGGTTTTTGATTAAAACCCTAAGCAACCAAACTGCTTTACAACGATCAAGGGATCATCGGATTTGAGTTTCACGCGAAAGATCCATTTAGAACCAATGACATTCGCAGACACAGGTAGTGGGACTAAATCCCATGTATGATTAGACAGAAGGGCATTGTATTCATCACTCATAGCGGCACGCCATTCAGGGTGTTTATTTGCTTCAGTGAAAGATTTTGGTTCTATGGGAAGAGAAGGAGAATTGGTAGTGGCAGTGAGGGAGAAAATCTGTTTGGATTTTCGTGTGCCATCCCGAGTGCGGGTGACCATAGGATGTGAGGGAGCAATGGAGGATATAGGATCTGAAGGTTGAGTAGGAACGGAAACTTGGGTGGCAGAGATAGAATCTGAAACAGGAGTTTTGCTGGGAGAGGACGGTGATGGAAGGTATTTGGGAATGAGAAAGGAAGGATGTTTAAATGAGGGGGCCGAGGTAGGAAGGGGCTGAGTCGAAGAGGATAGTGTAGGAAAAGGAAACGAAGTTTCATAAAAAATGACATGACGAGAAATGTAGACTTTTCGAGAGACTGGATCAAAACAACGATAACCCTTATATGATTCTGGATAACCAAGAAACACACAAGGAACTGAACGAGGACTAAGTTTATGAGATGCTAAATGAGAGAGATTTGGAAAATAAGAGCAACCAAAAACCCTAAGTACCCCATAATTAGGTGGATGGCCAAAGAGAAGTGAGAAAGGGACTGCTCCGAACTTAGATGTAGTAGGCAACCGGTTTAAGAGATAAACACAAGTGATTAATGCTTCGACCCAGAATTCATTTGGTAATTGGGCTTGATGAAGAAGAGTACGGACCATGTTAAGAATAGTTTTATTCATTCGTTCAGCCTTCCCATTTTGTTGGGGAGTGTATGGACAAGAGACTCGCAGTGCGACCCCCTTTGATTTAAGAAAGGTTTGAAGAGATTGAGAATGAACATATTCAACAGCATCATCGGATTGAAGTATTTTAATAGAAGAATGGAATTAAGTTTGAACAAGATTATAAAATTCAACAAATTTTTGAGAAACTTCAGATTTATTTTTGAGAGGATACACCCATAGGTAATGAGTGAAATCATCTAGAAATAGAACAAAATATTTAAAATCACTAAAGGAAAGACAAGGAGAAGTCCAGACATCAGTATGAATAATATCACAAGGACTGTAAGTGACAGATGACGAAGACTGAAAAGGAAGCTTATGATGCTTTCCAATTTGACTTGCTTGACACAGGTAAAGTTTATTGGACGAAACCACCGAACCAGGAAGACTCTGATGGGACACTAAACTGGACAAGACAGAAGAGTGCGGGTGACCAAGACGTTGATGCCACACTTGGGAAGACACTGGAGCAGCAAGCGCCAGACATGACAAGGAAGATGGTGCAAGAGACTGATGTAGCAAGGTAGAAGGAAAGGTATAAAGGGACCCAGTGCTATTGCAACGTAGATGAGGGATCCTCGTCCAGAGATCCTTCACAGAAAAACCAAAGGGATCAAATTCAACGGAACATTGATTTTCAGTAGCACATTGACGAACATAAATAAGATTTTTGGTAATAGAAGGAACACAATAAACGCGAAGAAATTTAAGCGAAGAACAAAAAAGAGTGCCAACAGATTTAATGGGCAACATATTACCATTACCAATCACAACCCTAGTAGATCTATTATAAGGCTTTGAATTGGAGAGAATACCTTGAGTGGGAGTCATAGTATTACCACAAGCGGTATCCATATACCAGGATGAATCCACGGATGGAGGAGCAGGAGGTCGAGTATATTGATCGACAAAGTAAGCGGGTTGCCGAAATTGGAAGCATTCTCTAGCAGAGTGATTCGCTTGATTGCATAATTGACAGCGAATATCAAGTTGTCTTGGCTGAAAAGAGAGAGCTGGACTAAAATGTGAAGGAGCACGGGTTTTGGGAGAAAACATAGGAGGCTGAAAATTAGAGTAAGCAGGATAAAAAGAATTATACTGACCAGATTGATTTCGGCCACGTCCGTGACCGCCACGCCCCCGAAAATTCTGGAACCTGCCTCGACCACGACCACGATTGTTGGTGAAAGGTTGAGAGGTGGCTGAAGTAGGAAGGGATTCAGTTGAAAAAGCCGCAACTAACGCCAAAGTTGCCGCGGGAGGAGTAGCAAGGATGGTATTCTGTAGTTGCACTTCGTGCAAGAAAAGCATGGAGCGAGCTTCAACAAAATTAGGCAACGGGACTTTGTGACTAATCATGGTCGAGACAGATTGATATTCAGAAGGAAGACCAACAAGAATTTGAGGGACCAAGTCGGGTCGGAGACTGGAGAACCAACCGCCGTTAAAGAATCGGCAAAAGATTTAAGTTTGGTGACATAATCATTAATGGATAAGTCACCCTTCTTGAAACTGTGGAATTGGAGTTTCAATTGAAGAACACGAGAGCCAAGTTGATCATGAAAAAGCTGTGGAATAGTTAACCATGCTTATCGAGCAGTGAGATTAGAATTTGGTTTAACTATAGCTTACAAGATTTCGGTTGAGACTGTGGCTTGAATCCAGGAGAGAACAATGGAATCAATTTGAGTCCATGTTTGAAAGGCAGGATTTGGGACAGAAGCGGAAGAACTATCCGCAGCGGGAAGAGTCGAGGACGGACAATGAGAGGTACCATCAATGTGATCCATGACACCATGGTCGTGAAAAATCGGAAGAAAGAGTTCCTTCCAGAGCATATAGAGTTCCTTCCAGAGCATATAGTTGGTGAAATCTAGGACGGGAGTAACATAAATTTTGATATTGGAGAGGCCAATGGCCGGATGAGACAGCGGAGAAGAGGTGTTGGAAGGAGGGGGTTTTTGCCGCTGGTTTTGGGTGGCGGTGATTGTGGATTCGTCAGACCGAGCCATGAAGGAGGAAGATTATGGTGAGGGAGGATTACTGCGTGGGTGGTAAGGATTAGGATTTTTTTTTTTTTTTGTAAGAATTAAACGAGGATGACGAGAAAGAAGACACACGGAGGTTGAATCTAATGGGGTGCAGGAGGATCGAAGTAGGATGGTGCAAGATCAGAAAGCTAAAGGCACAGGACAATTGATTTAATAAAGACACAAATTTGATGAAGCTGAAACAAGCCGAACTTGATGAACGGGAAAACAGCAGCAGGCCGCAAAAAAGATGGATGAAGATGGATTGATTGATGGACGGCAGGATTGATGGATTGATGGATTGATGGAGATGAGTTTTAATACCATTGCTGGAATCTTACACGCACACACACGCACGTAAACAGAAGGGAGGAAAAAAGAGATTAAAAGGTGATGACTTTGAATTTGGTCGGAGGAATCAAACCAGGGAAAACCAAAAAACCTTAAAAATCTGGTTCTGTTATTACACTCCTTTCAGTACAAAGAATCTCACCAGTTTCCTCTCTGGGAAATAACAGGAAGGAAGAAGAAAAGGGTGGTATCCGGGATTTGGAGCTTCGGCGGTTCGGCAGAGAAGAAAAGAAAACTGACGGCAAAAGAAAGAAAGAAAAGAAAATTGACAGCGGAAACCCTAAAAAATTGAGAGGCAGGAGAGAAGGATGATACCATAAAAGAATTATATTTCTGTCTGTATATTACCGGTAATACATTGAGATATATATATACAAGGATACATAAAACCCTATCCGATTATTCCGAAAACTCTAATTTGATTTCCTTAATTACATACTCTATCAGGACCTAGTGGGGAGCAAGAGGGGTCCGTCGACCTGCGGCGGGCAAAACTCTTCTACTCCTCCTCGGCCACCTATCTCTTTTCCTCCTCCTTCTGCATCCCTCCTTCGTCGCCACCGCCGCCGGCATCCGTCTCGACATTGTCCGCAAGCCATTAATTCCCGATGGCGGCCCTCTTTTCAGGGAAGCCCCCGCCTTCCGCAATGGGGAAATATGCGGCGTTGACCACCAAATTCACACTGCAATGACCACCAAACTCGACTGTGTAGGTAGGTAGGACTTAGGAGGAACAGAAGACTAATAAACAACCCCGCCTTTCACATGCTCCAACTTATAACATATATATGTATTTAATCATCATCAGATTATAATATAATACTAATATGTTAATATTATGAGAATAATAAGAAGAATATAACATTGACAAAATCGAAGAAAATTGCCTACAACTACGTCTAAGTTGTGACTACAACTAGAGGTGAAAACGTGAGCCATTGATGATGTAACTGGCGACCCGGAACCCGGAAAGCAAGGCAGAGATAAGCCCAGGAACAAAAACCCGGTGAATCCAAGGGCTATGGATATGTCCGACTGTATGCAAAACGCGTTGCTCTCCGTACACGTGTCCTTCCCCTTCAACGACCGTGCCAGCTCCGTCCCCGCCGAGTCCGCCGACGGGAGCATATATGCAAACACCTTCCCACCACAAACGACAACGTTTTCAGCACAAAACACCACATAATAATATTAAATCTTAATAAAAAGAAATGAAAAAGAAAAAAGATTTTTTTTTTGGTTGGGTCAAATTAGTGGGCTCCACTGTTCATATAATAAAAAATTAAAAACTTAACGGAAAAGAATGTTTGACCGTTAATTCTTAAAAAATTATGTTAAATTGGCGACAAAAATATTTTAGAGGAATTATTTCTACCAATTGAAAATTTATGGTACTGAATCTTGTTACTCCAAAAAGTTGAGAGACGAAAAGTGCATTTTGTCCTTTCAATTATTATTAAGCGTTAGTAATTTTGTAACGATGAAAATTTGATTAGAGAGGTGTGATATGCCCACTACAATTATGTTAATTCAGATTATAATAACTCAGGACTGTTTACATTTCTGGCGAAATTGTTATAGATTGAAGGGGAAATGCCAAGGCAAAATTAGCAAAAGTGGTTGATCTCCTCAAATCAAGAACAAATAAAGAAAGCTGCTCTCTTCAAATCAACAAATAAGAAAATGCATTTGTTAAACCACCGAAAGAATGAAACAAGTGAGAATTTATATTGAGCTTATGTCACTTGAAGCAAATATTATATAATTTATACAGTTGGAGTTTATGTCACTTAAGCAATCAATTTTCTTCATGAGGTTAATTTAGAAAAAAAAAATGAATTCCATCCATAATTGGGTCTCTTAATTACTGATTATTTTCATCGTCTCTTTGAAAATCGTTTGCTCTTTTCCCTTTCCATTTTTTAAACTCAAAACCTTGATTATCTGCAATTTGTTTCTCCGTAAGTTCCGTAATGATGCCCCTTTCTTTTACGTATTCTTGCAGGTTGACTTGAAGACATTTTGAGATTGGGAAGACTCACCGGAGAAGATGATATCATGGACATGATGACTGACCCCCAATAGATTCCACCGGGAAGACCGACAGGTAATGGATTCCTCCTATACTCTAGGTCATGATCCGGCCTAAGTAGGTTGTACATGTGAGTTCAACCGTTAACACCTGGAAGGGGTATGTTAGTATCATCAAAAGTTTAGGATTTATGGTAGATGTTCACCCTATTTTGTATTTCTCTCTGTTCCAAAATTATTCTCTAATTTAAAATTTTACTTTTAATACAATTTGAACTAGAAATGAAAACTCAAACTAGACAATAATTATCGGACGGAGGGAGTATTATTTATTGATAAATTGATTTTTATTGATGTAAAATTAACCGCAATTATTTTTTTTTCTTGTGGAAATTAAGTTCGACGACTTTCTCGACTAAATCAACGAACAGGTCGCCACTAGAATATTTTTATATACTCCCTCCGTCCCATAATTATTGTCCACTTTGCCCAAAAAATTTTGTCCCAAAATTATTGTCCAATTTGACTTTTTATGGATCAAGTTACACATTTGTCCTTAGTAAAAAATATTATCCATAAAATCTTAGTGGTTAAACAATTACTTATGTAGGGGTATATCCGGTTATTTAAGGTAAAATATAGTTAAGTTTGACCAAAAATAAAATCTTTCATTTTAGTAAAACTGGACAATAATTATGGGACGGAGGGAGTACTATTTTTTTTATTTTAATTATAACTTTCTTTGTTTAAAAAATATATCCTTACTAAAATAAAAATTATTTAGATTTCATTTCCTATAGGACAAACTTGGCGAAGTCGGATTGATACAAAGCTAAAAACCAAAAGCATAATTCATTGTGGAAACGGAAAAGTAATAGAAGAAAAAGCTTTTAAGCTCTGATCAGTTCTTAATTGCAATGCCGCTTTATATTTCACAGCAAGCTCGATAAAGCTTTACATTATTCAACCAAGCATAGAAGAAATTTAAAAACAACTTCTTATTACTATAAACTACAATAATAAAAAGGTTTGATAACTTGAAACTGCAGATAATCTAGCATACAACATCCTTTCAGACATACTTATTCTCCCCATCTTTCCGTGTGGATCCATCTTAGAAGAGTCTGTCACAATAAAAACAACAAAAATCGAATTACTATAATACCATAAATATGCATGATTGACTTCGTCACATATGTTTATAAATGAACTTTGGGGTCTTATTTATAAGGTACAAATTAATTATAATACTTACGCTTCGCAGTTGACATTCTTGGAGATGGGGATATCCAAGGTGACGCCACATTGGGATGGAAGAGCCTGAGCAGCTTCATCCCTGACCGGTAAAGTGGTTGCCGCCGCCTTAACACAGTTGCAAGCCGCCCTTTTGTCCGCCTGAGTCTTTACCGACGCAATAAGGTCCTCAACACCCTGGCAACACTCTCTCCCTGGCTTACCTCCGGCGGTCAAGTAATTAACACACGGGGCCAAATGCCCGGCGACTTCCGGGCAAGTAACGGCCTGAGCCGGTTCAGACATCATCTGAACCACGGCAAGAACCGCGAGCATAGCCACGATGAAGCCCTTCATTTTTTTTTTTATGCTGCTAAAAATGCTGAAAATACAACTGGGATTTTTGATGATTTTTTTTTTGGTTAAGTGCTAAGATGCTGAAATGATGTGTGGAGTGAAGGGATCGAATTGCATGTGAATTTATAGGGGTTTTTGGATAGCATTAGTTCATGGTTTGTTACATTATCTTGGCTGGTAGCTGCAGAACATATGTCATCCAGTTTCGAGTATTTTTAGGAAAAATACTATGATGTTCTCACCATTTTCAGTCTGCCTTTCTGTCATTGCGGCAGAGGGAAGCTTACTTATGTCATCTTATCGTTCATTTTTAGGAAAAATACTAGGATTATGTCGCCATTTTCATGCATCCTGCTGCCATTGAAGTCATTTGCAGGGTTAATGATACTCCATCTGTTCCTTTGGTTGCTGGTGACATACACGACATCAGATGTCCCCTCCATTTTTTTTAATTGCTTTTTTTTTTTTGGTTTTTGGTTGCTTCATTTGGAAATGGAGTTGAAAAGAATCATCCACAATTTTTTTAGGTAGGTGATCGTAATGGACTATTTTAGAAAAAGAAAATAGTTCGATTAAAATTTACATTTCTTAATTTTAGTGAAATTTCGAGAAGGATAATGATTAGTGCAAAGAAAAAATGACAAGGAATTGATCATAGCCATTCATTTTTAAAACTTTCCATTCGGAGTTTAAACATTTAAAATTAGGGTATAATTTTGATGAATGACACATTATTCTTTATAAAGTTTCTTTATAATTTTTCCTTATATCTATCACTACTCTTTCAAGAAATCAATACAATCACACGCACTAATGTATCTTGAGACGTGTTTATACAGTTTTTCTGTATTAGTAAAATACAACCCATTACCAGATGCTATTATAATATCCCCTTACCAGAAGCCTTTCCTTTGAAAGAAGCCACGAAAACAATACAATTAAGGAGGAGTAAATGAAAATGCCGACCCATAATGCCGGCTGAACGCCTCATGAAAATAGTTTTGAGTATTCTCTCAATCGATATAGGTTTATGATAAAGCTTCAAAATTGATTTTTCAATCTAGCTAAAAAGAAATTTCAAAGAAAAAAGATCGAACCAAAATTAGGCATCCCACTTTTAACCAAAAAGAAAGATGTACATGGAGATGCTAACTGCAACTATTATGTACCGGTAATCTCCCTATCCATTTTCATTCTCTTTGCACTCTGAGAATCTGGCAAACCACCGCTAACTCTTTGCGGGGCTGATGGATCATCATGTTGAAATGCACAATTTGCACCATTCCGACAACCCCTTGCAGTGTTGTAATAAATGCAGGGCTTCATTACTTTAGTTTTCAAGTCCCTGGATCTCCCAACAATATTTGGTGAAGGTTCTCTGACTTGTTGTGGGTGTAAATGGTGGTTATTTCTACTACCACCGTATTGTGTCGTTTCTTGAGCCCCATCTCCTCCGTGTCCGTGTTGCTTGATCAGGCTCTTATAGTAGTTTATATCCTTCGTAACGGGTTGGGATGGGGGCCGTACAATATCATGTGCTGCAGGCTGCGGATTTGGGACACCTCCAATTCTGCCTGGTGGAGGGTAGTAAGCTACCCCACTATTAGTTGTTGACATAGGGGCTGCAACATATTCCGGTCTGTTGACATGCCCTGCTCTGCCGACAAGATTGGGAGAAGGCTCGGAAAAGTTAATTCCTGGGGTTATCGGTCTGAGCCTATTTTGCATGCTAGTGACTGGCATATTGTGCGTGGTGCTTGATGCAATATGTGTGTTGTTTGGTGCCACAGATGCAATATGTGAGTTATTTGGTGCCACCAATGGCAAACTCACGCTTGGTACATTGTGGATGCTGGTGGCTGGCACACTCTGCGTCGTGGTGGTGGAGGCAGTTCCGTGATTCTTAACCAACTGCTCAACCATTTTCGGGTCACTGAGAATCTTTATGAGCAACTCGCGGTCAATCAGATTTGCTTGATTGTTGTTTGACATGACAGCACTCAAGGCAGCATTTGCAGCCGATACAACAGCAGGATCCACTCCTGGAATGATCTCGGATGATAGGCCTCCATGGGCAGGGGGAGCATAACGTGAGGAAGAAGCTAAAGATGACTCTGTCTGGGTAGGCAGGCCCATCGGAATTCCAGAATCAAGGTAACCATCTGTAGCTGATGGTGCATCTTCATCTTCAATAGGAGTGATGGGAATAAGAATAGGGGGTTTATCATTTGCAAAAGAATCTTCCAGACCCACTCCATTAGAAGGACTGCATGGAAGTGAAAACAAAAAAAAATCTAAATCATTCTATAACACAGTGGAAAACCAAAATGAATGATTTCACAGGTTTCCAAAACCAACCAACCAACAAAATAAAACACCAAGGAAGAAAGAAATCGCACTCTGGAGGAATAGCAGATTCCCGTGGATAAATTGCCTCAAGCACTTTGTTAACACGATTGTTTTCTCTTTCAAATTCCGTGCTCTCATCCCCAGCCACAACTCTCCAAGCTTCGTCCAAATGAAACTGTAACATGAGAAAGCCAAAAGTTAAAACCAAGAAACGTACATGATTCTTTTCATCATTAACTAACAACTATGATTGAAAAGTCTAGCTCGAGTGGTACATCTCTTCCTCATAATAAAACTTGCAAGCGGACACATTCAAATGATTACTTCACCAACTGAACTCAAAGAGCAGGGATTACTAGCAGCAACCAGTTAGGTAGACCCAAATTTATAAACACAAAATCACGTGTCTATAACTTTAACGACTTAAGAGATACTGTTCTTCAAAACTCAAATTCCAGGAGAAACCAAAAATCTTACAAAAACTCAGTACTCCTGAGACATTCAGTTGTATTCATAATAATACCGAATTTCAACAAAAATCAGTAGAACAAGTTCCAATAAGCTCAATAAGAAATCTGACAGGTCCAAAGTGTCCATACAGACAAAGGCTTGAAAAAAACAGACATATAATTCCATCTCCTCCCCCATTTATTCTGGTCCACTTCTAACTAACACTTATATCACTAACATATCACTTGGGGCGGGGTGGGTGGTGGGCATTGGGATGAGAAAACTAATCATTCATCTGTAACTATATATGGTTGTTCCCCTCTCATGAAACTGGCACACCAGATCAATCATCCATCACAAATGTAGCAAAAAAAAAAAAAAACTTGACAGAGAATAGTAATATTTCTGCTCCATGGCATAATAATGATGTAGCAAAAAAAAACCTGACAGGGAATGGTAATATTTCTGCACCAGGGCATAATAATCACACAATCGGACATGTAAAATAAGTTCCTGATACAGTTTCTCGGTTCTCCATTCAGATGCTCATAACAAGAAAATATAGCAGTATTAGTGAGGAAAAGTAACTAACTCTTGGAGGACAACGCCATTTTATGAGAGGTATTTGAGGCAATTTATTCCACAAGTTGTTTGCAGGTTGTGTTCCTTCAAAACCAGGTGGCAAATTCTCATCAGACACCAAGGAATTTGAATTTAATGGCCATATCTTTGCTTGGAGGTGATCCTGAGAACCAAAACCTACTTGTGCAGGCGATTCTTCTGACAAAAACAGCCTCACCTATGAGAGAGACATGTAAAATGTATCACAAACATTGATAAAATCAATATTATTATTTTTTTTTTTCAGTTGAAATAAGCATGACATATATATAAGCTTAATAGATTCTCTAGGTTGCGCAAACAGTATGAAACATGAAGAACAGGTAAAGAAAAACACAACTTCAAGCAGAATCATATAGGTCCTAAACAAAATATAATCAACCGGATCAAATACAAAATACAATCCCAAAAACCAGAAAGAGCTAAATTGTCCCTTTATCATTACAATAAAAATTCAAATCTGTGAGAGATCAAACAGGCTTGGGTGTAAAATGTATTCATTCAGTGCTCTAGTTCAAATCCAAAATCTACTCCCAGATTCTGGAGAGTTACAAAGCAGAAATGTTCTGCTTTAAGATAAGCACAATTTTATCCTATTTCTCCGCTCCAAACTACCCGGCCATACATCTACAAATGCCATAAAGGAATGGCATGGACGAACAAAACAAGTCATCTAAAAGTTCACACAACCAGCATCTACCTCTAACCTTAACAAAAGGTGAGAAACCAGCTCCCTCCTCATGAATGGATGGAAGTGCTAGTGCAACAATAGGTACAAGTGGCCAAAGCATAGCCGAGTATCCATCATAGAAGAACAACTTCCAAACAGAAGAAACTAAAAGGATTTACATACACACAAAAGAGTCCTTATACTGTTACAGAATGGAATAAACAGCACAGTGAAGATTATCTTATAGCTTAAAAGCCATGAATATGGAACTTTACAAAGCACGCTAATTTCTACATTAGTGCCGCCGGCATTATGAACCAACTGAACAAGACATATCTAAACCCAAACCTCGAAAGGCAAAAGTAAATCTCCCAGGTACTCCACATCATCTTCGTTAGTAACCCCAAACAACTATAACACTAGATACTTTGATCATTATCCAATGGCAATCAGCACCCATTTTCACTCTCTGTCTTGATTATGGATGTCTTCATCCTAGTGAAATGCCGATTGAAAATTTCCTAAAAGTATAGTTCAACAAAGACTCTGACCTACACACACCTCCTTAAGCTCATAATAATTCAGGTCAAGCAGTTTCCAATGACCAACAAGCTTCACCATTCATTGAACTCCTACTGGGTCACAGAAAGATCTTAACCCATGTGAAAATAAACACATATGAACAAGGAAAACAGATATATACTCGCATTATATTAGAAAACCGCAGCATTTGCTTTTGCAACTAAAATCTTATTATTGCCTGAAACGAAAATAAGCTGCTGCAGCACTTCCAAAATTTTATGATACTAGGAGACCACAGATGTGGGACTTGTTACTTTATATATGCGTTGCTCCTGAGCAAAAGAGAACTAAATTCTACATGACCTACCATTACAAGTAACTGCCAACAAAGGGTAATACCAAATCAATTGGATAATTTCCAAAATGTAGTGGCAGAACGATTTTGCATCATCCACCAGGAAGGGATTCCTTTTCTTTCAGGATAGATTAGATATAACGGCAGCTTTATGAGGCCCCATAACATCTATGTAAACACACATAGATTGTAGCAGGTGAGCAGCATGTTGTTGTCTACATCACTAACAACTAAACCCCGTTGTATCTCAGTTTCATTATTAATGTAAGAACCTGAAGGCCATTGTAGCCGTGCAAAAAGCCGAAATAATTTCTCAACCCATTATAAAAGTCCAGATTCCATTAAGATAAAGCTATCTAAGACTTCTTCAAAATTTCAATTTAAGCAAGTAGATTGAATGGCTTCCGAAGTCAAATTCACATCAGCATTTTAGTATGTATCCTTTTCAAATTAATATACTTGCGCGCTCAATTCTTAAGCAATCAAAGTTCTGTGTTACCTTTTTTTAATTTATTTTGCAATTAATCTTTTTTTCTGAATTCAAACTTGTAAAATGCAGAAACTCATTCCGGGAAGCAATGCCGTTAAGCACGCTGCAAAACCCAGGGCATTCAATAGATTTCTTCTCCCAAAATCACTGAAACCTTTGTCATTCATACTGTTTCCCAGTACAACTAAAACCCCTTTTCGGGGGTTAAAATTAAAAATAAAATAAAATTAGAAGAAGCAAATCGATTTCAGAACACGGTTTTGCGGAAGAATTTGTCTTCCTTTCACTTTAACTGAAACTTTTATTCATTGAGTAAAAGGAAAACAAACAAATTGCATGAAGTAATTAAGGATTTTTAACAAGCATTTACCTGACAAAGATTATCATCTGAAGGCCAACTAACCCTTTTTGATTTCTGCGATCCTCCCATTATTACATAAGAAACAAATAGTTCGAATCCAGTAGTTTATAGGGAGGGGTGGGATTATATTAACAATCTCAATAGTCCAAATCGCCGCCTTTTGATATCCAATTGATGAAAAACCGTTTTATATATATATAAAAAAAAAACCCCTAATTTCCCTTCACCGTTTTTGAGTCTTGACAGAGACCGATTATCATCAACAAACCAAAAAAAAAAAAAGAAAAAAAATTATAAAATTGAAAACAATACTAAACCTGCCGCCGAAGTCAAGAGGAAGAGAGATAAGGCGGGGGGAGAGAACCGGAGGAAGGGAATGGACAGATCTAAGGGTAACCTAAACAGCAACCCTAAGTCCTTTTAAAAAATGTTTCTCGCCGGGTTTGTTTTTCTGCACAATTTGGATTTATTTAAACTGGAAAAATCCACAATTGGATTTAGGTGGAACGTTCCAAATTATAATTTTATTTTATTTTTTTAAAAAAAAAAAGCCTAACTCCTTTAATAATTGTAATGACACCCAATCTTTTTATTCTTTTTATTTTCTGGAAAAAAATCGCTGGAGGTTTCAACTTTCAATATTCCTTAGGCATTATAATTTAAAATTTCTGTTAAGGGCTCCAAACTCTTTTAATATGTAAAAAAATATATTGTTAATGACAATTTTGACCCTTTTCTAAAACATACTGTAGTAACTAATTAATGTTACACATTATATTTTCCTCTTTTGAACCTATAATCATCTACATTTCTCAATCATCACATAATATTTCACCTTTTTTATAGTAACTTAATCATCTGTAATATTTTATCACTTTTTCCCTTATTTTTTTTATAGTAACAATAACTAATTACAATAATCTTCATCATATTTACTAGAGTGTTATTATCGTAAAATAGAGCCTTACTTTTTTTAAAAAAAAAAAAACAGATTTAGCTGTTATTTTTTATAATTTTATATGAAATATTTTTCAACTAATAGCGGGATAAATATATTATATCATGGCTCGCAGCAAAACGTAAGAATTTTTTTATTAAGGTTTTTTTTTACATGGATCCTTTAAATTCGATGTAATAGAGTAACACTGAATGTATCATCCCATCAGCGAAATGTTGCATTCCAGATGTCCACTAACTGCTGATCATGTTTTTGATTGAGCTAAAAGGTGTTCATTAATGTTGGATGCAGATTTCTTAGAACTACTCTTGAGATATTGAAAAAAAAAAATTTAGGGTTGATTTTCATGAGGTTCTACGATTTGTTAAAAAAAGATTCCCTTCTTTTTTATTAGTCTAACACTTGAGGAATAGAAATAGAATTACCATTATAAACTTGTCATCAACAATAAATTTTATATATTGAGTTTTATTTTGAAATCCATAGTACTGGTAATAAATATTGATACTCTCTCCTTCTTCTTAATATGTATATATATATTTTTTTGGGGGGCGGACTTGATCAACACATATAAAATCTTGGGTAGTTTTGTAATTTTGTATGATTTTTGACAAATAAGAGTTAGTAATATTACGCTGACCAACCCACATTATGAGCTAAGATAGACAAAAATGGCCGATACTAGTTCACAGTATCCTTCTTAAATTAGTCTTTGATAATAGTTTGGGCTCGATTGTCTTGATTAGATGTACCATTACCTTTCACAAATGAAAGAGTCATTTGAGAGGCTCTAATAATCATTCTTCCTAAACAAAGTTGACGACCCTTCGCCGTTTGATCCTGCATCTCAGTTAGAGTATCGTTCTTCTGGCCATTTATTTTGATCACCGTATTTCCTAGTACTTACATTTGTGCTATTATCCACACCATCCTTCCTATGTCCTTCAAAAGGTTGTGCTTTCTCCGCCCAAAATGACTGGAGTACAAGTATTAGAAGAGGGACAAGCCGCCTCAATCTGGCCTAATTTTGAGACTTCGACGGCATCCTTTGAAAATTCTTGGTGTTAGTTTTATTACCGAGTGCGTAAGTAGTGATGACACTTCACATTCAGCAAGTAAATAATTCCTCAATTAATCAATTAACTAAAAGAATAGAACCAGAGATCAGGCCAGCCAGAGGAGAAAAAGCAGCCAACTCTTCTAGTAAATATCTCTACAGTCAAGATCACAAACAATACAACAGGGGGGCATTACAAAAGAATTCCTGGGGATAATAAATCATCACTTCGTATGGCCGGGGTAACAAAAACACAAATGTTTTCTTTTTTAATTTACATGAAACCAGGGGGGGAAGTAGAAATAGCAAGCATCATCACCACTCCTAGTATAGACTAAAAAGCAAAAACACTAGAGCAATCACCCATATCACCAACAATCAGTTTAGTCAAATCTGCAGAAAATCATCCAAAAGGCCATTTTAAGCATCACACGTCAGGTACGGTACATGTTCATCTCCTCCACTTCCTCTCTGAAATTATTAGACACTCAACGTAAGATTAAAAAAAAACACGTAAAGCAAACATCGACTGCAGTCAATGTCGAAACAAGTCATAACCATTTAATGATAAAAGAAAATCCAAGCCTATTGAGTGAGCTCTTTAAATTGGAAATCCCCACATAAAGTGGTGACATTGAATAAAAGGAAACAATATTACGAACTCATTTTCACAGACAAGGTATAAAGCCTACTCTGTTTTACCTTGAGGAGATTGAGTTTCGCTTCCCTTTGCGCCCTGCTGCTGTGCTCGAATAACACGGGGTGACCCTTGTCTTGTACTTGCACCAGGTAGGGAGTGCCTTTTTCTGATGAGCAAGTCCTTGTCTTGCATGTCAGGACTTGATCTTGGGGAGTTATTGGGAAGTGCTTTCGCTCTGGCTGATTCTGTTGCTTGCATATAGCTTGGCAGAGAATTGCTACTACTGCTATCTCTTGGCTCTTGATTATCACTTTGATCAGTTTTAGTTGAGCCAAAGGAGTTGCGGCGTTTCCCATTTTTATGTTCTGAACTATTCCTGGCACCATGATCATGATCAGTATCCAAGCGGGACTCTTTGCCATTGGATAAACTTTTTCGGATAGATCCATTCTTGGCGCTCTTCTTTTTCTTAGACTTTATTGACACCTGACTGGACGGCGTTCCTTCGGAATCTGCAACAGTTACACGGCTAATTGGAGATGCTTCAGGTGATAATCTTCTAACTGGATGGCTTGTCTCAATTTCCTCCTCCATGTGAACTTCAGTAGTAGTGGAAGTGGTAACTGGCTTTTGCTCTGCCTCAGAGGAATCACCGTCCACATTGGTGAGCTTCCTCTTAGCGACAACATTGCTGTCATCTACCTCATGAACAATTGAATCAGAATAAGATGAATCCACATGCTCGCCATTAGCAACAACAGTACTGTCATCCATCTCCTGAACAATTGAATTTGAGTTGGATGAATCACCCTCCAAAATTGTGGACTCAATCTTTTCCTCCATCTTTTCCTGCACATTTGAGTTAATATCATTCTTCAGATTGTCAGCTACCTCATCCATACTTTTTGCTTCGAGCACGGATTCAACTACTCCAGCCTCAGATCTATCTGGAGAATCAAGTGTGGAAGAAATCGAGAGTTCAGTCCCACATTCGGAACCATTAACTTGACCCGCAAAATTGTGGGAAAGAGAACTCTCAGCATGATCAAGTTCACTTTCCCTGGATGTATTGTTATTTACTGGTAACTCCGTGTCCAAAGAAGAATCCACACTGATTTCTACATTTGATGAACCAACTGACTTCGAGTTACTTAGATTAGCAACTGAACTCAATTCTTCAAACTTTGTTTGGGCTGCAACAAAAGCAGGATTGCTGGCCTTTCTAGATCCTGTTGAAGAATTATTTCCATTCATTTCAGATTCTTCAGTTTCAGTGGTCTCTACAGAAGGTATATTCTGTTTGTCATCTGTTTCAAGTTCTTCAGTGTCATGAGTCGCCAGAGTCGATATATTCTGCTTGTTATCCATTTCCAACAGAACATTAAAGGATTCAGGCTCTGTGTCTAATTCCTTAGCATGACCAGTAGATAAATCTTCAACTCTAGATTTTGCTTCACTAATGCTATGAGTATCAAACTGATCATCGCATGTTACCACTGAGTGTTGGGGTTCCTGTATTTTGTACTCGTCTACTTCAAAGGTGATCACATTTTCAACAGATTCCAAAGGCACTGGTAATGCGTCAACAAAGACCTCATCCCTCGATTGGCTATTTTCTGGAGACGAAATTACAGCATCCAAACAGTTGTCCGCTTCCTCAATGTTGTCCTTCGATTGTTGCTTAACAGTTCGTTCAAGCTCATGCGACTGTCCACTTTCGGTTGGTGAGTCTGACATCCATCTTTCCAGCCACCTCCAGGCTGAGTCTGGCTTTGAAGGATCGCACTTGATAGTGATAGCTTTAGCCTTCGGTGTTGATTCCAAAAGCTTGATACAGCCAGAACATATCAATAAAACAGATAGTGGTGAAATGACAAAAGTAAGATGAAAAAGGTAATAGTATCAGATTTTACCTGTCGAGCAAATGCATTACTCAGCAGCTTCTGAGTGGACGTTGACGTAGTACCTGGTTTGGGAACTGTAGTTTCCTTCCCCTGAACAAAAAAAAAACTCAACTTAAAAAAAACGAAAAACAATTTATATTACAATAACCAGCATATACACAACCATCCCCAACATTTTCCCAGACATATAATGTGCTGAGGTTTCGTAAAGTTCAGTGTCACTCCAAGGACAACAAAAGCCCAATTTGTACAATACAGAAAACTAAAACCATGGTTCGATAAACACCAATGCTTCACATTATTGTCAAATGAAACAGATGCGATAAAAGGACTCCACAAGACCAACCACATCAACAATCCACAACAAATCTGAGACTTGATGAATGAAGAATAAAAAGAGAAACAAGACTTCTTTAGTAACCGCGAAAGAGAAGTCCAACCATGTTAAACCATTACTATCTTTACTTTTCTGCTTACCTCTTCTTTGGTGCTTGACTCATCGAAAAGCAACCGAGCACGGCGCTCTCGAACAAGATGTTGCATCTTAACAATGGCTTGAACACACCGAAGACTTCCCACAGCATGCCTCCTGACAATGTGTCCACGGACAGCGGCTTGTAATTTAATAACATTCTTATGTTTCACAAAGTTTCTTTGGGCCTGGAATAGAGTATCAACATATGCAGAATGAAAATCAGCAACTATGTTCCATCACCATATCAAAAAACTTCTCCAGATGATAATGATCTCACCAGAAATCTCCGAATAGCAGCTTGAATGATAATTATACTTTCTTCATCTACCCTGTCATCAGCCTTTTTATCATCCTCAGCCACAACAGTTTCAGTCTTCTCAGGCAATTTTGACTCCACAGGAATTTGCAGCTGGGGTTTCTCATCCGACCATTGAACAACCGAGTTTTTCTCAGGTGTAGTAGAGCTACCTTGAGTAGGGAACCCACCAATGGCAGAATCTGAACTGGCCTTGTTCCCAGAAGGTGCTTCTGAGGTAACAGAGTTATTCAGGACTCGATGTCTTGCAGACCTTTTGCGAAAACTCCATCTACTTCTATCACTTGAGCCCTTAGTCTACATTGAGAACATTATCAGAAAAAGTTATATGGATTAGAAAAGGACATAAAAAGGAATTGAGCTCATTCTCACCAAAAGGCCCATTTATTTTCAGAAACATAATTAAAAGAAGAGGGGAAAAAAAGACCGAAAAGCTAATAACATAAACTGATCAATACTTTTAATCCATTCAGTTTCCATAAAATATGTGCTCTGGAATACATGGACACAGGTCTGTTTAAGAAAGGATCATATTGATCAAAATTTCCGAAAGTAGAAACTGAGTCATTTTCAACATCAAAATTTAGTCCTTAGAAGATTCGAACTGAGTGCCATAGCAATCAAGCTACAAAACAGATAAAACTAAATACTAAATGAAATCAAGACATTCCATTTCCAGGCTTCTGAGTTTAAAAGAGAAAAGTCTCATCCAAAAAAGCAAGCATACTCAGAAGAGTAAGAAAAAGACATCGAAATGCAAGAGATCCGCATAAAGTGAAATCGCAAAACCATGATAAAGTTGTTCTAGAGCATGTAATCCCAATGGATCTTCAGGAAACTAATATCCACAACACCTAAATCACATCTCTTTATTAGACATCGGACAATTATATTAGCCGGTAACTCAACTTCCGAACTTAACTCCCAGCTAAATTAACAAATTATCATAGCACAATAGAAATTCATCAACCTGAACTGACGAAACAACCTAAGCACGCAAATTTACAAAATACGAAAATCGGAACAAATTAAATCACATTCATTCAGCTTCTCTCCAGCTCATCATCCTCCTCCGATCAATGAAAATAAAGATCGTGGCTTCTCTCTTCCATTTGCGTTTTTATAATAAAACTGCAAATAAAAAAAGTGCCTAAATATCATCATAGAGATAAGTTTTTGAAATATACCTCGGACACAGCTTCGAGATCATCCCGGTCGACGGATTCATCGCCGCCGCCGCAAGCGATTAGCTTCAAACACGACGTCGTGCCGCTAGATCTTCCCATTTTTTCCCCTCTGTCTCTCTCTCTTTCTCTCTCTCTCTCTCTCTCTCACACACACACACACTGAGTCTTATTGTAGTCAAGAGTCTAATTCAAAAACTGTTGTCGTTGGAAATTGTGTACCCCCGAAACACGAACAATGGGAGGGCAGGATGTGGGAGGGGGAGTGGGGAGTAATACTAGTAGTGTAATATTATTAGTTCTTTTTAGCTTTTTTTTAGGGGAGACGGACGTCAACACAATCTTGGAATGTAGTTAAACTTTGCGTTACGAGTCCGTCTCATTTCAACTCCGTTTTTTTTTTCTCTTTCTTTGCTCCGTCTTACTATCCGTTGAGATTTGAAGCCCCGGTGAAAGAAAGAAAGGCAAAATGAGAGAGACAGGATGGAGCTGTTGGGTTATCCGGGTTTTGGATTTCTTTAACCCGTTAGCGTGGACCCGTTCTTATTTCACAGCGAAAAAGGTGTCAGATCTTTTTCTTTTCCACTGTCTATATTTCATTTATTTATTAATCCAAAAGCCATTTGTTATTTTGTTTAGATAAGGATATAGATCTTTTTTAGAAAAAAAAATATATATATTACAGGTTAGATTATAATACTGTACTAATAAAGATAAAATAAGGTATAATTAGAGAATAGTAGTAATAAGACTAATACAGCTTTCTTAATCACGAGGATATGGCTGTTCTTTGTCTTCATCTCGTGACGAAACGGTGGACAGACAAAAACATAAAGTAGTACTAGTAGTACCAGTAATACTGACTTTTTTTCCCTCCTCATTATTGCATATGTCTTTAATTATGTATGCTTCACTTCAGTTTTGTAATAATTGTGTTTAATCTGGTGGTTAGTTGCCCAACTTGCAATGCCTAAAACTTGTTTCTCTTTTTGTCATTTTCTCGGTTAGTAACTGTGACCGATGATTTCCGAAGTTAAAACTCTCTTTTTGGAGTTTGTTGGTGATTTTCAAGAACATAAACTTATACGGGCAGTTATGCTAATTTGATTTTGATTGACTCGAGATCTGGCTTTGATACTGGAGAAATAGAGAATACTAATACTACTACAGCTTGATGAGGGACGATGCGAGTCATGCGCCGCCCCCGTTTCATTGCTTGCTCTTTAATCACACTTGTCTATCCTGATGAGTTTAAAAGCGTTTCGAAATATTGTTCGATATTTTTCGCATTATACTAAGTAAATTTTGATATCTGTTTTACTCATTTACATACAAATGATTTTCACAAATAGTAAGTGAATTCAATGTAATCAAGCTGTTTGTATCAAATTTGAAGAGTGATTTACGAATTGTTGTAACAATAAAGTGTGATAAATTATCGTGGACCTAACGTTATATATATTATGTATGGTAATAATGTGTATAATGATGGAACAACATGTATGTTTAAGAATTTGTTAACCATTTCCAACTAATAAGCCAAAAATTTTATTAAGAGGAATAAGGACCAACTATGTTGGGTAAATGGAGAAATTATATCACTCATCAATAATGTATCTCGCAAGTAAGTATAGATTAGTGAAACTGGAATGTGTCAAACACTCTTTTATACTCTCTCGTTTTTGAAATTATTGTCAAACTTTCATTTTTAGTTTAAATTGTATTAAAAATGAAATTTTAAACTGGATAAAAAATTTGGGACGTAAGGAATATATATGATATGAGAAAGTAGTAATTTGAATTTTAAAAAAAAAATAAAATTGTTACACATAAGGGTTTCAAATGAGAGGATACGCGCCCACATTAGTGACATGTATACGTGCTTAAGAGGTGACTTGAAGGTCTAATAATCAGGGTATAATCTCCTTGATCACCACCTTAATAATAAAGGTTGGAGTTGATACAGCAAGACGGAGACATTCTACAAAGAGTGTCATTTTTCATTATTATATTCTAAATTTAGGTGTTTAGATATAATTGGCCTAGTGTTTGACTGCGAATTGCAATCATCATTAAGACGTACAGCCAAGCTTGTAAACATGAACATGGGTCCTTCCCTAATCATGTCGACCTAATTGAGGTTATGGGATTGTACCCAACACCATTACCTGTTGACCAGACCACCGATCACATAATTTACCCCAAATGTTAGCATAATAATATAGTTATAAATATTGCATAATCTTTCATGATTTGTGACTGGTGAGACAAAAAAAGTTATCGCATATAGAAAAGAAGAATAAAAAGGTGGCACTATTTATAGACGGAATAAGTTTTATTAGTCCGTTGGTTTAACTTAATTCAAATATGTCGTTATTCATTTTACAGAATATTTATTTTTCCGTATATTTCATCAAACATTCATCGATAAATTAAACTATGTACTCTTTTTGTTCCAAAATTATTGTTCAATTTGAGATTTTACTTTTAGTACAATTTAAATTAGAAATAAAAATTCAAATTGAACAATAATTATGGGATGGGAGAGTATTTCTTTTTTCCCTTGACAAATAGAAAGTATACCGGGTTACATATTTTTCCCCCTCCGAATCTCATCATTAATCAATAATAAGTGATAATTAATCATACATATTATATATCGGGATTAGGAGGTCATATTGGGCCCTATAGGGAGGACCACGCATGTGAGGTGAATAGAGGAAAATGAGAATCATGGCCTCTAGGTCAGGTAAACCTTCTTTTTTTTTCTTTTTTTTTTCATTTTTGGGAATGTCCCATTAAAAGAATAACTAAATAAAAACAAATATTACTAGTTCTCTAAATGTAACTGTGAACATGACATACAGTATATCATTCTAATACTTTTTTTAAGAAAAAAATTTAATACAACAAAGACGCAAACGAATCTATGTTGACTCTTGTGATAATTTCATGAAACTAAAGGGTCGAGGTACGCAATTATCTGTGATCTTTTTTAGCAGAATACGAGTACTTTCTTCCACGGAGTTGGATTAAGCTACGTTGTTGGATTTTGGATTTGGGGTGTATATGATAATACAATATTCCCAACTTCAAATTGACAGCCAGTTTTGTCGTGAATGGCACGTGGCATCCGCAGAATGACGACGCGTCAGCGGAGGAGCACATGAGTTCTGGGGACTAATGCGATGCCGCATGTCATGTCAGATCTGCTCTGATGAGTGAAACTGGAGGAGGCCGCCATTATACGAAATTATACTATCATCAGGGGGGACCCACTCTGGATTCCACCAGTGGATTCCCCTCTTTTTTATTAGTATTAAACAAAAAAAAAAAAAAGAGTTGTACAAATACGAATATACGATGATGAATTTCTACAAAAATTGGAAGGAATAATGTCGTTAAATTTAAACTATCCACGTAATTTTAAATAGGTTTATTTTCGGTGATGATATACATTTTCCTGTAGGCTACTTCTTTCCCTCTCTCTTGGAGATTTTAGGAGGGAATTACGAAATTTATTAGACACGAAAAAATAAAAGAAAGAAAAAGAGTACAAATGGTCAATAATCTACCGGTGATTTTAAAACTTATATTCTGCTGGTTGCCCAGAAAAGAAAAGATAGTTGGTCCTTGCCTACTCTACTCCTTTGGCTTTTAGTCAGTAGTCTCGTTGAATTAGTGAAAACGACGCCGCGAGACGAGATGTCGATTCCAGCTGACGGACTACCACAAATCTCTGTTTTTAGGTTTGAAGGTTGACAGACATGGGGATTGGGGCGGATACATTTTACTTAAAAAAAAAAGAAAAGAATGAATCAATGCATCATTCTAATGCTGCTCCTCAGTGTTCATCATGTGGGTGATGATTGATGGCCACCCAGGCAACCAAGCTCAATTTGATTCGTTTTCTCTAATTAAATTACTTCCGTCACACAACAATAGTCTATTTTATTGTGTCTTTTTGACGTAATAAAATAAATTATTGATATGTATGAAGAGAATATATGTGTTTTTTTTTTAAAAAAAAAAATTAAGATACCTTCATCATTTTCAAAATCATTACTAGTCATAAAGGAATTTTGGTCGCCCAATTTGTTGGCATTGTGTTTCCTAAACTATTTCGATCGTTCAATGCGTGTAATTTCGTTTGCAGTATGATTTAGTTCAAGTAATAAGACTTTTGAGAAGGGGAACAGAAAACAAAAGAAAAAATTGTGAATTTTACAAGTCACTAAAGATGAAAGTATCCCTTGACCTTTTATTTTTATGTGGCATCTTTAGGGCATTACATCAATTAACCAATTATATTAACGGGTTATTGTGAGATATCTATCACATTGAAGTGGACTTTAGAAAGGACGGATAGGGTTAGGTTGGGGGAGTTCCTTATAAGGCAAATTGTCATAATGAAGAGGCCTTTGCTAGTAATTACTCAATGCCAGGAGGAGATACTCAGTATTATCAAGCTATTAGGTACAACCACACCAAATTTGTCATTGTCAAAAGACTATTTTACGAGCTCCGTTTTGATTTTTCAGGACTAATGTTGTTGTGGTGGAGCCTTAGTCACATGGAAGAACCCTCCAATTATTGAAAACATGCACCGATTTTTCTCCTTTTAAACCAGACATTGTCGTCGTAGACTTGAACAAACATTTTTATTTTACGACCAGTAACATGGCTGATTAAAAAAAAACCCACGTACTAAAGAAGTGTTACGTTCATATCGTAAAAATAATATTGATACCTACAAGCTGTCAGCAGTACTCGGGCCACTTTCCTGGCTTTCCACTCATCCCAGTATAAAGCAAAGTAATTGTCAGGCTACTTGGTCAATATTAGAAACAGAAGCAGAATGAGTAATGTTAGGATACTTTTCCTACGCAATTGAAAAGATAATAGCATACAAAGCTACGACTTAGATGGGGTGAATAAGTAGATTCAAGGGACCTAATTTTCCTACCAAATGATCGTTCTGATACATTAGGGAAACAATAACACCGGGAATTGGGGATGAAAGAAGAAGAAAAAGAAAAGAATCGATACTCAGAAAGCAATGACAATACAGCTCTCAAATCCCGACAAGGATGGAGAACACATTCCACACGGATTAACAACAAAATTTCTACCATCCATAGAGAAATTTCAGGTCATGACTTTCGGGGACGACCCCTTTTCCCTGAATTAGGAGTGCTCTTAGGAGTTTTGTTGGCTGATGGAGGACGACCCCTCCCGCGACCACCACCTTTGACATTCTGCTGTTTTTTGCCTTTTGCCTGCCCGTTCACATGTCCATCCTCCCGATCACCATCTTCACTGTCTTCCCCATTATCTTCCGACTCTGATGAATTTTTCCTCTTACTTGAGCTTGTGGAACCCTTTTTTGCAGGTTTCGGAGCAGGGATATTATTCTGTGGCTCTTCAGGCGCTGCACCAAGAAACACTTTTTAGTTACAAGTACATGAAAGATTCTCTCAAGTGTCATCCTCAGTTATTTTATCATGTAATAAGAACGGTGAAATGAACAATGTCACACTCAACCTCTCCCAACAAGTTGCTGAACAAGCATATTTAAGAAAGAACCAATGTTCTTTGACATTTATAGTGTGTTACCTTCAACAGAATCTTTGCCATCATATACATCAAGCTGCCAAGGCAAACCAAAAGGATTAGACTCCAATATCAAAAAACACAATGAAACTTTTTTCAAGAAACTTCAGCAGAAAATGAAGAAAAAGGATATGACCAACACAAAACAGAGACTCAAAACATTTACAGCAATCATGTACACAGAATTTACAGTTCACACTCATTTAAAGATACTTGTCAGACTCTTTTTCAGCTGACTGTGAATTACCAACTTTGGCAAAACACTACACTACTATCTAAAATGTGAGAGTCCCTATGGATGCTGTTCCATGCTCAAACCATACACTGGTAATTGCTATTTTGGAACAACATACTCCTTTTAACAATACATTCTTAAAAACGATCCCTTAAGAAGTTACGATGTACCTCTTGGTTCCTTATTCGAGACCAATTTGGGAACTAAAAGAAGTTAAAAAGAGCAAACATGCAAAATCAATTCTGCTGTTCCTGGCACTCAGACCATTGGACTCCATTTAACTCTATATTCTTAAAACGATTCCTCAAAGAAGTTAAAGTGTACTTTTTGGTTCTTGATTGGAAATGAATTTGGGGAAAAGAAGTTAAAGAGTGACATGCAAATTCAAGCAGTCTTCATTTAAGTGCCCTGATATTCAGGTATTTTGTAGTTTCCAATTGTAACCCATGTAAATGTGTGCCAAACCCAGGTGGGATAGTATAAATAAAGGGATGAAGAAACAGAAAATAGTTCCATAGTCCATAAAATTACCTGATCGATTCGTTCAGCAGCGTCAGTTCTGTCAACTACTACCATTGAGTGGGCAAATCCACAGGCAACACTAAAAGTATGGCAGAATGGTGAAGAAAATTACTCTTACGATAGGTTCCATTAAAAAGAAAATAGACGAGGAAAAGGAAATATAAACACTTTCAGGTGAATACCAACCTCATAACGTGCATGCCCTCCAGAATGTCCACCTTTTTTGGAATTGCAGAGGATCTGCAAATAACAAGAAGGGTAACCAACAGAAACAAATGCCAATGAAATAAAAATATAATGCAAAAGAAAATTTGTCAATACTTTTGCCCATTGGGCCCATATCCCAGCTCCCCTGATTGCGCGTGGCCCCAACTTATACATGAGCGATCAGCACCAACAAAATGATGCAAAGCACCAGAATCCATACATCGTAGATGCCATCCACTGCAGAATTCATCAAAGAAAAAGGCAAAAAACTTGCATCAATCTTTAACTTCTATAGCTTGCGTCAAAACAAAAAAAAAGAGAGAAAAGAAGAAGAAGAAGAAGAAGAAGAAGAAAAGAAAAGAAGATGCACAAGCAACTATGAAACAATTCGCAAATTATGATAAGATGGAACAAAACTCAAAAGAATGTTTGGAAAAGAAAGAACGCATTTCTAGGAGTGTGTGCACTCAGACACAAGTGACCAATAATCTTCGAGACAAAAAGAAATGTCAAGACTCCAGATGAAACTAAACCCATAACTAGTGTTGTTTACTTCAAAGAGCCAATGATAAGAAGCCATATTCATCGGAAGGAAACAATAACAGAACATAGAAAATATACAGGACACAAAGATTACCTTAAATCCAAAAGCGGCTTAGGATACATCAAGTCATCCCCTGCATTCTTTATTTTGCCCCACATATAAAGCTGTCCTCCTCCTGGAAAATTTTAAACCGCAAGTATTTTACAAGTGCAGACATAAAGTCCTTGTTTTGCCTCAAAAACTAGCACAAGATTGTTTTAAACACATGCAAAATAAAGCATTTAGTTTTGGACTTTTTACTTCATTACTGAAAAACTTGGAATGTGCAAATGTAATTTGACAGTTATCATCACATCATCTCAAGTTATTAGCATTACGCATGCAAAAGGGACACCATATCCAAGTGCATTCTTATATCCAGATAACCTTCTTTCAGGCCCATGATAACAAACCAAATCTTAGAAAGAACAGGAATGCAAATTCCAATGAACTACTTTGAAAATTTACTCAAGGTTACCTCACCCATGAGAGTTTAGAAATTCTATATTCGATGATTTTTTTCAAAGAGAAAGATAATGAAGTTGCTAATTGCATAGTACATTTTCAAAGCTAAATGCCGGAAATCATATCTTAGAAAAACCAACAGCAAAACATTCCTGTCAAATCATAAAGTATCACATCACAGTAACAGGCAAACAGCAGTGAAAATTTCGTACCAGCTGTACATGCAGAATTCACAGAACCAGCTGATACGACAGCATCAGGGGGCAGAACATTCTGTCTGGTGAAAACATCAACACGACGGGGCGACCACTCATCTTTCTGCTCTCGATGACCAAGTCTGCAATCACCAAACCAGCAAAACTTACAATGAAATCATGAAGACCAGTATACAATGATGTCAAGGGGCATCAAAAGTGTATTTAGAATATTCACCTTCCGTAACCACCAAATCCCCACCTGAAAGTTCCAGAAAACACTAAAAAAAGTAAGTTCAAATATATGCAACAGCCAATGAATGTAAAAAACTACACACAATAAGACAGATGTAACTTACGTGTACACATAACCATTCTTATCTACCGCAACTGCAATCATTAACACTGAAGTTAGAAAATGTCGCATGCAATATGCACCAGTAACCTGTGAGATCACAACTCTTTTGTACAAAAACAGATGGTATCAAAACGATGTTGTCAACCTGTATGATTTGCTCCACAGGCAACTTTAACTATGGTTTCTCCCGATAGTGAAGCTATTGCTCTAGGCCGTGGTTGAGCTTCATAAGCAAGCTTGACAGAGCTGTCCTTAGTATTATACTGAGAAAAAAAAAAAAAAATCTTTTCTCAAAAATCAAGCCAAAAGCACATATACAGATAAGGAAAATCATCAACTGAAGTGACAATGTTTCTCAAGAAAACAAGATAACATCAAAAGGAACAATGCTGTCTATCAGATCTCTGTGTTTCTATCGGGGTTCCACAATATGACAAGCTTTTTGGCACAGCTAATTTCAAATTTAGGCATAAGGACCACATCACCAGCGACAGTCAGGGGGTTAAAGAATATTTCAAGTGTGCCAGAAAGAAGTCCTTGCTAATCTTAGTCTTATCTCTATGCTCATTCAGGAACAAAAGATTGAAAGAACATGCTAAACTCATACCTCATTATCAGTACCATGACCAAGCTGACCATACTGTGGAAGACCAGCAGTTCTAAAGAAACATCAGATAGCTTGTGAGTTACTGAAATCATCAAAGAGTTGCTTCAAGCATATACATTAAAATAAACACTTGCTTGTGCACATGAATAGTTATAGCAGGAAAACCAAACCATACAGTATAGATGCTCCTTCCACAGAAGTTAACCACACGGTAAAATCACCTCCACAGGCAGTAGCTCTGGCATCGGATACAAGACAGCGAACAGGGGAAGGTTCAATCTCTACAACAAGAAAAAAAATTGGCAAGATTTTCATTTTCTTGTAATTCATTTGTAAGATTAATAGACCCGAACGTAATCTCTATACACAGCAACAAGTTTGCAAGTAAGATTCAGCCTCAATGCAAAAAGTACATTTTACAAAACCACTGCATTTCATTCAAGATAATAACCATAGAAAGGAAGTCATACAAGCAAGAACCACACCAGAAAAGATTTGTGCACTGGACTCCCTAATGCCAGTTCCGTAACTATCAACAACAATGCATATTAAAACAATGACGCACCATTTTTGGCAGAACCTGAACCCAGCTGCCCATGTTTGTTAAAACCAAAAGCAAAAGAATCACCATCGGCAGTCACCACCACTGTGTGATTCCTTCCAGCCCCAGCCTTGACAATTTTGTGCCTACACATAAAGAGAATTAGCAAAACAACAAGAAAAAGAACAAAGATCATTCAGATTAGAGGGAGCACAAAATCGCACAAGCTTCCAACGTCTGCTGTGAGCATATAAATCAACTTTTTTTTTTTTTTTATCAATTCCTTCAACCAAAATCTGGAAAGTCAAGCTACTTACTTGGATATTCCAGAAACAACAGTGGGCCTATCACGCTGAATTTTGTCGCCGTGACCAAGCTGCCCCTTCTAAGAATGCAAATTGTTTCTTTGGTCATTGCATGGCACCCAAAAACTCAAAAGACAAGAACACCACATCTATTCGCACCATGGCACATTTAAACCAAGATTTAATAAACACCAAGTCAGAGAAATGATACCTCATTGCGACCCCAGGTATAGCAGCGGCCGTCAACATCCAGTGCCACACAGTGACAAGAAGCTAAAACAGAACAAAAAATTCCACTCAATCACAAATACTCAAAATTAACAGAGCAAACATAACACATTCTTAACTCGTTGGAAAGCACATTTTTTTCTAATATAAATTTCAAATTCGAAGCTCGAGACCAGTTGCATTTCGCCCAAAAAGACTGCCCAATTCAACTATCATAGAAACAAACAGCAGGTACTAAATGAAGGGATAAACGCTTAACAGAAACAAGGTTGAGGAAAATTACAAGAGCCAGAGGCAACGAAGGCAATATTAACACCCATTAGAGGACGGAGCCGAGTCGGAGAAACTAAATTGCCTTCCAAACCCTTACGCCGACCGATGGCGTCCCAGGCTGTAGCTCCACAGAACAAGAGTTCTCCACCCTTGACAACAGCCTCCTCTTCCTCCACCTTCTTCTCAGCCTCTAACTCAGCCATATCTCCGGCGAGAACAACAACCTCAAAATCTCACTCAAAAAAGCAACAAAATTTCTCAACGAGACAGGCAATCCTGCGGATCCAATGCCAAATTCACAGTTCAAAATTATGAATAAAGGAGAGTAACGGCTAGTAAACCGGAATCGGGAATTAGGGTTTTAGAAAGGCGAGAAAATCAGACGAAAATGCTCATCGGAAACCCTACAACTAAGCTGAATAAGAATATCCACTTTTTATGTCTTTGCTACTTGTTGGCTCCCGTATAAAGAAAAAGAGAAGTAAAGATATAGAGAAGAATTTTGTGGGTTTTCCGAGGATGCGACTTTGTTACGACACAATAATAAGTCAATTTGATTTAAACTCATTTTTTAAATTTTTGTGGGTTTGGTAATGCGTGATCATATCATTCATACGCAAAATATGAGATCAATTACTACTTCTACAACTTGGTTGAAATTGGATAAAATGTTCATTGATGATTTTGTTTGGGCAAAAAGGGGCTTAGAAGTGATTTTATGTCACCACTTTTTAATGGGCTTATTATGCATCACTTCTTTCGTGGTCGTTGTCAGGTAGATTTTGCTTTTGTTTGGGTTTTTGGGACTTTTGTGTGAGCGGATTGGTTCTGTCTGACCGATCCCATTACCACTTACCAGTGGCCACGAGTTTCCATTTTGACGTTGTCACTTCATTTGTTTCAATTGGGTCCAAACGGCCATAACTAGCGGGAAGCATTCCAGTCCAACAATTTACCTATTGAGGTCAATTTCGTGGTTACAATGTTTTCATTGAGAGAATCACTGATCAAAATGTAATCCAGAAATTAACCAAGATTAATGATGTATGTAATGTATCCTTATTTGGACAATGGCAAGGTTTACAAAATACTCACCTTCTTCAAGATTGTGACACAACAACAAGCAGTTAAACTCTCAAGACTTAAAACCAAGTACTATGAATTAACAGGTGAAAAAAGACTTTCCTTCCTATGACTCGACTGCCGAACGACAACTCACCACCCAGGTCTAACTATATATATGCACAAAATAATGATTCATCACTACATGAATATCCAAAAGAATCACCAATTTCACTTCTCCCAAGACAAGGAAACACGCAATGGAAAGAGCTTATATCCGCCAGATACGCTTGGCTATCGAGCGTCTTCTTAGTTGTTCATACTTCATGCTGAGGTAGGAGTAGCAGAACCCGGTGTCGCTGCATTTTTCGACGCCGCTATTGATAGATGTTGGTGTTGACCAGATTGACGGTGATTCTGCATCTGGTGCATGTGATGCTGCTTCCCAGGTAGATGCTGAATTATGCAACTTGATGACCCATCATCTTCATTAGTCTCAGCAGCAGCGAGCTTTAGATGCTGAACTTCTGCAGTCAGTGCTTCATGCAGAGCTGCAACAAGACACATAAATGAATCAACTTAGTTCTGAAAGACTGAACCCAATAACTGTCCCACTCCTTATCCCCAAAACTTAAAAAGGTCAAACGAAGATCTACAAGAAAAACAGAATAGATAACTCCCCCTTGCATGGGAAGAAACCCATACCCAGCATTCTCATTTCACAGTCCAGACAAACAGTTCACATCTAACACAATACTACAGAGGTAGACCCCAAAAATAAGAATGAACAGAATCAATAAACATGCTTCAGTGACAAGTCTGAACAAGTGCCAACTGAGAGTGAAAAGAGGACAAAGAAGAAACGGCCCTTTGAATCAAGTCGAGAAAACCTTAGTGACTACTTCATAGTTATCCATTTAAAACTCACTAAATAACCCAGGAGGATTTCCTTTACCAGAAAAAGAAAAAACCCAGGAAGATTTAAGTTATAGGAGCTTAGCTTTGTAAGGTTTAAAGTATGAAATAGATCATATTGATAAGTTGGTTGGATGAACCTTTCTCACAGGGGAGGCAGGTTCTATGCATCCATAGTCAATGATCAACTTTGTTCATTTTCATAAATTGTACCATGTACATTATGAAGATATTCCTTCCCCAACAGCAACCATTCTCCCTCACACGTTTATAGAGCACATGCAATGCAGCAAATATATTTAAGAACAGCAAAATCAGAATGCACGTACCATCTCTAAGTCGTGCCTGTTGCTCCATAGCTTGAAGACGGAATTTCAACTCATTGTTTTGATTGGTAATCTCAGTAAAGTCTTTCTGCAAGGGAAATGGACAATGAATCCACTGTTAGGCTTCAAACATTGAATAAGTATTATGAAATTTTAACGGTTCAAGAATGCACCTGTAGAACTGTAAGTTGGGTAGACAATGTAGTGGCCTCTGACTGCAGCGTCTGTACCTTGTGCTCTAATTCCGAGATGTATCGCAACTTACGTTCCTTGGAACGAGCAGCAGACTGACGATTGGCCAACACCCTGGATTAAATATGTTAAGGTCATTGAACTCGGTAAACACTAAAAGCAAGTAACACAGCACATATCAATTTAGTTTGCTATCAAAGATTTATACCTTTTGGCACGCTTCGGATCTGACAGTGCAATCTCAGCAAGTCTCTCATCCGCCATAATCTTTTTAAGCTCCGATTCGCTAAATTCACCGTTTCCAAACTCCAAGTTAAACTTAGTTAAATTGTCATTCACGGGCATCTTCGGTGAGTCTTCACCAAAATGCAAGTTTCCAAAGGCACTATCCACTGAGAGGCTCCTTAAGTGGCGACCAGAAGGACCAATGTCCTCAGAGGCACTCCTTTTGTTCCCTTCTGCTGAAATTGTCCCATCCATTCCCGTAAAACTTCTCTTTGACATGGTTTCAGCTTTGATATCATTCATCTCACAAGAACTTTTGTTTGAGCAGCTAAGCAAGCTTCTTTTGTCTTCATTTAAATTCATATATGACTGAAACAAGTCGTCTACACCGTCTAATGTTCTGCCAAAGGTTCCATTCAAAGCACTCTTAGAATCGCTAGTGATTTTAGTTTCTTGCTTTTGCAAATGAAGCGGCAAATCCCTTCCAAATTTATCATTCACAAAGCCTGCTTGACCCAATGCTCTCTGACCACTTATAGGCACCAATTGGGGTGAAGTCTGGATCATGACATCAAATCCTAAGGGAACATCACTACTGGAGCGCCTATGGCCTCTACGAGGAGGAAGACCATCGAAATTGGCTCGAAAACCATTATCAAATGCAAGTGAGGAACCAACCATAGGAGGGCCACGAGAACTTACATCTACCTCATCCATTGATACATCCTTATTGCTTGAGCTCGAGGCCAATGATGTCTCGCTTTGAGGCAGAGAAGGGCTCAAAGGAGGCAAGCTATGATTTCCAAAGAATGTAGGTTGGGATGAAGACCTTGAATGCGAAACTCCTCCTCCCACACCATAATTCTGAAGAGTGGATTGCTTACAATTCATCTGAGCCATCCAAAACTCCTAGAATCCGAAAGCTAACTTGGCTCAAGACTTCCAATTGAAGTATCAAATCAAAGAGCCACAGATTATGGGTTTCAAATCATACGAAAACGCAAAAATTGTCAGAAACTTGGTAAACCTTGGGGTAATCGATCACTCAATAGTCAACAGTAAATAGGGTTTTCCTCCGCCTCCACTACCCTGGCATAAACCCCAAAAACACAAAAGATTCCAAATTTCATCAGTACAAGTTCTATCACAAATCCAAAACGCAAAAGCTCAAAACTTTGACTTCTTTCATACAAAAAGATTAATTCCCATCAAGGCCACTTAAAATTTAGTACATTAGAAATGAAAATCAGCATTTTTAATTTGAGCATGTAAAGGTACCAACATTGATCAAAGCCCATTAAATTCATTAGAGCAATCAACAAATTCATCCAAGCAGGTAAAACAAACCATAATTAAATCAATCGACGCAGAGGACGACGGAGGAAATCATGTACTACTAACCCGAGTAAAAGTCTTACCTTTAATGCATCAAATTCCTAACCAGTAGAGAGACCATGGATATAAAAAAGGAGGAGAGGGATGATGGATTATGTCAATTAATTTATAATTCACAGGGATGGAATTCCCGCTGAAAATGGCGGTGATTACGTGAAGCTAACTGAGAGAAATGTTTTCTGGAAAAGACAAAAACTTTGGAAAACATAAATAATAACGAAGGGAGTAAATTAGAAGTTGCCTTAATCCACATTAATACTGCGTCGTTTTCTTCATTACTCACCTCACTTCACCCCAGTTAATCAGTTTAATGCTTCATTGTTATCTCAGTGCAGGCCTTAAGGGAGGACAAAATTGGTATTCCAAGTAGAGATTGATGACGTGTGAGGTTTCTGGGAAAATCCGCGTTGAATTTGGCGTGTGTTTCAGTTGAATTTGGCGTGCATTTCAGCCTAATGTCAGTTTGTGAATTAGAGACAGAAACTCGGAAGGTGGTAGGAAATAGAGCATATTGGGCTCTCTCTCTTTTGCAGGCCTGCAGACGGCCCAGTATAGAAGATATAGGAAAATTTGCCATTTGGAAACAGTAGTTATGCTATTTACTTCATTGTCCGTTTTAAGGAGAAACTTCGTGGGATTAGTCGTCTTTGTTTGTCTCTGATTTGGAGGAAACTTTTTTTTTTTTTTTTTTTGATATATATATCCATCAATGTCGACAGTAATTATCTTTTTGCCTACATTGTAGGTGGAAGAAACAGTCAAAGATCTCAAATATTGTTTCCATTAATCTTAAAAATGTGCATGTGATAATGACTTCGGATTAGAAGAACTCTCCGGTTTTAGATAACTTTTCGGGTTAGTACCTAACTGAATCGTTTAAGAATATACCATGTGAACTCAAATTTGAGCTAACAAACGTGTTGAGATTCAATTCAACTCATGTTTAGAAGCAGAGTGCAGGTTCAATAGTTGAAGTCAAATCAGTGGCTAATCTCGTTTTATCTAATCAATATAGAAGTTTAAAATGTTTAAAATAGTAGTACTTCTAACATGAGCTTTTCCAATCCATTTGTCAATGAAGTTTGAAAAACAATGTAGAGTTGTATTCCAATATGATGACTTTCATGTTGGCGCAATTCTTGTTAAATATACAACATAATAGTCATAAACACATGCAGCACGAGGTAACATTGTCTCCAGCAATGTAAATGATGCACTTTACCTGTCTTGATCTGAAGCTGAATCCTCCGGGATGACCAAATGTTAAAAAGTCCAAACTCTGAAGCTTTTAGCTGGAAAAACTATACCAAACGAAAGTGTGAAACATTATCCCTGAAAGTCTTCGAAAACGACTTGCAAAATTTTAATTGTCTGAAAACTTTGTACTCCCTCCTCAGCAAACCTGACCCTGATTGTGGGACGGAGGTCGGAGGGAATACAACTAAACTTTTTGTGACCTGTACAAATAGAATCTCATCATGCATTTCTGGCTATCAAAAACTTATTCCATCTACAAGCTTTACATTGCCCCATAACTTCTAGGAAGCTTTACGGTAATTTTCAATGAACAATAATATCATCATAGAATTGGCACTTCATATTACAGGTACAACGACAACTGATGATGACATACAAGGCTACAGCCTTTCTTTACAATTCTCTCTAAAAACAATCACCAGGCTTTTCAACTCATGCACATCTTCACAAATATAATTTTAATAGCCCCTTGATCTTTCTCTGGATCTAGACTACCAAATGGGAACTAAAATGAGACAGGGATTGGAGAACACATCTGAACTCTCACCAATGGGACCAGGAAAAGGAAGCTTAAGGTAAGCAGTTATAATGGGGGGACGGACGATTGAAGTGCTCCAAGCAAACTGAAGATATAATGCCGGAACATCTATAATTCCTTGCTGAGTATATGAGACACACTTGTTCACAAGAGATGGAATCATAGACATGTACCCGGTCACTGAATGTTGTTAAGAAGACAACATTCTCTCCCAACAGCTTAAGAAATACATTTATTTGATGGTAATGTACCGGTTAGTTCCATGTTTTGCCCAATGCTCCTTAAGGTCAACTGGATTTGAAAGATCGTGGCCCTCTGCTGCCAGACGACTAAGCAGTTTATTAAATGCACTTCCACTCATTTTCCGACCACCAATTCTTGCATGACGCTTATTAGGGACTGCAGGCAGTGGATACATAGACAAATTGGTTGTGCAGCATGATGACTGCCAGCCCCCGTTGCCCCACTTGTAACATGGTCTCAAAACTCCAGTGCATGAGCAAACTGGCACTGGCATTGTGGTATCATCAAAAGCAACCTGGTTCAAACCTAGATCCTGATCTTTCCAATCAGGCTTTGGGACAACTAGCTGACGGTTAAGGTCATCACTGCAAAGACCCATTTCCTGCCCAGGCTTCCAATCGTGCGACTTACCAAACATGGTTTTGCTCAGGTCTTCACCATCCTTTTTAACCTTCTTTGATGACTTTGACGCCTTCTTAGGTGATGTTACATCCTTTGGATCCTTGGATCGTTTTGCCTTCCTAGACTTTGCAGGCTCCAGAGCAGTCATTGGAATGGCATCATTAATGGGTATATCCTTAGTTCCATATGGAGTTTCACTCATATGGGGCTGATGGTGGATGTGCTGCTGAGGATGGTGCATGTGCTTCACACCACGTGCAATTTGGCACCCTGGTGGGCATGGTGACATACTTCCATTGTTCATCGAATTTTCTCTATATTGTAGGGTAGCAATGGCATTATCCCGCTCCAAAATTGCGTTATTTCTTTCAGCAATTGCTGAATCCCTCTGCATAATAGCCATGTCACGCTCTGCCAAGGCAGACTTCTTCTCTGAAAGAGCCAAATTTCTCTCTTGGATAGCAGCATCTCTTTCAGCCATAATGGCCATTATCTGCTTCATTGATGGCTGATGCTGCGGCATCAACCACTGAAAATGAGATAGTTACTCATCCATACCATACACAATGAAGGGAAAATGAAATGACAAATATTTCAAGGACAAAACATCTATCTTCGTCACAAATTAAAAGATGAACACAAGTAACATCATTGATTCATCCAAATGCTCAACTTAAGTGACATAAGCTACCTGACCCTGAGGTACTTTGTGACGTCCGTTCTCACGATGCGCACTATCATCCATCTGAGACCAACAACTGAACCAGTGGTTGATATAACTGAACTTTCTGACCAATATTATAGATGCAACATGGACTCAGGCACGGATGAAACCACTCGTCAACTCCTGTAGTACATTACACAAATAGATTTGAAATTTTGCAAGTTTGAGGATCTAGTGCTCCAGGATGCAAAACTCTTAGCTTATAAAAAGTGCAATAAATCTGAACAATACTGGTGGATGATACCATCAATGTATAAAAAGGTTCATAACCTTGACCCCATCTTCCCCAAGTTCCCTGCGTCAAAATATATATTTGCAGATCAGTACTATATCCGGTGCAAAAATAACACAGAGACCAACCAACCAAAAATAAGCAGCTTGTGCAACCATGAGGGAACGAAACAAAAATGGGAAATTATGAAAATGAGAAACAACACGGTCGCTACGGTATAATCAATTGGGTATCCTTTAAATCATGAAATCGATGTTCAGATAAAAGAAACATTAAAAATCCATATTAATGAACCGATGAAAAAGACTAACAGCCAATAAACCAATACAAATGCATTACACTGGAAGTCAAAAATCCAATCTTTCATCAATAGTCTTTCCACCATCATAAAAAGCTCTCGAACCTACACAGATGCATACAAGACTACAAACAAGTGAACCGCAAAAAAGCCAAACTTTTTCTCACAGCTATTAGGGTCAAAGTCCAGCATGTTTAATTTTCTGATGCAGATTATAGGAAACAAAAGCAATAGAAGTAAGCATGAGAAAGCATAAATGCATGCAAATTTAGTATCAAATGCATACATTTTATGTCCCACCCACACAAAATTGTTTCACCACAATGTATTCTAACCAGGACACAAATTCGGATGCAGAAGTGCACAAAACCTCAATTAAGTAACAATTCCACCTCATGAACAAAGAGGGCTAATCAGCTCGAATTAAAACAGTGATGCAAGATAAAAACTCTTACCAAAAACAAAGTCACATAGCTCATCTCCAACACAATTCACACATAAATTTCAAACATTTACAACCTAAAAAATTCATCATATCCGGGAGCTCCAAAATCTTCCATAAAAAGATAACCTTTATACAAAATTTGTAAACCCATATAGAAAATTGAATTTCTAAACTTGTCAAGGCAAAACAGGATCACAACAAAACAGCACCTAATTATATATAACACAGTACAAAACCATGAATCAGTTAATTAATGAATGAAATGAAATCCAAAATCATATCTAAGAAATGGAAACTGAGAAATCGAATTAGGAAAGTTGCAGTGAAAGTGGGGGAGCTTACAGGGAAGAAGAAGTATCATGTGGGGAGTGAGGGGAGTGAGTGATGGTAAGAGAAGTCAAACTCAGAACCCTAAATCGAAGGGGACGATGAAATATCGGCGATAAAAGAAGGGCAAAGAAGATAATTAAGCTCAAAGGACCAGACACGCTCTTTTTGTTTCTAAACTAGTGTAGTGCCCGTGCGCTGCACGGTGAAATTCGATGTTAATATTCGAAATGTAGCATCAATGTTAATTTTGTAGGAAAATTTTTAAAATATTTGTATGAATGATTATTCAGTAAAGATACCATTTATTTCTTTTTAAAATAATACTTTTGTGATTAAAATGCAATGGGAAAAATCATATATGTTGGGATCTTATTTTAAAAAGGAAGAAAAAAAAAACAATAGTAATAAAAGCCATTTTCATATATTCTCGAGGGTTTCCTTATAAATCACATTTGTCGTGCGAGTACATAATTTACCAGCCTTGTTACAAATAAGACATTTTCTAGATTTGACTCTCGAAAGAAGAGCATATAACTGGCTATGCATAAAGACTGGACGACACAAAAATAGATTCCCTGCGTCACGACGGACCATGTCTCTTCTTGATTATCATCACAAAACATGAGATAATTGGGAATTGTTTTTGCTTTAAGAAGATTGGAAATTGTCTTTGATACGTTAAAAATCAGTAATATTTTTTGCTACTAATTTAGTATTTTTTGACAATTCATTGAATCAAACAAAAAAAAGAAAAAGAAAAAAATGAAGAACATGTTGATCTCATCCTGTCTTTAATTTCATATTTCCATATTCATTTTCAATAGCTCGTTTAACCAAATAATAAAAAAAAAAAACCAAACACTACTTGTTCAAAGAGAAATTCTTCAAAAGTGTTATTCAATTACGAAAGGATCATTTTCTAGGGGGTCTCATTGAATTTTCATCTTTAATAACACGTTTCTCCACATCGTTTTGGTTAAATGGTTCCGAGTTATTGGTAGGTTAAAAACCTGCCATGGTTTTGGTTACTATTTTAGTTTTTTTTTTCTTTGATAACCCATTGAACCAAAGTAAGAAAAAAAAAAAAACTTATGGCGCGTTTATCAATCTCTTCACATGCGGTTTCAAAAAAAAAAAAAAACCAAGAAAAAAATCAAATTTGATTGTGTAAAATAAATACATGATTAATGACAACCCGTTATTGGGGTAGTAAGAATTTAAAGGAATTTTATCTGCTATTTAATTTAAGGGAATTAAGTTTTATAGATTTGAAAGATCGTATTAATTTCAAATCTAAGATTTTTTATTTTTAATGTGAATTATCCCACCTGAACAGAGTTATCTTAAATAATTTTTTTAATCATTTCACGTTTTTCTTACATCTTATCATCCATTCCAACTAAAGATCTGAAATTGAAAGAAAAAAGAAAAAATTAACCCATCTGTAGCATAAGTAATGTCTTTAGATAAATGAGAGAGTAAAATTAATATTTTTTTTTCGAGAAAGATTTGTGGTAATCTTTGTGTGAAAAGGAGACATATTTAGAGTGGTTATGCTTTTGGCGTAAGGAGCATCACATGACCGATTAGTTTAATTAAACGATTCTTTTTAATTGATTAAATTGTCATATTTTAAGATGTGTTTATCTCTTATAGTTGTAAGATAGATAGTTTATCAATTTCGACGAGAAAAACTGGACGAATGTAGACGTGAATGTGAATACCTTAATTTTGTAAAAAAGATAACAAAATAAAAAAATGATATCAATATTAATCTTATTTAATATATACCTTATTCAAATTTAGTATGTTCGATCATGATTATATTTTCAATAACATAGTTTCGTTTAAATTTTGAAATGCTATTAATTTTGAAAATATAAGATTATCTTGATTTTTTTTTTTGAACTTTTTCAGAAGTCAGACATTTTATGAAAATTAATTTTTCAAATGGGGTACAAAATATAAATCATGAAACTTTTTCCTGCATTTATGAGTTTATGGGGTCTCTTACAAATATTTCATGTTCAGTGGGCAAATGTTGAAATATGAGAATATTTCCCAGAGGGACCAATTTTGCAAATAGTAAAATATTTACAATTAGGTTTCTGCAAACCCTTTAGCCGCCACATATGACATCATCACTTGACGTCATCGTCTTCTACCTCATGTCACCGCAAATTTTCTTCTGTTACAACGGCGTCCAGCGCCGATTTTCTTTACCAAACAACGCCGATTCCATCTGATTTTCGTATTTGAGTCCAATTTTAGAGCAAAACATTTTTGCTGTGTCGAAATCGAGATTGATTGCAATCGGTCGTCTCGAAATCTGAGAAACCCGCCGGCCTTTTCGTCGGAATCACCCTAGACAAATTAACAAACGATTTTGTAGATTTACCTGTGCCTTGAGTTTGGAAACAGATCAGAACTTTTCTGAAAACAAGTTTGCTTCTCGTTTCTACGGCGACGGGTTCCGGAGTTTAAAACAATGGAGGCTTAGCTTCCGTTTTCACGACTAAATCCGTCCCGATGTGAAGCATCGTTGGGGTCACAAGTCCGGCGGATAATTTGGTTCAGATATGAAGCATCGTCATCTTCACGCGTCCGGAAATTTGTTTGGATTGATTCAATTGTAGGGTAACTATGGTTGATTCCTATCAATATCTGCCAATGATTTCCATTGATTGGGTTTGGTTGATTAATGCCCACGATTCACCTATCACACTAATCGATTTTTCAGTCTTTTTTCCTAAATTATTGCTTAATCCTTCTTCCAATCTTCTTCGAAGAAGCCGACATCATTGCAAATTCCATCTCTGCAATTTCCTTTTGAGATCGAATAAGACCCCATGATTGCACTCTAATATTCCTCTGTCTCAATTGTCGAATTCTTTAAAATGTGGCAATTGAAAATTTCTGAAAAACGATGATGGGTAATTGGTGGTTGAGCTTTCATCAATGAAGATTCAATGAGATGCCGATGATGACTTTGAAAGACGATGAGAATTAATGCCGCTGAAATTGGCCTGAACTCGGGATAAATTAACCTTAATTTTTAGCGAATTGCTAGTTAGCTGGCCGATTGTCTGGCCCAGAAATAACTACCCGAAAAGTTTTGGCATTGAATATGTGGAACTTCATCAAACATAGGCGACTGCTCGGCGTAAGAATTGCTTGGAAATTGGGCTTTTGCAGAGTCCAAATACAAATAGACAGTTTAAATGGTGACTAGGGCCCTACAATATAGTAATTCCTCCACTCAACCTAGCAATGTGTTATGCTAGATAAAAGCCTTATTAGACCAACAATGGACAGTAGAGATACTTCACATTAAAAGGAACGGAAATGAAGTAGAACATACATTAGATAAATGGGGCTACTCGACCCCGAAGGGGTATATATTTTGGCAGCACTCCCGGCTTTACTTCTAGATAAGTTAGATTTTGACAAGTCAATTGCTTACTGTGAAGTTATTTTGTAAATTAAGCTCTAAGCTTCCTCCGTATGTAAAAAATAAAAAATAAAAAATAAAAAATGTGGAACTTGATTTATTTAGACCTTTAATGTTCTCCAAGAAATTAATAAATTATATTCCTTATTTTACTACAATCATTTTGGAACGTAAAATGATCTACCATGTTTCATGGCTAGGGGGAATGAAACTGCAAATTTGCTGCAACTAAATTCAACAAAAATTAATCAACCGTATATCATCAACGGTAACATTACTTCATCATTCGTGTATTACTCAATGATCAAGGATCAAATACGAATCACTAAACACTGTAGGTACCACGAATTACATTTCCGAATGAGGAGAGCTAATTAAAAAAATCAAGAGTCTGGTGCTTTCCAGATACATACAAAGAACAAAAAATCAATGTAAGAGCACTTTTCTTTTTTTTTTTTGGGTAAATCATTTAGCCTATTGGCTAAACTGGCTTACATATACAAAACAGAGGATGTGAATTTTGCATTTTGAATTTGGAAAAAAAAAAAATTCAAACATTTTGAATTTTGCATGTGATAATGAGGGACCTTAGAATTTTAGATTAATTTGGGCAGTTTAATTATTCTTATTATGATTTTTTAGTGGTAGTTTTATTATTTTGTTTAACTATAAACATTGTTAGTTATTTTAGTCGCTAGACCTTGTTTAGTACTCAAGAGAAAGATAATAAATATACATCAGGTGCTTGTTCGGGCGTTGCCCGACCCATTCACAACAATATATTTTAAAATTAATTATACAAATAGTAAAAGTATTTTTCAATTTTAACTCACCTTGTTATGTTTAAATTATGAAAATAATGAAAGAATTATTTATTTATATCATTAATGTCTTATTCTATTAATTAATTGATTGATTATAATTAAGGATAAGGAAAGTTTTTTTTTTTTGGAAGAAATAAGAACAAAGAAAGTTAATTAATACAATTAAAGATTGTAGAAATTAATTTTTTTTTCACAAAACCACATAGTTTTTGTTGGGCGAAAACAGATGAATGAGAACGTGATACGTAAGTCTTTTTTTTTCTTGGACTATTATTTTAATAGGATATATATAGATAGATGCGCAAATATTTTCACATTTTTTTTTTATGATATCATCATATTAGCAAATTGTTGTTTGGTTTATTTAGTACTACTAATAAAAAACAAAAACCATCGAATTGTTAATAACCCAAAAAGGTTTAAAAAAAAAATCACCGAAATTTGCAGGCATGACACATGTGATTACTATGTGTAACGTTTTATGGGCGAAAACACAGACACAGAAGAAACACGACGTTTAGTAATCCGCGTGATTAGTAAACCAACCAATCAAATCACTCCTTTTCGAGTCCCAGCCAATCAGAGACAAACATGAGGATCGTGGATTCTACTAAATCCGTGGGACCCCGCTTCCAAATCCCACGTCCCAGATGTAATCCGAGATAATCCTCCTTCACCGCCCCTCCTTAAACCACAGTATAAATAAACGATAGCTCTCATTCGTTGACCCTGTGCTTTGTACCATTGCAAATCAAAATCTCTGAAGAAAAAATCCTTTCCTTCTGGTAAGCCGTCTTTTCGATCTTTGAGTTCTTCTCTTTGATTTCAATTAGCTTTTTTTTTTCTTTTTTTTTTGGGTGATTGATTCTTGAATTGTTTTTGTATTTGTTGTTTCTGATTGGGCTTTCGATTGATTTATATTCAGATTCTTGCTTTTGATTACTGTCTTTTGAGAAGAAGAAGAAATGGCCCGTACCAAGCAAACCGCTCGTAAATCCACCGGTGGAAAGGCTCCCCGGAAGCAACTTGCCACCAAGGTTTGTTTGATTTTGTTCTATTCTCTAATCTTGCTTAAATCAATTTGATTGGTTGAATTGAAATTTGGTTATCAATTAGGGTTTTTTTTTGGGGCTAATTTGAATTTTATTTTTATGTCGAATTCACAGGCTGCCAGGAAATCCGCCCCGACCACCGGCGGAGTCAAGAAGCCCCATCGTTACCGCCCTGGAACCGTCGCTCTCCGTGAAATCAGGAAGTACCAGAAGAGCACAGAGCTTCTTATCCGCAAGCTGCCTTTCCAGCGTCTCGTCCGTGAAATTGCCCAAGATTTTAAGGTAATTTTTCCTTTTAGTTTTCCTTCCTGCTGATTGTGTGTTGTATTTATCAACTCTGAGTCTGATTTCTCCCATAGCTGAAATCAGAAGTTGATTAATTTGTGGCTTTCTGGAAATTTTTGCAGACCGATTTGAGGTTCCAAAGTCACGCTGTGTTGGCTCTGCAAGAAGCTGCTGAGGCTTATCTGGTGGGATTGTTTGAAGACACCAACTTGTGTGCCATCCATGCTAAGAGGGTTACAATTATGCCCAAGGATATCCAGCTTGCCAGGCGTATTCGTGGAGAACGTGCTTAAGATTTAGGGTGGAGAAGTGTGGAAGATTGATGATTAGTTGGTGTTCTGTTTCTTAATTTTTAGTAGGTCGAATGAGATTTGTCTAGCAAATAGCTAATACCAGTAATAAAAGGGGTTGGGGGAACACTTGTTTAGAAAAATTTACTTGGGTTTTTGGATTCTTGCTTAGAAGGAATTTGTGGATGAATTCAATAGCTTTTATGTAAATCTACACATTTCGAATGATTCAATTGCGTTTATTTTTTTTCCATTGGTGCTGTTGATTTCAATTCTGAACGATTTTTAATGTGCATATCTGAAATGAATGGCTGATGTCCTCGTGAAAAAATAGTCATGCTAAATGGCCATAAGTTGGGGTATCCATTGTTGGCTTCTGCACTTTCTCCTCGCATTTTTTTCAATACAATGCCAATTGTTAGTTATGGTCAATTCTCACCAAATTAGCAGAATAACTTACTTAATGCTGTTCCCTCATCTACAATAGGTAAATTTAAATAAAAACGAAACAAAGTCATACAAATGCTGATGGACTGAAAATTAGTTTGTAATCTCTCATATTGGATGTTGTAATGCATGTTGAAGAAGTTGAAGGATATGATAGGAAAAATCAAGCAAACATTGTAGGCAACTCGAACTTGACCCTGTTGTTTTAATAGGATCCCCTTCCCACACTGTCCGGCCATATCCAAGTAGGTTGTTGAAGGAGGCAAATCAACCTCCATCTCATCTGCCAACTGAAAGAAGAAGAAGTAAGCAAGACTAAAAACAAGACAAGAAGACTGTGCGATCATCACTGTGACAAGGTGACGAGGAGATCAGTATCTATAGTGCATACGGAGTATTGTAGAGAGTGGCGCTTCCCGTTCTCCCCTAATTTCACATCCCCAAAGAGGGAGACAAGAAGCGAGAGTGCACAATCTTTTCGGCTTTTCCAGCATCTTCTTCCTCTGTTACCAAAGGTTCTTATTCTAGTACCACCTCCCTGTTTGCATTCAAAACCAAGTACTAATTTTAGCTTTAGATTTTATAAACACCATATGATAACGTAAATTGCCCTCTATGTCTAAGTAAACACCATATGATAACACCATATGATTTTATAACACTAGAGAGTGGCATAGAAGATTCTGTGCCATTGCGTATTGGACATTGGTGATAGCAAACATTAGTCCTAAGATGTCCAAAAATGAATACATAGGGTCAAAGGCAGATTTTTCTAAAGGCCCGAAAGATATTTAAAGAGTTTTGGGTTGTTGAGCCCAACTGTTGTTTTTTCTAAGACTGGGCCCAATAACTCCCACCCGCCCAAGTTTTGAAAGTACTGAAGAAGATCAATATCAATTGCGATCTTTTTACGAGGAAGAAGGATATGAAGCAACAGAGAGGCTCAGGGAAACAGCCGCCGTCAGGTTAGTCTTTAAGCAGTTCTCTGGCACTGGAAGACTACCGGGTTGCAGAAATTGACCAAAATGATAATAGCACAAAGTAAAAAACCATCAAAGACTTAAGACTGGGCACGCAAACCCATATTGAGCCATTAGCGTTTGCGACGGTAATGGGTGAAGTCTTTGAGGATTTCCGGGATCTTTCCAAACGTTTAAAATGGGAAAATGAGGCTGGAAATGGATCGGTTCAGGCTGGTAAATTTTGAAGCCGCTGAATCAAATTACAAGCTTCATCAATCATAATCAGATTCAGGAATGAGCTCAGAATCCAGCATACATGGCTAACATTGGGCCGGGAAAGAAGCTACTTCGTGCAATGGGCCAATGATTGTGGGGAATTTTCATCAAAGGCCTGTTAATGAAGAACTTGAAGGTTGTATGTGATTATCAGAGGATTCCTTACGATTAGGGATGCGAAAACTGATAATTTTACAGACTCCGAAGAAACACAGAGTTGATGAGAATTCACAAAATTGGAAAAACAGCCAATCAGAATTGCTTCTATTCTTAGTCACAACCAATCAGAAGCAAACATGAGGATCGAAACCATTGATTTTACTCATTGGCCACCAATCCAAAATGCACGTTCCAGATTGAGTTTAAACCGCCTTAAGCCCCCTTTGATCACACTATAAATACACACACTCTTCATGCTCTGCATTGCCCCCATTCTGGTTCTCAACAAAATCCCTGGAATTTCCTACAACCACTTCTTCTCCCTCTCTTGTAAGTTCTCTTCTTTCTCTCTTAGAATTAGTAGTTTTCTTCCATCGATTAAATTAGTTCCTGTAATTCGATTTCGTAGTTGATTATTGCATGTGATTGATATCTTCGATTTTAAGTTTTTGTTGGTTTTTGCATAGTTCGTATTGAAAATATACAAACAACAAGAAATTGTTTCGGATTGTGCAGAGGAATTTGCTTTTTTGGATTTAATCTGTAGAATAAGCAAAATGGCACGGACCAAGCAAACAGCTCGTAAATCGACAGGGGCTAAGCTTCCAAGGAAGAACCTATACATCAAGGCTGCCAGGAAACACGCGCCGGCCATTGGAGGAGTCAAGAAGCCTCACAAGTATCGACCTGGAACCGTTGCGCTCCGTGAAATCAGGAAGTATCAGAAGAGCACAGAGCTTCTGATCCGCAAGTTGCCTTTCCAGCGTCTCGTTCGAGAAATCGCTCAAGATTTTAAGGTGAATTTTCAGCCTTTCAGTTTGATTGTGATCATCAAATGATGATGTTTTGAATTTTTTTTTTTTTGAACTTAAAACCTAATCAATGATTTTGATTTGTTTATTAGATCATTGTTTTTGCTGCTGAAAATTCATTTATTCGCAGAATGATTTGAGGTTCCAAAGTCACGCGGTGTTAGCGCTGCAAGAAGCTGCGGAGGCCTACCTGGTGGGATTGTTTGAAGACTCTAACTTGTGCGCCATTCATGCTAAGAGGATCACCATCATGTACAAGGATATCCAGCTTGCGAGGCGTATTCGCGGAGAACGTGCTTAGAAATCCAACAAAGATGAAGATGATGATTTTATAATTTCAAATAAATTGCTAGTATTTCATAAACATTATTAGTATCAGTTTGATCTTGATTTGTCTAGTTTGATTAGGCATTAGTCTTTAGGGTAATGCGGATAATAAAGTTCTTGTTGGATTTCCAATTCATGGGTTTGAAAGTTTGAATGCGCTGGATGAAGTTTAAGTTCTGTGAATCTATATAATTTCAGTAAATGAGATTTGATTATTTACGTTTCTGGTGCAATTGTTACTGTAAAGTGCTGTTGATGATACTGCGCAATTGTAAACTCTGTATTTGGAACAAGTTACACAACTATATATGGAAAGGAGAGATTCAAAGTTCAAACCTTGAACTAGTTGCAGAAAGAAACCATGTTTTGTAGAACTGGGCTCTAATTTCATGGCAGATAAAGAATGATGTCAAATTCTGCCCGAGCTCATATGAAAAAATAAAAATGAAAAACTTAATTCAAAACTTCAGTAGACTAAATAGGGTTTAATCAATGATCCAAAGATTACCGAGAATAGTGATCCCACGACTCAGAATTTTTAGCCAGGATTAAAAATTTGAAGATTTAATATGATGAGTGGATTCCTGATTATACGGGGAAGAGGGGGGAGAGTTGAAAAACACAGACTCAGAAGAAACACAAAATTAATAATAATCCTTGTGAACTAAAAAAGTAAGGGCCAATAAGACTGCTCCTTGTCTTAATTCCAGCCAATCAGAAGCAAGCATTAGGATCGAGACGAGGGATTTAGTTCATCAGCCACAACATTGCCTCCACAAAGTCTCACACTCTATATAAATTCAAATACCACACAGTCGTCGTAAAACCCTGCTTCGTCCACGTTGCAAATTCTGTGTGTGTGTGTGTGTGTGTGTTTTTTTTTTTTTTTAAGGAAGAAGAAATGGCACGAACAAAGCAAACCGCTCGTAAATCCACCGGCTGTGGCTGCGGTTGCGGAGGGATGAGGTTCCGTTCCTCCCAGCAGGTTTTTTTTTTTTCTTTTTTACTTTTTCCTTAATTCCGTTAAGCGATTAGAGATTTGATTACAACATGGTTTGATTTTCTCTTTTCTTCTTCTTTTTTTTTTTTCGGTAAAGCCCTAATAATATATAATACTAATTGAAATTGTGTAACCGAAAAATGGTGGTTACAGAGGAATGGGACATTGCCATTGACACCCCGCATTGTGAAGAGGCCTCATCGCTATCGACCTGGAACAGTGGCCCTCCGTCAGATCAGAAAGTATCAGAAGACCACACAGCTTCTGATTCGCAAGTTGCCTTTCCAACGTCTCGTCCGCGAAACTGCCGAACATTTTCAGGTGATATTTCCGTGGGTTAATTTGTTTATCTGGATGCATATGGATATTTTGATTTAATTACTAACTAGAAAATTCTCTTATGAAAATTTTTGCAGACGGATTTGAGGTTCCAAAGTCACGCTGTGTTGGCTCTACAAGAAGCCGCGGAGGCTTATTTGGTGGGATTGTTTGAAGACACAAACTTATGTGCCCTCCATGCTAATAGGGTTACCATCATGCCCAAGGACGTCCAGCTTGCCAGGCGTATTCGTGGCGAACGTGCTTAAATTATTAGGGTTTACAAGATTAGGAAATTGATGATGATTATTTGGTACGGACCAGTTGCTTTTTCGTGATGTCAATTTTCAGCAGTTCGAATCTGGGTAACCTCGATAACAAGAGCAAACCTGTTTGGATGATTATGCTGATTTTGAATGTTTAGTTATTGATTTTGTTTTGCTGGATGAAGTTTAGGGTTATGTGAACTTAATACAGTTTTCATAATGCTAATTTCTTCAATGTTGATGGTGCTACTACATAATCATACAAACATGACGAAAAGTAGTTTGGGACAGTCAAAAATGGTGTGTTGTTCAAAACTCATAATTTAGAATATGTTACAGAATTAACTGAATTCTTAAATCATATTGTATGATGTCAAGTTACTTACCATGTGCAGAGACGGAACCAGGGGGAAGCGAGGGATGGCAATTTTTTTTTTAAAAAATTACCTTATAATTTTTAAAATATTTTCGAAAAAAAGAAAACATTATATATATACTCGACTCTGTAAATATTTGAGGTTGGTTCCGTCACTGCATGTGCGGGCTAAAACTTGGCTATATATGATTGATTATAATGTTTGATTCTGATACTATATTGAACTCTGGCACTAAACTGGATTTGCAATGTATAATACAAATTACTGATTACTATCACTAATTCATCGCATAACCAACTCTTTATTTTGAAAACCGAACTCCTTCCGTTACAGTTATGGAGTTACAATCGTAGAGACATCAACATCCTACCTCTCGTTGACCTCTAATCCACTAATGTTATGTAAGTGACAATTGTTATGATAATTAACAAGCTACAAAAAAGTTTATCTCAATAGTTAATTTCCGAGGAAGAAGCCTAAAATGATATACAGCTACACAGTAATTGTATACTTTCTTAGCGCTAACAGTAGGGATCGACAATGACATGTTCAAATGATTTCTAGCTAGCTGAGGTCATGACAGAATCTTCAAAAGCCCCCATTATAATTCTAAATACTATTCAAAAAAATAATATTAATACTAATCAAAACTCAACGTGAACTATTTTTTTAAATTAGCAGGATCATACTCAGAATGGGGTCTTTTTTTTTTTTTTTTAATTGTTGATACTCCAGCAGCTGCCTCTTGGGGGTCAAGTTCATTATTGCAAAAGTTCTGCGTTTTTTTTTCTCCTTTAAAATTAACCATGACGGTATCTGACACACGAATTCTGCTAATTAAGTATTTACATTACGGATGCAAAAAAATTAATCTCCCACGAATCGAATTTCGTACTTAGTATTACTGATCCAATTCTTCGCGCAGAATTAAGAATTTTGCATATACTCGAAAATGAAAGGACAAGGCGTGTATATATCAAGGATATTTAGCCTGTCTCCTTTCATTTCATGAGATAGTGTTGTTCCTCATGAAAAAGTGTAATATAGCTTGAATGTTGTTAATTTTTAATTTCCTTATCAGCAGCAAACCTTAATTTAATGGCTTACTCATTTAAGCTCCATCAATCTGTTTTACTCTCAGGAACACGCAAGCCTTTGATTATAATTATTTATAGCCACAACTAGATTTCGTAAAAGGGAAAACGTCGCATATGGAGGTGTTTCAACCTGATCTGATATTCACATCTAATGAAAACTACAACATTGTTTAGTATTTGTCCTGTTCCGAGGAACAAAAACATCGTTCTCAACTGGAGATACCAACTTTAAGATCAAACCAACCTTCTTTTAATTTCTTTTAAATCAAATCAGATTTATTTATTTATTTTTTTTGGTTTTGAAAAACGAAATTCTAAAATCATGCATCTTTTCTAACTACGTTAGTTATTCTTTCCGTTTCATAAATTTTGGTTTTTAAAATTTATATCTTTTCCATCCCAAAATAAAGTGTAACTATCGGTTTAAAATAGTACTACAAACTTAAGAGTCTTATAACAGAGGAAGGAGTATCAATTTTAGAAATAAGATCCTAGTTATGAGACAGAAGAAACAAAAGAAAAAATTGCACTCAAATTACGAGAACAAGATGTTGGTCCTAAATTAATGTGGCAGCTGTATACATGTGTAGCCTGGAAATGCAAATGGCTTGATTGCAGAAACACAATCGTATTGGCCATGCAGGCTCTAATCATTAATGCATGCATATGATTTCGCATGGTCAATTGATTGGATACGGCCACTGATCATCAATAAGAAAATGACTTAAACAACAAATTGATTTGATGAGACGATATTTAATCAAAGAAAATGACTTGCACGTTAGGTTTTTTATGCTTCATTTCATTAATTAGTTTTTGTACCACGTCCAAAAATTTTGATCGGAACGTGTCTCTATTAAATCATTCGGAAAAAGAAAACTAGTCTGTATATCCTCTCAAAAAAATATTCACTGTACGATAAGCTTTTTTGAATAGAAAAAGTACTATAGTTCTAAGAAATTTAATTTATATAATATATAAATATATTAGAAATTTTACGACAAGAATAGAGGTGATAATCATGAGATAACTAGCATAATGTAGATTCTTTCTGTCTCAAAACCGTTCCAAAAACTATTTTGAGACGGAAAGAGTAATATACACCATTAAGTAGTTGGCTCTAACTTGGTGTTCTGGGATTTCCAAATTCCAACCATTTCCACAATTGGATTAGAATCACTGTACACAGACATAAATTGCAGGTAGCGCGAAAGCAAACTGGTGAACATCATGTGTTTTCCAAGTTGCTGAGAAGGCTACAAAAATCTCACAAAAAATCATGTGAACATAATGTAATGCTTCAGTATAATGTTTGTATATTACACGTGATGTATACACTTTGTATATGTGATTCCCACTTTAATTTCCATCCTGTATATTTAAAAAAAAAAAAAAACCTTCGTGCTACTGTAAAATGGATTCCAAGCTAATTAATTCACTATATCATCATCTCTATATATCTTTTTCCAATCTTCTTTCTATTCACTGTAGTTGTACCCAACTGCCAACGCTTGGAATATCTTGGTGTACCACATATAGAAGATAGTACCCAGGAAGCGCCAAATTGTGGTTACTTGGTACATTAACCGTCACTTGATAAGTTGACTTACCTACGGATGAAACGTTGTTCATCCCACCAAGAACTAATAACCTCTGATTCATAGAAACCGAATGCGTAGTAAAAGACGGTGAAATCATTGTTACCATGACCAAATTAGCCTTCACTGGCCCGTCAATACCGAATTGGACAACCAAAGATTGACCATACTTGATTAGAGATTGTGTCACGGGTGCAACAATTCGCGGCCTCAACGAGTCGAATCCTGAGTATAAGTACGATGGGGAGAAGGCTTCCAAACTCAACTCCGTAGGAAAAAGGACATCGCTAGTAAACATGTACCCAACATGCGGGTTACTACCTCCAACTAAAACCCGACCGTCTCGAAGTAAAATCGCAGTGGAATGATACATCCTCGGCTTACTCGTAACACTCTGTACCTCGAATCGCGACCCAGATATCGCATCTGGTTTATATAAAACAGGCGCGAGGACCGGGTCGCGACCGTATTCCCAACCCGCGGTTCCACTCGCAGCTCCATTAATGATGAGGACATTCCCATTAGGCAAAAGTAACATGTCACCCATGACCCGAGCTGAAGGCATAGTTTCCATGACCCATTGTGGGTTTTGTGAACTTATACTAATCCTACCGCACGTATTCAATGCACCCACAAAGACACCATTTTTGGCCTTACTAAATGCATCTTTTGGAGCACCTCCACATATCAAAACTTCAACAACCGGACCTTTTCCCTTCAATGGCAAAAGTACCCCTGACCCCGTACTCGGATATGACCTTGGATTAACATCAGGAAACGTTGGATACGACTTCACCACAGCACCAGTATTGTAATTTAACAGGATTGCTCGGTTATTGGCAAAAATGAATAAATTGCCATCCACATTTAAGAATACCAAAGGGTACAAATTATTCTCAGCGGCTGGATCGTTTGTTTGTCGTAGGAAAGGAAGATCAAAGAGTTTATTAGTTGTGGCTGTCTTGGGATAAAACTCATAGTTGAATTGCCGGCGACCGCCGACGATTATCTGCCTCCCGTCCGGTAAAGCGTGGTTCGTCGCGTACCATCTTTTGGCTAACAGCGAGTTATTCAATTCTGTCCAATCACATAACCCGCCGGAATTGCATGGCCGGAAATATCTGACCACGCGTTCGCCGTCGTTGAACCCTCCGGTTTGGTAGAGCGTCCCGTCGGGCATGACTGAGCCGGAAGAGCACCAAACGTCGGTGAGGACATTGAGCGGTCGGAAGTTGTTCCTAACGACGTCGTACTCGACCGAATGAGCGGTGCAGTCTAGTTTCAAGGCAAGTTCTTGGGAGTCGTTCCGGCAAACGCCGGAAGGCAATGAAATGTTTGATGGGCCGAAATCGGTTCGGTCGTATATGACAACTTTGTCGGTGTGGAGGAGTTGCATGTGCATGGCTGTTATGCCAATGCTTGATTGGAGTAGAGCCCATTTGCCTCCTCCCAATAAGGCGGCGGCGGCCACCGAAGTCCGGCCCTGATGATGGTGGTGGAGTGTTGGGACGGGTGTAGTAATTAGAAGCAGCTGCCACAGGATAAAGGAAGAAAGAATCAATGTATTACTAAAAGTCATGAGAACGATAAGGATTTTGGTGTGTGTGTGTGTGTGTGTGTTTGTTTTTGGACACTTTTGTCACGAGAGTTTTGGCTTGATATATATGTGGTGCAATGGATGATGGGCTTTGGCTGTCTGCCAGTTCGACTGCTATAAGTACTTTTCCTTCTCTTGATTTTTTCACACTGATTAATGAGTATGTTAGTAATTTATTTTTTTTCTTTTTCTTGTTTGGTCTGTCCCAAGTGAATGTCCATTCCCAATCACACGCAAGTTAAGAAAAATGAGTAGATCGATATGTTCTCATATTCATAGTCCAATTTATGTTTTTACTTTTTAATTATACTTTAACCCACAAACATTAATATGTTGTTTAAATCGGACTATTATCATAAAACGAATATTATACTGTATCAAACTTTAGAGGATCGTCATTTCTCATTTATATGCTCACCCCCGCTGGTTATATAGATAGTTATATTTTCAACTATTATATATTAATAATGTTTAAAAATCAAGATTATTTTTGCGCAAAAATAAAAATGAAATATGGAATAGTACTATTTTGGAATATCTCGACAAAGAGAAGTGGTCCTAATCATTTAGAAGATGGTGATTATTTTATTTTGCTCGCCTTCCCGAACGTGGGAAATGGAATTTGATTTCCAGTGTTGCAAACTGGCAGTTTACTTGGGGAGATGGAGACGTAATGAAGTGACGGGCTGATGGTACCACAAGCAGTTTTAGAAAGCAATGGAGAAGAATTTATGAGAATGGGGCATACTGAACTGACTTTCCATCGATGGCTTGGAAGATGCAACACTGAAACTACAAAATTATTGATTTGTTGTTCTGTAAAGTTTGGCATTTCCATGATTTAGTTAGATTTCTGTAGACGTCATTTGCTTTCATGGAATATACGGCATCATTCATGCAAGTCATCACTAAAATCAAGCATCAATAATGGAGTACTTTTCAGAAGAAACGTAATTAGGAAAGCTAAAGTAAGCTGAATTAATTATTCTCTTATGATTTAAGATAATCATTTTGTGACAGAAATATTGATATTCTATATTTGCATTGTTATGTAGCAATAGTATCTCAGAGATTCAATATAAAAACACTATGGAATGGAATGCACATTTTTTCGAATATGGTTTTTGTGTCAAATATGATGGACTCATCAAACATTTTGCCTTCACAAGTGTTGCCCCTTATTATTTATCAAATTTTGTTAGGAAATATATTACTGTTGTTAAAAAGTTCATATTCGTTGGGAAATTCATGACTCTGATTGCCCCTGAAATTAAGGTTATAATGACCTACTCAACGGTTATGCAATAAGGGTTAATTCGGGCTACATGGCCAACTCAACTTTATGGTTATGCAATAAATAGTCTAAAACCGAACTTGTACTTTTAATAAGCGCAATAATTGATGTATTATTGAAATACTTATTAGGAGAGTTTTGTCTTCCAAAAAGGACTTATCCAGCTCGAATTCGGATTAGTCGGAGCAATGACTTCGAACACCGGGTGCATAATATACTGAAAAGGAAAAAAAAACATGGGAGAGATACTAAGGAGATTATATATGGCTGTAGCGAGAAATGGTACGTACCTAGCCAGTTATTCATATAATAGCCAACCTTCAGTTTGGTGAAATTAAATTGATTCAATTGTGGACATTCCGTTTTGAATCTCTATAAAAGTAATGCATGTTGCCAAGGATTGTTTGATTATTTTTGTTGATAAAATTTCAGGTCTGCGCAAAAATTGTATCTCTCGGATACTAATTGCAGAGAAGATGATTAGACAGCATACGTACTTCTTTAAAACTGTCGATGAAAATGACCAAACAGAGATGTTTTCTAATTCGTTTTTGAATCCTTTTTGCTTGTTTCCTTTTTGCCGTTGCATTAAGATAACTTTTTGCATGTATGAAATCTTGCTGTAATTGTCAAAAAACTCGTTTGAAAAATATCATTATCATTTATTCCATCCATTTTATTTTATTTTATTTTTATTTATACAAATTGAAATAATTGAAAAAAGGGAAAGGAGGCGATTAAAGTGTTGGTTCATTAACACACCAGTTTTGCTACATAACTGATGTGTATTGAGTTCAATCCTCACTTATAACATTGATGGATTGGAAGTTGAATTTTCCTCTACCTAAACATTTCTGGAGGGATTTGTTCAGAAAACCCCACATTATGTATTTCCGATTTTACATTGAAGTATTGAACCATATATATTCATAAATTGTAAAACAAAACTTACTTCACCCCACCATGAGAAATTAAAGCTACTCCGGAGACTTGTTAACATATATATGTTTTCCACTTGGTGTTTCAATAAAATATATTATTAATATGCTGATAAACTTAAAAAACCAAGAAATTACCAACTACAAAATCAAAAGGCAGTAACTAGTTTTAGTTCTTTTCCTTAGAGAATGTGAACCTAATTTAGTGATAAAGCTTCTAAATTGGTTTTGTAGAGATCCAATTGTAAATTAATCCCATATGGGGTGGGATGCATGGGGTTTGCGGGAAATACCCCCCAAAAAAAAAAAAAAAAACAAAATTAAAGGTTTATTTTTGGGGTCAAGTTACTTTCAATGTCTTCAATGATTGAATTGCATAGGTTAATTATCATGTGAATATATAGTTGGTTCTTGTTTGGGTTTGAGAATATTCCTCCCAACATGTGAACCTGGCTGTTAAAGTTTCGAGCATTTGTTCACTTACACTGAGGAAAGGTTAATTATCATGTGAATATATGGTTGGCCTTTGTTCGGGTTTAAGAGAATATAGTTGGACAAGTTTAATTAGAAGTTGCAAAACAACAAGGATATTCACAAAAATTCTTCTTGAATCTGATTCCGTGACAGCTATAAAGTTGTACCTAGTCTAAATAGAATTAGAAATTTGTATTTTGATTTGAGATGCATTAAGGACTTTTTGGACAACAATTAGGAGGTGCAATTTATGAATATGTTTAGGGATAACATACAATTTTTGTACGGATGTATTAGCAAAAAAGGTTTTAGGAAAGGATATATCTTTTTGGATACGCTAATTCTTATATTCTTGTTAGAGTAGGACTATTTAGGTTCATGCACGCACGTCTTTGTATCAGGGCATCCAACCTTTACGAATGAAAGCCATTTTGCACTTTCGAAAGAATGGAGAAAATATTAATTCCTCTCAACATGTGAACCTGGCTGTTAAAAGATAGGAGCATTTGTTTACTTTCACTGAGGAAAACTGGCATTGTTTAAATATTTACCATGCTTCACAAGAGAATTAATGGATTAATAGATGAAAAACGAGTTTTCGGTTGTTACGGTTTGGGGCAATAGAATGGAGGAGTTATAGACCGTGGAGGCTTGGACACCGAGAAAAAGCGAAAGAACGTAATGTGGTAGTCCAATGAACGGTCCAAATTATTTGATCAATTTCCATTCATGAGGAGACTATACATAACTAATTGGAATTTCAATCAGTGAAGAGGGGGAATTATAGGATTATGATAGTCAATCATGCGTATTGTACACGTTTTAATTGAGAAAGAATGCGTGTCGGAGTTTCTTAAAAGCAAAAGTTATAATGTGGCAGATTGGAATAATAATAAGCGACACTTAGGATAATCAATAAAAAACGACCTAAAGAGAGCGAAACACAAAAGCTGGCACTTGTCGGAGCGGAGATAGCTTGCATGGCAAACATTCCTGACTCTTGCATACCATTTTTTTTTTTTCATTTTCCATTTTCTTTTTGGGCGCAACAGGAAGCTATAATCCTATAACACCAATTTAGTCAGCTTACAACATTGTCCTGATCACATCATGTAGTAGTCAATAATTAATTCATACTGATAGTTTGATCGAACTGTTGAAGAATCATAGTTCTGTTGCCGTGAAGAATGCCGCGGTAATTAGTGGCAACCATGTATGTGCATTAATTAGTTAGTTACATTGCCCGTTCCCCTCTCAAGAGTCATGATTTTCTTAAGAATAGTGATAGGTATAAAGAAAAAGTGACAAGGAATGATGTGTCAAAATCTTAACTATACCCTACGTTAAATGCATAAACCCTGTATGGAAAGTTTTAACAATGGATGAGTGAGATTATTTTCTTGTAATTTTTCCTTGTCATTTTTTCCTTGTACCAATCATTATTCTTTCCTTAATTATGCACAAAATCTACCTCCTCCCGCCAGATGATGCTTTGTAACATTTTTTTGTAACATTCATTATGACACAATCCAAGTATTTCTTAAAAATTATATAATTTGTGGTAATACATATATTATTCACAATCACTTTCAAGCTTATATATTTTATTAGAACTAAAAGTTCACTTTTTTTTTCAGGTTAGAGCTTATTTATTTAATTTTTATAGTTAAAAATTTAAAAAAATAGTAAATTTTATAAAAAATAAAATATTGATATAAAAATAAAATAAGAATATGAAAATTATCTACATTAAAAATATGTGATTATGATATACAAATTAACACAAATTATATAGTTTATAAAAAATAATTACATTTGTAAGTATCACAAGAAAGTGTCACATAACATTCTTTTTCCTTTTGTAAACTTAACCTCTCGATGTATGTGTATTAATTGTGCACTTCCTTTTTTCTTTCGGTGATTGCAAATTTGCAGGGTGAATTTTGACAAGTAACCGAATAGAACAACAGTGCATAAAAATCACTTTAAACACGCAACAGAACAAAGAAACGTGAAGGGATATCGTTTTTTTTTTCTTTTGGTGGAAAACTGAAGGGATATCAATATGACTATGGTTCTGGATGATAAGACATTAATTTCCCCTCGAAGTCCACATTCAGAAATCTTATGAAGAGATTTAAAAAAAAAAAAAGAAGAAAAAAGAAAGATAAGAGATCGGAATTCTTGCAACTACATAAAAAAAATTGGCGTTCGTGTTTTTAATATTGCAAGAATTAATAATGACCAATTCCTTTGACAAATGTATACATTTTACCTTAGAAAAATAGTCTATTTTTATTGTCCTGGGAATATTGTTTTTTGAGACAGAAGGATTAAAACTAGAGTGAGATTCTAGAATGGCATCCAAATCCTAAAACGTGTATAGAAATAGAGGCAATTTCGCGAATGAATTGGATCATGAAGGGAATCAAGTTAAGGACCATTATTGTTGCTCAAATTAGCCCTCCAAACTTATGGTCTAAATAAACGATGTACGCATGCAATTAAAAATACACTACTCATCATGTATGCCAACCTGTTGAGATGAACCGCGTATTAAAATTCTCCGATATGGACCAAAATTTAGACAATGACTCTGGTCTGGTCCCAAAATATACCCCCATAATTGGAGTTATCCAAAAGGACCAAAACTAAGGATCGATGTGCTGTCATGCCTCGGACTACATTATAGAGAATAGAAATGTAGGGACTTAAGTGTCGTTTTAGAAACTAGTTGGACTATAAATAGTAGTTGGGTCTGTAAAATCACGCGCTGAAGAGAACCACCCGAACCAACTCCGGGTGAAGGAGATTGACACGACCAGAACCAGAACCGCCGCGTCCTCACACGCGTCCACCGACACGCCCCCGAGACCAGCCGCCCGGACACCCAATTAGCTTGTAGCAAGTGGAAATATCATGGTTTGGACGTTGGCAATTCGTACAGTAAACCGAAGGGACAGTGCCAGCACCGCCGGAAACCACCGAAGCTCCACGTCCAGAAGTCTTGGAGCCAACGGAAACAGCCATGGCCACCACTTCGCCGGCAGAACCACCAGCAGTCGGCGAACCAGATGTAGAGACAGCAAAACTCATCGTCTCGGAGGGGGCTTCCTGAGCGTGAGTAACATTCGCATCCGCTCCTCCTGAACAATCGTCGAGTACACTTTGCTCAATGGTGGGAGAGGATCTTGAGCAAGTATGTTTGAACGGGCAGTGGAAAACACACCATCATCCAGACCCAACAAGAATTGGTGGATTTTTTCATGTTCCAGCTTCGTTGCAGCGGCGGCAGAAACGTTGCACGTGCACCCGCCACAAGAGCACATCGGAGGAGCATCGTATGTGGCTAATTCGTCCCAGATTAACTTCAAGCGGCCATAATACGACACAATGCTGAGACCTTTCTGGCGGCATTTAGCTAAATCAGACTTTAATTGTTGAATTCTCGGACCGTTGATAATGGAGAAACATTCTTGAAGATCCAACCACAAATCTCGAACAATTAACGTGTGAGAAATAGTCGAGCGGAGAGAAGGCTCGATGGTGTTCATAATCCAAGAGACGAGCAACGAATTGATGGGTCCCCAATCCTCAGCGTCGAGGGAAGAAGCCGCTGACTCTGTAATGGAACCGTCAAGAAACCCCAGTTTTTGCCGAGCCCGGAGCGCCGTGGTGACGGCCTTGGACCATTCGGCGAAATTGCTATCCCCTCGAAGCTGGACGGTGGTGATTATGTTGCCAGGAAGATCATTGGCCGACATATCAAAAGGAGAAAGTGTTCGTCGACGAACAACGGAATCACTGCCATCCGTAGCTTGTTGCTTTTTACCGGAAGGCTGAGTATTCGTCATGAGGAGCGGACAAAAGGAAGAAGATCAACAGGAAGAAGATTGTCTTCCTGCGATTGATACCATGTAAAGAAGCGAGATAGAATTGGAGAACGGCTCAAGCTTCTGCCGTCAATGGTGTATTAGGGTTTTATAATATACACAAAGCATAAAGTAATCAGTTTCCTAATTTACGGTACAACATTTCTATCTACGGTAAAATACATTATTTACGATAAATGATAAATCTATACCATATATATATATAAATAAAATATACCGTAATAGGATAATGCCAAAAATTTGGCTTCCTGCACTTCGATCGCCAAGTCTATTCCTATTTGGAATTCCCCAATCAAGCATCTATTGCACACCAAAACCCTCACCCTCCCCGGTTAGCTATGCCACAATTTTATTAATTTTTAAGCGAATAAAGTACGTATTATTATATTGTATAAAGGACCTTCCAAGTCCTTCAAATCGTGTTTGAAATGTGTAAGAGGCTTGATTCTTGTTTGGTCCAATATAATTAGGCCTCAACGGGAAAGCTGCTGAATGGCCTTGTGAAAATCGAAATCGTAACCATGTCCTCACTACCTTTATTACGGTGAGTTAAATTGTTCCTATGCCATAAAACTACTCACTTTAAATTGAATTCGTTAACAACATGACACTTTTGAAGCTATAATTGCTTGTTGCCTGTATTTTTCAAAACGGCTCCATTGGAAGTTGTTGATTGTTTAAGAGGGACTTGCGCGCACGTTTAAGAAGTACGACTTGACAATGACAATCTTTTTTTTGCCAGAACATTATACTCTGTGAAACTGTGGATGATTGCATAGTTAAATTACAACGGCATTGCATAGTAGCTAGTATGCACAGCTAGAAAAAAGTTAATCACAGATTAAAAATCTCAAATATTATTCAAACGAAAAAAGATTACATGATCAAAGTCGTTATGGAAAATCAAACAAAAAAAAGAAAAACAAGAAGAAAGTTGACAACATATACATGTACACTGTTACACAACTGGGCTAGCTCTTAAGACTTTCAGCTTCATCGTTGACCTCCTTTCCTGTGCTCCAAATGAACTGCTTAAATGACTGATGTAAAGCTGGAATTTTTTCTAACCAAAAAAAAAAAAAGAAGCTGGAATTTTCCGTCATTTCTTTTACTGCGGTAATCGCACCCAAATGCCAGCACTGGGAATATCTTGGTGCACCACGAACAACATATAGTATCCTGGAAGTGCGAGGTTGGTGGTGGCGGGTGCGGCCACGGTTATTTCATATTTTGATTTACCGAGAGATTTAACGCCTTTCGTGACACTTAGTACCAACAATCTATGGTTCATGGACATCGAATGCGTGGTAAAAGAAGGCGAAACCAAGGTTACCTTAACCAAATTAGGATTCACTGTTCCCTTAACTGTGAATTGAATGGGGAAACTTTTCTTGTATTGGATCCCGGATTGCGACTTGGGTGAAGTTATCTGCGGGCGTATAGGGTCAAATTGTGGATCCAGATAAGATGGCGAAAAGGCTTCCAAGCTCAAATCGGTTGGATAGTCCACACCCGTATACACGTAACCACCATGCGAGCTACTTCCACCAACCAAGACCCGACCATCACGAAGCAAGATTGCGGTGGAATGGTACATCCTCGGCCTACTTGCTGCCGGAGTTTGGACTTCAAATCGGGCTCCCAACGGGGCATCGGGTTTGTAAAGAACCGGAGAAAGAACCGGGTCCTTACCAAGTTCCCATCCAGCAGTTCCGCTGCCTGCCCCGTTAATCAACAACACATTCCCATCGGGTAACAGTTTCATGTCCCCCATGACCCGAGCCAAAGGCATGGTCTCCATGACCCATTTCGGATTCGGGTCGTTTATAGAAATCCTACCACAAGTTTTCAATGCACCCATGAGAACACCGTTTATAGCGCTTTCGTACGCGCCTTTGGGTGCACCCCCACAGACCAAAACTTCAGCCTGAATGTTTCCCTGAAGATTCTTCAATGGCAAAAGTAGCCCTGATCCGGTACTCGGATATGACCTTGGATTACCATCAGGGATGGCTGGATATGTCTTTATAACAGCACCAGTATTGTAATTGAACAGAATTGCTTTGTTATTGGCAAAAATGAATAAATTGCCATCCACATTTTGGACTACCAAAGGGTACAAATTGTTTTCTGCCCCGGGATCATTTGTTTGACTCAGAAAAGGAAGGTCAAAGAGCTTTTTGGTTTTGGAAGTCTTGGGATAAAATTCGTAGTTGAATTGCCCGCGACCGCCAATGATGATTTGTCTCTTATCGGGCAAAACATGGTTTGATGCATACCATCTCGGAGCTAACAACCCGTTACTTATTTCTTTCCAATCACATAATCCGCCGGAATTGCATGGTTTGAGCACTCTGACAACACTTCCGCCGCCACCGTCTCCTCCGGTATGGTAGAATGTCCCGTCCGGCATGACGGAACCGGAAGAGCACCAGACGTCGGTTGACACCGTGAGTGGTCGAACGGTGTTTTTGAGAACATCGTACTCGACTGAATGGGCCGTGCAATCTTTTCCGGCCGTACCGTTTACGCATTTGCCATCAGGCAAAGAGAGATTGGATGATGGACCAAAAGTGGTTTGGTCTAAGATGGCTACTTTGTCGTAGCGGAGGAGTTGCATGTGCATGGCTGGAATGCCTGTGTTTGGTACAAGCATATCCCATTTGCCTCCGGCGGCGGATGCCACCGGATTCCGGCAACACGTTTGATGAAGTAATGGCAGTAATATCAACAGCTGCCATAAGGAAAAGGAGAAGATCAAAGCTCGATTCATTGGACCGAATTTCGCTCTTTTGAACACTTTGTGGCTAGGGAGTAAAGGGTTTTGAGAATTTTTTTTTAAAGCTTAAACTTTTGATACTGATGATTGATAGATAAAGCTTGGGTGACTGTCCATGCAGTTTAATGGCTATATATAGATCGATGGAGAATGATGCATTATATTCTTTGGGATTAAATATGAAGTTTGACAATGGAAATTGGAACAATTTACAGATCATGATTGGAGAATGTCAAGATGTGGGTTATTGCATGTATAATTTGTCACTTACAGATTCTAATTAAGTTGGTAAGAGAGAAAGGAAGGGGAATGAATTGTGAAGTTGGTAAGTATACCGGAAAAGATTTGGTACTGAGAGGAATGAAATCGTGTTGCATGCTAAGTGCTAACCTCCTCTCAACAAGATGATCGAATGTCAACCCTATGTGCCATTTATGGAATAATCCAAGATTACCGTTTTTTTTTCACATTAGATTACATAGTGGTTAACATTCTCCGCACCCAATGTTGTTCATTCTTTTTCTCTTTCGATTATACCTTTTTTTTTTTTTGAAAAAAAGAAGTTTCAGATCTAATCGTAGTATATATTTTTTTAACGCTATATATGATATGTAGACGTACCTGATTGATAGCCGATAGAGATTAAACAATTCCTAGTTAGACAAGGTCGTATTAGCAAAAGTTGATAATTTAGATTACAAGTATATTGATTGTATGTAAATACTTGTATCGTTTTATTATGTCTTCATATACGTACATAAACACAGTCAATTGACATGAGACACTTGCAAATCTGTATAGGCTTTGTCAATTGAAGCATAATTAATTAATTTACATACCGCGAACAGCTAACATTTGATTCTTACGTACGACCATTTCTTAATTAATAAACAACCAAAAATTGAAAAAGTAAAAGGAACAGAAAGAAAGCTGGCATTCCTTATTGTAAACCAAAAGAAAAAAAAAAGAAAAGAAAAGAAAGAGAACTGCAAAAGTTTGATATGCTTGTGATAAAATTATGAATAAGACCCGAAAAAAAGTCAAATAATGCTGGTTCTTGGTAAGGGCTGCAGGTCGCCGTAGTTCAATGGAAAAACATTAATTCTGTGCTGACTTAACCACACTTGCATGATATCCAAAATTTTACAATTTGGAAACGAATTATTTTCGACAGTTGCGAAATAGAGATAATAAGTACATCTCGTCTTAAAAAAATAATTTTTTTATTCATATAAAATTAATAATCAAAATAACTTATTTCTTTAGAATGGTAAAACATTACAAGTAAGGAAAGCATCTCGTACATTCTCAGTACGCACAAAGAATAATGCTATGAACATTGTACACTTTATTCTTGATCACGCTATGCATGTACATTACATTAAATATATTGAGTTTGTCGGAATATTTTCGGTTCGGTGCAATGATTGCCCATTGACCAATTACAAGCAGATTCGAAATTCGATTGTGGAAATCTTCAGCATTTTAGTTTGTTTGTGACGGGTGCCCATTGACTTCATCCCCTCGTTCACCAAATATCCATATGTCCCCTTATTTCTGTGCAAATTAAGTATACGGTTATGCATTGTAATAGGTAAATAAAAAAATAATGTCAATAAACATCGATGTTATATGTAATAAAATACGGTCGTTAATAATGATCATATGCAATTATAATCCAACGCTATGTGTTGACTTTCTTAGCATTGAGATGTACACGCCCTTTGTTTCTCCTTAGTGATCACCAAATTATGGTATATATCTAACAGTGAGAAATTAAAGAGATATTACAATATTGATGTCTCAACCTGCATCATTTATGTAAATTTGAACTATTTTTGTTTTAAAATAATTGTTTACTTTGTTAAACTACTTCTTATTTTGTTCTTTTTCCCCCATATATATTAATGTGAATGGTTAGGCAATGAACATTATTTCATTGGGATTCAGGAATAAAAATTGTGTCAAAGTAGCCACCAGGAATGTATCATTAATTAATTCCATACCCCATTAAGTAATTTGATTTTATGTGTGTGACAAAGTAGCATTTGGATAAGAGCCAATGACTTTGGATTAAATAACTTGCACGTAATACGTGATTTTGTTTCTCTTTCATAACAGGTATCTTATAAGTTTGGTGATTATATATGATCAGTCATCTAGAACTACCGAAGGAAAGTTAAGTATAATATAAAAGCTGGCACTTGTGGTCGTTATATATGGAGATTCAACCAAAGGAGCTGAAAATGAACAAATACACTATTTGTTATTAAGGGTGAAATTTGTCTTCCTCGAATATATATGTTACGGTTCCCTTAAAAGTCAAAATTAAAGAACTACTGAAAATTGCTAAACCACTTCGAGAAAATTTTTTTTGATGAACTCTCTTTTTAACGTTGTTAATTTGTTTGATTTACGCTCAATCAAGATTTTGTGCTACAGGCTACTGCCTATATGATCTGAAAGAAGATGAAAAACCCATTTAGCCATTTAGTTGGATATGGAAAGAAATTCAAAACAGCCTTGTAAAAATTGATGAATTATATACATTTCTTTATTAAAAAAATTTATTGGCTCTAATGATTCGTTAGACTAGCCCATGAAATATCGAATTATGATTAAGCTTATAGTTCGCAAGGACTAAAAAGTCCTCGCAACCAATATGGTTATCACCGTTGTTGGCTAATTTTAGCAAATGAAAGTTTACTTTTCTTTTTTAAGAAAATGGTACATATTTCAATCCTGAAGAAACTATATCCCTTTTCAACATAATGTAATTGAATTTGTCCGTCATAGAAATGTAATCATTTAATTAGACTTTGACTACTTTTGTTACAATTTTAAGAAGAACAAAATATTTGCTAACTCTAGGGGTTTTCATGTTACAACTTCTGAGGGTAACTGATTGACGAATTAAGTTCGTGCCTGACCTGATGATCCTTGGAGGATTGCCTTATTTTTTCCTGATGATTGCTTGGTGAATGTTTGATCAGCTTTATTAATTACTATTCTCTCTATCCTCTCTCTACATATAAAACTAGTCCATATTAATTTGATACAATTTTAATATTTAATGTGGATTTTTTTTTTCGAACAGAAAAAATATTGTGAACATAAAAGACTAAAATGAAAATGCGACTAAACTGCGCGCATCAATAAAGAAGACCACATATTTGCATTTGCAGTATTCAATAGGAATTGCTCAAACAATATATTACCGAACATAATACCAATGGTTTACAGTTATGTTGAAACTAAATGTGAAATATAAAATGTCAGTGCACTTCACGCTTTTGGTTAGATACAGCTCATGCACCCTTTTAGGCTTCTTGGTATTAAACTTATATAAAAACCATTCATACAATTGAGAAATAAATCCTATGTTGACAACATTTACCATTTTACTGCAATTTGACCCAAATACCAACACTAGGAATATCTTGGTGAACCACAAATAGCATGTAGTATCCTGGAGGTGCTATATTTTTGTTGGCTGGTGCATTTACCGCAATTTGATGATTTCTAAAGATAGGGAGGAGCGGATATTTTGCCACGGGAAGTTCCAACAGTCTATGGTTCATGGAAACCGAATGCGTAATAAAAGATGGAGAAACCATTGTCACCCTGACCAACTTAGGGTTTAAGAACCCTTTAACCATGAACCGTATCATCAATTTTTGCCCGTACGCAATTTGAGATTGCGATTTGGGTACAATTTGCGGGCGTAACAAGTCAAAACTCGAATCCAAATAGGCTGGTGAGAAGGCTTCCAGACTCAAATCGCTGGAATAAGGTGTATTTACATACACGTAACCACCATGCGAGCTACTACCACCAACCAAGACCCGATCATCGCGAATCAGGATTGCAGTGGAGTGGTACATTCTTGGTCTGCTTGCAGGTGTTTGCACTTCAAATCGAGCTCCCAATGGTGCATCGGGTTTGTAAAGAACCGGGGAAAGAACCGGGTCCTTAGCAAGTTCCCATCCTTGAGCTCCTTTAGCTGCCCCGTTAATGATCAAGACGTTACCATTAGGTAACAATTGCATGTCTCCCATGACCCTAGCCAAAGGCATGGTCTCCATAACCCATTGTGGATTCGGGTCGGTTATGGTTATCCTACCACAAGTGTTTAATGCACCCATAAAACACCCTTTAAAGCATTTAAATATGCACCTTTTGGTGCACCTCCGCACACAAAGACTTCAGCCTGAATTTTTCCTTGAAGATTCTTCAATGGCAGAAGTACCCCTGAACCCGTACTCGGATATGACCTTGGATTACCATCAGGAAGTGCGGGGTAGGTTTTGACTACAGCCCCAGTATTGTAATTTAACAGGATGGCCCGATTGTTGGCGAAAATGAACAAATTGCCATCCACATTTTGGATGACCAAAGGATACAAATTGTTCTCCTCTGGATCATTCGTCTGGAGCAAGAAAGGAAGGTCAAACAGTTTGTTGGTCTGGTCATTCTTGGGATAAAATTCGTAGTTGAATTGACCACGACCGCCAATGATGATTTGTCGGTTGTCGGGCAAAACATGGTTTGATGCATACCATCTCGGCGCTGACAAGGCGTTGTTTGTTTCTTTCCAGTCACACGAACCGCCTGAATTGCACGCTTCCAACACTCTAACCACGCTTCCGCCGCCACCGTTTCCTCCGGTTTGGTAGAATGTCCCGTCGGGCATGACGGAACCGGAAGAGCACCACACCAGTTAGTACGGTGAGGGGTCGAACGGTGTCTTGGAGGACATCGTACTCGACCGAATGGGCGGTGCAATCAACTCCGGCCGGACCCTTTACACATTTACCGCCTGGCAAAGAGAGATTGGAAGATGGGCCGAAAGTGGTTTGATCTAATATGGCTACTTTGTCAGTGTGGAGGAGTTGCATGTGCATGGCTGGAATGCCTGTATTTGACTGAACTAAGGCCCATCTGCCTAACGGAGGGGCGGCTGCTGCCACCGGATTCCGGCTACACGTTTGATGAAATATTGGCAGTATCACGAACAACTGCCAAACTACAAAGGAAAGGATCGATATCTTAGTCATGATTGAATCGACTAGGCTTTTGCTTTTTTGGGAACTTTCTTTTTGGGAGAGACAATGAGTTCAGAATTGGATGATCTGGTCACTTCCATCGATGGCTATAAATAGATCCGAAATTATCATTTCGTCTTACAATTAGAATTTCCGAATTCATATGACTCGGGGAACTGGAAAAATTGTAGCTAGCTAGATGACAAAGTGTGATGATAGTTACGGTTGTTGATATCAAATTTGGGAATTCCAGCTGAACGAAAGAAATAAAAAAAAAAATGGAGATCCGTGTTAGTTGGATTCAGATTTGTTTAATTAAGCCATATAATTAGAGGTTTAGAATCCCACTGTTAACTACCGACCCAACCGCCAATCAAGTTTTGTCAGTTCCATACATCAGAATGAACTACAATAATAATTTGTGAATTTGCACCTTTTGTTTTTGTCAACAATTATAAGATAATTGTTGCATTATCAAATCTTTTCAAATGCTTAATTCTAAGATAATTTGGAATCATGATTCTGATTTTGCTATATTAATTTGTTTCTATGAACTCTAATTATGAAGTGGACTACATAATTATTAGGGGGATGGGGAAAGCCAAAAGGGGATACAATTTTTTAATTTTTATTTTGTTCGACGGTAAAGGTAAATTGCATCAATTAATTTAAAGATCACTACATACATACTCATATATAACATTACATGACTTCTGAATTGAGAAAATAAATAAGCAATGATACTTTCCCCTATTCTAATTAAGAAAACATAATTTTTAAGCTTTCACAGTCTTTTTGGGGTAGCAACTTAAAATTTTAATCTACCTGACGCGATTTCTGGTCTCCTTAAGAATACAGAGGTACGACACTACAGAACAGATCTTGTTCAAGTAAGGTCTAAAATTATATTTTTATGGAAAAGGGAACCAATTGAGTTGGTATACTGAAAAGGAAAATGTTATGCGTAATTTAGAAACTCTCGGCCAAATTCAAACTTCCAGCCTGGATAATTTATAGTCGTTAATTTATAGTCGTTAAATTTACGGTTTTTTTTTTTTTTTGTTTTCAAAAAAATAATAACATGAATCATCTGGGACAAAATCAATGAGTAAAATATACGCTTTAATGACTTCACTGGGTAGATTAACTGATTAACTGATTTAGCAAACAAAAACAAATCGTGTGCAATTCTGCATAACGTAAGTGAGTGTTATAGTTTTTCCCCAAAAAAAAAAAAGAAAAAGGTAAAAAAAAGTGAGTGTTATAGTCCTGAGATATTTGGGTTGAAATTGAAATGTTCTATCGTCTACCATCTTCTTCAAATCTCTATAGAGATAATCCATAACTAAGGTAAAACAAACTAGACTATACTTGATATACATAGAATTTTCATATTTAATATTAATGATATTAGGACTTTTATGTATAATTGATATGCATAGAATTGATATACATGATTTTGTTGCATTTCCAGACTACACATCAAAATTGGATGGACTATATTGATATACATGATTTTATTGCATTTGAAGGCTACACATTGGAATTGGAAGTTGGAACTAGCAGCAAGAGATGTGGAAATCAATTTATGATTTGCTAATTAGAGATTTGACAACACCACGCAATCGATTATTAAGCATCCCATGCATCCCCTCTAATCATTGATTTCCACCAAGCACTCAAATTAAACTAATAAAATGTTATTTGTGACTTCTGAAAATCTGAACAATAAAATCATTTTAGCAGTGGCGGAGATAGAGGATCAAGTATCAACTGGTCAATCGCCCTCATTCCCAATATTTTAACTAAAGGAGGGCTTCATTTTTTACTTTAATTATTTAAAAATTGTAATTTTGCATTTACTAAATACACAAATTTTGCTATTTTGCCAATATAATTTAAAATTTTTGATCGGCAGTGATTTTAGAACAGAACGAGATCCAACATCTACACCATGGTCAAATCTAATTACCACTCAGTCTGGCTCGAAACCTTTCGAAACTTACAGAAGCATTAAAAGTTTAAAACTAACTTAATTGATTAGAATCTTGAAAAATAACCTTCTTTTTTTTTTCTTAAATCGATCTGGTTGTTTAATCCACCTCGGTATGGCTAATCAGTACGAACGTAGCCTGAGCATTTACATATTTTTATGCAAATTAAATACGGAATATATGTCTTATTGATGCATGCGTTGACTTAAGATGACATACCATATTTTTGTCTTATAGCTCGCATTTCATTCTTGTTCTAATTAAACCCGCAATGATTAATAGTGACATTGACTAGTTCAAATGATTAGAAAGAATGAAGGGAGATTTTCATAGTCTATTCAAGTACACGAACTTTTTGATTCACCAAATCAACCAATCGAGTTCCATATCCCTAATTTGTCGGAGGGAACCTTCTTTGTCAACTTGTAGGGTCTAAACTGAACAACCTAATACAAAAATGAACTGAATAATTTGGTTAATCTGGGCTTAAACGTTTCATGGGCAACTTATGAGCTGATTTCTTAATATATATATATATATAAAATAATCCTTAAGTTAGGTAATTATATAACTAATTAACTGATTGGCTGTCGTTGATGGACGCCCCATTAATTGTCCACACGTTTTTCGCCTCTAATTATACTTTTGGAATTCTTCAAATATTATTGTAAGCCTATTTTCCATTTTACAATGTACATACGATGATTAGGATTTTTTTATTTTTTATTTTTTTTAAAAAAAAACTGATCTTCATTTTCATCATCGTCATGCAAATGAAACGATTATATCAAGAAAAGGAACTAATTTGGATTATTTGTCTTGATTGGACTAGTCACATTGAACGAATTATTAAGTACTTGCCTAAAAATTGTAAAGATGAAGATTTCAATTGTTAGTTCAAAACTAAGGGCGGTATGATCCGGCCACTAACATAAAATTTATTTGATGAAGCCTTCTTCTTCTTCTTCTCTGTATTTTGTGTTTTTGGGCGGCAACAACCAAAACGACTATACATGAGGAATTGCCTAGAACTTACATCTTAGGTGACACTATTGTAACGAAACTGTCGCACACAGAATGAGCATGTTGGTATCAGTTGCAGCAGGGAAATGCCAAAATACAATTTCTCAAAATTAATATTGATTGGGATTAGATAGATATTCCAAGCAAAATGTAGATATTGACCTTTGGTGATTCATTGCACTTGAAATTAATAAATTAGAAGAATCCTAGGTGCCGCAGCAATAGATCAACACTACAACACGAACAATGTATTAAAAGTCAATTTTGTTTAAACCCTAAACTAAACTATTATAAAATTGAGAATTTCAACTTGTACAATAGATTTTAATAGTTTACTTTATTATTAAGTTAAAATAAAACAGAGTAAATTAAAAAGTCAAATGAGCAGATGTTGCCAAGAGATAAATTAATCAAAAACAGTAGTTAAAGAGCTTTCCAAAATTGAATTCGGAACTACTAGTAGTTAAGTAATTATTGCACCCGTCCAAATTATTCCGACAAACTTAATTTATTAATCTAACGTACATGCACGGCTTGCCCGTATATGATGCATGTTCATACCATAATTCATGTTTGAAATCAGAACTCAATGTTTGATATGATTCCATTTCCCAATTCCCATTTTGTTCAAATATAATTTGCACCTAAATCAAATTATATTAGCCATTTTCTGACTTTTTAGAATGAAGATTAATACTACGTGCATTGGTAGGTAAGTAAGTTTACACGTACGTGAAGCATATTTGCCAGCAAAGAGATCGAGCTTTTTCAATTTTGCAACTTACATCCCCTTAAGTACTTTATTCTTCGTACACCTCTTCTACTTCATTTTATTTTTCTTTTTCTTTCTTTACAACTACAAGCATCAAATTCTGGTTCCAATATTCGAGAAAGCAAAGTCGCACAAAGATGTATAAAAACGTTCCCAACCGCTAGAGATGAACAACAATATTCTCATATGGAAAATGTACCATGACCAGTACTATTTGGCGGTTAATAAACAAATGAGAATAAATCCAATGGCTTGGATATGTTCCTTACATTGATTGAATTCATGAAATGGGTTGACTTAGGCGATTAGACGGTTTGCAACAATTTTATTGTTAGTTAGCTGCCAAAAATTGCCTTTACTTACCGAACTCAAGTTCATTCCCCTTTCAAAAACAACTTCAAGTTTTCAAAAGATGATTTATAGTTCGCCGAATGAGGCTGTTTCTGTTTATTTATCCCCAAGATCACGTACATAGACTGTTTTTCATAACCAAAGTTCGCATCTCGCTCTTTTCAGAGATAATAGTGTGTCTTTTAGCGTTTATGGGAGGCGCGTACGTACACAGATTATGTGCTGCGATAAAAAATGGAAAATGTCGTTATATGCCAACGGAAAATACACTAAATTCAAGCTTTATTTGATTTGTAGTTCTCTGAAAATTTAATACTATTCTATATTCGTCCTATAAAAAGAGTATTGCGCTTATGGTAAATCTATTTCGGTTCAATAATAAATAAGAGTATAAGTTCTGGACGGATTAAGTACACTGTAACTTAGGGTTGGAACCGAATTTTGAACCTACAAAGTTACTTACACAACCATGATTGGTGGTTTAATTAGTTTGGTCGGTAGTTAAGTGAGGGATTTCGGTGAGACAATTTTGATACTACATCGAGGGAATGCAACCACTTATAATTAACCAAATCCTAGTACCAAACAACACGACAATGACAGAGAGGACAATATCGAATCTCTTTAATTTTTAATTCCTTCCCAGCTTGTCATTCACAAAGTCAATCACAAAAATAAAAGTATATCACCCGTACCAGAACAAAATAAAGAAAAAGACAAAGGCAAAATTTACTTGTGTCTAGCCACTTTCTGATGATAGTCATCGTACGTGATCCCCTTGTTGTTGAACTCTATTATTTTTAAAAAAAAAATTTGGAGAATTTTTTTTTTTTTTGGAGAAATGTTGAACTCTATCATTGATTTCATTTCCGACTCCCTTTGACGAAGCTTCCAATTCCAAGAACAACAATATGTATTATAGTCATAATTGGAGCACTCATTAAGAATCTATTTATAGCGCCATTGATCGAACTCACCAGGCATCCAGTTTCGTTATCCATACAAAACAAACATCAAACTAACCAAAACAGCAAAAAGAAAACCCTTCCCAAAAGCCAAAAAAAAAACCGTGTTCATTTGATCATGACTAGAATGTCGAGCATTTCCTTTGTGCTTTGGCAGCTGTTCATAATACTGCCAATACTTCATCAAACTTGTTGCCGGAATCCGGTGGTAGCCTCCGCAAGGGGAGGTAAGTGGGTACCACTTCCATCGAATCAGGCACCAATTGCCGCTCCTGTCGGCAAATGGGATTTGCTTCAAGAAAATATAGGCATTCCGGCCATGCACATACAACAACTCCACACTGACAAAGTAGTCATATTAGACCAAACCACTTTTGGTCCTTCATCCAATCTCGCTTTACCGGGTGGCAAATGCGTAAATGGTTCAGCAGGAAAAGATTGCACTGCTCATTCAGTTGAGTACGATGTCCTCCAAAACACGGTTCGACCCCTCACCGTACTAACCGATGTGTGGTGCTCCTCCGGTTCCGTCATGCCCGACGGAACATTCTATCAAACCGGGGGAAACGGTGGTGGCGGAAGCGTTGTTAGAGTGTTGGAAGCATGCAATTCCGGCGGTTCATGTGACTGGAAAGAAACAAAAAATGCATTGTCAGCGCCGAGATGGTATGCATCGAACCATGTTTTGCCCGACAACAGACAAATCATCATTGGCGGTCGCGGTCAATTCAACTACGAATATTATCCCAAGAATGACCAAACTAACAAACTGTTTGACCTTCCTTTCCTGCGCCAGACAAATGATCCAGAGGAGAACAATTTGTACCCTTTGGTTATCCAAAATGTGGACGGCAATTTGTTCATTTTCGCCAACAATCGGGCCATCCTGTTAAATTACAATACTGGGGCTGTGGTAAAAACCTACCCCGCACTTCCTGATGGTAATCCAAGGTCATATCCGAGTACGGGTTCAGGGGTACTTCTGCCATTGAAGAATCTTCAAGGAAAAATTCAGGCTGAAGTCTTGGTGTGCGGAGGTGCACCAAAAGGTGCATATTTAAATGCTTTAAAGGGTGTTTTTATGGGTGCATTAAACACTTGTGGTAGGATAACCATAACCGACCCGAATCCACAATGGATTATGGAGACCATGCCATTGGCTAGGGTCATGGGAGACATGCAATTGTTACCTAATGGTAACGTCTTGATCATTAACGGGGCAGCTAAAGGAGCTCAAGGATGGGAACTTGCTAAGGACCCGGTTCTTTCCCCGGTTCTTTACAAACCCGATGCACCATTGGGAGCTCGATTTGAAGTGCAAACACCTGCAAGCAGACCAAGAATGTACCACTCCACTGCAATCCTGATTCGCGACGGTCGGGTCCTGGTTGGGGGTAGTAGCTCGCATGGTGGTTACATATATGTAAATACACCTTATCCCACCGATCTGAGTTTGGAAGCCTTCTCTCCATCTTATTTGGATTCGAGTTTTGATTTGTTACGGCCCCAGATTCTTGCACCCGGGTCGCAATCTCAGATTGCGTACGGGCAAAAATTGGTGATCCGGTTCACAGTCGATGGACCTTTAGTCCCATCACTGGTTAAGGTAACAATGGTTTCACCCTCTTTCACCACACATTCAGTTTCCATGAATCACAGACTGTTGGAACTTAGCACGGTGAAATCTGCAAAACCTGCTGGTAAATCAAGGCATCAAATATTTGTTACCGCACCTACAACTACGAGCATAGCACCTCCTGGATACTACATGCTTTTTGTGGTTCACCAAGACATTCCCAGTGAAGGAATTTGGGTCCAGTTGCAGTAAACTGACAATTGATGAAGCTGGTTGAATATGATTTTCCAATTTAATTTTCTTTCTTTACACAGATATGTATATGGAATTTAATATTTATTCTACATTGTGTAAATGGCCTTTATCTTCACATCAAAACAGAATTTGTAAATTGAGGAGCAGAACTTTATTTGTATTCTTTACAACAATCATCATCATTTGAGTATTTGACATTCATAATTTTCTTAATCGATTATTTCCTTGGTTGTAAGGGTTATAGATTTTTTTTATTCATTCATTTATCTTATCAGGAATTAAATCAACATGTAACTAATTCCTGGTATATCCAATTGTCCAAATCAAATCCTTAAGTTTGATTATGTGCATTGTTAGGAGTACTAATGATTGCTCTCCATATTTTTATAGAATTAGTTGACTGATCAATTTGAACACATAAAATCTGACAACTAATGTAATAAGATGTTGAGAAAATCATATAATGATGACAACATTATTACATGTGTTGTTACAATGAATAATGTGATCATTTTGTAATGATATCAAAGAAATAAAAAATTTTGTGAATAAATCACACTTTTAAGAGTAATAACACTTTACTATCACTTTCATCTTTTACTTCAATTGGACCCAAATGCCGACACTGGGAATATCTTGGTGAACCACAAAAAGCAAATAGTATCCTGGAATTGCCAGATTAGTGTTGATGGGCGCACTTACGGTCATTTGATATGCTAACTTACCAGCAGGTTTTACACCTTGTATCGTACTTAGCACCAATAATCTGTGATTCATAGACATCGAATGTGTAGCAAAAGACGGTGAAACCATTGTTACTGTAACCAAATTGGCCTTCACAGGGCCATTAACCTTGAAACTGACAACGAACTTTTGCCCATATCGGATGAAGGAGGGCGCAATGATTTGCGGGCGCAACAAGTCAAAACTTCGATCCAAATAGGGTGGCGAGAAGGCTTCCAGGCTCAAATCCGTAGGATAAAGTGTATTTACGAACACATATCCGCTATGGGGGTTGCTACCACCAACCAGAACCCGACCATCGCGAAGTAGAATCGCGGTGGAGTGATACATTCTCGGTCTAGTTGCCGGAGTTTGAACCTCAAACCGGGCCCCAAACGCAGCATCGGGTTTGTAAATAACCGGGGTGAGAACCGGGTCTCGACCAAGTTCCCATCCCGCAACCCCTCTAGCCGCGCCGTTAATTATCAAAACCTTGCCATTAGGTAACAATATCATGTCACCCATCAGCCTAGCAAAAGGCATTGTCTCCATAACCCATCGTGGATTCCGTGCAGTAATAGAAATCCTACCACATGTTTTCAATGCACCAACAAAAACACCTTTTGAAGCGGCTGCAAATGCACCTTTTGGTGCACCTCCGCAGACCAAAACTTCGGCCTGAATTCCTCCAGGTCCCTGAAGATTCTTCAATGGCAAAAGTACCCCTGACCCAGTACTTGGATATGACCTCGGATTACCATCAGGGAGTGTTGGATATGTCTTCACCACAGCTCCATTATTGTAATTGAACAGAATCGCTCTATTGTTGGCGAAAATGAATAAATTCCCATCCACATTCTGAACTACCAAAGGGTACAAATTGTTCTCGATTCCAGGATCATTTGTGTCACGCAGAAATTTGAAGTCGAATACTTTATTAGTAGCACGAGTCTTGGGGAAAAATTCGTAGTTGAATTCCGCACGTCCACCAATGATTATTTGTCTCCCGTCCGGTAAAGCGTGGTTTGTCGCGTACCATCTTTTCACTAACAACCCGTTATTTATTTCTTTCCAGTCGCATAATCCACCGAATTTGCACGGATTGAAAACCCGGACGACCCGTTCGCCGTCGTTGGATCCTCCGGTTTGGTAGAGCGTCCCGTCGGGCGCGACCGAACCCGACGAGCACCATGTGTTGGTGAGGACATTGAGGGGTCGAATGGTATTATGTAAGACATTGTATTCGACTGAATGCGCCGTACAATCGGCTTTTAAGGCCAGGTCTAGAGGATCGTGCCGGCATTTGCCAGCTGGCAAGGAGATATTGGATGGCCCGAAATCTGTCCGGTCAAATATGACCACCGTGTCGGGGTAGAGGAGTTGCATATGCATGGCTGATATTCCGATACTTGGCTGAAGTAAGGTCCATTTGCCTTTCGGTGCGGCCGCAGCCGCTGCGAAATTCCGGCAAAATGTTGTTTGGAGAATTGGTAGGGCGATAACTAGCTGCCATAGGACTAAGGAAATGATCGAATTAGTTCGAGCCATTGTACCAGTAAATATGATCGGCTTAATTCGATGTGATCTTTCCTAGTCCCACACTGCTATATATAATTAGTTTTCTTCAATTCTTTTGCATCGAAAAATGAGAATTATGTTTTTTTTTTTTTAATTTATTCATGTTGATCTGCTGGCAATATTGGCAGCTCCTCAAATGCTTGTTTGCATAAAGTTGCCCACACGACGTACATATATACTACTTCCTTTGAAATTTTCTTGCGACGCGGAACAAAAGGATAAACTCTTTGAAGTTCCACTTGATGAATGAGTTTATTTTGATTGCCTTCATTTCTTTTTTTTCTTTTTTTTTTATTTAATTTTTCTGAAAAACACTAGTGATAAAATAAACTTACTTACTAAAGAAGAATTATTTAGCTCAAATGCGAATAAGTCGATACAGTGATTTTGAAAGTTGAGTATAATATTAAGAGAATCATTGTTGAACATCTAAAACCTTACAACCATCAATGACTCAGTGTTAGTATTATTTTGTTCCCAAAAATATGGAGGTTCGGAAACTTTCAAATTTCATCCATTTCGACTATACTTTATTCTGAGCTTAGGGCAAATGTAAAATTTTTGGAACTTTCCTCCGCCTCTCCTAAAAACTTATAATATCGTCACATCTCCTAGAAGTACAGCTCACAGAAATATTCGTTGGTTGTTGTAGTATTTGGGGGAATTCTGAAAGTATAAATTTATAAAACGTGGAATCATGTTGATTGATGAATTAAGGCGTTATCAACGGCTATCACAATCTCCACCAAAGCTATTGGAAAGCTGTCGTTTGGAAGTCCAATTGTCGAAGTTGATCTGAATCCAGCATTCACATTTTTCTATGTTCTATAGGAAGCAAAGATCCAGCAAGATCATGTCCCAAACAGCCTGGACCCTGGAAGAATGCATACAATATATATCAAGATTACAATTCAGAAAAAAATTCTGGCTTGGAGGATTAATGGGGGCCGACTAATTAAGGTTCAGCTGTTCATCCATCAAACATTAAGAATTTCAAAGTAAGAGGTCGTGAATGCCAATTAATAAAAGAAATACCATACACGATCACAGTCATGAAAAGAAGTAAAAAAAATAAATAAATAAAATTGTAAAAAGGTGTTCAAAAGGTAAGTTAATACATGATGTTTGGACTATACAAAGTTTATTGTGTAAAAGAGTCTGTTATCACAAATTGGCCATAACATCCCTTCTGGTACATCCCATAAATTGGCTGTTACTGTGTTACAGTTATCTCCATAGCATAACTAGCCCTATGCAAACCTTAACCAGCAAACTACAGCTGCCATTTAGATCGTTTTCCTAGCGAAACCACGTAAAATGGAGAAGCCAGGGACATGTATATGCGTTTTTGTTGGTCAAGAGTCCAGTAATTTTTATGTCGTTAGTTGAGGTGAGAGACCCAGAAGTCACAAAAATTAGCCGGATATCAAAATCAACTGAGCTGGGGTTGGTTCATATTTGAGGGGTGTACAGTTCCCACAATGCCACAGTAGTGTCTTCTGATGAAGAAGCTAACAACTTGCTATCCAATGAGAATGAAACAGCATTGCACTGCAGTATAAGCAGGTGTATAAAGAAGGCATAAAATATACTTTGTCCCGTGAAACATTGGTTTGAGAATGAACCAATATATAACGAGATACACCAGCGATGATGTGTAAGAAAAAAAAAAGTAAAAAGGTGGCATACCGTGGCATGATGATATTTTAATATAGCCAATGGATTTCCTTTTCGATAATTGTAAACCCTTAATCTGTAACCAGAAAATGAAAAGGATATAGCTTAGCAAAGTAAACTTCCAAAATGTCACAGCCTGACAATTATATCATAATATGGTGTATCGTATGATAACCTTAACATCAGACATATATAACTTTTACAGTGCCTTGAATTTGCGTCATACACTAAAGGCACTATAACCTTAACGCCAGACAATGGTATCTTAAGCATAACTCTAACTCATCCCACTATAAAAATAAGAATGACTAACCGGTAATCCCAACCAGCAACTGCAGCAATCTTCCCATCTGGTCGTATTGAGACTCCTGCAATTCCAGGTTGTTCCAAAGTAATTTCTTTCTTGGCCAGAAAAGAACCCTATATTAAGATCGAGTAGCAAAAAATGAGAAGTCACTCCTGTATATACACCGGAAAAAAAGAATAGGTCTCTTGATATCTTCTGACCCTAAATCAGTGATACTCCATTGAAACATGCACCTTGAACCATTCAACAATACAATCAGTATTTCCAGATCAAATATTTAGATTCCCTTTCCATTGCAAAAACCTAGAAACTAAGCATGGTATCTAATGGACTTGTAATCATTTCAACAGATAAGTGTTTAAGGGCTCTATTGAGAAAGAAACATAAACTAAAAAAGTAAACAGAAGGTGAAGATAAGAGTTAAAAATAAACCAGATTTCCTAATTATTGCTGATTTCTTCATCTTAGGTGGTAAATAGAATTAAACAGAAAAATGTTTTTTGGAACCAATAGCGAAAATCGGACCATCATTGAAGTGCTCGTGGATTGGATGACAGTTTTCTGTCTTCTCCTTTGTTTTAAGCCAAAAGCATCAAACAGAAAAATTACACATAATGCTATCTAAAAATAAGAAACGCGATGCTATAGTGAAGTTTAACATGCTACATGACAGAAGTTAATAAGATTTTAATTACCGATCCGTAATCCAAAGTGAACATCACAATTTTTTCATCAGCACCTCCAGAGAGACCGCCGCCGCATGACCAATCCACAGAGAGGCTGAGAACTGCAAAGATGCACTATTCAACTTCCTGAAAGGAATTAAAGAGATATTCAACCAAACAATTACATATCCAGTTAGACCCCATACCTGGTTCTGAATGAAACTTAACAGTCGTCAATGGGGCTCCGGGATTCCTTATATCCCACCAGGCCATGGACCCATCCTCGTAACTACATCATCGAAACCAAAAAAATAAACTTGTCGAATTTCTACAATCATTATTATGTGTGGTATATTCTGCTGCAACTAAGTTTAGTGAATACACATGCATCAGGCCTTAAAAAGCCCACAGCAACTCTGAATTCTTTGAAGCTGAATTTCAAAGAATAATGATTAATAACTTCTTACGAAGATCGAAACAATATTTACCAAAATATCTGCAAATTTTATGATTATTTCTCTAAGCTGCTGAATCTAGTTTTAATCAATGGAGAGGGAAAGGGGTTGGGGAGTGGGACCTTCTAATTAGCTACAAGCCATGGTTTTCAGCAGACTAAGAAACCATCAATTTGAGAGAAAGGGCAGGCTTTCAGAACGATATTAAATTTTTTAAAAGGGAGAACTCTGCCTCAATAGGCCAATATAGTAGAGCAGATTCAACCAGTGAAAACATGATTGGAAACAATTAGTTTACAAAAAATGAAGCACATGCATCAGCAAAATTCGGAACACAGTAACAGACTTATTGTCATCAATCATCATAGCATCTTATGCCGAACCATTTCCCCAATTGCCCAAGCCTTTTTAACATTGTACAAATAGGAATACAAAATTGGAAAAAGAAATTCAAAATCAGACAATGACAGACCTGGTCAGAACATTAAGGTATCCCTGGTATTCAGAAGACAAAAATGCTTGAACTGCCATACACATTCCTGATGACGGATTAAAATTAGAGAAGGGAGCGCAGAACTTTATAACAGGTAGAGAAACTTACAGCTAATCAAGCATAGTGCCTTATTTTTATTGACTTAATTTCAAATACCCGAAGAATGTTTCATATGACCAAGTTAGCAAAATAATGCGTGTTGTTTAGGTGGAAACAAATAGTATTTTTCACAAACAAGCCAGGGATAAAGCAAAGAGAATCGAGCGTTAAACAGTCAGGAAACAGCAGAAGGTGTCAGACAGAAACCGAGATACTAATCTAAGGTCTCCGTCCCATGAACCGATGTCTAAAGGACGCAGGGGAACAAACCCAAAATCTAGAGGAAAAGTTTCCTATAATTACAGGTGTTAAAAAGATTTGAAGATACCAAACTGCACATAAACAACTAATTGAATCCACACCAGGCAAACTTTTAAAAAGTTCCAGAAACTGACCTCGTTCCTTTGTCAGAGGATTAACTGAGCCAGAAGGGAAATCAGGGAGCTGAAGACACTTTTTAGAAGTAGCAAGATCCCAGAGCTCAACCTTCACATATTGATAGGGAAGGTCAGTCTACCGATGTGGAGAAACCCAGAATATCATGATCAACTGTCACTAAAGGCATGAACTAACCACAGAAGACTGCTCTCCTGCAATTGCAACATATTTCATTTCCTTGATTTGTGCATTATCTAAATGGAAAAAGTAATTTAGTCAAAATCCACGATTTCCATAAAAACCATATTTGGTTTATTTTCCTTCAACTTCGTTAACAAAATTCCCCAACCAATGAGAATGAAATCCATGCAGATTTTATTGACTGATATCTGGTCACCAGAGTGAGTTTCATCATCCATAAAGAAAGCGTGACAGATTCTAACTTGGATCAGGATATAAAGAAAGGTATATCTGATATATGTTTTCAGAGTTTTTGAGAGTATCAAGCTGATCAGAACAGAAGATGTAAGCTGGTTATTGAGACCATCATTACGGTTAAGACAGCACGAATCGGGGGCAGGGGTTAACACATCCCCTATGAGAGTAATGGTATACATATGTCCCCAATGAGATTAACGGTATATAAAATGAACAGAGAGAAGTGCACAATTCGATAAGCCAAGACAAAAGAATAAACCTTCTATTGTCCCTGAACCCTGACCTTGACTTTCTTGAGCAGCAGTTTCCCCATGAATAGCATCTTGGAAGTTCTCTATTCCTTCAGTTTGCCTTTGCCCATGTAGAGGCTTCTTTACTAATGAAAGCTTGCAGAAATGATAACTATTTGTTTTAATTGAAAATAATGGAGTCCTGCAGAATAGGAAGAGGAAAAAGAAAGATGAACTAGAGGTAATCTGACTGTTCATTTTATCAAAAGCAAGTAAAGAGAAAAGTTCACTATGCAATTCATATTCAACGAATATCTTATGATCATTGATTAATGCCTGCAACAAGGAAAATCAGATCCATCGAATACATGAATCCATCCACAAACTATAAGTTTTATTTCAATATAACCTGTTAATTTAAGTACTTATTGTCACACGATAGGAAGCACCCAAATATACTTATTGTCACTAGATATGAATCACCCAAACAAATGATCAAGTACTAAATAGGAAAAACTAAAAGGACAACTCTGTACCTAGACAAACCCCCATCTCCAAAGTCCCAACACTTTACAGTTCCATCTCTGCCTTGGCTGCATAGATCAGGAAAACCCAATAAACACCAGAAGATAACAAATCCAGAAAGTGTTTTAAGGCTTGAAACCCCCTACACATTTAAATCCTAGCTCCAAAGTACTGAGATAAATCAATATAATGTATAGAGGATAAGAATTCACCTAATTACTTTGTCTTCTCCAATCAAAGGACTAGCTGCGACACAAATTATCCCATGTGCTGCAGTATGCGCCCTGCGGAAGCACACAAGAAAATATCACATTCTGAGGATGATTATTATTATGTCTTCATGCATGAACATAATGCATGACCTCCATTGATTTACAATTATCTACAGAGGTCAAGCACAAAACATTTGCAAATTATTATCATTCTTTGAAAGTTTGCCAGATACTATCATATCTTGCATTCTAAATAGACTTTTCAGAAAGACTTTGCATGAAAAGGAAACAAGAGGAACTCCGTGACTATCTGATCACATAAGCTTATATCATCTCTGCAGCATTCATAATTCTAACAGAATCACATAAAAAAATTCTCACTTTGCGATAAGAAATACGAACATATAATGTAAACATCTTTTCTTCACCAACTATTGGCATATATAGAAGAAATTACAATGCAGATGCAACTGTGCGGCGCTGTACGGTATCCCAGATGCGCAGTTCACCATCTGCAGCCCTGTAGACGAGCACAGGCTCATTAAGTAACGATCAAGATACGACAACAGCAACAACAAAAGCCTACATTACACTATGTGGGGTTAAAAACACGCGGGCGTATATGGTAACCATCGTTCTCTATGAGTGCATCTAATTTGGTAACTGAAATGATTCAAGCCTTTATTTCTGTCCAAGAGTATGAAGTGTCTCCTCATGTCCAGGTTATGGCCTCTTGAGCTACCATGTTTTCTAGTAAGTTAGTTACTTTAGTACACGGATCATCAGATCATCTCAAACCTTCTTACTTTTGACTTATGAGAGTACACTACATTAAATTGGATGCGGAAGTGCGTACTTAATGTACATTTCCTAGAATTTAAGCCATAAAAATCAACATGGAATTTGTACACACCCGGAGAATAGAATCTTTCTCGATGGATGGAAGCAGATGTCCATCACAGAGGCTCGGTGGCCTCTGAGCACGGCAACAGGATCGGGTGGAGGTCTCTTGCTCATTCTATATCCTTCCTTTGAGGTCTTCGATCTGTTTCAGGCATTTTATCAAACAAGTCAAGAACGATACAGAAATGCCTGAAAACGTACAACTTTTGAAGCAAATCAACAGGTCCCCATCATTATTACAACTACTACAAGTTAGTGACAGAAACTTAGATGTTCGATTAATCAAAAAACCAAAGTTTTATTATGAATTTCTTCTACCTAATTGGGGAAAAAATGAAAGATTTGAAAACTCACTTCCCCCTTGGCGCTAGTTCTTCTGATAATCAAACAGTTAATGACTTTCTGATTCAGGTCGTTATTATTCAACCAACCGATTGGTTGCGAAGGTGTGGATCAGACTATCACGTTTTAATTAGGCCCAGGCCTTTTGTTAAAATCATGTTTCCTAATCCATTGGGCCGAACTGATGGATTCACGTTGGTTTCTCGGACCCATGAGAATTTTTAATTTCATTTTTCATTCATTTCTCAAAAAAAAAAAAAAGAATAATTATTATTCATGTATTTGACGTACTAGTTCTTTGTGTAAAGAGTAAACCACCCCATTCACCTTACAAATTAGATTATTAGTTCTTTGACGATGAATTGAACAACGCATTTGATTTTTATTTTTTTTTTTGGTTAAAGGATCAACTGTGATGAACAGCACCAGAAGAAAATTGATCTATATGAATGAAAAAAGACTCCCTCTATTCCAAAAAAATAATTCACATTAATTCACGTTTGTTTTTTTTAAATCATTTTTTTTTTTGGTTAAAATCATGTTTCCCAATCCATTGGGCCGAACTGGTGGATTCACGTTGGTTTCTCATAGCCATGTGAATATAGTTGTAGCCCTTAAATTTCGTTTTTACCATCTTTTTCAAAAAATAAAAAAAATAAAAATTCAATAATAATTCATGTATTTCACGTACTAGTTCTTTGTGTAAACCACCCCCGTCCAACTACAAATTACATTATTAGTTCTTTAACGATGAATTGAACAAAGCATTTTATTTTATTTTATTTTCTTGTAAAAGGATCAATTGAGATGAATAGCACAAGAGGAAAAACTAATGCATATGAATGTAAGAGTACTTTTTTCTCCACTGAGTACATTTGTGGAGTGTCCGATTCTTGTTCACGATATAAATTGGCGTAATATAACAACGAGGTGCAACATAGTGATAAGACGCCGCACTTATTAATTAATAAATCGGGTTCAAGTCACGTCGGGGGTAAGTGGAGAATCACTATTGATCTATTTTTTAAAAAATAAAATAAAATAAATTGGTGTAATATTTTGCATACATAATTTTTTTTTCATTTATAGTTCTAAAACGACCCCTAATAAATAAACAAACTGAAAAGCTAAATAATTTTTTAAACATTTTATAAAGAAAATGCTCACTCAAAAAAAAAAAAAAAAGTTGAATTGGGTATCTCAGCCTCGTAAAACATGTTTCCATTTTTAGGGGGTTAAAATATGTTTTCCATTTTACTCCTATATATCAACTCTTCCTTCCTTCATTGTTAGTTGATGAAACTACAAAAAACAAACTTTATAAGACGTGAAAATATAAGAATAAACTTGAAATGCAGCACTCCGAAAATAAAGTGTGACACAATAAAGATGTTTGAAATTTCATTGAGGTTTCAACTAAACTTCTAGCACTTTTTTCAGTTTTTGACTATGTAAATGGGTATGTATTGTACATTTTTTTGGAATGAAAATCACCTTTCATCCAAGATAAATGATAAATGTGAAATTAAATCAAGTCAATAAGAGTTAGTCTTTGTAATTGAAGTTACAACTTAAGCTTTTTATTTTCTCTTTACTCAATTGTTTAGTTAACAAAAGTGGTATGCTCATCACCCTACCCTACAATCTATTCGTTCCGGTCTTTAATACAAGGCATTTTAATTTATCAGAAGTTTCACCTACTACGTACTTTTAACTGATAAAAAAAACTTAAAATATTTTCTAACAATTAGGAGAACACAACGAATGTAAAAATATATTTTTACATTCAATTAAAAATATATAATAGATTAAACCTAGAACAAATCAAAATGTCTTATATTAAGGATCGGATGGTATACAAAACAAATGATCTATTACAGAAGTCACTAAGGTTTTCTTCAATGGTGCATTTCCTTTTGCTAAGGATTTGGAAATGTATACACACCCCCAAGGCACTTTCATTCCTTTTTTTTATGAACAAACAAAGAATAGAAAAGGAGATATCTTTCTTAGATTAAAAAACAAAGAAGAAGCAAAGAATTTGAATTATAACATTTACATTCAAACAACCAATGTCAATCGAATTACATTTTATATTTGTGTATTAAAAAACATTTAAAAAAAAAAACCTTACGTAAAGAAAATTGGTTTCTGAACACAGAATTAACTCATTTATTCATCACAATTTGGGTGTCAAAGCTATAATAATTGAAAACACCAACGATGTATATTTGTATTATTTTTATTTTTAAAGAATATATATTCGTATTATTATTACAATCGTAACATTATTTTAGCCCGTGTTAAGAATTTGTCTTCCATAAAGTACATGAATGTTTCTTGGTAATCCTCCTATCTCAAAGTTTTTTATTTATTTATTTTTTAACAAAAACTCATGCAGAGAGTAATTAGTGCTATTAAAATCACGTAAACTTGTTTTCATTTTTTTATTCCGAAAACATTAAAAGAAAAAACACAAGTATATTCGTTCTCGTTCCCAAACAAAATTTCGGAAAAAGAAAAAAAAAAAAAAGGAAAAAGAAAAATCACCTCCCGTCGTACTCTCTCTACACTAGGCGCAGTGTGCTTCCGGGGAAGCCGAGGCCGGAGCCGACGTTACTGTCTCAGAAAGGAAGAAGGCTGACGTACGCATCTCCGTTTGAAGACCTTTATCCATTTTTCTCTCACGCCAAAATAAAAAACAGCTTCAATTCTGAGGTCTGATCCTATTAACGCCCTTCTTTCATGCCGGTGAAATTTTATTCCTTACCGAAACCCTAAACTTTAATTTTTGTACTTCTGTTGTTATAATTATTTTGTATGTTATGGCATTAGTTAGTGTGCTAGGAGGCTACATATTTGTGGAATTGGAGCTCTGAGTTGCTTAATTTTTCTGGGAGAGAACCCTCCTCCTTCTTTTTCCTCTTTATTTTTGGTTATGATGTTATCCCCAAAAATTGTGGTTGAGCTACGGTTATGGTTTTAGTTTGTGTTGTGCTTCAGGATGGATTATAGGAAGTTAGCTGCCAATTTGAATTGTTTTTCCAATCAATGTGATATTAATGAGTGGTGATTTTGATTCAGGATTAGGTTACGACTGCATTGATGTTTTTAAGAAGGGATTGGGGTTGCCTAGGGCGGAGCTAGATGCAGATTGCGTGGATTTGAAACCCTAGGGTTGGTGACGATGGAAGGGGAAGAGAAAAGCAAGGTTGGCTCTAAGAGAAGGGCAAAGCAGGATGCTGTTAAGCTTGACTCTGATGACGATGAACTTATTGGGTCTTTCTTGAAGGCGAAGTCCAAAAGGAAAACTAAGAAGAAAAAGCTGGCTTTGGATGACCTGGCAATTGACAAGGTATTGGTTCAGGATGATGATATTGGTGGCATGGATGATACTTTGGCAAGTTTTAAGAAGAAGCTGCGGGCTCCAAAGAAGGACAGTGAGCTTCTTTCCACAGTTAGGGAGGATCTGGGTAGTGATGCAGATCCTCCCCTTCAACCTCAGACACCCATAAACAATGGACAGTTAGTTATGAAGGCCGTAAAAAATGTTAAAGTAGGTGATTATAATGATGGACATACAGTTGATAAAGTCATAGGAGAGTGTCCCAGGAAGAATGGTAGAAAATCCAATCTTGCTGTGGCATCGAGTAGTCTATCAACCGAATTTGGTTCCAGGAATACTTCAGATTATCAGGGGTTGGCTGATAAATCTTCACAGAATGCAAAAGGTAGCATTCTGCAGCCAGGTGAAGGTTCTACCAAACGTTTTGATGGTGCTTCAGAAGATTCATTATCTGCTTTGTTCCAAAAGGCACAAAATGGTTTAATCAGGAAATCACACAGGTCTCAATCTCAGATATTCAATGACATAGTTTCGGAGGATATGATGCCTGAATCTAGCATGAAAACTCCATGTGATTTTGAATTGGCCAATGAGAAATCTGAGTGTAGTGATGATTCAGCTGCAATGGACAATAAGACCAAGGATCATTTTGAAGGAAAACTTTGCAGTGATATAAGTCAGGAAAGGAAAAAATCTCATGCATTTCAAGTTGATGGCTTGACCAATCCAATAAAGAAGGTAGCTGCACCTGAGAATTCTCACTGTGGTATTGATTCTGATCAACCTCAAGTTCTGTCTTTTTCTGCAATTGGTGGATCGCATGAAGTACTTTCTTCTGACAACTATGCTGGCAGAAATAAAGTATTGGACAATTCTACTGAAGAAGCAGACCTTGCTTCAGTTTCTTCAGAAAAAGATCTTCCCATATTAGAGGGTAGTATGTACTCTGCATCAGCATATACGATGACCAAGACTGGATTTGTTACTCAGGTGAAGGAACAGAATCTATCTACCAGATATGGTGATGATTCCAAGGTGTTGCCTCTATGTCGAAGTCCCAATGGTTCTCTTATCAAGAACAACAAAAATAGTACTGATCAATGCGAAGATGCACTCATTGCTAGAATGTCCAAAGATGCATCTGGTTCAAACTTCGAATATTCTTCTGGGGAAGAAGAAACTAGGGGAGGCTCATCGCCATCTGATGTACCAGATTCTAATGGCAGTTGTGCTGATGAGGCAGGAGTGTCTAATGATCCCGAAAATAAAACCACTGACGTACTGGTTGGTCAGCGTGCTGTACGCACGGCTAGAAAACGCAGGCTTGGAGATATGGCCTATGAGGGCGATGCTGATTGGGAAGTCTTAATTCAGGATCAGGATTTTCTTGCTGGTCGTCACACTGGGAATGGTGATCAGTCTATTAAAACACGGGAAAAGTTGAGTTCTTCTCTGTCAGGCATTTCAGGGACTGCAAATGGAGGGGCAGCAGCCATATCAGCTGGTCTCAAAGCCTGTTCTGTTTGTCCAGTTGAGAAACTGAAGTTTAAGGAGCTATTGAAGCGCAAAGGTGGCCTTCAGGAATATCTTGAATGCAGGTTGTCTTGTATTTTTAATTTCGACGGCTTTCTCGGTGTCCTCTGATGCATGTTTGTACTGTTTTGTTCTTCGTGCATTTTTAATTTTCCATTTTATATTTGTGAATAAGCTCATAAAATGATTATCTTGATTGTATTCTGGTAGAATATTGCATACAAAATAATTATCTTGATTGTATTCAGAATTATATTGACTGTTTGGTTTGGTATCTGCTAAGTCTTTCCAGTAGTGGCTAATTTATTTCAATATTTGGTGTCTCTTAATGCGTGTTCGGTTGCTTGGCTAGAGTGTCATTTGTGCAAAAAGTGTTAGCTTGTCGCATTTAGGCATCTATAATTAATAATAAAGAGTTTGATCAAATTTGAATTTCTGAATGGAATCAAGTTCGATTTGAGAGAAGTGGAGCATGAAAGAACTTTATTTGAATGAATTAGATCGAGCTTATTCATATTCTTTGTGAATATGATGAGAAAAATCATCGTCCAAATTTTTCGTATTGTAGTTTGTTTTTTCTTTTGTTTTCTATTCTCGTGTAATGCTAAAATACAAGCTCTAACCATTTAATCCTTTGTCATTCAGATCATTGATGAGTGACTATAAGATGAACATATGTCTTTTGTCTTATTGCATTGATAAACCTTCCAGTTTGATGGAAGCTATAAAATCTTTCTAGCTCCATGGATCTTGATTTGTTGAAATGGCACAGGAATAACATTCTGAGACTTTGGAACAAAGATGTCAGTCGCATTTTGCCTCTTTCAGAGTGTGGAGTGTCTGATAGTACTTTGCCGGATGGATCATCACGTGCTTCACTAATTAGGGTTGTCTATGAATTTCTTGATCAATGTGTAAGTTTATATAATCTGCTCTCATTCAGACTTTTCTTCCCTTTTCTGATTAAAACATGTGAAGAGAGATGGTTTCTTTTCATGCTTGTCAAGTTTAGGATATTTTATACATTAACTCTTTAAAGGTGTTTTTCAATCTTCCACTTAACTTCTCTACTTCTTCTCAGGGCTATATAAATTTTGGTGTCGCTTCTGAAAAGGCTGAAAATGGTTCTTCACATAACTTAAAACTTGTAGAGGAGGAAAATTTTGTCGGAAGATCAGGGGCTCCTGTTTCTGATGCGAATGACGGAGTGTGCTTTATTCTTGGGAAGGTTAAGAACTTGGAGAATTTCACTTTGGAAAAGCATGTTGATTCACTGCTGCTATCTAAAGCTGAGCCAGATGAGGGTCTTGGTATTCAAAATTCACCTTCTCAGACTGAGAACAATAGATTTTCTGCTCATAGTTATGATGAAAACGGCATCAAGGATGCAAGAATGTATGGTGAAACAGTCGCTTTGGATAAGTCAGATTCAAATCTTTCTATTGAAAATGAGAAATGTAAAATGATTTTTGTCCCAAGTTCAGATTTGCTTCCTACAGCTGAAGCAGATATTTCTAGACCCGGGTCTCTTGGTCTTTCACAACCTCCAAAAGATAGTTATAACCTTGAATCTACCTGTTCTAGTGACCTGGGTCATTTATGTGACTTGGATAATAGGAAGAGAGTAATTGTTATAGGGGCTGGCCCTGCTGGCTTGACTGCCGCAAGGCATCTACAGCGTCAAGGCTTTCATGTAACTGTTCTGGAGGCTCGAAGTAGAATTGGTGGTAGAGTATTTACAGACCGTTCATCTCTTTCAGTTCCAGTGGATCTTGGTGCCAGTATTATTACTGGAGTGGAGGCCGATGTAGCTTCTGAAAGGAGAGCTGATCCATCTTCATTGATTTGTGCTCAGTTAGGCCTCGAGTTGACAGTCTTGAATAGTGACTGTCCACTTTACGATACCGTGACTGGTAAAAAAGTTCCCTCCAATGTGGATGAAGCGTTAGAAGCAGAATTTAACAGCCTCCTTGATGATATGGTGCTGCTGGTTGCTCAGAAGGGTGTAGATGCTGAACAAATGTCTCTTGAGGATGGGTTAGAATATGCCCTCAAAATGCGCCGCTTGGCTCGTGAACAGAAGAATCTTGCAAGTCCAGAGCTGTCTAAATCGGAGGATACTTTATTGGCTGATGAAAATGTTGAAGTTCATGCCGAAGTTTCTGAGGCTCATAGTAAAAGGGCAGAGGTTTTGGCTCCTATTGAGAGGAGGGTTATGAATTGGCACTTTGCCAATTTGGAGTATGGATGTGCTGCATTGCTTAAAGAAGTTTCTCTTCCTCATTGGAACCAGGATGAATCGTACGGAGGTTTTGGTGGAGCTCATTGTATGATTAAAGGGGGTTACGGGGCTGTTGTTGATTCACTCGGAAAAGGACTTAATATCTACTTGGATCATGCTGTGACAGATGTTATATATCCAACAAATGCCATGGGCGATAATAAGAGTAAGCAGGTCAAAGTTTTTACATCAAATGGTAGAGAGTTCTTCGGAGATGCTGTCTTGATAACTGTGCCTCTGGGTTGCTTGAAAGCTGGGAGCATAAATTTTTCTCCACCCTTACCCCTGTGGAAGAACCTATCAATCCAGAAGCTTGGTTTCGGGGTTCTTAATAAAGTGGTTATGGAATTCCCTGAAGTTTTTTGGGATGACTCAATTGATTACTTTGGTGCTACTGCTGAAGAAACAAACCAGAGGGGTTGGTGCTTTATGTTTTGGAATGTCCGGAAAACTGTGGGGGCTCCTGTGCTCATTGCTTTAGTTGTTGGTAAAGCTGCTATTGATGGGCAAAGCATGAACGCTTCTGACCATCTCAACCATGCTCTATTGGTTCTTCGAAAGCTGTTTGGAGAGACTGCTGTTCCTGATCCAGTTGCATCAGTAGTGACTGACTGGGGGAGGGATCCTTACAGTTATGGGGCTTATTCTTATGTTGCTGTGGGGTCATCTGGCGAGGACTACGATATATTGGGTAGGCCTGTTGAGAATTGCTTATTTTTTGCTGGTGAAGCCACTTGTAAGGAGCATCCCGACACAGTTGGTGGTGCAATGATGAGTGGGCTTCGCGAGGCAGTGCGTATCATTGACATACTGGTTGCGGGAACTGATTACACTACAGAGGCAGAGGCTATGGAGGCTGCAAAGAGGCACTCAGATATTGAGAGAAGTGAGATAAGGGACATAATCAACCGACTTGAGACAATAGAGGTCTCAAATGTTCTTCATAGGAGTTCTTTGGATCAGACTCAGAAGTTGACCAAGGAGAGCGTGTTACGAGAATTATTTTTCAATGCACAAACTACATCTGGAAGATTGCATGTGGCAAAACAGTTGCTGAAGCTTCCTGTTGGATTCTTGAAATCATTTGCTGGAAATAAAGATGGCCTAAGCAAGCTCAACTCTTGGATGCTAGTATGTCCTTATCGTGAAATATTATACTCTTGTTGATATCTACTTCATTTCGTGTGTTTTATGCAAACTGATCTTATATTTATTTTACTTTTACTGCTTACAAACAGGACTCCATGGGAAAGGACGGGACTCAGTTATTGCGTCATTGTGTTCGTCTACTCGTACTTGTTTCAACCGATTTGCTGGCTGTGCGTCTCTCAGGTAATGGAAATCTGCTACTATTGATTTCGACTTGATTCTATGTTTTCCCTCTTGTACATATCTGGTTTTCCTCTGATTGATTAGTCTCATAATGTTATAGCTTCTTCTTCTTCTATTTTTTTATATATATTTTTTTGTAATTTTTTTTTTATCAATAGTTGTTCCCCACTTACCCCCTAATGGTATAGCTTCATTATATGAGAAAATGAGATTTATATCCTGATGTCCTGTTTTAGATGCATGTTGATTTTGCTCATTTATGGTCAAAACCACAAGTCTTATGATCCTTGTAGTGTCTCTCTCGTAGACTTGTGAGAAAGTTGTAGGACTGTCAGCCATAATGTGTTGTGAAGATGAAAGCATATTCCTGTGCACTATGTCTTTTGTTATTTGCTAAAAATCATATTCATGTTCAAATAGTTGGTTTTTGTGGCTGAGATGGCAATGTGTATTTATTGTTTCCATTTCATCTTTTGAACTTTTATTAGAGTAATGACATGCAGACTTAAAAATCATTGTGACTAACATGGCATGGTATGGGGTATAATCTGTGCAACAGCAATTTCTCTGAGTTTCTATCAATCACGTTCCATGTGTTTCAGTGTCGGTCATGTCAGTAACTTAAGAAACTTGATTTTGATTTTTCATTTTGGATATGGTTTCTTTATTATTGATGTAAAATTGTAAATTCTTACAATTTCCTCGGTTGAGATTCATGTGTGATGTATTTTCGTTTTGCTCTAGGCATTGGAAAGACGGTAAAAGAAAAGGTTTGTGTACACACAAGCCGTGACATACGTGCTATTGCAAGCCAACTCGTTAAGGTGTGGATTGAAATCTTTCGTAAAGAGAAAGATTCACTGAAAAGGCTGAGACAGCCAAATGGGGTTGATTCTGCAAAGTCTAGATCATCGGTGGCTCCGGGTAAACCACCTTTGCGGATCACTAACATTTCTGCAGAAAACCGGGGAGCTTCAAAAGTTTTGTCTTCTAGGAATCATTTGACATCAAGTATCCATAGTAGGAAATTGAACACATCCAAGCCAGTAAAGCCCGAAACGTGTACTGACTCAAGATTTGATGTTAAATCTTCCAGTTCTCAAGGTTCTTTGGGAAGGCAAAATGAACCAGGAGAGGAAGTGAAAGAATTGCCCATGTCTGAGGAGGAAAAGACTGCATTAGCTGCTGCAGAAGAAGCTCGTCGTGCTGCTGCTGCTGCTGCTGAGGTTTGTTTCTTTTGTTATACCTTTGATGTGCTTATTACCATTCCCAGCTTCCAGCATTTTTTCCTATATGGGTTTTTGATTCGAAGATGTTGTCACAATCCCTAAATTACATATTCTCATTCATTGTTGTTGATGCCAACTTGGATATACTCTTGACTTTATTTGGACCTTCGGATATACAGTTTGAGAACTGGGTTGGAGACATTGCAGCATCTACCCTCTAGTGCTTTCTTGTTGAATTGTCTTTTGAAGCTGTAATATTTTGCTGATAGGTTTTGGTTCTTCCATATTTCAGGCATATGCTTCTTCTGGTCCCAAGAGTAGTTTGTCTTTACCGCTCCCAAAGATAGTTTCCTTTCACAAGTTTGCTAGGCGTGAACAATATGCACACATGGATGAGCCTGATGGCAGGAGGAATCTGTCTGGCGGTGCATATGGCAAACAAGATTGCTTATCTGAAATAGATTCTAGGAACTGCAGAGTTAGGGACTGGTCAGTTGATTTTTCTGCTGCGGGGGTGAACCTCGATGGCTCTAAACTGTCTATTGATAGCCATTCTCAACGGAGTCACTCTAATGAGATTGCTAACCAGATGCACTTCAGAGAGCACTCTGGAGAAAATGTGGCTGTTGACAGCAGCCTATTTACGAAGGCCTGGGTTGATAGTGTTGATAGTACTGGAACTAAGGACTACAGTGCCATTGAAAGATGGCAATGTCAAGCAGCCGCTGCTAATTCTGATTTCTTCCATCAGAATATGGACCTGATTGATGAGGAGGACTCAACTTCAAAATTTGATTACAGAGCACAAGGTGGCCTGGCATATGAGAGCTCTGCTTCACAAGTTACTGTAAGTAAGGACTATGTTAAAAATCAAGCAAGAGGAGCTGAACGTATCAAACAAGCTGTTGTGGACTATGTAGCTTCCCTACTCATGCCTCTGTATAAAGCAAGGAAGATTGACAGAGATGGGTACAAGACTATAATGAAAAAAACTGCTACCAAGGTGGTTAAAGACTTTCCTTTCTTATCGTCATCTTCCTGATTATCCATTATGTTTCTATTAGTGAAACATCAATTAAGAAGCAACCTGCTGCTCTGTGCTCTGATTTCTTGGGTATCTAGGTTACAGATGTTGCACTTAGTAAATTAGCAGAGTATGAGTCGTCTATTTCTTCGTTTATGTATATTTGGTATTGCATTGCACTTATACACGGTTATACTTATTTCAGGTCATGGAACAAGCCACTGATGCCGAGAAGGCAATGGCTGTTTTCCAATTTCTCGATTTTAAACGCAAAAACAAGGTAAATGCTGTTTTCGATTCAAGTCTTTGGATTCATGTTTGTGACATGAAACTCTCTGCATTTACTTGATGTTGTATTGCCCATTGCCCTGTTTCTACTTTTTTTAAGGCTTCGTGTAAATACTGACTTGTTATCTGTGGAAGAATAGTATTACCATGTCCCGGACTATCTTTCTTCTTTTAGGGAAAAAAAAAAAGATTCTCCCCCCGTCCCTAAATGATTGTCCAGTTTGCATTTTCAATTATAGTAAAAATTATACTAAAAGTGAAAATCCAAACAGGACAATCATTTTGGGACAGGGAGTAATTTTCTAGGGTGTTGGTGGAGTTGTCATAAGTTCTTAATTTTGCATTGTGTCAAGTGATGTGATTTTTAAATCCTGCACAGTTCTGGTTCTGGAGAATGGACAAAAACCTTACACTCTTTATTTCTGTGATATATTGTAAATCTTTATATGCCTCTGGGAGTTTTTGAGTTCTGAATTTGTTGACATTTGTACCTCAAGCAAACTCTTGGATACTCTTCCTCTTTTTCTCTTTCCTTTGTCTGCATACATACCTCATTTGATTCTGTATCTGGTTGTTCAGTACTTTTTTACATTGGAAGTTTTTTGGTTTTCTGAGGTGCAGATTCGAGCCTTTGTGGACAAATTAATTGAAAGACACATGGCAATGAAGCCAGCCGCGAAGTCTTGATGGTACTTGGGAATGCTGATGGTAATGATTCGGCGCCTTGTTGGCCAATAACACAGAAGATCTTGGGTTTTTGGTGGCTTTTGGAATTTGTACCTTCATTAGAACTGTTCATCCCTCATATCCAAGAAACTTCTGATATCCTGCAAGTTCGTGGTTCAGTGGAATTTACAGTTCTTGTGAGTGTATTTCTCTACACTTGTCTTCTTGGAGCAAATATGACCTACTCTTGTTTCTTCAAAAGGTTTCTGACAGCAAGATCCCTATTTGTGACAACAATTGCATTCCAGGCAGCAAAGGCCTCCTGCAATGTAATTTTTCAAAGCGGGAGCTGTATTATATATTAGATACCTTTCTCACCTGATAGGCATCAGACTCATTTGATATATGAGACCAGAGTATATTTAGGATTGCGCGTCACAATTTATCAGTGTATCTTTTAGGGTAGTAAGCGAAGACCCCTATTTTTCAATTCAGGGATCATCATAGATGAGAGATGACTTGTTTTCTCCTCTTGACAGATGTACAGACTAGGACGGTTTTAATATTTATGAAAATACTGACATTGTTCCCCTCATTCCAAGGCAGTTAAGCTTTTCTGCTTTCTGATGTTTTTCTGTTGATGTGAAGATTATAACGGTTTGAGATCAGTACGATATGTATGGATTAGATCACTTGTGGACTCTGCTCTCAATTGGTTGATTAACTTCAATTAGTTTATTGGCGTGTTCATGTCCTTCAATGGAATGCAGTTTCAAGCTGGCTTTCTTGGTCTTACTTGCTGTGTATGCTTACATTTAGTTGAGATATATTTTTGCAGAAATGATTACATGTATATGGATTAGATCACTTGTAGGCTTTCGAAGAACACAAGGTGGAGGTGCCAACTGGGAAAATTTTTGCTCAAGAGGTGTATCCATTGTCACTTGATCTGGAATTTAGAGTAGGTAAGTTGCTGGATATGCTTTTCATTACTCAAATCATCCACTAACTACAGTGTCGATGACAACACAAAAGCTTCACTCATAATCTTTACGCCTGATAGTAGTTTTTTCCACTGTTTAATTTTGTTTGCTGGCCCTAATTCTTTGGGCAAACTCATTGCATCTGCGGTATTTTTGTTTTCTTGGGATACTTAACGGATTTGATCTGTATCGGCCTTACTACAATGAGGAAATGTGAATCCATGTCCAGATTTAATTCTTCTATTTGTGCTGATGTATCGTAATTATGTCTTGTAATTTGGAGGGAGAAAATTCTCGCTTCACCCTGTAGCTCAAAGTTGACTCGTACTGGATATACATGCTCAGTTCGGCATTGACATTTCTGTCTTTTTTAATGTGAAAATGGTCACACAATTGTTCTTATTTAACTCTTCTATCTGCCATCTTTTCAGTTATCCCTTGTCTCCTTTTCTGTCCTAATGAGCTCATTTTGACTACAACTTGTAGGAGCAGTTTGCAGCTTTTGAAGAGGTCGCAGATGGACTGAGTGAATTGAATTCAGTTATGTCTCAGACAATTTACTTTATGTAACTTGGGTTTTGTGTGAATTAATTTGATAAATGGCAGTTCTAATCTTTTAACCGCGTCTTTTAGTTTTACTCTGTTTGTTTTTACCCATTTGGTGATTGCAGCTTTGAAAGTCTAGAATTTGCTGCTTGATGCTGTGCTCGTGCATTTTGTTGATTTGTATGCCAAACTTAGGATCTAAGCTTGATTTTTGAAAGACATGTCTGTGTGATTTGTGGGTTTCACTTTACTTTAGGCTTCATCTTGTTATTGATCTTGGTGTTGCGAGCACATTTTGTTGATTTGTGTGCCAAATTAAGGATCTAGCTTGATTTTTGCAAGAGATGTCTTGTTGTGATTTTCTGAGTTTCACTTTACTTAAGGCTTCATCTTGTTACTGATCTTGGTGTTGCTATGCATGCATATAGATACAGGGTTCTGCCATTTTTAGCAAGCTACTATTGGCTGTTGCTGCTAAGTTTGTTGGCATGTTTCTGCCCAGTTAATCTTTAGTTGGACAGAATAGCAATTAGGAATTAACGAGGGACAATTTTCAGAAGGGGCTGCTTGGTGATGACTGATGAGTATCATCACCTCTTCTCTAAAGATGATGTGATAAATGACCTGCAAGGCTGCAACTATCTTCCCTCACCTCTTCGTCCAAGTGTGTACATTCGAGTTGTAGCATTTGCATCATCATGATTTTTAAGATTTCTGTGCCATTGGTTCCTGTCAAGTCATTACAGGCCTACGTGTGCAGTGCCAAAGAGCAGCAATGGCAGGAACAGAGTATCCGGAGTGTGAAAAGAGTATCACATTCCACACGGTATGGTCTGAAAGAGTTAAACCTGCAACTCTATTCAATTTAAGTTGTGCTTCCACGTTGGTAAAGATGGCAGCAGATTTGAAGTTTTCTCCTCTCACGTTTTTCTTTTTGAAACCCTTAATTAAGTTTCTAAAAAGGAAAAAAATAATAATTAAAGGTACTTTTATGTTGTTGAAACTTGAAAGAGTTTCCGTTGTTTACCTCAGGATCTATTTCTTGTTGACATTCCCATGGAAACTACCAAGAGTTCCTAATGAACATGTGAGATTAGATAAGGCTATTTTTATCATCTACCATATCACCTTTTTAAGTGCTGTTTAATTTGCTAGCTTTTCTTTGTAGCCAATACTGTCATGCAGATTCGTAAAAAGGTTTTTTTTTTTTTTTGGTACATTTTTAATTAATACTACCTCCGTCCCAAAAAAAAAATATAATCCATATCGAGTTTTAAGTTTCGTACTGTTTTTAGTATAAATTTGCAAACTCAATTTGAACTTTTTTCTTTGGACGGAGGTAGTATATGAGTGTAAACTAAAATGCAAAAGGTTTTATTTTTATTATCAACTAAATATACCATGCTATATGTGAAAAATGAAACGATGGTATTTGGAAAATGTGAAAAGCGAAGATGAAATCGTCCTGTATAAAGCCTTGATACAAAGTGTTAACATATTTGTCTGATTTGTTTTAGAATTTGATCCCATTTTTCAATAAAAGTTTAAACAACCGTAAAGTCCGTTCGAGTTGATGCTTAATCATAATACAGTTTGATAAATATCTAGCTACAAATACTAATTGTGACTATATATGAAGACAGATCCATCCACTGAATAAAGTTGTTAATAATAAATTAGATTTGGAAAAAATGAAGCTAGAGACAATCAACAAAATCTTGAATCTCTAAAGTTAATGACTACTGATTAATTACAGTACAAATAATACAAAAATGTGGGGGGCATAACAGTAATTCAAGGTGATGTTTCCAGTCTTCTCCGATCCCAAACCCGATCGTAATTTGGGTTAATAATCACAATAAATTAATAGATTATTAGCAAACGGACCCCTTATTTGATTAGGACAGCCGTGAGAAAAAGGAAAGAGAAATACGAAAGTCCACCACTCCCTTCTCCCCATCCTTCCCCGATCCTGAGATAAAACAAACAAAAGGAAGAAACCCAAAAAAATCTCAGATCCAATCCAATCAGCCAACCTCTTCTTTCTTCCTCCATCTCGCCGGATCGAAATCAGATCTCCAATCACCATGTCGTCGACCTTCAGCGGAGATGAAACTGCACCCTTCTTCGGCTTCCTCGGCGCTGCCGCTGCCCTAGTCTTCTCCTGTAAGACATTGTCCAATCTCTCTCGTTGTAATTGATTCCAGATCTAGCAGCTTGATTGTTCAATTCACTTTGTCGATGATGTTTTCTCTGTTTTTTTTTTTTTTTTTCTTTTAGGTATGGGAGCTGCGTACGGAACAGCGAAGAGTGGCGTCGGTGTGGCATCAATGGGAGTGATGAGGCCTGAGCTGGTGATGAAGTCTATCGTTCCGGTGGTTATGGCTGGTGTGCTCGGTATTTATGGCTTGATTATTGCTGTGATTATTAGTACCGGCATCAACCCCAAGACTAAGGCCTACTACCTGTTCGATGGATATGCTCATCTCTCTTCCGGTTTGGCTTGTGGCCTTGCTGGACTTTCTGCTGGCATGGCTATCGGAATAGTTGGTGATGCCGGTGTTAGGTAATTGTTCCCCCCTGTTTGTCTAGTTTCCTTTTTTTTTTTTTTTTAATTTATGCTTGTTTCCTTCATCCAAATTTAATGGTTAAACAATTTAGCTTTGGTGTGAATTTTGATGAAATGCTACTCGATTCCGAATATTGATTCTGAACTATTGGCTTTTAGTTGCTGCTAGAGAATTGAATCTTGATTGGATTTTTGAAAGGTAGATATAAATCATATGAAACAATAGAGAAGTGAATCTTGATTGGACTTTGTGAGATGGATATAAATCATATGAGACGAAATCCTTTAATAAGATTTTATTGGTCTGTATCTTTACTCCATTGAATTAGCTTGCTTCAGTTTTTTCTCGGGAATGGAAACTTTAGGTAGGTGTTTGCAGGTGTTCCCCTTGGTCAATTAAGTTTTGAAAGCGTGCTATTTCCAGAACTGATTTTATCTTCTGGATAGGTTACTTTTCAAATCTCTTGATGGAGATTGCCGTAAATTGATCTGATCTGCATTGTGTTTTGTGTATTTAAGATTGTGGTAAATTGATCTGATCTGCATTGTATTTGGTGTCCAAGGATGCACCAGCAATACTTCTAATGTTTGCACTTACTATCTTCGACTCCCTCCGTCGAAAAAAAAAAAAAAAAAATCCACATTGACTTTAGAGATTTGTACTGGTAGTGGGAGTATTTGATTTCGTTAGATTCCCCATATCTGGTAATCTGCTTAGCTAGTTTTTGTAGAAAATATGAATTGTTCATATTCACATTGATATTCACATTATGACTTAGGTGATTTGGTTATGAAATTGTTATCTAGTGAACTTCCCTAAGGATGTGGATTAGTATAATTAAATTCGGTAGAAAGGTATGATGAGCTCACTTTAAATATGCATGAGCTACGTTGGCATGGGTGGCTCTTTTCTTTTCCATCACCAGCATGTGCTACATTATCATTTTAGGGAAGTTCAGAAATTTCTGTCATTCTTGCACTTAGACTTAAAGTTTCGAACTCTGTCGGGCACGGTATTCTTCATTTAATTGGTTCTGAAGCCTCAGCTTTATGCACAATGATCTCCTTGTCTGCAAGGATAGTTTTTGGCTCTTGTATCTCTTTCCTTGTATTCTTGGGAAATTTAGCTATGGTCCTGATGTCTATTTTGTGTCTATGCTTGGGCATATAATTGTGGTTCTAATCTCTCTACTTTTCTTTATATTACAGGGCCAATGCTCAACAACCAAAGCTTTTTGTTGGTATGATTCTTATTCTTATTTTTGCTGAAGCTCTGGCTCTTTATGGTCTGATTGTTGGTATCATCCTCTCCTCTCGAGCTGGTCAATCAAGAGCTGATTAGAGAACTGGAATGGATGTGGCTCGCAGATGGTCTCGTCCAATCTTTTGTTAAGAAGTATCTATGTTGTCTTTCTCTATTATTTGAGGTGGTGGTGCAGTAGGGAAGCTTACTCAGTTAAACCCAAGCATTCACAGTGGAAATCCCATTGCTTCCTACGGCTATTCCGGTGTTTACCTTCTTTAGATTTTGCATTTATATTATTTTTTGAATAAATTCTGTTCTGTTTAATAGCACTGCATCCAGAAAACAACTAGATTGAATTTGTATAACGATACTTTTACATCAGTTTTTTTTTTTTGAACATTGATGTTTCACCACTTTATTTTCAATCTGATAAATAATATTGGCTTATCGTTACCACGTTTGGATTCAAATTGATCTCAATCTTATGCACGTATTCTTAGTTTTTGGAAACCAAGTGTGTTCTATTGTACTTGTAAATTCTCGAATTCACCAAAAGCTGCTGTTTGACATCTTGTGGGTACTTAAATTTTTCATTTTTCATTTCTCAACCTATCTTGTAGTTCTGCAATTAAAATCCTGCCCCTTAGGATATGTGGTGGTTATGTTCTGCAATTAAAATTCTGCTGTTTGGTACATACCCTTAGCCAGATCAGATCAATTGTCACGGAGAAGAATCGATCTCTGATGACGACAGAAAAAAAATTCTTCTCAACAAGTAACTGGAGGTATTGGGTGGTTCTAATTTCCATTGTGTTTATGCGCCGCCGCACCCCTCACGGTTCTTGTTATTATGCATCATCATCATCATCACCAATCTATCAACAACAAGAACCCAGAAGAGTTTATTCACTCTCAATACCAAAAACTGGATGATCTATTCCGCACCCTTTTCGGGTTCGGAGTCACCTTCGGTGGCATGGTTATCTCAGTATTCCCCTCCATCGCTCGGTATGTGAGACAGTACCCAAATAACAGTACTGCACAGTTTTTGGATGGCGGTCCCGACGAGCCTAAGTTTTTCACTTCCGTTATCTCTTTTCTTGGTTTGTCATATCTTGCCATTTTGTTGCCCCTTACCAACTATTTCACCCCCAACTTTTTCAATCTCCGCTGCAAGATTCAGCATCACCAGTTCAAAACCCTAGCGGATTTCCAACTCTTTGAATATTACAATGGTATGTTCTACTTTTCCTTGGGATTCAGGATCGCTTGGTTTATGTTGTCTGCTCTCGTCGAGATTGTCTATTAGCGTCACGAGTTGGTCCATCTCTGGAGGGTCATAACCAACAACACTTGGTGGTATTCTTCTTCTATACGTATTCATCCCACCTCAGTGAATCAACCCAACAACAACAGCTCAGAAGAGGATGCCATACACATAGACATAATTTAGACTACTTTGTCAAAATAATTTAGTGCTTCATAACTCCACGTTGATTTTGTTACACGATCCTGGATGGGTAAATGGAGATTAAGGCTAGCTAGGTATGGTTTCTACCTATTTTTGGCTTTGTAAAACCACTTTTGAGTCTACTTATCAATAGACACTTCTTCTTTACACAAATATCTGTTGTTTCTTATGTTAGGATTTAATTATTTTTCTTTATCGTCTGTGTTTTTTTAATGTTTCTTGTTTCGTCGAAGAAAGTTGTTTACGAGTTCTGAAATGTGGCTCTATAATTATTGTTCTTGGACAGAAGTAGTACAATATTGGTCGCAATTTTATAAATAGTACTTCCTCCGTCTCATAATTATTGTCCAGTTTTACTAAAATGAAAGATTTTATTTTTTGTCAAACTTAATTATATTTTACCTTAAACAACCGGATATACCCCTACATAAGTAATTGTTTAACCACTAAGATTTTGTGGATAATGTTTTTTACTAAGGACAAATGTGTAACTTGATCCATAAAACGTCAAATTGGACAATAATTTTAGGACAAAATTTTTTGGGCAAAGTAGACAATAATTATGGGACGGAGGGAGTATAAAAAATCTTCATGGAATAGTGTTGAAGAAAAGCCGCAACACTGGAGCAGGATATTGTTATTTGTATAGGCATGCCCTGCCTTTGGTCATGTTACTTAGTGCAACTCGGAATAAAGAACTTATCATGAAAGAGCTTTTTGAATTAATATGGTACAGTGGTGGCGGTTGGTTTATTATCCACTTTTGAATATCAATGTAATTAAATGATCCTCTCAAACTCGAGTATGCAGTTTTGCAAAAAAATGCTGATGTCTTGGCCATCCACCAATAAATAGAAAATATAGAAATTTTGAACTGTATCTATTTCTCTTATCTAAATTTAGAAATTTGAATGTGACTAGTACGTACAGTACAATTTACAATTTTGAATGTCACATGCAGTATTTAGGCCATGTGATTTTGAGAAATGGAGTACAAATGGATCCAAATAAAGTAAACAGTATTATGGATTGGCCAATATCAAAAATATTTAAGCAGTTGAGAGGTTTTCTAGGACTAGCATGGTATTACAGAAGATTTGTTAAAGGCTTTGGAATCATCAGTAAACCCCGGACCAATTTGCTGAGGAAAGGAAGTTTTAAATGGGATGATGAAGCCACATTGTCTTTTCAGAACTTGAAGAAAGCTCTAACAACTGCTCCGGTACTTGCTTTACCAGATTTTTCACAAGAGTTTGTAGTAGAAACTAATGCATGTGGAGAAGGTATGGATTCTGTTTTAATACAAGATGGTCATCCAATTGCATACTTAAGCAAAGCTTTCTGTGAGAAGAACAAAGCTCTATCAACATATGAGAAGGAACTCTTGGCATTAGTGATTGTAGTTTAGAAATGGAGTCATTATTTACAGGAAAATCACTTTGTGATCAAGACTAGTTATCAATCCCTGAAATATTTGTTGGAACAGAATCTCAATACTCCATTACAGCATAAATGGTTGGTTAAACTCATTGGTTTTGATTATGAGATTAAATACAGGAAAGGACAGGAGAATAAAGCAGCAAATGCTTTATCCAGGAAAGAAGTGGTGGAATCTGATTTTGTAAATGCCATCAGTACAGTGCAACCTGTTTGGTTACAGCAGCTTGCTGAAAGTTACATTGGAGATGTAGAAGCTCAGCAAATGATTCTCAATGCTACCACGGATCAGGTAAACCACCCTGAGTTACAATGTGTGGGAGGACTTTTGAAGGTGAGTGGGAAACTCTGTGGGAACTAAAGATGGCTTGAGAGAAAAGTTGATAAGTGTGTTCCATGCATCATCATTGGGAGGTCATTCTGGTTAGAAAGCAACTTATCAGAGAATGGGAAGTTTGTTTGGCTGGTAAAATATGAAGAAGGAAGTGGAACAGTTTGTGAGACAAGGTGTGATCTGTCAGACTAGTAAACCTGAGCATGTCCATTATCCTGATTTACTTCAACCATTACTCATTCCACAACAAGCTTGGAAGGGTATCAGTATGGACTTCATTGAGAGACTTCCTATGTCAACAGAAGGGTATGATTGCATTTTAATGGTGGTGAACAGACTCACCAAATATGGTCACTTTATACCCTTGAAGCATCCTTTTTCTGCTAAGGAAATTGCTGAAGTTTTCTTGAGAGAAATTTACAGGTTGCATTGTTTGCCAGATTCTATAGTTTCTGACAGAGATAAGATATTTACATCTCATTTCTGGAAGGCATTATTCCAAGTGTTGGTAGTACAGTTGAGTTTCAACACAGCATATCATCCACGATCAGATGGCCAAACTGAAAGATTGAATCAATGCGTGGAAGCGTATCTAAGATGTTTTTACAGCATTGCTCCTAGTAGTTAGTCTAAGTGGTTGCTGAGTGGTGGTATAATACTTCTTTCCATTCAAGTGCTCAGATGTCTCCTTATCAGTGTTTATATTGATTCCAACTCACAGGCATTACTTTTGGGAGTTACAATGATATTGTCATAGCAGCTGTGGATGATCTGTTTCAGCAAAAACAGGCAGTGATGTCTAAATTGAAAGACAGTTTGATCAAAGCTCAGGACAGGATGAAACAGTATGCTCATCAGAATAGAACTGAGAGACAATTCCAGGGGGAGAGATTGGGCATTGTTGAAACTCCAACCTTACAGGCAGCAAACATTAGTGAATAAAAGCTTTCTGAAGTTGATGGTCAGATTCTTTGGTCCCTATAAAGTGCTGGAAAGAATAGGTAATGTGGCTTACAAGTTGGAGTTACCAGTTAGAACTCGGGTGCATCCTGTTTTTCATGTGTCATTATTGAAGAAGTATGTTGGAGAACCACCTTCTCAAATCTCTAATTTGCCTGATTTAGAAGATCCATACTTTATGGCCTGAAAAGATCTTGCAGAGAAAATTTGTGTTGAGAAGAAGCCAGGAGGTAGTGCAGTGGCTGATTAAACTTTACCCCGTTCTGTTCTAAATTCTAGACTTAAGGTTTTGGACTTTCAAGGTTAGTTAATTACGGTCTCAACTCCTAAGACTTCCTAGTTATATAAACAAACTGTAGCTTCCAACACGTGTTACATTGTCAGTGGTGTTGATACATTTGTTTAATTTAGGGGACCTGAAGGACGACGAGTACTAATAATGTATCCTCCTCCTTTGACGAAATGAACAAAAAAAGCCAATAATTACTGTAGACACAGGCCAACATCATCCCTGACGTAGGACGAACCGTGTGAACGCCGGTTCACCTCCACTGGGAATCGTTTCCTTCTTTATTAATTCACAAAAAAAATAAAAATAAAAATAAAAATAAAAATAATAATAATAAAAAGGGTCAACAAAGAAACAAAGAAAGATTGACGGATGAAAAAAGCTCTGTAGAAGCTACCGAGATCCTTCATACCTCCATTGAAGTTACAGATAATTTTCCACGCATTTTTCTTATTTATACAAATTGAAGGGAAAATTGGGAGTATTTTTGAATGAACTCTTCATCAAATACAAAATTTTGATTCATATTTTTTTGAGGGGCGTAAACATTTTCGCATGAGGAGTTGTCTAACCGGGAGGAGCGGCACGAAGACTTCAAAAGTTAATTATTCTTCTTTGGCCAGTATGTCAGATGGAGGAGTTGCTTCTACGGTGGAAACTACCACCACTGCCGCAGCCGCAGCGACGGCGACGGCGACGGCAACCACCACAAATACTAATAAGAGATCGCTGTGGCCTACCGTTCTGCGTTGGATACCTACATCCACCGACCACATCATTGCCGCCGAGAAACGCCTCCTTTCTATTGTCAAGTATAATTCTTTTACCTTTTCTATTCTTGCATCATTGCAATTGTCTGCGGGATATATTCCCATTCATGAATGAGGAGTCAAATTGATTGTTATGCTATTCCGTTTCCGAACTTGTATGATCCCTTCTACAATTTGCTATGTTAGAAATATATGAGAACTTGTTTTACCGTACCTGATATAATGAGGAAGAAAAATTACCCATTTATTGGTGCTTGTTGGGATTTATTTGAAGTCAACTAAAAGGACTAGGACCGAAATCCAGTACATTATGCGGGTATTGATTGCTCTGGCGTTCTTAAATTTATTTGCATTTTCATAATTTGATTGCTGATCAAAATTTCATTGATTTCTGGATTGTTGGATTAACCTCAATGTGGTTTGTTTCCCTTTGTAAATTTTGAGATGTCATTTACATGTTACCTGGTTAATGTTAATCAAGTGTGCTTTTCTCATAACGTAATCAATTAGTGATGATCATTTTCACTTTGATTGGATTGAATATCAGGACTCCCTATACCCAAGAGCTGGTTAATATAGGAACTGGTCCACCAGGGTCTAAAGTCAGGTGGTTTCGTTCTGCGAGCGATGAACCAAGATATATCAATACTGTAACTTTTGACAGCAAAGAGGGCTCCCCAACTCTTGTTATGGTACATGGATATGCTGCTTCCCAAGGGTTCTTCTTTCGGAACTTTGATGCCCTTGCAAGTCATTTTAAGATTATTGCTATTGATCAGCTTGGGTAAGTGATGGAATCCATGAATTTCTCTTGTTTGCTGAATTGTTTTCTTCTTTTGTTATTACATTTGCTTATTATGAATTGTAGATTTGGTATAGATGATTTGGTAATGAGTATAATTGAGATAAAGATCTTTTTTTGTTTACAATTGCTCATATTTAACAGAAGAGAAATTGATCACTTTGTCAATCATTGATTTGTATCTCTCTAGTTTTGCAAGGGGTGGAGTTATTTTATGTTTTTTGAGGAGTAATACTAAATGTAAAAAAGAAGCTAAATAATCATACTAATTTATGTGCTTAATATTGTTTGCATTTTAATGCAGTTGGGGTGGCTCAAGCAGGCCTGATTTCACCTGTAAAAGTACGGAAGGTTAGTTATAGCTTATGTGCTGGTGATTCTTCGAATTCTATTGCGCTGAAATTACTGTTTGTCATGATAATAATACATATACATTATCTGAATGACTAATGCTCTGTAATTCTCTTGAGGTTTCTTTGAAACATATACAAACAAATGCAATGCATGAGTAACTCCAATGTTGGTGCCTCTTAACTCCCGTAGGCTCATAATTTGATATAATTTTGCTTTGTAATTTGCGATCAGAAACCGAGGCTTGGTTTATTGATTCATTTGAGGAGTGGCGCAAAGCAAAGAATCTTAGCAATTTCATTTTACTTGGACATTCATTTGGAGGTTATGTTGCTGCAAAATATGCTCTCAAGGTGATTTTCCTATCAACTTTTTTTCTTCTGTGATTACATAGTTTTAAGAGACATCTAAATTTCTTACTTTTTTTTCCCTCCTGCTAGCATCCGGAACATGTTCAACAATTGATTTTAGTGGGACCTGCTGGATTCACTCCGGAAAGTGATTACCAAAATGAGTGGTTTTCCCGCTTCAGATCATCATGGAAAGGTGCTGTTCTAAATCACCTGTGGGAGTCTAACTTTACTCCTCAGAAACTTGTAAGGTGATGACCAACCCTTATCACTGCTACTAACTTGGCTTCCGATGGTTCCCTTCCTAGTATCTTCTGTTTTTGGATTTGGCAATGCATTTTAAGTAATTTCATTTTACATGCATCATAAACGCTATTATGGTACTGTCTTGCTTGCATCTTGTGTTATCAATTATGAAGTCTTGCTTCTCCTAGCTTTTCATTCGAACAATTTGTTGTTTCTAAAGCCTTGGTCGTTTTCATGAGAATTTCAAGTTTTATCCTTTATTTTGTGTGAGCTCCGAAGTAGTACAGTGGATTTCTTCCTTTTGGATATATGCTTCTGAACTCTTCTTTATAAAGTGGGGAAAAAAGTAGTATTGTGTAATGTTAATATCTTTTGCAACCCCAAGAGAAAGAAAGAAAGGAAAAAAAAAAAAAAAAGAGGAAATCTGGCTGTAGCAAATTTAGGGGTGTCAGTTTTTCCTGCACATTTCCGTTGATCTTCATATATATTATCTTTGTTGCATTAAGGTTTTGTTTATAAAATGAATAGCTAGTGTAGTGCATTGTTATCTTAAATGACTCTTTGACTAAGCTGAGCTTTGATGTAAAAAAATTCCATCATGATAGACTTAATCTAATTTTGTAATCGGTGCTTATATTCTGGTTTGGATATCTATTTGCAGAGGACTGGGTCCCTGGGGTCCAAATCTGGTTCGTCGTTATACCGGTGGTCGGTTTGGTTCACATGCACAGGGAAATAAGCTAAATGATGATGAATCCACATTACTTTCAGGTGTGTTAGGTTGAAATTTTTTTCTTTCATTTCTTTTTTCAAACTTTGAAGTGTAACTGATTATTAAATTTTTGGATGCAGATTACACTTACCACACATTGGCTGCCAAAGCTAGCGGAGAGTTATGTTTGAAGTATATATTTGCTTTTGGAGCGTTTGCCCGGTCACCTCTTATCCAAAGGTTTGACCCACATTGTAGTTCACTGCTCTGTAATTGAGTTTTCCCTTTTGATTTGTGGAATAAATTCTCATGATTGACTCTTTTCTTGAAATGTCCGAATATCTGGTTCTCTTTTGTAGCCAAAAGGTTCTCAATTTTCGCAACTCTTTATTATGTTCTGTTCCAGGGCACCAGAGTGGAAGGTACCAACTTCCTTCATATATGGAGTCCAGGATTGGATGAATTATAAAGGAGCACAGGAAGCTCGTGATAAAATGGATGAGAAGGTTCCATGTGAAATCATAAGAGTACCTCAGGTATGATTTTGTCCTAGTTGGTTGTGCAAAATGTAGAGAGAATCGCAAACTAAATAGTTACAGAAATAGGACTATTATTATTTTAAGATGGATAAGGTTATATCTTTCCTCTATTTGAGAGATTTATAAGCACTTTTTTGCTTACAGGGTGGCCACTTCATATTTATAGACAACCCGGACGGTTTTCATTCAGCTGTTTTACATGCTTGCCGAAGATTTTTATCGCCAGACCCAGACAGTCAGTCTCTCCCTGAAGGCTTGACAACTGCTTAATGTAAGATAATAGTGTTGTGACTATTACTTTAATTGAATTGTATCTTACAAGTTTACATTCTTTGATGGTAGTCAGGCCTTTGTTGTAACCATTAAATAAGTACTTACGAGAAATATAATTATTTGGCCTTGGCAGCGTTTATTTTTATTTTAGTCTAGGATTTTTCTTCGTCTCTTTTCAAATCAGTTTAGTATTTCATTGGCACATTGGTGGATGAAAACGCTCGGAATCTGAAGGATGGAGCTCATAGTGCCCATTCCTGACATGTATTATATCCGCGAGTTCTTAGGTGCACATGGTTCACCATACATAGTGCACTAGTCTATTAATGAAATATATTTAAAGAATAAATTAATTAATTAAAATATTAAGTATTAAATTAGTCAATTCTCTTTTCATGTTTAATGCTATCATTTATCACGTATTTAAGCTCAAAACGTAATTATAAAGAAAACTCAAAAACAAAAAAATATATATTAATAAATTAATATAATCTTATTCATACAAAAATTAAAAGTTCTTAATAATACAATAAAAAATTCATAAATAATAATCATATTTTTCCTACAAAATTTTATACATAATCACAAATTAAAGGTTTTTATATGTTTAATCTTCTATTCATATATATACTATGATTGTTCATGAAAATTATGTGAAATGTTCATATAAATTGGAGAATTTTTGTAAATTAATCATGTGTACAATAAATGTTCACACTCTTTTAATAAAATACTGATGAATAACACTCATACTTTTCATATCACGTGCATCCAAGTTTTAAATAAATTAATCATGTATACAATAAAGGTTCATACTCTTTTCATGACATATTAATGAATAACTGTCATACTTTTCATATTATGTGTATCCAAGTTTCACAATATGTTCTTGATAATTGAAAGATTAACACAAATAAGAAGTCTATAGACCATATTCATGCCCATATAAAATAATGTTCATGAGAATTATACAATTTTATTAAAAATAAAATACAAATATTTAAAAAAATTTATATTCATAGTTCATACTCATTCCATGAAATATTTATGAGTTAGAGCAATATTTTTCATGACATATATATATGTATATATATATATATATCAAGATTTCATGATTTTTTATTAAACTTAAATTATTCCTAATATTCAAATTACGATAGCAATTATGGATAGAAGAAAGAGTTACAAAATTATTGGAATATTTAATTTGTATTTGAAAGAATGATATTTCATAATTAGATTTAATAATGATGTGAGATAATGAATCAATTTAATAATATTTTTATTAGTTTTCTAATTTCATAATTAGATTTTATTAATTTACACAAGTGTACCATATATGGTGAACCAGATTCACTATATAAATTGCCGTTAAGTCAACCAAGTTTCGACTTTTTTCATCAATCAAATTTGTCTTTTTTAGAGTACTGGTATTAAATGATCTTGAAGTTTGACCATCATGAAGCCGGGATTTTCAATCAATTTGTGTTTGTTCTGTTTGTGGCTTTGTGCAGAGTTTTTTCATAAGGTCAAAAGATGTAGTATTAGAAATTATCTAAAAATGTGTCTCAAGACTTAACAATTATGTATGTATAAACACCATCAAAATTTGAAACAAACAGAGCAATGTAACTGAGGAATTGAACTATTGAAGGTGGCGATGCTCCTTGGTTCGCCATTTTCCCTAACAATTTGAAATGTTCTTGCATGAACAGTTTGGATATCAGAATTTTTGTGGTTTTCGTTAGACTTGTATGTCGTCATAACTCATAAAGAATGTGAACACTTCACTATTAATCACAACTTCTTTTTTTCAAAAAAAAAAAGAAAAAAGAAAAGGATCAAAACTGATTCTTCACTTATTTCTGTCGTGACTCAGAACTCATAATCTATTAAAAACAAGAAAGGAAAGGTGTCTTACAACTACGATGCACCCATTATCTCACTATTAATCACAACTTTATAATCATTCGCGATTTATAAAACACATCTTAAAATTGCATGTTGCATCTGACATATAAAACCAAAAATAGTCATTTAAAGAGTACTATCAGAAAAAAGTATAGAATCTGGCTATACCTTTTAGGTCGTTTGCATTTCTTAATCATTTCATTTTAACTTGAAATATAATAGTATAACAAGGTAAACAAAATGTTGTTTGCCCTATTTCATTTCTTTCAATAAAACATAAGAGGAGTGAATTTTAGGTATGTTACTTTTCTATAGTTGAACTTTGCCTAAGGAACTGCTTATTGAACCATGCAATACTAGTTTCTTATTAAAACTAAAAAAATTGTTTGGACAATAGTTCATTTGATATTTTCACTCATTTTACCTCTTAGACACAAAATTCATTGGAAAAGAAAACATCATCCAAACAACTTTCTGATTTACATTTTAAATTTCAACTTGAAACACTTTTTGTTAGTGTAATGACCATTTTAGACCTACAAATAGTTCAGTGACAAATTTGACAGGATTTCGTTGTTGAGTGATTGTTTTTGGAAAAGTTTTTTTTTGCAGTGACTATAATTGATAGTATTTAATTGTTTAGTGATGACTTGTACTTGATATTTCAAAATGTAGTTCAAAATACTTTTTTTTCAAAACCAACATCCAAACAACATTTTTATTTCTCATTTAATTTTCAATTTGAAACACTTTCGACTTTTAAGTGGCAAAATGAAATGTAAGTTGACGTCCAAACAAGCACTATGTTTAGTTTCCATCATATTTATAAGGTACATAATATTTGAACTAAATAAAACTGAAGGGAGTAGTTTGCAAGATGGGTCTATGTTTTTGTTAGGCCCGATATTGAACTATAGACCCATCAAATGTTAGTCTATCCAAGTCCAAACCGATGGTTTCACAAGGTAAGGCAGCCCAAAAGCATGCAATTTTGTAGAAATTCTATAAATTAATAGTGTTGGGACCACCAAAATTTATTAATTTAAAAAATTATTAAATAATTAATAAATTAATAAATTATTAATTTATAAAATCTCTATGAGAAAAAAAGACCATCCGTGAATCCTTTAATTTGTAATTGTCTTCAGATATGAATTAATCAAGTATTAAAACTCTTTTGAATACTAAAAGTCCATACATAGTTCATATTATCTTCAGAGAATAAAAAGTAAATATTAATAATTCATATTTTAATACCTATTTATAGTTATTATTATTTTTTATTTTTAGAGTATTTATTAATTTATGATATTGTTGGGACTTATATAGATATAATAGGAAATTTTCTGAAATATTATTATCTTATCATTTTATTGACTTTTTTTCACTTTTTGTATTGGTCCCAAATTGGGACATGAGAAAATTATTAATTGTTAGAAGTTAATAATTTATAGATTATTAATTTATCGACGTTTTACTGTAATTATCTCTCTATTGCGGTGGATTGGCATCAAAGTTTTATATATATTGAGAAACTGAATTTAAGCCAAGTAAGCAATCAATCTTAGAAAATTGGGACTCATAATCTTGCCAATTAGATTTTTATAATTTAAGCAATTTTATCGACTTGTACCATCAATTTATCCTTAGTTGAAATTTAAAATAAAATAATTCTTTTTACGACATTAGATATTTTGTTCGTCTCATAATAATGGTCTTGATTACTGTATTCAGTATTAAATGTATTTTTTAGTGTCGGTGGTGTGGCTAGGAATTATGTTGGGAGATGATTGGCAGCGTTACTATGAATATGGGTTTATGTACCATCACTGGAGCCAAATTGTGGGTTTGTTTCAATCTCTAACTTTAGTTTGGGAGGTTGGATGGATGAAAGTAATGGCTGAAGTTGATAATAGTAGCATCATTGCCATGGCTAAGGAGATTGACAAAGTGCTGGATATTCATGTTGATTTAATATATAGGATTTGAGAGTTGTTAAATCGAGATGGGGAGGTGGAGCTTAATCATATATATCAGAAAGGTAATTTCACCGCGATTATTTGACATCATTGGTAGCTCAAGGTCTGAGGGACTTGCAGTGGTTAGAAAGTCCACCACGGGATGTATTACTGTGACTCGTGGTTAAAACACGATGTAATAGGAGTACCATACCCTAGAACTACCCGAACTTAGGCATTCACTTCCTTCATTGTACCAAAAGAAAAAAAAAAAAGAAGTAGTAGCATTGTTACTATATGTATTTAGAAAAAATAGAAAATCATAAACAGCGGTCAGGATTTCCCAAAATTGAAAATTATTGATTTGTATGAAATTAAATGAAAGTAAAATAAAGAAAAAAAAACCTATGAAAACTTCCGCGAGAAATGAGGGCAGTTTGGACTGTTCTTAAAAAATCGAAATGAAAAGCCTATCATCATGACATCTAAGATATTTTTTTCCCTTAAAAAAAGAGAATGGAAATTCTAGGACTGTGCCCTCCGTCACTGATGCCACCGCCCTTTCTGCCACCGTCGACCACCAGAAAGCTCTACAGACTCAACGCCGTCACCGGCGGCTCCAACACTACTGGCGGCGTCACCAGTAGCTTCTCCGTCACTAGCCGCTGGGCCGAGCGGCTCCTATCCGACTTCCAGTTCCTGCCGTCCACCGCCGCCACTACGACAGCCGACCCTCCCGAAAACCTCAATTTCATTAACTCCGGTAATAATGGTCCATTCAATCCTCCGGTGGCTAAAGTACCAGAGCGCGCCGTGGAAATGCCGATTGATTTTTACCGAATTCTTGGCGCCGAGGCTCATTTCCTTGGCGATGGTATTAAGAGAGCTTATGAAGCCAAGCTCAGGAAGCCGCCGCAATATGGTTATAGCGAAGATGCCCTTGTCAGCCGAAGCTTGATTCTTCAAGCCGCTTCTGAAACTCTGGCCAATGCTACCTCTCGGCGGGAGTATAATCAGGGTCTTGCTGAGTATGAATATGGTACCATTGTCACTGAAGTTCCATGGGATAAGGTAAGTCTTTCTTAAAATGTTTGTTTTTCTTTTCGTCTTCCCAAATTGACACCACATTGTATTTGTTTGGTTGTACTTTGAATGAGATTACAGAGGAACTGTACTTTGTACTTAGTATGATATTAAATAGTAGTTTTTTTTTTAAAATTATAATTGTTAGTTGCAAATGCTGTTTTCGGTTCAGTGTTTGATAATGCGGCTTTGTTTCTTGCTGCTACTGAGGAATGATTTGTGACGGATAATCTGTGTCATTTGTGTCGCCACATACGCAATTGACATGAAACTGACCGGGAAAAAGACACATTTATAGCCATTTAAGACACTATCCGAATATAATTATGTGATATGTTTGTTTTGGTAGAAATGTTAGTTATGCCCCTTACGGTATTTTTTTACATTCAGCTTCAAATATGAAACATGATCCGATTTCCACCATACAGAGGATAAATAGTGTCTTTTGCAATGGTTTCAAGCAGTCAGGGTAATGCCTAACATGTTTTAATTTTTTAAGGTTCCTGGGGCATTGTGCGTATTGCAAGAGGCAGGGGAGGCCGAATTGGTTCTTCAAATTGGGGAAAGGCTTCTAAAAGAGAGGCTACACAAATCATTCAAACAAGATGTAGTGCTGGCAATGGCCCTTGCGTATGTTGATAAATCAAGGGATGCTATGGCACTGACACCTCCGGATTTTATTGAAGGCTCGGAATTGCTTGGGAGGGCTCTGAAATTGCTACAGGTAATTTTGTCTAAGTTTGTGGTCTCAAATGCAGGAGTTTCCCTAGATTTTAGCATTGAGTAACTTTTTCTGCTTAAATCTGCAATGCCAGGAAGAAGGTGCAACTGGCCTTGCACCTGACTTGCAAGCTCAGATTGATGAAACCCTTGAAGAAATCAACCCACTTTGTGTACTGGAACTACTATCTTTACCACTCGATGAGGATTTCCGCTCAAGAAGGGCTGAAGGTCTTCAAGGTGTCCGTAATATTTTGTGGTCTGTTGGAGTAGGGGGTGCTGCTGCCATTTCTGGTGGATTTACTCGTGAAGATTTCATGAATGAAGCATTCCTACGTATGACTGCAGCAGAACAGGTGATACATATCTTGCCACTTTTCCCTTTTTCAGCAGTTTTTGCTGTAATGTTTTTGCGTCTTTATCTTATATACTTTTAGATGTTAATAATTCTGTTTTGCTTCCAATAAGGTTGATCTATTTGCTGCCAAGCCAAGTAATATTCCTGCTGAAAGTTTTGAGGTCTATGGAGTGGCAATTGCACTTGTTGCTCTGGCATTGGTGGGTAAAAAGCCTCATCTTATCAAGGATGCCGATGACCTTTTCCAGAAACTTCAGCAGTCTATGGTTGCCGCACAATCTATTTACCCTGTTAGGGATGCATCTGAAACAGATTTCGCTGTAGAAAGGGGTCTTTGTTCTCTTCTTGTTGGAGATATTGATGAATGCCGCACTTTGTTAGGCTTGGACTCTGAGAGTTCCATTTACAGGGATCCATCTATTGTGGATTTTGTCGTTGAACACTCTAGAGATGATGAAGAAGACTATGTACTCCCTGGGCTTTGCAAGCTTTTGGAAACATGGTTGATGAAAGTTGTGTTTCCCAGATTTAGGGACACTCAGGACATACAATTCAAGCTTGGAGATTATTATGATGATCCTAAAGTTCTGAGGTATTTAGAAAGATTTGAGGGTGGTAGAGCTTCTCCTTTGGCTGCTGCAGCAGCTATAGCAAGAATTGGGGCAGAAGCTACAGCTGTGATTGACAGTGTAAAAATGAGTGCACTTCAGGCTTTACAAAAGGTATTCCCTCTTGGATCCAGCGAAAGGATTGCAAAAGTAGATGAGGAATATGACATTATAAATTCTGAGGGATACGCTGAACATGAAGTGCCTTCAAGTCCTAGAGATTTGGATGATTCTGCCTATAATGGAATTCCTATTACTGATAGACAAGTTTCCAGTGAATTACAAGAACAGGAATTGATCACGCAGAAAATAAAAGAGGCAAGTGTGAAGATTATGTGTGCTGGAGTTGCAGTAGGATTGATAACATTGTGTGGTCTGAAGTTTATACCATTTCGAAATAACTCACGCACTCTTAAGTATGTTGATCCAGCTACGGGGTCTGATGTATTCAATGTAGGTATGAACTACTGATTATCTTTGGTCCATAACTGATTAAATTTGGTGGGTTTTTCTTTTTCTTTTTTTTTCTTTTTTTTTTTTTTGGGTACCTGCTTTCCTTGTGTGAACTGTAATGCAATTTATCTTAGTACAGATCCATATTGGACAGTGATCTGAACTTAGTTTTGCAAACAATCTAAAATCCTAAAGCACGTCAAATTGTTCTAGGGACTAGGGACATCTCAAAACCCATAGGAAGATCTTAGAGTATCAAACAAACCTCCAGTTTAGTCAGGTTTGTAAATCAGGGAAAAATTTGCACGTTGATTAAGAAGCTATATGCTTCATAGGCTATGCATACACTTCTCTTGCAATAGCAGTGCTACATGCCTCACTGCTGGACTAGGTTGGTTTATAACACTGGAGAGATTTTGGAGTTTGTTTGGATCTAATAGAATGAGGAGATATCCATTTCATTGGCACTTATTCTTTTTTTTCAATCTACCTTGTCATGATACAACCTTGTAATTGGTGCATAACTCAGGGGAATCAGTAGATGAAAATCCTGCGGAAGTATCAAAAATGGATGCAAGGTTGGCTGAACATCTTGTTCGCAAGTGGCAGGATATCAAGTCCCAAGCTCTTGGTCCTGATCATTGTCTTCAGAAATTACCTGAGGTTAGAATGTGCTATCGTCTGAAGTTTCAATTTGATATGATATAATACTTGGGTTTAGTAGCAATACATTTATATACTGTTCACTCTCTCTCATTGTAAGGCCTTTTAGAAGGTTGAAAAGAAGTTATAATACGTCTAAAGAACCATTCCAGCTTATCTTTCCTGAAATAACTGTATGGCTGGAGTTGATTGTATTTATGTATCTCTGATTTCATTGCCTTTAATCATAATAATGACATACCAGGTTTTGGATGGAAAAATGCTGAAAATTTGGTCAGACCGAGGAGCAGAAATCACCCAACAGGGCTGGTATTGGAAGTATACTTTATTGAACCTTACCATCGACAGTGTGACAGTTTCTGTTGATGGCCAACGTGCTATTGTGGAAGCAACACTGGAGGAATCAGCTCAACTAACGGACGTGGCCCATCCCGAACACAATGACTCTTATAATACAGTTTACACGACGAGGTATGAGATGTCATGGGGTAAATCTGGATGGAAAATCACTGAAGGCGCTGTCCTGAAAGCGTGATCAGAATCGTATATAGTGGTGAGATTCTGTATGTAGTAGATGTTATGATGAATGAGATTGTCCTTTTGTCATTTGGGCTTCGACACTGTCTTGCTTGATTATCAAAAAAATTTGAAATAATGTATAAGCTCAAACACTGCTAGATTGTAGAGATTCGGTTGATAATCTGCAAAATCCTCCCTTTTTGGCTGAATACGGTGTATGGAGTTCACTTCTATTCAATAGAGTTGATGAAAATTGCTTTGATCTTGTCTCGTTGACCTCGTGTATCATGTTTGTGTATCTTGATTGTGGACTAATATGGCGGACACGCATTGTTTATCTTGTGTTTTTCAGTTTAATAATTGAAACTTTTGTAGAGTTGGTTGGGTCATGGGATGGGTGGTTAGAATTATTAATTCTTTCTCCATATCATCAATCTGCAATCAGTGGAAGGAACTGGTTGATTGTTTTACCAATTGTTGTACTGCCAATTGGATATTTCCTTCCCATTTCGTTTCCTGTCTGTTCCTGTTAGTTCATCCCAACACCGACGCATGGAAGATATCAATCATCCTAAGAATTTCAACGTGACAAAATTTATAGAACACAAACCATAATTCAATGGCGTTGGTTTGTACAGCTTGCCCAAGTGGACCAACCAAACTTTATCTTATTATTAACACCAATTGGACAGATAAGATAATGACTTCCCCGCGACAAATTCAATCGAAAGCCGGCCCACCATTAAAACAAATGATGATATAACTTCGGTAAATTGTCTACTTCCACTGTTTGTTTAAGAATTTTAAGACAAAACGTCTAAGAAATTATGACAAAAAGTTCATCTTTTCATCGTAAATATGGTTTAATTAACATAAAACACAAAAATGTACACTACAATAAAACCCACATTAACACAGGAACAAGAAACAAAAAGGATAAATCATTGGAGAAGAAGGGGAAGGAGAGACACCTTTCAATTCTGTCTGTCCTCTCTTCATCTTCTTCTTCTCTTGTTCCTTTCCTTGTGTAAAAGAAAAAAGATCATTAGGCCATGGGTGCTCAAGTATCTAAACAGGTGGAAAGAAGAAAGGCAATTTCAACCGAAAAGAAAGCCTTGGTTGATCTGAAACAGAGCAGTGGAATTGACTTCCCTGGTTCAGATTACCATCCTACAGACAGGAAGAACTGGATGTTAGGCCTTGATCCTGGGAAACTCCACATCAACAAAATCGTTTGGCCCGGAACCCATGATTCTGCAACCAACAAGATTGGAATCCCCTGCATCTCTCGCCCTTTTGCCCAATGCCAATCTCTCTCAATCTACAAACAGCTTGTGAGAGGTGCCCGGGTTGTGGATATCCGGGTTCAGGAAGATCGAAGAGTCTGCCATGGAATTTTACTGACTTACAGTGTCGATGTCGTGATCAACGACGTCAAGAAGTTCCTGTCCGAAACTCAATCCGAGATCATAATCCTCGAAATCCGAACAGAATTCGGGCACGAGGATCCGCCTGAATTCGACAAGTATTTAGAGGATCAGCTCGGGGAATACCTCATTCATCAGGATGACTCTGTTTTCGGGAAAACAATCGCTGATTTGTTGCCTAAGAGAGTGATTTGCGTGTGGAAACCCCGGAAATCGCCGCAGCCGAAACCCGGATCGCCGTTATGGAGCGCTGGATACTTGAAAGATAACTGGATTGATACTGATTTGCCATCTACGAAATTTGAGAGCAACATGAAGCATTTGAGCCAGCAGCAGCCTGTTACATCCCGGAAATTCTTTTACAGGGTTGAGAACACTGTAACGCCACAAGCTGATAATCCTGTTTTGTGCGTCAAACCGGTTACAAACAGAATTCATGGATTTGCTAGACTGTTCATAAACCAGTGTTGTTCAAAGGGTTGTGCTGATCGTCTCCAGATCCTCTCCACAGACTTCATAGACGAAGATTTCGTAGATGCATGTGTAGGTTTCACCTATGCCAGAGTTGAAGGGAAGGCTTGATAATAATTACCGATTGATTGTGGAAAGAAGAGGATCTTAAGATGGTAAAGGGCTGATTTCTCTCGTTCAGTTTCCATCACATTAGTAGTTTTTAATAATTTTATTGGCCTCCTAGCTCCGTGTAAGTAACATGTAAAAAATACAATGTTTCCTTGGTTTGAACATATTCATTTGTTTGTTAATGTTGTTGAAGACATTAGATGTGTTAGTATATATCGAACTATAAATGTCTTTTCTTCTGTTGCTGTCTTCCAATTCTCTCTTATTGAAGGAATCTGTAGTCATTATGGAATTCATCAAGCAGGAAACTGAATAAATCATTCAAATGTGCGTATAATCAATCATTCATGGATATCCTGTCTGAGATTAGCTCAGGAAATTCAGATGTAGCCCTGTCTCCAGGAAGAGCTACTGTCATAATTCAAAAGCACATGATGCACTAATGCTACATCTCAAGCAAAGTTTCTGGTTAAGTTTCTCAATTTGCTCAAGAGAACATAAAGAAATAGTTAATTCTTTCTTCGTGTGCAATGGGAATTTCTGAGGAATCATTCTGTATATGTAAGTTCAATATGAATATCCAAAGCTTGGACATGGCTTGTGTATGGTAAACTGCCACCCGAGAGGCAAGAATCTTATACATATTCTATATACATCAGTAAAAGAAGAGTCAGACTGATTATTTGAGCCGTCAAGTGTAATATCTCTGGTATACTTGAGGTCCTCTTGATCAGGGAAAAAAATCCTTCTGATATCTTAAGCATATTCACAAATAATTTAGTCTATCTAGGATCACTAGGATAGTTTTAATCCTTTTATTTTGTGTATATCTTATTTCCATCTAATTATATGTAGTAGTAGTAGTAGTAGTACTGCGCTGCCTCCAGTTATACGAGAGCCGGCATGCTGTTTTTCCAACTGAAGGACCTAATATTCACTTGTGGGGTTGAGAAGCTGAGTCCAACAATTTCCTTGGGGACTTGGCTCAGCTCCACATACCCGACAAGTTTCGCGACCAGGGCAGCGCTTTCCTTGATGTGTTCCATGTCTTTTGTGTCTGTCCAGAGTTTTCTGCACAATTGGAGCCTTCTTTTCTTGGTTTTCAGGTCAATGCCCCATTTTAGGAAAAGGGCTTCTCTTTCCTTGGTTGAGAACTTCTTAAGCATCAGTTTGCTCAGCGTCTCTCTTTCTCGTTTGATTGCCTTCATACTGTCATCAAAACTTTTCCCACAATCAGTGATACAACCAGTGTTAAAGTACTACAAACTGAGAAAGGATAAAAATTACCCCAACTTCAACTTGGTTGCAAATATATATTGGGTATGTTGATGATGCTCATAATGCAATTTAAGATAATTTATCATGAAATGAAGGGAAAAGGAAACCGCCACCTTGAGATATTAGTCCCTTGAGAACTCTTGAGATAGGATAGCCGTCTGAGCTCCACCTCCATGTATATGGCGTCCATGGGGTCACCCTTAAAGACAAGATAGAAGTAGCTCCTGTGGGCTAATGCTATGTTGCAAACATCCCAAAGCTGGATTATTTCTGCTCTTTGCTTCTCAAATTCCATCGGCCAGTTGGAAGGAGATTTCTGAAGATCATTCTCTCCGTCCAAGACTTGTGTTGAATCTTTCTCCAATTTTTTGGGGGTTAGTAAAAGTTCAGCCTCCTGGACCTTAAAAAAAAAAAGAAGATACATTATGCAGTGCCAAATCATATGGACCCAGGAGGATAGTTTTGCAAGTTTAGGATACTCACGAGATCATTCCTGAACTTGACCATCGTATCATTGAGTCCCAATGACATGATGATTTGTTGTTTACCATCTTTGGAGTGGACAATATCAAGAGACTCCTTTGGATGATCTTCCGGAGAGGTTTTATCATCTAGAGCTTGTTCTTCTAACTTGGAAAGCTCTGGCTCACTGGCTGCCAGAGTTTTAATAGAGTCTTTCAGTGCAAAAGATGGTGTGATATCGTCCTCGTCCATCTCAGCAGGGGGAGATTGTGGCGTTGTAGTCAGGACTGGTCCAGAACTTTTGCTCCTTGAGAGATCAACCATCTTTGGGTCGGGTGATTCTGAGTCTGATGAACCAGGAGACAGCTCAGGGTGTTCATATTCATCAACAACACATTCGATGGTTTTTTCTGTATCTTCAAGTGTGGGTTCCAAAATTTCATTATCATGGTGAATGGTAACATTCTCCTGAATTACAGGAATGTCATTCCCTTGAGATGGCACAGATTCATCATGGAGACTGTTAACGTTTTCTTGACTTTGAGGATTTTCATTTCCATGAGACGGTGCAGATTCATCATGATGAATGTTAAAATTCTCCTGACTTTGCGGATTTTCATTTCCCGGAGATGGTGCAGATTCCTCATGGTGAATGTTAACACTCTCCTGACTTTGAGGATCTTTATTTCCTTGAGATGGTGAAGATTCATCATGGTGAATGTTAACAGTCTCCTGACTTTGAGGATTTTCATTTCCTGGAGATGGCGCAGATTCGTCATGGTGAATGTTAACATTCTCCCGACCTTGAGGATTTTCATTTTCTTGAGATGGCGCAGATTCGTCATGGTGAATGTTAACATTCTCCTGACTTTGAGGATTTTCATTTCCTTGAGATGGCGCTGATTCGTCATGGTGAATGTTAATGTTCTCCCGACCTTGAGGAATTTCATTTCCTTGAGATGGTGCAGATTCATCATGGTGAATGTTAACATTCTCCGGGCTATGAGGATTTTCATTTCCTTGAGATAGAGCAGATTCATCATGGTGAGTGTTAACATTCTCCTGGCTTTGAGGATTTTGGTTTCCTTGAGATGGTGCAGATTCCAAGTTAATCTTATTCGCGCTTGTTTCAACTTCAATGCATTGGACTTCCTTGCAAGTGTCTTCAATGCTGAGATCAACTTCTTGCGCAGCCTTTTCCCAACCTCGTGTTGGATCTGGTCCAAAATATTTCTCAATAACCATTCTTGGGGAGGTATCATCTGAGAGAAATTGTTCTTCAAATGGCTCAGGAATCTGGTTGTTCGATTTTGGGCCTTCACTTCTGTCAGAGAAATGAGATTTGCTAGATCCAGAATCAAAGCGAAAAGGATCAATGATCTCTGATGCTTCAGATGCTGGATATTCTTCAAACCATGCAATTTTTTCATGAAGCTCCGAAACACTGCTTTGCTCATCCTAGAAAAGATGGAAGATGAATCAACATCAAGATATACAAAGGTTGAGACTAGTTTGTGATGAATTAAACACTACAACTTACCCAATGTTTTGAACCTTGATACTCTCCAGCTGGTGGTGCCAGGTTTTGAAGACGAAAATGAGCTTGATCACGTTGCTGGGTTAACTCTCGGATCTCTCTATCCATCTGCAAGAAGAAAATACGTGACAACATGAAATATCAATAACAGAATCTCTGATCTGCCAAGAGGACAATGAATCTCGAAATGTTGCATAAATAACGAATTAAGAAAGGAAGTATCTGTAATCACCTTTTCAATGAGAAGTTCCTTCTCCCTGAGAGCTTCAGAATCACCTGACATGGAGATTGATCCTAAATTCTTCAATTGATTCTCAAGTCTTGCTAACTCCCTCTGCAACTGCTTTATTAATGACTTTTCTGACATCATTACATTAACATGTGCATTAGTGCAAACATTCTTGGCACAGCTCGCAAACAATAGAGTGTTTCTTGATTGCTCTACGTGAGAATGTGCCGGGCTCATGGTGCATATGATGGCTGTTCTTGCATTGCCTCCCAAAGAGTTCTGCAGTATTCGTGTCAACTTTGAGTCTCGGTATGGAACATGTCCATTTCTACCTTTGCTGTTTGTACATGATAACAAAGCAATGAGTATAAAAGAAATGACTAAACACGACTAAGGTCCTGATTATGAGGAAATACATTTGAGAACCACAAAGAAACTAACAAAAATGCAAGTGTTAGAGAATCTCCAAAAAAAAAAAAAAAAAAACCCATTACAGATAACCTATCTAGACAATCGAGAATTGCTGCTTTTAGTGTTCACATCTAAATAAATGGCTGTTGTAAGTGTAGGTTGAAAGGTTGAAGCTCTACCTTAGCTTGCGTATCACTGTCCCAAGGGTAAGTAAACTGCGATTAATGTGGCAACCTTCCTTTAGCCGGGCACCGGCTGACATGGTTTGAGAGGCACGTTCGCTTCCAGCAAGATCAACGAAATTCTAAGATAGACATGGAACACATAATTTAAAAGCCAAGTTATTTTTCATAGTTGATCTCAAAAGTCCATTGAGAAACTGGTGCAGTACATTAGAAAGATTATGGATAGAATACATCCCATGTCAAGGAAAAATTGAAAAGTATCAAGATCGCGTACCACAGAAGCTGTCAGATTAGCTGAATTCTCGAAACGGTTATATTCACAAGGAGAACTTTCCACTGTCTGCAAAAATTCATTCACAGTCCAGAATGTCAAGTTTGAAAAGCCAGGCATGCTGAATCATGGAATAAAAAGAAGTTCAGGAACTTGAAGACTTTTACCAAACGCAAAATCTGATGAGATCTAGAGCTCATTTCATTTAGGGCGGTCTCTCCAATTTTTCTTTGAGCTGGAAGAATGCATCAGGCTTAAGAAAGTTTACCACGATGACAAAGTCTGGAGATAAACTCGAAGATGGATAAAATGAAAACTCTTTTACCTTCACAAACAGAAAGGAGCTCTTTCAAATGGTTTCTATCCTTTAGCGTGATCTCGGTTAATTTTTCAACCACTGTCCCTCTCTACGACAGCCAGAAAATCGGCATAAAAATCAGTAGCAAGAATGAATAACTCTACAGATAACATTTTATTTAGTATCCAATATGCACCTCTGGATCATCCAGGAGTCTTAAAGGAGTGTTATCTGAGCTCAACAGGTCTCTCACAGCTTCATTGTAAATCTCCATTGCAGAAAATTTCAACTTGAATTGTCTGCTAGTGTTCTGTGTTAAAATTTTTGAACACTTCTGTCAATAACATGATAGAAAAAACAGTCAAGAAGTCAGATTAAAGAGAGGAAAAAACCTTTTCCACATAGTCGTAGATATCAGCTATTGTATGCTCAGTAATCCCTGACATTGTATAAGTTTTTCCACTGCTTGTTTGGCCATATGCGAATATACTTGCTGCAAAGCATCGCAAGAGTTATCATAGAGGTTATATCATGAAATTTTATTACTATCAAGTATGACAAAGCCATGGAAAATTATGGATACTCACAGTTGATACCGCTCACAACTGAAAGAGCGACGCTTCTGGCCGCCTCCTCATATACTTGCCTCGTGGAGCAGTCGCCTCCAAATACTCTGTCTATCACCATGGAATGCAAGAAGAAAGCATAACAATTAACCAAAAAAGAGAGGGAAACATAATATCAATATGAGAATGAAGGTGATCATCAGGCCGCAATGCAGGTTAGGCATTGATATCTAGAATCCTTCCCTTTCTCTTTTGCTCATTGCATATCAAAATTTTCAGTAATGCGAGGAAATAAGGGGTCGAATGCTTACCAAAAGAGTAGGCGGTTGGTGAATTGGTGCGCTCTGAGGCACTATTTTTGAATAAAATGGTGGTGTTGTTGATGCAATCCCAATCAGAAACATCATTATTTGTGATTTCTCTCTCATTCAATGGCCTCAATCTGATGGACACGAGAATCTTCTCTTCCTGTGCATTTGACCTCGGGCTATCACTATAATTTGAATCATCGACATTGTTGCCGACTATTCCCATCCTTGTCCAAAGCTGACCAGGCCAAATGCAATGAAGAGAATCACAAATTCCTAATAATACAGAAAACCAACCATGACTTACAGGTTCTCCCTTTGTATCAAGAAATAATTTTCCTCAATGATTTTAACCGAGGTAAAAACTTGACACCTGAAAACCCATTTCAGATACAAACTCACCTGTTCAAATTCTTTTGGGTGAAAAAAGAAAAGTTAATACACCCCAAATCAATCCCAACCCAGAGGGCCAAAAAAAAAATTAGAAACAAGAGAGACCAAACTCCCAGATTGGGGAGAAAGGGGTGTCGGAAGGCTAATCAGATTGAGGAAAATTTTTTGCACTAGTGAATTATGTAAGAATGGATGAGCTGAATTGACGGTAAGATGTAAGAATTTAAGAGAGTTTTCATCGGAGAAATTCGAAGACATCCTGTTAGCAATTTTTATGTTATTTGTTACATGATGAAGAGAAGATATCGACCATTGAACACACTCTTTCAAATCAAATGTTGTATGGACCGTTGAAATTAACCGCCAACTATAACCGAAATCCAACACATTTTCATTCTCATTCAACTATAATAAATACTTTGTCTATTCAAAACAACTACTAACTCCGTTGTCCCACTTCGGACATCCACCAAAATTTAAATAGTGTTATAAATGAAAACTAAAATAGATCATGTTTAGACTTTTTTTAAAAAAATATATATATATATAAAAATAGTAATACACTAAACAGAACAATACTTTTCAATGTTTTACCTAATCTTTTAGACATAATTTAGGAAAGCTAATCCAACACTTCAACTCCATCCAAACAGACTTGTAGCTGCGTAACTACTAATCACATGTATTTTTGATACTACTAAACAAACCATTACTAATCACCATTTCATAATGGGGTTCAAACAACAATTTTCCAAGTAAAATGATTGATAATTAGTCATCGTTGTCAACCCTACCGGTAAAACTTTTTACGCATATCAAATTCTGATCAATTCGTGACTATTTATCTCCGGCGATGATTGACAATGCATAACATTAAAAGTTCATAAAGTAACCAATCTGTCCATAATTTTAGGAACCACTGCTAATTAGTAGTATCCAACGACCGTTTGTAATCTAGTGTAACCAAATGATTAGAGCCACCTACTAATAGTATTTAATGGGCGACAAGAGAACGAAAATAAAATAAAAAAGAGAATGGAAACAAATGATAACGGCCATAACCTTAAGATGCCAATCATCTAATGATCTCAATCATTTTGCTACCTGACGAGTAATCATTTTACTATGGCCAGTTAGGAACTAGCTCAACCAACTAAACAAATCGTGGTTAATATTAATTTAATAAACAAATATGGTAGTACTAAATACTAGTAATATTTTGAATGCGATCTTCCTCCTTCCTTGTGTCGATTTATATAAACTGAGATTTATGTCTCTGGATGTTTAAAAAATTGAAGTTAAGAAAAAGACGAAAACATAACCCCAAAAGAAGAAATAAATTATTTAATTAAGTATAGGAAATAAACAAATTACAACTAGAACTAGAAACAGATTACAGATACAGATGAAAATGAAGATTGAATTTGCAAACAACCACTTCACACTGTTGTGTTTCTCTTTTAAGTATTACCAAATTCAATCTTGACGATTTACTTTCACATTGACGAGGCAAACTTCAAATGTAAACAATAATAAGCACATATAATTTTTTTTTTAAAATCTTCTGTGAACTCTACCAGAAATGGATGAAATACAATATATCAGCAGAATAAAATTTATTCTTATACACTTACACTATTATATGGGCAGAGAAAATCAATTTCTATCTCTTTACAATCTCTCTTATATATACATATATATAAAATTAAACTTTAAATACATCACAAAAATCAAAACTTTTAAAAAGAAGTAAGATGTTAGAATTGAAAACTTTGAGGAGATTGTTGCAATTAAAGATAACAACAACAATGGAATTATTATTAAAAAAGAAGAGAGAAAAAGAGAAGAGCCCATACAAAGAATTCTTGGTATATGACTGACTGTATTGAGCTGCCTGCTGCCCCCACACCTTGACCCTTCCCATCATCACAGCACAACCAGAAAAATAATAAAACACTTAAAATTAAAAATTAAAAAAAAATTATGAAATTGCTGGAGCTAAAGCAAAAAGGAACCCTTCTTGATCTTTTTTGCTCTTCATCCCTTTTCCTTTTACATTCCCATTTCAATCTTCCTCCAGATCCATTTCAGCCTCCGCAATCTTCCTATTTCCGCCCACATTTTCGAAAACCCACTCCGAATTTTCTGAAAATTCCCCCGATTTTGCTTCAAAATCTCATTTTTTTAGGGTTCATAGTGTGAGCTGTTTAGAAACCCTAGGTTTTGTTTCATTACTATTTTTCGAGGAACCTAAAGTTAAGCTCCCTTTATATGAAATTTTTCGCTTTTATTCTCGAATTTAGGTTCCTTTTTTCCCTCAAATTAATTTAGGGTTCTTCCCCTTCCCTTCTCCAGAGACCCTATTTTTGAGCTTAGAGAGGAAATTTGGGAGTAAAAAAGGCTCAATTTTGAGATGGCGACAAGGGGAAGCAGATCGGAGAAAGTGAAGAGAATCTTCCAGCAGTTCGACATTAACCGAGATGGCGGGTTGAATAGGGAGGAGATGGCAGCTCTTGTGGTGGCAGTAAACCCTCGGGTGAAGTTCAGCGACGAACAAATTAATGCTATTCTGGACGAGGTTTTCCGGACATACGGCGAGTTTATCGATGGCGAAAAGGGTCTTACGTATGACGGGCTATTGCGGACGTATGACGACGGCGCCGGCGATGTGGACCGGGATTTTGATGCATTGGGCCTGGAGCTCAAGCCGGAAGCAGTTGGGCCTGGCGGGGCTTCCGAAGAAGTTGCTTCGACTTCTTCAATTGCAGAAGAACGGGTTATCGAACCCCACAAGAAGCTGAGGACGGCAGCTTGGGCAGCTTCTCCAAACCACGGCATTGTGTTTGATGACACGTGGAAGTTGGTGGATGATCTTGATAGTTCAATTGTGAAGTTAAGGACTAAAGGGAAAGATGGGAAGCTGAAGAATGATAATTCGGATATGTTTTCGGACCCGGGTTGGTCCAGAGAATTGGGTCCCTCAACTGATTCTTCTGAAAAAAAGGTGTTTTGGGAGGAGTCCAGTCATGATTATGCAGTTTTCTTGAAGGAGCTGGGTGCGTTAAGGTCGAGGGCCGATGGGGCAAGATCGAGGGAGGAAGCATTTGATGGGCATATGGCCTTAGGAAGGGTTCTGTATGATTACCATATGTATAAGGAGGCTCTTGTGTGTTTCAAGAGGGCTTGTGAGTTGCAACCCACTGATGTGAGACCTCATTTCAGGGCTGGAAATTGTTTGTATGTGCTTGCGAAGCATGGCGAGGCAAAGGGGGAATTTTTACAGGCTTTGGAGGCAGCTGAGACGGGTGGAAATCAGTGGGCGTATTTGCTTCCTCAAATACATGTGAATTTGGGAATTGCTCTTGAAGGTGAAGGTATGGTTCTTAGTGCTTGTGAGCATTACAGGGAGGCTGCTATTTTATGTCCAACACATTATAGGGCTTTGAAGCTTTTGGGTAGTGCTTTATTTGGTGTAGGCGAGTTTAAGGCCGCAGTTAAGGCCTTAGAAGAGGCAATTTACATGAAAAATGATTATGCGGATGCCCATTGTGATTTGGCCTCAGCTCTGCATGCTATGGGGGATGATGATAATGCAATTAAGGAATTTCAAAAGGCTATTGATTTGAAACCCGGTCATGTAGATGCTCTGTATAATTTGGGTGGCCTTTACATGGATATGGGCAGGTATCAAAGAGCATCTGAGATGTACACCAGGGTGCTGGCTGTTTGGCCAAATCACTGGAAAGCACAACTCAATAAGGCTGTATCATTGCTAGGGGCTGGTGAAACTGAGGAAGCTAAAAAAGCTTTGAAGGAGGCTTTGAAGATGACTAATCGGGTCGAGTTGCATGATGCAGTCGCGCATTTGAAACAGCTCCAAAAGAGGAGGTTGAAAGGTAATGGGAATGGTAATGGGGAGGAGTCGTTCATAATTGTGGAACCATCAAAGTTTAAGACTGTGGGGGAAAGGACTATGTTAAGGCCAGATTTAGCAAATGCACTCGATATTAGGACTTTCCAGAAGGTTACCAGGCTAAACCGATGTGATGTGGACCTCATTAAGAAGCAGATCAATGAAAGTGACGTTCCAGTCTCTTACTCTGGCAGTGGTTTACCTGAGAAATCCATGCGTAAGGCAGCACTAGAAGTGATTCTTCGGAAGTTACTAAGTTTCTTGAAGCCTGAGACCTTTGTGGGAGCTGTGAAAGCAATAAACCAGAAAATCCTCTCCATGTTGGATGAATCAGAGTCCGGTAGGGTGGATTTGGGTTTGTTTTTTGCTGTCATTGCCCCTTTATGTGGAGGTACACCAGATAGACGGAAAAGAGTGGCATATGATGCACTTTTGTGGCGGCCTGTCAATGAAGAAGGTAGCACGCAGATAAAGAGAAGTGATGCTCAAAGGTATATAAAGCTATTGAGGGCCATCTACATACCTTCTCAAGGTGTCAGTGAAATGCTCGAGATTCATGGAGAGGCAGATGCAAGTCTTGTTACTTTAACAGAGTTCATCACAATGTTTGATGATCAAGATTGGGGTTTCGGAATTATGTCAACCCTGTTAAAGCTAGAGACTGGGGACAGAAATCGTCATGGCAGGCATATTTGTGCAACTTGTAGGTATCCCATCATCGGGTCGCGATTTAAAGAAATAAAATCACACTTTAGTCTATGCAGTCAATGTTACAGTGAAGGAAAAGTTCCTCCCACCTGCAAGCTAGAAGAGTACAGATTCAAGGAATATGCAAGTGAAGCAGAAGCAGTGAAAGATAAATGTCTGTGGTTCGGTCTTCATTCCAAAAATCCTTCCGGACAAACTTCTGGACCTTCTGCTGCCGTCCCTAGCTAGGTGGGTAATACTATTGTGGTTTTAATAGATTGGTTGTTCAGTGTGAGTTGATTAGCTCGTGAATGCATTTAGTGGGTCTGTAACCTTGTACAATAAAGTCCTGTCTGGTCATATAACCCTGAGTTCATGTTATGGCAGTCACTGTATAGGTTCTTTTTCCTTTGTTGGCTTGTTTCTGACCTCTTACTAGGTACATTGACATTTCTCAACCAAAATTTTTATTGTAAAGATGATCACATTCGTTTGCGTTCTGATCGTATGACAGGATATTGACCATGAATAGAGTTCATTGCCCAGTTAGTACTGTTTGATTATGAGTGCTTAGTTTTCTTCTTTGTACCTAGACCTGAAATCGGGTGGAAAAGGTTGTTTCTCCAATTGCAGAGCATGCTGCAGTTCAAAGATGAATGTAACTTGTTTCTATTCTGCTTTGTCATTATATCTTTTTAGTACCTCCATCTCATTTGAACAACAAAATGGACAACTAAAATGGGATGGAGTACTAAATAACTGCGAAAATGAATGAGTCAACTGTGCGAGTATGAAAGAAATACCAAACAATAAGTATTAATTTTTCATAATGCAATGCTTCCATTGCTGAACTTCATAGTCTTATAATGTACTAATTGATTGGCTCAATGTAGACGATTGAGCTTTTTGAGTCGAGGGCAATACCCGCTACTTTCTTCACATCATCGTTTCTCACATCCAAATCCAGGGTATTTGGACATGGTTCCTGTGCTGCACACACACAAATAGACTTTATATTTCATTGAGGTTAGGCACCTCGATCAAAACCCATACATAGGCCTAGTCCTAGATTGTCATTTGCTAGGATTAACGATATACAACAAGGGGCAATATCAAAAAAATACAAGACTTACCTAACGCGGCTTCGGCTAAAGCTGTCACATATACTTCGGAGTAGTTGCGTTGTAGTATTTTAGCTGTGTCACTAGATCTTCTGTGTATCTTTCAGATACATGATAAAACATAGGATGTGCGCGAGGCTTGATTTAAATGGCCCGAGTGGTCAGTGAGGACTGAGGAGCAAAATTGAAAAATTGAGCAGCAACAAAAAATTTTCCGTTGCCGGGACTTGAACCCGGGTCTCTCGGGTGAGAGCCGAGTATCCTAACCACCTAGACTACAACGGAATTGATGTTACGGATCTGGTTCATGCTATTCCAAACGTTATTTCCTAGGTTCTAGGAGAAAAACAAAAAGATTCCGTTGCCGGGACTTGAACCCGGGTCTCTCGGGTGAGAGCCGAGTATCCTAACCACCTAGACTACAACGGATTTGTTGATAGTTAGTCAACAATTTGTAATTTTGATAATTTCTAAATATAGTGAACACATTTCACAGTAAGTAGCGAACTTATTTTAAGAACTATGTAACACACACGTATCAAGAAAAGAGTAATTATGTAAAAAGAGCCGTAACTAACATAGCATCGTTAAACTCTTGCTTGCACCTTTCAGTTGAGGAATTGTGTTATTTTCTTTTCCCCCTTCATAATGAATGGCATCGAATCCTTTCAGAAAAAGAAAAAAAAAAAGATCATTTAATAACTCATCACGGAGGAAAATATGACATTTCCGTAAAGTTCTATTACGTGGAGAATGGTTTGCTAAAGTTATAGGCAAAAAAAGGGCATACTTATCCCTCAAGATTTGCCTCTTTGGATGGGTAACAGAATTGTTTTACTAATTCTTTGTTGCGTAACACTTTCTTTAATTTAATATATCCATAATTAAATCAGACTACAAAAAACCTCTTGTAAAAAATACAGATAGTAGGCTATAAAAGGTTGAAAACCAAAATCCCTTCCAGAAGCATCAAAACTTGGTATCACTAGAGTAAAGGTGTATACTAATTGTGAGATAATGACAACTAATTTACGAAATATTCTTGTCTCAATTGAGGCACAAGAAATAGTTTCGTTACTGCTAGCTATTATTTCAGCTTTTGATTCTTGCCAATTGATAAAAGTTAGTAGGGACGAAGTAAGAGAATCACGTAATTTAGCTTATAATGCATATCGATATAATAGAATAAGTATTACCACTTAAAATACATGTACTTTTTTTATAAAAAAAAATAAAAATAAAAATAAAAAGTCCTTTCTCTTATATCCATTTACTGATATTTGTGTTACTACCCTGGCGGATGGGCTGGAACTTTCTCGTGAGCGATAAAACCTTCGAAACTTCAATCCAAGTATCCAGCCTGAAGCGCGAGCAGAGCAGTAATATAGACTGTAGTTTGTCCGTTATGAGTCGGTATGAGGCTATGAGCTGTTAACCAAAACCAAAGTACATGCGAGAATCATGATTATGTCATCCACCTTGCATGTTACTACTATAAAAACGCTCCAAGTTTTAAGTAGTTCCGTGTGGATCATTGTTAATTGCTAACATATCCTCAGGGAATTTGATCGAATTATAAGTATTTGAATCCTGATAAACCAAGTTAGCTAACAAAAAAAAGGTCCTTGTTATAATGCACTCAATCAATCTAGCCATTTCTGACACCATCAAGAAGCATCAAGCAATTCAGCCAGGGTATAAGGGTCCATCCAGTTCAAACTGAACATGAAGAGATCAAACGTTAGGTTGGTGAAACACATGTCGTGTCTGATGCTGATGATATTTTGGGTGATTAATATATCTGCATTTGCTGATGCGAGAAAAGCAACCTTATTACATCCTTACTCATCGAAAGTAGACGCAAAAGCAGCAGAGCCTCCGTTTTCTTCAAGGTTGATGCCGATGTCATCCAATGGTGAAAGCTTGATTTGCAGTGATGATGACACGCTGGAAGACTATGGAGGTTGGGGTCCATCACCTTATTTCGGCGGAGGAGATCCGGGTCCTATCCCTCATCCAGCTTAAGCTTCTCACGGCCGCAGATGGGCTACCGGAAGGATGCACAAGAGTCAAGATGCAGTCATCAGCCTCACTAATCCAACGTGGTTGAACTTCTACTAGCTTTTTTTTGGTAGTTTATAAACACTATTCCTGAGGTCATGTGTAGTGGTTCTACACTTCTAGCATTATCTCTCCACTATAATAACAAAACTATACAAAGCATAAATGATTTCACACCTTCAGTAATCAGTATAGTGATTTCACACTATTTAAGTTTGTCGATTTTTTATTTTTATCTAACTAAAGAATCTGCTCTTAACATCAAAAAAATAAAAATTAAAAATAAAAAAAAATTAAAAAATCTGCTCCTTGCTGCAGTAGAGCAGAGTATGTTTTTACTGACAGCCGATGCAAATGCACGTTTATGCAACGAGACGAAGGGAAAACAAATTTGTGGGCAAATAAAAAAACTAAACTGTATAAATAGTCCCCTACATTTGTCCGAATTTAAATTTTTGTTCCCTACATCAACATTTATATGGATTGAACCTTTAATTTCATTTTGAAACTTTTTTTGTCTCTTTTCACTGTTCCGTCACCATTTCCGTCTTGATGACTGTTGACCCTACCAAGTCAGGGGTATTTTCGAAATGACACATATAAGATCAAAATAACAAATGTTTAAATAGTTCCCTACATTTGTCCGAATTTAAATTTTAGTCCCCTACCTTTACCAGTAGTGACTTGGTAAGAATAAAATTAATAAATGGCATTTCAGATTATGGGAATAAAATTTTTAAGGATAAAGGTAAAAGACGGGTGAAGGTAAAGGCTCAATCCCTATATATGTTGATGTAGGGGACCAAAATTTAGATTCAGACAAATGTAGGGAACCATATAAACATTTGTTATTTTGATTTTATATGTGTCATTCCGAAAATACCCCTGACTTGGTAGGGTCAACGATCATCAAGACGGAAATGGTGACGGAACAGTGAAAAAAGACCAAAAAAGTTTCAAAATGAAATATAAAGGCTCAATCCATATATATGTTGCTGTAGGGGACCAAAATTTAAATTCGGACAAATGTAAGCGACCATTTATACAGTTTAATCCAAATCAAAATGCTTCACTCTTTTGGTTTGTCTCCACTTTCACTTCACTATTAAGAAGTGATGATGCTATAATGTTGCCCATCTTGTTAACACAGAATACCGATGCAAACAAAACCCTTTTCCCGCTACATAGAATCAAGTATAAGACATATATCCTCCTAAGTATCCTGTCCAGCACGGGCTATCAAATTGTCATAACATTTATCCACAATGAAGGAAAAAAATTAAGAAAGTGATTCCCGATATTAAGGCACAAGAATAGGTCACAAACCATAGAGAAGTTAAAAAGAATATAAAAAGAATACATGATCTAAATCAAAATTGTTTGCGACCACTTCGATCCCTCGATACATTGACTTTCTTTCCTGCGATATTACCATCTCAGCTGTAAAGATACCGATATACTACAATCAGGCAGCTGTGTTCCACTTGTACAATTTTTGCTGACTAGTAAATTAAAAGGAACTGGGGGGCAGATACTCGGAATAGGATCAGAAAGCCTCAGAATTAACTTCAAGCTCCAATCCATTCATCATAAAAATCGAGAACTCAGCCTGGACAATCAGCCAAAGACTAAAAAGGAAAGACGTTCCATGAAGCATGCCACAGGCATAAAAAATCTCCCACTCTTACCTATTGCAGAAACAAAAACAAAAACAAAAAAGATAACGACTTAGTCAACAGCTTTATGCACTGCACTGGTAACTAAAACAAGCAAATCACAAACAACAAACAATCAAAAGAGTATTAGATTAGCAACTTAATTCTCAAAGGATCTTCATGCAAATCCTTAAGTATTACTTGTACTTACATTATATGAACAGAAGATGGACCAGCAACTGCAGCAAACCTCTGAGCACGCTGCACCTCACTCTTGTAAAGACCCTTAATTTCTTTTTTCATTTTGCGTGCCTCGCGCCGTTCTTCCTTTACAGCAGCCTGTAGCAATTTTTAAGTCCATATCAAATAAAAATATTAGAAAAACTGCAAAAGCAAAAGAAGCTAACAATTAATCATTCAAAGAAGTCATAAAAACAACTAGGAAGAACATAAAGCAGAGACCTTGCGCTCTTTCTTTTCTTCCTTTGACTCCTGACCATGTTGTTTTCTTTTGATTGGGTCAGGTTTGGAAACATTTGCATCCTTCGCCTTATCCCCAGCAGCTTTTCTACCACCAGGCAAAAAGTCTACAGGAAGCTTCTCTTTCCCTTTAAGAGCAATTATTTTTTCTGAGGAACTCAGGTTTCCAGAAAATGCTTCTGTCAGCTTCTTTTTTCTTCTTATTCCTGGAGTTTCAATTTTTCCAGGATGATTATCAAGGTTTGAATATGTAGAAACAATTGTCTCGCAGTCCCATTCTTCTGATTCATCACTACTTTCCATGAAAACCACCTCCTTTTCATCTTCACTTTCATTTTCATAAACTTCTGCATATTCCTTGCACTTCTGAATAACATCAGCAGTAGATTCTGGTGACTCTACGTCTTCCAGTTTCTGCTTGTCTTGCAAAAAACCTGAATGAACATATTTACTACCCGTGCCATCAACAGGGCGATCTTTCAAAGCATGATTAAGCTTTTCAGCAAGGGATTCCCGCATGTCATCTTCTTCAAAATCATCATAATAACCATTCTCCTCTTCCGATTCAGTCCCATATTCTTGAAGTTCAAGCTTCACACGATAACAAAAATGTGAGAATTTGCAAAGCAATATGACTGATAAAAAGATGTTTGAGAGTCACATAAAGTGCCTTATTAACTGTGACTATAATTGTTCCTTTGTAAAAAACTTGAATTAAACAAGATCCAGTTAATTACACACTGATTATTATTCTTAAAGTATTCCCATTTTGTAATGACGTCTCAACCTCAACTACTCATCGCATATCACATATTTCAGAATTCACATTTCATTTAGAATAAACACTTTTTATCCTGTTGCTATGTCTCTAGCTAAATTTATAACTAGCCACTTCACCAAAGCTCAAAAGCTTAGTTGTATCCCAGAAAAAACCTTCTGCTATGCAAATTACAAAGAGAAGCAGCTGTTGAAACAAGATGTTTAAACAAAATCTCCAGCATTGGGAAATTCTACATAATTGATCAATCTATACTGTTCTGTCATTCATAAGTCATAACAATTTGCAGAGCCTATCTAACATGATTGGTGGGATCAACGCATTGAGCTCAAATTAACATAATTCAAGGATTTAAGCCTAACAAACAAGCAAGAAATTCAGCATATAAAGAATTGGAAGCAGAAGCAAGCATCCTGTGGAAGATTCTCACCAGGTCAAACTGCTCATCTAAAGGACGGCGAGCTCTTGGCTTCTCGTCTCTAGATTCCACCAAGGATTCGGATTTACCAGAAACAGCCACAGCATTCATTTCTACACTCTTTTTCTTTGGTTGCTCAAGCAATTTGAGCTTTTTATCAAGTTCTAGATCAACTGCGGCTTCAGGAAGGTTTGCCTTAACCACAAAGTCCTCTTCCAAGTCCTCCACGTCAGAACCAAAGTCACTGTCATCCAGCAAGGCCGCTATGTCGTCATCAACCACTTTCTCAACCTTTGCATTCAGAGTCTTGGATGCAACAGCATACATTGATGTCTCATCGGAATCATCCTTAACTCTTGCAATTTCTACCTTTGATGCATTATAAGCCTAGCAAACGACACGAGCAAAAACAATATTAGGCCTATTCTTAATCATTTCTAATTATTCATACTTTTATGCATATGACCAAATTTTTTTTAGGAAAAAGGAAATCGTGACAAGATTCAATATTAGTTCCCTTTTTCTACTTACCATTTCTTCTCCAAACTATAATTTCAATTGAAACAAAACTACAAATACAAACAATGGAAAAGCTGACGAACCTTCACATCAGGGGGAAGAGGTTCAAATTTAGCTTTAGGATTCTCATAATAAAAGGACCCGGCACCGGAATTCTTAATCTCTCTCAGATGAAGTAAATAATTGTATCCATCGTCCGGAAAGCCGAGCTCGAGTATCTCCTTTCTAATGTGGTCCGGCAACAATGACCCGGTTCTGCTTGTACTCCGGGAAGATCCATACCCGTAATCATCCGGTGCATCGGCGAAGATAGAATCGGGGTCGTCAGCTGGGACGGCGTCATTTTGATAATGCTCATTCTCCTCGTCGTCGGAAAAGCCTTCAACTTGATATTGGTTGTTATCGACTCTGACGAAAACTCTGTCGCCGGATGGCCCGGATGAGTAATTCGGGTCGGAAGTATCACGGGCGAGTATTTGGTATGTGGCGGATTTCTTCTTGTCAATGAACTTATTCTTCCCCATAATTATTCTTTTCTTTTCCCGCTGCTCAAATCTCTCTGTGAAGGAATGGACTGAAGAAGGAAGAACTAGGGAGTCGCTAAAACCCTAGGAACACGTGCACCTCACGTGAGATAAGAAAGCAGTTATATGTTATTTGGGCTGGGCCGACGAAAACTAATAAATTATACTAACTCCAGCCCAAGGAGAAGAATAAAAACTAAGGGTATATTTGTTTCATTTTTTCGGGGTGTGTTTTTAGGTGTTTTTTGTATTACAGATGTAAAGAGGTGTATTAAAAATGTAAAAGAATATACTGAGATAGAACAGTTATTAATTAATAATTCTAGAAAAACTATCAAAAAAGTAAACAAACAAAGCCTAAACGTTTGACCGTTGACATAAGGATTTCTTACACGAAACTAAAGTTGTCCAGTAACATAATTATTGTCCAGTTTGGGTTTTTATTTTTAGTTCAAATTGTACTAAAAGTAAAATCTCAAACTAGACAATAATTTTGGGACAGAAGGAGTATGAACTTCGCATTTAGAAAACACGACTGTTAGTGTATATATTAGGGTTTAGTCTAAGGGCGTTGTTGTAATCTTATTGTAACCCTATACACTATAAATATGTTGTATCAATATACTATAACCTACGGGTTATTTGTATCTTCATGGTATCAACCGCTTTCCTGGGACGTCACTTTTTTTAGGGTTTCTGCCGTGCCGTCTTTTCTCTTTCTTTGTCGGCTTTCATAGTCTCATTCTCCGGCAACCCCTCGTCCTTCTCTTTTGCTCCAGTATTGATCTCCCTCTGTTTCCCTCTCTTGTGGTTACGTGCAGTGTCACTGTTGTTGCCGCCGCCTGTTGTTGTGTCACCAAGTGCAGTGTCACAGTATTGATCTCACTGTTGTTGTGGTTAATTGGCCGCCGCCTGCTCTTCTCCAACGTTGCTGTTGTTCCTCCACTTCTGCCACTGTTGCACCACCCCCATCTTCGGCCGTTGCTATTGTTTCAGTTGTTCTCTTCCCGGCGGTTCTCCCCTCTGATCAAGTGTATTGTTGTCCGGTTGAATTTCTTTTTTTCCGTCCGTCCTCATGGCAAATCTTTTCGATGTGAACGACGATCCGAAAACCCCTCTGTCGTCCACCATTGTTGCTGCTGCCTCTGATTCTTCCTCGTCGTCTGCTCTTTCTTCTTCTCGTCATCCTGCCCTTGCTCTCAACAACATCAAAAATCACGTCTATGAAGTTCTAGATTTCACGAACTATCTGATTTGGCGCGGGTTGTTTATTCCGGTGTTGAAAGGTCATCAAGTTTATGGTCACGTTGATGCCTCTCTCCCCTGTCCTCCAGCTGCTGATCCTGGTTATGCCGAATGGATTTAAATTGACTCTCTTGTTCTCTCGTAGATTCAGGCTACCCTTTCTCGTGAAATTTTGCGTACTATCATTACTCCAGGTACTACACTCACTGCTTTTGATGCTTGGGATAAAATTGAGAGGTTGTTTCCTGATCTCAGACAAGAATTTTATCACTGTGAAAAAGGAGATCTTTCTATGGCTGTCTTTTTAGAACGATTGAAAGAGCTATATGATTGTTTGATTTCTGTTGGGGATTCAATTACGTATAGAGACGTGGTTATGCAAGTGGTTATGGGGTTGGGACCCGAATATAATGCAGCTACGTCCCAGATTTCATCTCAGAAACCGTTACCGACTTTTGATGAATGTCGGTTGCAGCTGCTGCTTGAAGAAGCGAAGCTGTCCAAGCAACAACAAAAATCAGCAACTGCTCCATCTTCTTCGTCTGTTTTTGTTGCTCAACAGGTTCAGCTTCCTTCTGGCGTTTCACATTCTTCACATGCTGCATCTTCAACCAATTCTGCTTCTTCGCCTGCTGTTCATCAGGCTTATGCAGCCTCTGCGTATTCAGCGTCTTCCTCTCCTGGTGGTCGGCGTGGTGGAGGCCGTCGCGGAGGAGGTCGTCGGGGCGGAGGACGCGGCAACTGGCAGCAACCGTGGTAGCATCATTCCTTTCATGCGCCTGTTGTTGCTTCTTCTATTTCGGGTACACCGCCGTTGTCCGCTCCTCTAAATTCTGGAAATTCTCAGTTTCCCACCTATGTTCAGTGTTATAATTGTCGTGGATTTGGACATGTTGCTCGGTTGTGTCCTTCTGCTCCTATGGGTTCCGGTTTTTCCACTCCCGCATTCACCGCCTACCCGGCTTTCACTCAACCGGCTACACCTTGGCATTTTGATTCAGTTGCGGGCGCTACAATGACCAATGACCCTGGTAAGCTCACTAGTTTATGCCCTTATAATGGTTCTGACAAAGTTTGTGTTGGCAACGGTGCTTTGCTTCCCATTAAATCACTTGGTTCTTCCATTATTCCTACTTCTAGTCGTCCTTTGTATCTCCATAATGATCTTTATGTCCCATCTCTTACTGAAAATCTCATTTCTGTTCGCCAATTTACTTTGATAATAACTGTTCAGTCGAATTTGACCCCTTTGGTTTTTCTGTTAAGGATCTATCAACGAAGACAAGACTTCTTCGGTGCAATAGTTCTGGCCCGCTCTATCCTCTCCTCCATAGCACTTCCACAACCTCGATCCCTGCCTTTGCTGTCAACCGCACTTCGTCTCTCACTTGGCATTGTCACTTAGGTCACCCTGGACATCGTGTTTTGACCACTTTAATAAATGCATCTCTGCTTCCTAGTTCTGCGTTAGGTTTTTGTCATGCTTGCCAGTTGGGTAAACATGTACGTTTACCTTTTGAGTCATCTTTATCAAGTTCTACTTTGCCATTTGAACTTATTCATTCGGATGTATGGTTTTCTCCAGTCGTTTCTCCTTCTGGTTATAAATATTTTGTCACCTTTTTGGATGATTATACACATTATTGTTGGGTTTTCCCCTACGTTCCAAAACTGATGTTTTCTCTACTTTCTGTAACTTTTATGCTCATGTGAAAACACAATATAATGCTGTTCTTTGTACCTTTTAATGTGATCAAGGTGGTGAGTACGAAAATCACTCCTTTTGACAGTTCTTTCAAAATCATGGTATTCACCTCCGATTATCTACTACAGCATGTTCATAACAAAATGGTAAAGCTGAACGTCTCAATCGCACTATTGTCAACATGATTTTTACCCTTTTGTTTCAAGCTCATATGCCTCCTTCTTTTTGGGTCGAAGCGCTTAACACTGTCACATATCTCTTAAATCGTCTTCCTAACTCCTCTCCTCCACCATAAAACCCCTTATCAGCTTCTTCATAACAATCTTCCTTCCTATGATCATCTACGTACTTTTGGTTGTGCATGTTATCCAAATCTCTCTCACTCCATTCGTCACAAGTTAGAACCTCGATCTACCCTATGTGTGTTTCTTGGTTACCCTTCGAATCACAAAGGCTATCATTGCCTTGATCTGTCTACTAACAAGGTCATCATATCTCGTCATGTAGTTTTCGATGAGAACACCTTTCCTTTTGCTTCCATTTCACTTTCTAGACCTTCTTCTAGCTCTCCCTTTCGTTCGCCCTCTTCATTGATTCCTTCTGCTCTTCGTCCTCTTAATGACTATTTTTTCCCATCATGTTTATCATCCGCTTCCCAAACTCCTATTTCCCATCTTGGTAGTATCCCCCTTGGCTTTGGCCTCTTCTGAGTCTCCGGCTTCCATTTCCGCACCTTCCTCCCCTCCTATAGTTTCTCCTTCTGTTCCTCTTCGCCATCCTATGGTTACTCGTGCTCAGGATGATACTCGTAAAACCAAAGTCATCTTCAATTTAGCTAGCACTGTTGTTGACACTCCTTTGCAGGTTCCTACCACATATCGTGAGGCTTGTAAGTTTAATGAATGGCAACAAGCCATAAATAATGAGATTGCTGCTCTCTCACGTAACAACACTTGGACTCTTGTTCCCAAGCCTCCTGGTGTTAATGTGGTTGGATCGAAATGGGTATTTCGGGTTAAGGAAAAGTCTGATGGTTCTTTAGACCGCTACAAAGCCAGACTTGTTGCTCAAGGATTTTCTCAGCGCCTTGGTATTGATGTTGGTGATACTTACAGTCCAGTGGTCCGCCCTGCCACTATTCGAACTGTTCTCACCTTGGCTCTTTCTCGTAACTAGCCTATTCACCAGCTTGATGTCAAAAATGCGTTCTTGAATGGTTTGTTGCAGGAGCCAGTCTATATGAAGCAACCACCTGGCTTTGTTCACCATCAGCATCCTAATTATGTGTGCAAGCTGAATCGTGCTCTCTATGGTCTCAAGCAAGCTCCCCGTTCTTGGTTTCAATGGTTTGCTTCTTTTATCACCTCACATGGATTCTGTGTTAGCAAGTCTGATTCTTCCATGTTTGTTTATCGCAATGGTGATGATATGGCTGTTCTTTTACTTTATGTTGATGATATTCTGCTTACTGCCTCTTCTGGCTCTTTATTGGCATCCATTATTGCTAAGTTACGGCATGAGTTCGCTATGACTGATATGGGTGATTTGCATTATTTTCTGGGTATCTCAGTTACTCGTACTTCTGACGGTCTGTTCTTGTCTCAATCCAAATATATTGCTATTTCTCTTGGATCGTTGTCAGCTATCTTCTGCTAATTTGGCTCATACACCCATCGACAGTAAGAGCAAGTTATCTCAGAATGGGGGTGATTTATACTCGAATCCCTATGAGTATCGTAGCATTATTGGTGCTCTTCAATATATCACTTTTACTCGTCCTGATATTGCTTATGTTGTTCAACAAGTTTGTCTCTTCATGCATGCCCCTAGAGATTCTCATTATCAGGCAGTTAAGCGAATTCTTCGCTATCTGAAGGGTACTTTGCATTATGGCCTTTGTCTGAAACCCACTGCTCTTGATCAGCTAGTGGTTTACTCTGATGCTGATTGGGCTGGTTGTCCAGACACGCGTCGTTCTACGTCTGGGTACTGCGCTTTTCTGGGTTCCAATCTGGTCTCTTGGTCCTCCAAACGGCAACACATTGTTTCGCGATCTAGTGCTGAGGCAGAATATCGTGCTGTTGCTAATGTAGTTACGGAGATATGTTGGTTACATTCTTTACTTTCTGAGCTGTCCATTCGTTTGCCTACTACTACTGTTGTGTTCTGTGATAATGTTAGTGCCATTTTTATGTCGACTAATCCAGTTCAGAACCTTCGCACGAAGCATGTTGAAATTGATATTCACTTTGTTCGCAAGAAGGTTGCTCAGGGTACCATTCGTGTTCTTCATGTTCCCTCTTCTCATCAGTTTGCAGACATCATGACCAAAAGCTTGCCACATATTCTTTTTGTTGATTTTCGAGACAATTTGAATGTTTGCTTACCTCCCGTTCAGATTGCGGGGGATGGTAGTGTATATATTAGGGTTTAGTCTAAGGGCGTTGTTGTAATCTTATTGTAACCCTATGCACTATAAATATGTTGTATCAATATACTATAACCAACGGGTTCTTTGTATCTTCAACGACATCTTCATAAATTTGCTCTGGTTTCAGAAGACATGAAACAAAAAATGGTCCAATGACATGAATGCTCAACTATCATTTGATTTGATAATGCACCTCTTCCTTAGGTCGCTATTTCCTTCAATCCCAGCTTCAAATCGATATCTTAACCAATAATGAACACATGTTTTGCCCAGAGACTGCATATTTAACAATGTTTAATAACAGAACCATATAAACTGAATCGGTCATTTCAGACCCGGATGGGGGGGATCGAATATCGAAGGGAATGCAGAGATCCTAATCCTTTCTCCATTTCATCAATTTCTTTGGCTTGTTTTCAATGGTCAATTTTGCTTGTTTTCCACATTTGGTAATAGGTACCTCTTCAGGAGTCAGACCAATAAGCTGTTAGTCATGCATCCCCAGTTTGTTGGAGGAATGGGTTGTTTTTGTTTCCAACTAGTTTTTTTTTTTTTAATTTAAAAAAAAAAAGCAGGAACTTGGGACTGCAGGTAACAACTTTAGATAACGGATTTTCTCTGGTTTTCTGGTGGTACTAGACTTAGGTGTCTATGTGCGGGTACCAGCACTTGTTAATGGCAACTCCAGAGATTTGGATATGTAGAAATGAACATAATTGTGGAACTATATATATCTTTCTTATTGAATCGTAGTACTTAATACAGTAAGTGATTAACTGGACGTATCATAGATGATGATATATATCGGGTTACTAATTTCAGAAGCCACCTGCCCACCACCATCCAAGAGTCATAGTGAAGTCGGCATATGGCTTTCTTAGATTTTACTCTTCTTCGGGAGAAGCTGTAGTTATAATTATGTATCGGCCCTCTAATTAAATAAACGACAGACAAAGTAATGATATTTTTTCCTCGATCAAATCCCATATTAATTTCTACAGTTGTAATTCATACTGATGGGGAGATGAGAAGAAACCCCTAAGTTGAAGATATTGAAATAGTGTCACAAAGTAGATTATTTTTGTGTGACTTAACACGCTTCACTATTGGTAATTGTAATGATTAGCGGACCTAATTCATGCAACTTGCTTAGTCCTGTTCTTGATCGGTGTTCATTATCATGCATTTTTCCCAATTGTGTATAACAAATCTAAAAAATTTATCAATTCCAACAAGTGCAATCAACAGTAATGATCATCAGGTTCTTAATTTATAGAAATATACATAGCATATAGAGCCCCAGCCGCCTCCTAATCTAGTGGCCTCTCTGCAACTTGCAAGCGTGAACAGCGAACCAATTGAATCTGTGGGGACGCAGTGAAAATGAAGCCATCATCTATCTACCTCTCTCTATCAACCCCTCCTCTGTTTCTCTCCCTGTTAGCTACTAGTAACTTAAATTAATGTGTTTAGGAAAATCTCTATGTTACTCAAATTTTGACAATGCAATCCAGGTCTTTAGGAGGTTATAACTTATAACCCATTCCTATATATTAAGGAGGATCGCACTACAGTTGAAAGCACCTTTGAGCTAAAAGTTACCAGTCATACTATTGAACATCGATATCAATGGAGGGGAGAAGAAGAAGAATCAGCAGTATGATGGTTTGGGTTCATTTGTTTCTCGCTTTGAGTATGATGGTTCATGCAAAATGTGAGGAGGAGGGAAATAGTGCAAATTTAGCCCAACAAAAAAAGATCACTTCATCACATGATAGTTCTACTGTAGCCAACAATAAGCTTCCGCAAGGAGAAAAAAGCATTGGAGATGAAAAGAGAAACTACAACTTTGGAGGTGGAGGAGGAGGTGGTGGTGGAGGGTGGACCGGTGGCAATGGTGGTGGAGGAGGTGGTGGCGGCGGCGGCGGCGGCGGAGGCGGAAACGGTGTGGGGATGGGAGGAAGTGGTGGATGGGGATGGGGAGGTGGTGGAGGAGGATTTTGGAGTTGGGGATGTGCAAAACCACAGAGAAAACACAATGGAGGAAATATTGGAAGCCATAATAATAACAATAATAATTGGGAGTATAAGATGGGGGAATTTGCACAATGCATGGGAAGAGGAAGGTGCAGAGGAATGAGGTTGGATTGCCCGCTTCATTGTGGCGGCCCCTGTTTCTATGACTGCAAACATATGTGCAAAGCTCACTGTCGACGCTGATTCTTTCTTCATCTGTTTTTTTTTTTTTTGTTTAAGAAGGAAAATCAGTTAGTTAATCTAGATTTGTGTGGGATAATTTGACATCGACAACAATGTTTTTTGAACTTTGTTTGTTCTTTGGAGTCCATTTAGTGTGTGTGCGCTCTTTCTTCCTGAACCTTTAAGTTAGAACAGTTATGAAATTAGCTTCTACCAAGTTGGATTGCGAGGCTTGATGATGTACTTGAAGTGTGAAGTATTATTATTATTATTATGTATCCTCAACCTTAATTAACATATTTTACTTGTGTTTACCAATGTTTTTTCTACCTCCCATTTTCATAATTCACTTTGTCGTAATTACAACTGCTCAACTAGTATTGGAGTGAACTAGTGCGCGCAACATTTCTTTGATCCTCTCCATTAGTACTAGAAGCTTCTGCTTTAAAAATTGATTATTTTGAAAAGCTAGAGACCGAGTATGTGAATCATGTGGATTTATTATTTTTTATTTTTTATCATCATTATCATCATCAGTTATTAGTCTGATAAAGAGACAGCATGATTAAGACAGAAGCATCATGTTGACCTGACCACTGACCTAGGTAGGCAACATCAACAATGCACAAGGATTATGAAACGCATGCTTCCATGATTCCACCTCCTTCCTACTCTTTCAGTTTTTTTCATAAACAAATTTCATTTGATACGATGATTTCTTATCTGTATTTTACCCTCGATCTAACATTAGTGTGATAATAACAAATTCATATATAAACATAATATTCTTCCTTCGAAAATGATAATCTCAAAAGAAAAATGATACTGCCTCCGTCCCATCATTATTGTCCAGTTTGAATTTTCATTTGTACTTTAAATTGTACTAAAAGTGAAATCTCAAACTAGACAATAATTTTCGGACAGAGTGAGTACAACTTATTTGTTGATAGTATCTTTTTTTTCACACGAATCAAGACATTAATTTCGTGATTTATGAGGCATAAATTCTCCAAAAGTAGTTATATGTGTGTGTTACTCAGTCTTCTTAGTACTCCCTCTATTCCAAAATAAGTGTCATTCTAGAGTTTGCACACAGTTTAAGAAACACTTAAATAGGGTAGCTAAATTATTAAAATATCTTCAACTAACTTCATTAAAATAAATGTTCACCAATAATATTATTTCTTTTGAGGGTATGTTTGGAAATTTTTGACAAAAAATGCATTGAAATCCGAAAACGACACTTATTTTGAAATTTTTCCATTTTACTAAAACGACACTTATTTTGGAATGAAGGGAGTATTTCAAAAAGCAAGAATTTGTAGAATTTACATTTCAAATACCATATTATTTTCTTCACCTCAAAATTGAATTGTGGACTCATTTTTGGAACCAAGGGAGTATTTTTAGTAATTCAGTAGCTAGGGGGATCGAAAAAGGAAAAGAAAAGAAAAGAGATTCGTCAAGTCAAAGGAACCTAGGAAGCTTCAAAAGAAAAGGCACAACAGTCGTTCCGTCCAAACTCCAACCTCCAAAACTATTCTCAGACGGGGGAATTCCGACACGTTACAAATTCCTTCCGTTTTCTTTTCGCTGTTCTATTTGTCCCATATATCTCCCTCCCTATTTTCTTTCACAAAAAGTCGCTTACCTTTTGGAACAATTGGTTAGTTAGAATGTGGAACCACTGTTAAAAATACTGGGCTGTAAACTACTCTACTTCTTGAGTTCTTGTTGGGTTCAGTTATTGAGTGATTCAAAATTTCAAAATGGATGCAATCAGGAAACAAGCAACCTGGCTCAGGGAACAAGTCGCCAGACAACAACAGGTACTATTACTTGTGCCCTTGTTTTAAAATTTATACTCTTTACCTTCAGCACCTTATAGAAGTAGCCAATTAGTTTGTCTTGTGATTCTCTATAGTTAAGTTGTATTGATTAAGGTTTCTGGATGTCATTTGTTTTCTTTTTCTGAATTGGTAAGCTTATTCTTCAACTTTGTGTGGTTGATTGCGATGAAATACCTTTTCTTGATAGCAAATGACATGTTATTGATTGTCAACCTTGAAGTTGTGTAAACTTGTATTCATGTCTTGAATTGCTCAGTTTAAGTGGAAACCACCAACTAATTTAGATTACATTTGGGCGTGATAGATCCCTGGTTCCATGAATAGTTCTTGACGAAATTACTTATGTTTACAACTATGGTGTTGGTTTTAACAGCTGCTCGATTATTTTACTGAAATAATTACCCAATGTTGATTGTTCTGGTAAAAAATGATTTTTTTTTTTTTTTTAATCATATTCCAGTTTTATTGTATTCCGCAATTAGGCCGCAAGATTCTGTTTTCTGGGTTTGGTTGTACCTTCTTGTGCATAAGTATTTTTCTTGTTTTTGCTTCAGGCTGTCTTTAAGCAGTTTACCAACGGACTAGGGGGTGTGGAAAGTGGCGCAAATGATGACTCTGAATCTCAACAGCATCAAAAGATTGAGAAACTTTACATCTCCACGCGTGCTGGGAAGGTCAAAATCGTGTCTTTCTTCATTTGTGCCTCAGTTTATGTAATCTTTCCTCACATCCCTTCTTTTTGATTCAGCATTTTCAAAGGGATATTGTCCGAGGAGTGGAAGGCCATATTGTTACTGGATCAAAGCAAGTTGAAATCGGTCAGTTGCTGAAGTTTTATCACATATGTAGTTAGTGATCTCTTGTTTAACATGTTCTCGCGATGATATTGTTGTTCTTGTTTTAACAGGTACTAAGCTCTCAGAAGATAGCAGGAAATATGGTGCCGAAAACACATGCACCAGTGGAAGTACACTATCTAAAGCTGCATTAAGTTATAGTAAGGCTCGTGCGCAAATTGAAAAGGAACATAGTGATTTGTTGAAAGCCCTTGGCACACAGGTTACAGATAACTTTCTTGCATTTTTGTTTTCTTTTTGTTTTTAGTCTTGGAATCGTATCCATGACTGCTTTTTTTTGGACAGAAGAAATTTGAACCACACTTATTCACCCTTTCATAATGCTATTTCACGTCTCTCTTTCAATTTGAAGAAGATTTGAGACTTTACCAACGGGAATAAATTGTTACACCACATCATGCTGTAATACATTCTTCTATTGTAGATTCAGAGGTCTCAAAAACTATTGTTTTTTTGTTCAGGTCGCAGAGCCACTACGTGCAATGGTAGTGGGCGCTGCCTTAGAGGATGCCCGGCATCTTGCTCAACGTTATGACAAAGTGAGACAGGAAGTGGAAGTTCAGGTAAGATTAGATAAGTATTAGACTTTAGTGTTGAATGTCATCCATTTGATGGACCATTCCACAATCCACACTGAAAATATTTGATTTAACTGTCAACATCATAGATCTAAGTTTATTTCATTTTTGTGCATTTGAAATGTATGCCTTCTAAGTTCTAATGAAAGTGAGTGCTTCCTTCGTGAATTATTTATTTATTTATTATTCAGGAAACTGAGTTGTAAATATGTAATGCATATAATATGATGGGCATAAGTGTGGACTTCATTTCCATTTTGTTTCTTGGTGATCATATTCTTTGTTGACCCAGATAGGCAATCGAAGTTTCTCGACGCCAGGCTAAAGTGAGGGAGTCTAATGGTCATCCTGACTATGTAGCAAAGCTGGAGGCTGCTGAATCAAAGCTTCAGGAGCTCAAATCCAACATGGCTACATTGGGCAAAGAAGCTACTGCTGCGTTGGCTGCCGTGGAAGCTCAACAACAAAGGCTGACTCTCCAGCGATTAATAACAATGGTACATATCTTATTTACCTTTATGTTGTAAATTAATTTCCATTTCGCTCCTCTTCCTATTTATTTGGTATTAAGAATTTCTGAATTACTCTGTATTTTTTGTAAAGGTTGAGGCGGAGCGCTATTACCACCAGAGAATATTGCAGATACTCGATCAACTCGAGGCTGAGGTATGACCCATGTATCCCCTCAGAAGCAGTATACTGCAAAATGTGATGCCATGGTCCTTATTCACAAGTGTGATTATTTACTGGGCAGATGTTGTCAGAACGTCAAGGTGCTGAAGTTTCTTCAAGGCCTACTGATGATAACATGACACAACCACCTCCATCTTATGAAGACGCCAATGGTTTATTTGCGTCTCAATCATATGATGGGTCAACAGATGCATTGGGTTACTTCCTAGGCGAGGTTATCATCTACTCCTTTTATTGTTGTGGTTACTCATTTATGAAGTTTTAACTAGCTATAAGGGTGTTAACTCTCCTTTTAACATCTCTTGCTGTAGGTGGTTCATCCATATCAAGCTGAAAGTGATGTGGAGTTAAATTTGTCAGTTGGTGATTACGTTGTTGTTAGAAAGGTACTAGACAACCTTCAAAACTATGAACTCGTGTTACTTCATCCTTTGAGAAGCCCTTCAAATTATAGTCATATTGGAGCAAAATGTTCATACTTACTGCTACTATTGGGCCTAAAATGTTGTAAGCTGATCGATATGCAGAATTTGAAAATTGACAATGCTGACTACTATTTTTCTTGCTCACCAACTTCTTATCTAGACTAACACCACATGACCCTTGAGCAGGTATCAAACAACGGATGGGCTGAAGGTGAATGCAAGGGAAAAGCTGGTTGGTTTCCTTTTGGTTTTGTCGAAAGAAGAGATCGTATTCTTGCCAGCAAAGTGGCCGAAGTTTTTTAAGGTTTTTAAGATCCGTGTTTTAGGTGTCTAGCTTGTATTTAGGTTTAGCGTTATCAGCAACATCCATCCATTCTTCTTGTGGTTTTTGTAACACTAAGATGTTAATCTTGTTAAAAACCTGAATGTTTGTGCATACTCCAGCAGAGCAACGCAACTTAGTCCCTTTTTCATCTCATTGTTTTGTTTCATCATTAATGTTTTGGAAGGATGGCAATCAGGTTGTTATTGGTGTGTTTGCATGTCAGTTATTTGTATCATATTAATTTTCGCCGAATAAAAACATCAAATCACTGAAATGGTCGAATTTCACAATCAGTTTGTAACGAACCATAAACTGTCACTTTATTATTGGATGTAGCAAATTTGGGCTTAGAGCTTTTGTTGGAAATGTATGTTTTGCAAGGCCCATTGGGGCAAATTTCATACTAAAACCCTTCAGACCCTTTTAAGTACTCGATCTATCACATCATAATTACACTTCTTATGCATATTTTGCATGTATAGTTTAATCAATGTTGCTTTTTATATCCGGGGTTCCAGTACAACTATATGCTCTTTCCGTTCTAAAAACATTGTCTAATTTAGATTTTCATTTTTAGTATAATTTATATTAAAAATAAATTTAAACTAGATAATTATTTCGAGACGGGAGCAACTTGAAATACACTCTTGCATTAAAATATTTATCTTGTTAACCTTTAGATCGAAAATTTGATTAGCAAAAAGTGAATAGATCCATAAATGATGATGGTAGGTAGGAATAATTTTGATTCTGAGCGTAAAGATAATTTGTTCCCTAGTAGTACTGTTAGGATTACTGTGAATAAATCGGCTGGGTTCGGCCGACATCGAAGAAACTATTCCCCTTTTACATCATCGTCAGTGTCTTATCACTCTTTGTCTAAATGGATTTGGTTTAGGTCTAAAGTAAGTCATTATAGATATGAGTCCCCCACATAGACATATCAAGAGATAAACATGATGAGCCTTTTTATATATATATATATATATATATATATATATATATATATATAAATTATTATTATCAATTGCCACCTGGGGAAAGCGCAACAGTAAAAAGGTGAAAAACATATCTCATATTGAATGGCATCCGATTGGGACTTGTACATAGAGCAAAAAAACCCTAGTAGTTGGTACTAGCTGGGGTCATTCTACGATTTTTTTTTTTCGACTTTTTCTAGGTTAAGATGAAAATAGTGGTCAGCAATTCAGCATTCTAAATTGGTGTCTTATTATTTCTTCATGAAGTCGGTGTTAATACTACTACTAGGAGTACGGCTATTAGACTGATTACATCGTTAATTAGGCTTTGTTTCTTTGGTTTTTTAGTGCGTGTTTTTAGATATTTTTTGTATTTGAAATATAAAAAGGTATATTGAGATGAGACAGTTAATATTTAATTATTATGAAAATACCATAAAAAAAGAAACCAAACAAAGTCTTAATTTGTCAAACACTGGAATTGCATTTGCACTTATTCAACTTTGACGGTAGTCTTGACACTAACTAATCAAGCTCCGGGTCATTTATTTAGGGTACCATATCTTATATCCAACTCTATTCCACTCGAGAAATTATTGTCCACTTTCAATATTTATTTTTAATTTAAATTGTACTAAAAACGCAATCTCAAACTGAACAACTTCGGACAGAGAGAGTACCGATCAACAACAATGACAACCCATTTTCTAAATGATACTCCCCATTAAATTTTCTATTTCAAAACAAACAGAGCTATACGGTGATATAGTAGTGGAGAATTTTATGTCTGTATGAGTAAGCCTTGTATGTTTTCGATAGGCTCAAGACAGAGCAGCTCAGTTTAATTAACTCTCTCGAACCGTAATAGTCATATATTCAGTACATAAATCAACTCACTTTATTCCCGCAAGGAAATGTTAATGATGCATCAGTAGATGATTGTTCCGTTTGATGGGCAATGCATCTGTTATTATCATCTCCAAAATAGTTTTGGTCATGTAAGAACATTTTCTTTTTCGAAAATCAAAAAAAAAAAAAATGGAACCATCAAAAGAGAAATATAATGTCGTTGTCCGTCTCGAAAGGAAATTATGCTCGTGGGCTATACCATAGATAGAGAGCTTGAGATGTTTGACGGGAATCCTAAATTCTTTATATATAAGGACCTTTTTCCTTCATAATTTTGAATAATACTTTTGTGACTTCTCCATTCACACTGTTGCCAAACTTTTGTATATGACAAAACTGCACTTTTTCCATGTAAATATATGTCCTCTTATTGACCTTTTTATTTATCCTTCCCTGCTGGCCGGGGGGTTTGAATGTTGAGATTTTTGAATGAATTTTCAAAGTCAAAGAAAATCTTAATCAGACCAAGTTATGTAGAGTAGTGTTTCTTAACTTAGCATTACATTATCGTAAAAGTAGGGTTTTTTCTTTTTTGGTTAAAAAAAAGTTGAATTAATCTTAACAATTAAATGAGTACATATCACATAAATATTTCTCAATGTAGAGTAATTACGAATTAGAGTTAGGTTTAGAAACGAAGGAGATGAAGAGATTGTGAGGAAGCATGAAGCCATTTGAACCCCAAAGATAATTTAATTTAGATCCCAATATCATTTTGTTGTTTGTTGGCGTAAATAATACAGAGAATGACTTGTCAGCAAGCAAGGCAAAATGGTGCACTTTTTGCAGCTTTTAGACCACCCAAGTTGGCGCCAACCCTTTTCAATGGGGAAAATGGCTCCACCATATTCATTATCCAATCAATAAGCGCATATATTGTGTTCTAAGAAGCATCTGAGGAAATTGAAATGTTGTGATTGCCACTCATCAGATCCTCCCAATCCAGCCCCAACCCATCTGACTAGACAATAGACTACAGACAAAGGTCATAATACATATTTGATGGATACTAGAATTTTCGATCAGGAGAAGAGGGCTGCAAACTGCATTTTGCAAGTCGCTTTAGACTTGTAGTGATGATGATGGTCCATGCTAAGGGTATATATTAATTTGTTGAGCTACTTGCAAACTGGCCCCTTTTGGTTTGCTTGGTTTCAATCTTTACCACAGGGAATAATCGATTCCCCTGTTTTTAAAACTGATGACTATTTTCAAGAAAAAATGGTTTTAGATGTTACTACGAGTTATAATGTTAGAATTAGAATGGCTTTACTATCTGAGCATATTGTAAACAAAAAAACGATTATATAAACATTGTGTGTTCGCTTAAAAGATTTCGTATTTCACAAATTCACTGACAATCAAGAAATCTTTAAGGGAATTTTGTGCAATAAATCCTAAGTAGTTTGGTCGCTAGAAACTTTATGATACTGGACCCAGAATTTGCAGCTGCCAATCCAGTAAACTAATGTGGTCCTTTTTGTACGTCTTTGGCCCTCAAATACATAATCTCTTCGTCTCTTGCAAATCGTATATTCAAATGCTGATATATGATCACATAAATGGCCATAATGTGTATTTGTTTGATTCTCTCAAGTTGCATATATGGCACAATAAAAAAGTTGTCTCTTGCATTTTCTGGAATAACTCTGATTTCGATCCCAAATTCGGAGACCCCCTTCTTCGAAATCATTCATGGTTATCTCTTCAAGGCAACTCCAGCTTCAATCTGGAATAATTTTTCCTTTTTTTTTTCCTCCTCTTTGGAGGCTTCAGTTTTGTGATCCGCCTCAAAATGAAATTCTTTTCGTTGAACTAAAACAGTATAACAAATAAACTTTTCATTAAAGGATAAGATGAAGTCAATTCTGGACATTGCTTTGGTGATGACTTCCCACTTTTATCCCAAAACACCTTTTTCATATTCTATTTGGCTAGGGTTCATATATATATATATATATGGATTAATGGAAGAACATTTGCCTTTTTAACTGTTGAGGAGGGCCACGAATGTTAGCCCTTTGCACCTAATAAGGTAATGGCACTATCGAATCCACTGGTACTTCTTTCTGATTTACCCATACAATTATGACTACCCAAATAGGAAGAAAAAACTACTACTGCTGTGCCATTATTCCATTTCAACCAATAATATTTCAGAAACACAACAGGCAAAAGATATATATACCCGGTGACCATTAAAACAAAAAGGGGGAAAAAGGGAAAGTCAAGTACACCTTTTTATCATACTAAATAAAGAATTGTTGATTACAAAATCAGTGGCCCTCCTAACCATAATAATTACATGCCATCAAGAATTCATCCTATCAGGAAAGGTCAAGAAAAAATAATTTTAGGAGGAGAGTTGTTGAAGTGACATATTATGGACTTGGGTATGGAAGGTAGGGAATACAACAATTACTTTGAAAAAATCAAAATAAATAAATAACCCTCAATTTTCTTTTCCTCCATCCGATAAGGTTGTTCTTCAAATTACTTCAAAGGAGGTTAAGGGTTTGATTCTCTACACGTGTAATTTAAGATTTTAGATCGCTAGCCTTCATCTAGCATCATCTGGAGTGGCGAATCACGTCGAATATCTAACGTGATTTCCCTATAGTTGCGATTTACAAGTTATTGTAGTAAGTGCAATCCCCAATTTTCCATAAAACGGAAAAAGAGAAAATCATCGAAAAAATTTATAGCGAAAATCTTGAAAATGGACCAGGATACGGGATGCAGGGACACCATCCTACGTTTGCCAGACTGTAGATCTGTCCTGAAATCCCAAATCTGGGCTTTTTTGTAACATGACCATTTCCCTTACTTTCTGCAAAGTCACAGTCCCTTCATTTTCCCTATACCAAAAGGGGCAAGACGAGTGGTACTTTTCTAAACTGTCACTTCCTTCCCATTACCTGATTTGCCTTCGCAACTTAGCTTGCAAATTTAGTACTATATGGGATTGTGACCCATGATTATATACTATGTCTACCTGTACCATGTACCCATGTAGATTTTGAATATTTTTCAAGGAATTGAGAAATGAGAAGAACATTGAGAATTTTTTTGCCTCATTTCATTAGTACGAAAATGGGGAAAATATATTTACACAAAAGGATCCTTGCATCAGCTTTTGCTAGCACAATTACAAGAAAGATGCACAACACAAATCAAAACCCACAAAAACAACACCTAATATAATCTTCGTGTAAAGCTAGGATCGAGGCCATCCAAGAAAGGGATCCCAAAAAAAAAAAAAAAAACGAAGTGAATTATTGAGTCTAATAAGAAAAAGATGTGATTTTGATGGTTCTACCATAAAGTTCTGAGTCTCTTGGAGGCAGTACTATTCGCAGGTGGGCTGATCTGTGGAACTGCAAAAATATTGTCATCATTCCAATGCTTCCTGCTGGTGGTCTTAAACGTTAGATTCTCCTTGGAATTGATTTGCCCTCCAAACGATATGTTATTGGAAGTTGCAGAAAACCATTGATTCTGATTTGGACTTGGATTTACTGGTGTTGTAGCAGCAGCTTGAGGGACCCAAAGACCTGTACTTTCTGGAAAGAAGAAGCTTAAATTGGTGTCTATTCCACCATCCCAAAATGGCATCACATCGCTGTCACTCGTACTCTGTTCCTAAGAGAGAAAAAAAAAGGGGCAAAAAATTGGTAAAAAAAAGTCCTCTGCTTTGAACTTGTTGAAAGATTGTAAAAAATGAAAGGATGAATTTTTTTTTGCAAACCTTACAGAAACCAAAAGGCGAGGAAGATGATGAATCAAAAAACTCTTCAACATGCCATCCGGGCAGCGTTTCTATCAAATACTCTGCTATGCTACTTGTGTTTGAGTTTCCGTTGCCATCCCCAACTCCATTCATCATTTGACCATTGTCTGAAACTAATCCTGTTGAAGCTCCAGTTACAGTGTTAGTAAGTCCCAAAGATGCAGCCTTGGAATCAGCTTTAGTCACTGTACTTGGATTATTATTAGTAACAGAAACAGAGAGCTTGTTGTTCCTTCTGGGAACTGCATCAGAATTAGTTGAGATTGCGGCTGTTTCTGATTTTGATGATGATGAAGATGGCGAGGAGGTCGATGATGAATAAAGGGATGAACTTGCTGAGAGTTTGACCCCAGTTAAAAGGAATCTGTTGTGTTTTCCAGTATGTTCATTTGCTTTGTGAATTGGAATATCACACTCTCTGCACAAAATTGCACGATCTTGCTGACAGAACAAGAAAGCTCTTCTATCCTGTATTTGGTCAAACATCACAAAAAAAAACCCAGATCAAAAAACACGAAACTTCAAAAATTCTTCTCCAAAACAACTAAAAAAAGTAGTTACCTGGCAGATATCGCAGATAGGGGCTTGTTTGGGAGGTGGCTGAATAAGGGAAAACCTCTGATGCTTGCTAGCAAGTTTATTGGCATGGTGGACTCTATGGTCACAGGAATTGCACAAAGCAGCTTCATCTGCAGTACAATACACCGCAGCTTCCCCTTTCTCACAAACATCACATTGGATCTTCATCCCAGTGAGCCCTTTTGGATAACTTGTTGAATTCTCACTGATTTAATTCTGATTGAGAGAAGTTCAGATATGGATTTGAAGAAAAAGATAAAAAGAAGGAGGTCCTGAAATGATGGAGTATTTGGGAGGAAGATTGGAGAAGAGAAAAAAAAAAAACAATTGTGGGGGAATGGGCGTTGAAAGTTTGCCACTTGAAGAAAGGTGCAATTGCATTTTTTTAGGTAATATGGTGGGAGCAGTATTAATATACTAATTCTATTATTAGAAAGGATGATGATTTAATAATAATATAATTATAGTATTAATTTTTATTTGTTGTTTTTGTCAAATAGCGTGATTGTAGAACTTGGTGATGACTGATGAGAGAGTGGGAAGAGCAGAGCACAGCACATCTACAGAGTATTGTGGAGATCCATTGGGGGTAAAATTACAGAGAGGTCCATCTTTTGGTGATGGACTATAGTGAGACATGGCAACCTGGCTACTGCCTTATTATCCAACCATATTATAATAACGATGTTTTTAATTTAGACTTCTGCCTCCTTAAACGTATTAAGAAAAAAAAGCTCCGAACATAATGTAACACAAATACAAAGATAATATTATTCACATCCTTTGTTAAAAAAAAAAAAAAGGTGACTGTTAATTGAGAATTACTACATTCTTTATGAGTTTTGCATCGTCTTTTAGGTCGATTTTATATGAATGATATCGTGTATAGTATCATTTCTCTAGAGATTACAAAGGGCTTTCACTCCTACTAATAGGTGTGAGTGACTATTTTTATTTTATTTTTTGTTGGTACATATCACCTATTTTTTTAAGAATATTGCGCTAGATACTTTCAAATTTCAAGATTATGCAAAAGATTTTTGTCCTTTTAGGACATGGGTAAAGGTAAAGTATGTTGTATACATGTGGCAAGCAAGATTCACATTTCCTTCCTAGAACATGAACATGTATAATGCGTTGTGGCGCGTAGCTACGATCTCATGTATATGCTTAAAAATTTAAAAGATATTGATTTTCGTTTAAAAATAATTGTCTTATTTATTGCAATTATATTTCTGATCTTATAATAAAATATATTTTTGAAGCAAAAAGTATAATTATTATGTTATAAATGCGGTGTAAATGTATTTTTCTAATTGGGGTTATCTCTAATACGAAAATAGGTAGTTGGGCACTTGGGGTTGAGACTTCACTTATGTTTGTTTCATTTTTTTAGCGTGTGTTTTTTTTATTGAAAATGTAAAAAAATATATTAAAAATGTAAAAAAATATATTAAAATAAAACAATTAATACTTTATTATTATGAAAAAACCATCCAAAAAAAACAAAACAAACAAAAATCCGTTCAACAGTTGAATATTTGGAATCTGACATAGACTGGCTTCCTGTAAAACGTTATTTTTCAGAATTACTTTTGGGGTTTGGCTTCTCTATAAGGGAATTTTCTCTGCTCCACATGACATGTTTCATTGGGATAGCAGCCTAGTTTAAGTCCAAACAAATTTTCCAATCCCTCAATAGTAGTATTTTTCTTTTATTATCTGAATTGACATGCAACTGTTTTAGCTCGATAATGTAAGAAATTGTAATTGAATCGGTCAATAATTCTTCTCACAACGGTGAGTCCTACCGATCACAAACAAAACATGCACCATTGTGAGAAAGTATTTGTTCCAAATGTAATACTACTTCCGTCCTAAAAAAAGTTCACATGGAGTTTTAAATTTTATACTATTTTTAGTACAAATTTACAAACTCAAAGTGGACTATTTTTTTAAGACGGAGTAGTATGATAGTTGCAATAGTTTTGAATCTCGTATTATCATTTTCCCTAAAAAGAATGTTGTCGGGAGTAACTGTAAAGGATGACTTATTTTGTTTAATTAATTACATCTCAAAATTATAATTTTGAGTGAAACTCACTAAAATTATCTACTCACTTTACTACTATCGATGTCAAGTACTATCGATGTCAAGGAAAGTTGCCTCAGTGTTAGTATAATGTGATTGGGGGAACAAAAAGTTAGTGGTCCTTAATTCTTCGTTATTAGAATTCCTCTATAATGATATACTAAAGTATTATATATATTCAAGATCCGTACGTCCAGAAAGCTCTTATAGTAGACAATTCATTTTTTTAAATCCCGTAATTAGTCTCTGCAATTATCACAAGCCTGAAATCACTTTGTGTAGATAGAAGATCCCTTACCATATATCGGGATTTTTTCACTTTTCAAATATAAACTATTTAAAGGATTTTCATGACTGATTCGATGGTCGGAAAACTATATTGATATACTACTATATATATAGAAACTAATTAATTGTCGAATTCCCGGATGAATACATTCTCTATATACAGTACATTTTTTTTTATAAGCTGTTGATCACTAGGATCACAGAATTAATTTGCGAAGGAACAAAAGAATCCATTTGGCTATTGTATCTCTTTGTTCAAAACCTGTAGTAAAATAAACATGGTGCGTTTGTCACTGTGTCCTGAATATGGCAAATAACAACATATCAACTGATTGAAGTAGGTTCATACACTATCAAATAATTCAAAAAAAAAAAAAAAAACTGATTGAAGTACGACAGCCCTAATTGGACAGAAAACATGAAGGCACCTTACCAAGTTCAAAGCATAGTCTCCTAAATCCAAATTTGCGTAGTGTTAGTGGCACAATAATGTAACATTGCATAATCCCGTTATCATAAAAAATTATTTGCATGTACTATATTTTAATAATTTATTTTATTGGACGGTTAAACAGAGTGAGTACATATCGTAAATCTAATCGCATTAACAGTTGTTGAAATAAATAAAAATTACTATTTTCGTCTCAAAAAAATAGTCCATATTTAATTTTGAGATCTGTACTAGTTTTAGTACACATTTGAAAACTCAATGTAGATTATTTTTTTGGGACGAGTAAAATAAAATAGAACTGGAAGCATGTAAATATCAATTTTTAGACCAAAAGAAAAAAAGAAAAGAACTATTACTATATTCCTCTTTCCACATTATTAAAGCTTTAGGGGAATATAATCACAATGTTTTGCTTTACATGAGCATTCCAACAGCTCCTTCTGTTGCCCAACCAGTATCCGGAGCTTTCTCATAATTACTACTAAATCTTAAACCAACCAAAAATCGACGAACTGGACTAATTTAATCTGGTGATATGGTCAACTTTCCCTGATCTTGCAGACCTAGCTAAGACATCATAATATCCTTAGAAGAAACTGTACCACGTTGCAGTTAGTAATTGGGGAGCATGAACGCTTTTAGAAAGGCAGCAAAATGTAGCACTTCGAGAATATGTATTGTTTTTCTGAAGAAAGAGGAGAAGATATTTGAGATGACAATTGTTGTAGGTCTAGGAGGAGAAAGAAAAGAAAATTAATTGGAGAACAGTTTAGGACTCCACTGGGGTGGATATTTTTTTTTAAAAAAAAATAATTGTAAATATTGGAGTAACTTTATTTTCATTTATTATACGAATATTGAAGGTAGAGAAAAGATAAATGAAGTTCTTTCTAGAGGTATAAATCGTTTAAAAAATAAAGATTCTTTTTATTGGAATGGAGAGTGTGATTAAGTTATTCTAAGAGTGCAAACACATTTTCTTCTTAAAAACAACAACGTTTTGATAATAATTTGAACTATTAAACTCAACTATTCTGCTTCAACTGTAAGAACTTCAATTTTTTATAACTAGTAAAATTCACAAAGTTAGAGGAAGAAGCCAAGAACAGTTTAAGAAATCAAATGGCACATGATCAATCACTTCACTTCTTACGAATTTCATCACATACTTTTTTCGCTTATCATTAAAAAAATATCTCTATTCGTTGGAATGATTTAATAAAATAGATAAAACATATATTTCTGAAACAGAGAAAGTATTTATTATTAAATTAATAGCGTATTCGCAACTAATATAGTAGATCTTAGGCCATCCCTCATGCTAAGACGAATCTTCATGAACGTTCATCCACCATATATGCGGACTTGAAGAAATTAGAGTAAGAAGAAGAAATTAAACACTCGTCAATAATTTTGCGTATGAGACCATACCGCATCTCAAAACACACTATTCCGCCCCCATGTCGGTCAAATGATTCGCTTAAACGTATCAAAATCAACCAAAAAAGAAAAAAAAAAAAAGAGTTTAAACTTTCAACACAGAAATTCAATTATTCCACCCATAAGAAAAAAGAAAAATACTCAGCACGTCACTTTGGCAATTAAATGAGGTCTGAATCATGTGAAAAAAGGGCAGTGGGAATGCGCAAAAAAAAAAAAATGGCAGGTTCTGGCAGCCACAGAGTACTTATAAATACAGTATTTCAAGTTTTCCTTTCATCATGTATTTTAATTGATGATTATGTTTTTTTAAAAAATCCAAATTTTAGGTAATGTCTGACAAAGAGAGGCAATAGTAGTATTTTGACCATATCAAAAGTTGTGGACTAGTGGAGGAAGTGGAGGTTTTTTTTTTTTTTTCCTCAATAATTACGCATAAGAAAAAATATACACTGCCAGTTGGGATTTATTTTAGTTAACAAAGATCATTTAGAAAATTTATTAAACTTATCTTCGGAGAGTTATACAGCTGGCCAAAGCTAGAGGACAAAAACCCACTTTTTTCTTGCCAACGTATGGATGATGCAACCACCTCTAACACAAATCCTACCTATTGAAATTTGGTTTTTAATTACGTTGCGTTTGATAAATAATACTCCCTCCGTCCCATAATTGTGGTCCAGTTTGAGATTTCATTTCTAGTTCAAATTATATTAAAACTGAAATCTCAAACTGGACAATAATTTTGAGACGGAGAAAGTAATAATTTCCAGCTAGATTAACCGAGTAGAGAGAAACTAACATTTATATGAGAGTTCTCACTTCACGTTTTCAACACTGAGCCTCCATACGAATCAGATCATGGATTTGTTAGAATTTGGGCCATAATAACTTTCCATTTCAAGCGCCTTGATGATTGAACTGGGTTGACTAATGAATAATACGTCATTTGTGACGAACTTGTTATTTGCTCAAATCTAATAAACTTATTTTTACCATCCCAACTAATTTGTGATGAATGATGATTACTCCCTTTGCCTTAGAAATGAGGGCAGGCGATAATCGCTACTTTTTGTTGTACGACTTCAATAATGAAGTACTGTATCTTTTTAAGAGATTGATGATGATAGAATAAAGTTAAGAGATTCATTACAAAAAGAGGCCCTTGACATCTTTGGATCAAATCTCCCTACTCGCGTTTGCAAAGAGACCATGCTAAGCTTCATTCAGATTTTACTGGATATCTCTTCATCCTTGAACAAGAAGAACCAATACTTCTAATTTTTTTCTTCTTTTTTTTTCATTATTTTTTATATTGTTCCATCGGATATTCCCAAAGGGATACCGTACAGATTGGTGTATTTGGTTTCGAAATGATTAAGTGCTTGTTTGGACGTTATCTTACATTTCATTTTACCACTTAAAAGTGGAAAGTGTTTCAAGTTGAAAACTAAATGGGAAATAAAAATATTATTTGGATAATATTTTGAGTAAAAAGTTGTTTGGATGTTGGTTTTGAAAAAAATATTTTGAACTACATTTTCAAATATCAAGTACGAATCACCACTAAACAATTAAATACTGTCAATTATAGTCACTTTAAAAAAGAATTTTTCCAAAAACAATCATTAAACAATGAAGACCCAACAAATTTGTCACTCTAAGATTTTTCTTTGTTAAATTTCGTCATTGAACTACTTCTTTTTCAAAAATGGTCATTACACTAACAAAAAGTGTTTCAAGTTGGAATTTAAAATGTAAATCAGAAAGTTGTTTGGATGATGTTTTTTTTTTTCCATTGGATTTTGTGTTTAAGAGGTAAAATGAGTTAAAATGTAAAATGAGTGCTTGTACACACAAAGCCTAAACTTCAAAGAAGAAGAAAATTTACGATCATACACATGAACTGTTTCATGTGCTGCCGCTGCGGTCCCCAATGCAAAAAATAGTTAAGGGAAGCCTAGTTCTTAAGGCATATAAACAACCCACTTTCCCACATGAACAAATCTGCAGAACAATCTCGAGGCCCATTCCCCATAAACCTCATACTGGACCACAGTGGTCCATGACTCCCATGTAATTAAAAAATTTCCCCCATCTTCCCTGCTTCACAATGCATTAAAATAATTGCTTCATTCATACTTGGACATCCAAAACCCATTATGGACAAATACTCTAACTGTGAGTTGTAACCTCATTAATCAAAACAAACAAACGGATTATGCTTGAATGATCTCTCTTTAATCACAGATTAGGTGTTCGAATGCCGTATGAGACAACTTTAAATCCTTGACAGCCTACTAAAGAATGGAAAGAATGACCAATAAGGAGAAGATATGAACAACTCCATTTCTAAGCTAAGCCCGAACCGGTTAGGCAAATTCTATGCTAATACTACCATATGAAACGCAAACCAAAATTGTGGACCTAGCCCACCAATGGTGGGTCTAGAGGGTCCAAATCCTTATACACTATCTGCTCCAACTCCAATCAACTAAAACTGAACCTAACAAAATACTATATCCATGCCTGGCGGCCTGCAAAAAGTTACAAATGATTGCTGATTAGATTGCTGCTTCAATTTGCAGGTATAGAGTCTGCTCTTCCATAGATCCCACTTTGTGTAGTAAAAGGTGAAGCAAAAGGAAGGAAGGTTATTTACCTCCCATTTACTTGTTACTACTGCAGTAATGTTAGTCTGGCTTTCTACTCATCAGTTTAGACAATTTACTAATTCGCACAACTTCTTATTCACCTCGAAGAGAAACGCTAATCCCCTAATCTGCAAGTTCAAAAAATTATAATTAACCTAGGAACTTGTTTAAAGAGGAAAATTACTGAAGATGTATAGTTAAGATGTAAAATGAGGAGTCAATGCCATACAATCACAAAGCTAATAAATGCCATCAAGAGGAGTAATGCAGAGCAAGCATGAAATGCAAATGAACCGGAAAACTAGCATAACAAGGGAGAGCCAACAAATTTGATCAGTTGTAATGCTGAATAGAGAATCAAAAAGAAAGTTTATAATCAAGCAGACCCATTCTAGAAAACTGCATGAGCTGATCATGTTCCTACAAAACTTCGAGCAAACAAAATGCAATTGCGAACTTTAATTGGAGCAATGATTTGAAACCACCAGTTCAGTAGCTGTTTCATAATTCCTCAGAAGTATGAGTGGAAGGGGATCTGATCTGTAGTGAAACTAAGTATACAGACAGTCCATACAAACTAACTACCAGATATGAGGTATCTAAGTATTCCATCTATGCTACACATTTTTTAAATAAGTGTTTATGGTATTTTCCAGCGCAAGATGAACATTTCTTTGCAGGATGAGGGGTGACATAATGATCTCTGGTAAAAAATTTATAAAGTCAAAGGTCATTCAAACTTCACAAAAGTAAGAAAGCTGCATAAGATGTCACACAACTTTCAAATTTAAAAAAGCACAGCTTCCACGTTATGGATGAAAAATGCATGTAGAGGGGATGGGATGTTGGTTTAACGAGAGTGAATAACAGGGCTCTAGCCTGACTAGATTATCTCCCATGAGCAATTAAACTTTCAAAAGATCAGAGAAATAATATTTGTTACCAAGAAAGAGGAGCATACCTCAATTAAACAACCTGATTTAAGAAGAAAGGTATTTTCAGGCATTATCACTTCACCATTAACGAAAATTGGAGCCTTCCCATGGTTCCTTAAATGAAAAGTTCCATCAGCCTCCAGCTTTAAAGTCGCCTAAACCAGCAAAAAGAACAAGATTTTAACAATTGGCAAAAAAAGACGGCCATACATAAGCTTCATGTGAACAGGTTGATATCGTTTTCCACGAAAATCCTACTTGCTCCCAATAGATGGAACCCAATGGACATACCACTAGAACACTGTATAACTGGTGCAATACGAAGTGTTGTTGCCCATGGCCAGGTTTATCTGAGTCTACATCTGTCTTGCCTTCTTTGACTTTCTTCTTAGACCAGTATAAGTTCTATATTGTCACCTATATGCCTTTAACTGTCACACACCTAATGCTTTTGTTGTTCTAATCTCCAAGCATACGAAACAGTACGATTCCATGTTCTAATTGGCAAAACAAGATAAAAAGATCTTGTGGGGTTGGCTTTTCTCCAGTCCCGGATTGATCATATCACATGTTTTGATATTCAAGGTTAAGGAAAAAACAAGCTTGAGCATATACCTGCCTTCGGGAAATCTTATTAGCATGAAATTCCCTTCCCAAGTCAATATCAACTTTGACATCCTCAGTTCCTCTCCCAAGCAACACCTAATTCCAATCCACATCCACAATAAATAAGAAAGCATAAAGTCCAACGGCAGAAAAGCAGTAAGAAATTTTCACTCTTTCTTTAAGTGGCATCGCCAAAGAGCAAAGTTGAAGGATTGCAGACTGTTGCAGTAAAATTTCCCAAATTTTCCCTATTGCTGAAACCAAAATAGTTTTCCTAGCTTATAATTTTCTTCTTTTTTTCTTTAAGCATGGCTAGCTTTCGTAACTCTCTCAGTTATCCTAATCGTTGATTTTGAATCTTAATTTGATAAGAGTACAATTAGAAGCCCAGGTAAGAAAGTCTTTGCACCTCTGGCTTCTTTACGGGGTACTCTGAGCGGCGACTGTACAGGACAGCAAATGCACCCCGAGCTGCAAGAGATCTCTGCACACAAGCTTCAGCAGCCTGCTCTAGCCTCAAGATTGTTTTCCGTTCACCTTCTTCCTGGTATCTTTCTGCAACTAGAATGGGTATATTTGACAATGAAATTTAAATTAACATTAGAATGTTCACAACAAAGAAACAAAGTGCGTGCAGCTCAAAACATGAGTAGCATAGCAACAAAACCAGAAAAAAAACATTTAAAAGTCAACACAATATAACCATGTGAGCTACAGCATACAAATGTTTGAAATAAGACCACAAAATTGAATGACCTATGAATGCTTTTAAGATACGATCAAAAAATTCCTGTTTGGTGCACTCAAGCAACACTTCATAGTCAGTTAACCCAAAAAAAAACAAAACAGCATAAAACTATATCATCCAGGATAATCCCTGACCGAAACCTACCTTCTGGGCGTACAACGGGAAACTCATCAGGGGATAAGTCCATGTCATTGATCTGCATACAATATTTGAGTAGACTGTCATTAAGTTGGGTTGGCATCTTAAAACAAAAAACTGAAGTTAACAGGATAAGTGCAGTGCATTTTACCATTGCTTCAACATCCGAAAAACATGGCAGCTCACTCTCACTCTCATTGGAGAACACTTCCTGATCCGACAATGTACAATCGATAGATTGCTCTGGAACTGTCTTTGTAGTGGAGTCCAATTTTGCAATGGTAACATCATTATTTTGATCTAATGCATGGTCTTCTTCTGGATTGCAGACAGCAGCTTCCTCCTGAAATGTCAAGCAGGTATCGAGATAATAGCTATGCTTTTGCGAACCACCAGATATATCATTCAGCTCCTTTGCTTGCTCAACTTGCATCAAACTCTCACTAAGAGATCCAGGTGTTATATCTGTCTTGCTCACTTGGGTAATAATAGACAGATCTGAATAATCTTTTGTGAACACCTGCTGAACATCAGTACCAGGCAATTCAAATCGTTGTCCATTGTCATTCTGCTGACAGATGGGACCTAGCAATTGATTGTCATTATGCTGACAGATTGGACCTTGTAATTGTCCTTTCACTGGACGAGGACCACTTAACTCTTTGCTGGTGGTTCTTTCTCCTCTCACCATAAATCTGTCTACAGGTTTACAATTGTGTTCAAACTCCTCGACAGAGAACGATACTGAATAGAATGCTTCATTACATTTAGCATTTTCCATCCAGGAAATTGATGTGCTAGTCAAATTAATGGGAAGGAAAACATCGTCATTGTTAGGAATCTCAGTGTCCTCTGTGTTCAGCATGCAGCAAATTACTCCATTACGCCATTCAGGAAACAAAGGATTCACCGTCAAAGCAGATGATAGCTTTTGAACATCAGCACTCCAAACTTGTCGCTGGTCACAATGATATTGCTCCTCAGTGTATGATTCTTCAGGGGGTGCATCAATAGAAATATCAAAGCATTCCTGCGAAGCAACTGAGGCCTCTGATACATCCAGAACTTGCAAGTCTTCACTAGGGAAGTCCAGCAAAAGTGAGCTTAGATTATCTATTATTTCCTTTCCGTCAGCATCCAACAAAAATATTTCATCTTCAGGAGTGAAGGTTAACAAAGAGTTTGATAATTGTTCAAAATACTCTTTCGCACTGGGCGCCAACTTTTCCAAGTTACCACACGTCACTTCTGCTGGAGAATGATCTTCAGCATTAAGAGGCAATTCCACCATATAACCAGATATTAAATTGACGCCACCATTGTTACCAATATCAACGCCATCCACAATTTGAAGATCGGTGTCAGCATGTGGAACATTATTTACGAGGCAGGCATCATCGGCAGTGGAAGCATCAATACCATTGGCAGTATCCAAAAGTGGCATCTGAAGAACAGGAGAATCTGCAATACCATTGGCAGTATCCAAAAGGGGCATCTGAAGAACAGGAGAACCATAACCAACATTTTCTAAAGAGGTTGGACTACCTGGAATTGACGAGTTAATCACCTGACACCCATACCCTGAGAACACAATTGCTTCACTATCATTGGTTTGACTGAACAAACCCTGTTGCTGCACCTCTAAACTCACGGATTCGAGCAAGTTCAAATCCAGCAATTCTTCAGAGGGGCTTAATTCACCGTTGGAAAGATGATCTTCGGTGAGAGAAACATTCTTTTCAGGAAGACGAACTTCTTGAACATGATTGCTTTGGCCAAGGGACATATTCTCTTTATCAGTACTTAATGCTGAAGCAGATAAATCATTTATCGGAGAAGTGGCACCATTGGTTCCAAAATCAATATGAGAACCTTTTTCGGCTCCAGAACTTTGGTCTTGAGTTTCACAACACTTTGAAACTTGATCTCCAATCAAGCAATTTGTGGGAATACACTCACTTCCAATAATATCAAAACCCGGTAGATCCAATAAACTCAAATCCATGGAGTATAAAGGTTCGCTACGGATTCTTTTCATCATTCTATAATAACATTCACGAATACTTTCAGCTTTTCTCTTACTTGAAGTGCAGTCTGTCTCTTTGGATCCTAAAGGCTCAGACTCAATCATGCGATCTGACGCCTCAGTTGCAATGACAGGATCATAGAGAAGTGAACGCCAGCGATTTTGCAATTCCTGAAGACTAAATCTACGGGAAAATTTCACTGCACCTTTCGCAAGGGCTTCCAGAGAAGCACCGGCCTAAACCAGAATAAAAGGCGGAAGCTTAATATGAGCAACATTGAGAAAACCAAAATTTATCGAATTGCAAAACAACTGATACATGTTTTCCAGTATTATATCTATCCGTTCCATATCCTCGTCTCACAATTTTAGGAAGTAAAATCCAGCTTTTGTCCCCGTCCTAGGTTAAATAAACTCACACTCTTTTACCAGAATCACACAAATTGAGATTAAAGTACAAGTATACCATTAAAACTATAGTACAGTTTACACGAGAATAAAAGTTCAGTTAATATTCATTATTTTGGAGAATGCTTAAAGGGGCACAAAGAACGTGAATTCAAGAATTGCATGCAACCAACAAATAAAAATAAAACTATACATTCTTTCACAGAGTGTTAATAAAACAGATAGAGAAAAAAAAAGACAAACAGTGAAACGAACTAACACGAAAAGAATTACCAAATAAGAACCTCCTCTGTTCTTTCTACTATAATATAAACTAGAAATACCCCTAAAAACTGAAAATCCATAACGGATTTCCAGAAAAGAAAGCAAATGTGAAGCACAAAACTGGCCCCGTAAAGAATCAAGTAACGGAAACTTTGAAGGAAAAAAAAGTACAGAAGAGGGTGTTTCTAATTTGTGTCTCATGTGTTTGTTACCTCTACGGCGTTTTTAAGCAAAAGATCATCTTGAGGAAGCCAATGAGTTAAGGGAGCAAGAGCTCCCATTATTGCAGCTCAAGGTGAAATCTTGGATACCCTTTTCGGTCTGCGCCTCCACGGCAGGTATGAACTCCGCAGCGCGCCGCCGTCACGCAGTTTCCGCCTCCACGGTTCTTTTATCAGTAGTTTCGTGGAAGTTGAAATTCTTTTCCTTATGTACTACTGTGAAGGCCGTGACAGAGAGACCCAAAGGAATTTTCCTTTAGTTTAAGGGTATAATAAGTAATTTCCTCTCTTCGTGTGATTAATTCTGTATTTATTTATGATATTTGTCCCTCAACTTAGGCTCATATTTCGAAGACATCCCTTCAAATAGCTTCAAATTACAGCACAGACTAAATTTATTTTCCGGAAAAATTGGCGGATCTACCCAAAACTTTACATACTTCGTCAATTTTACCATATTTTTTCAGTTAGCTAATATTACCTTAAGCTATCCAATCGTTAGCCGATTTTGTCCAATTTGCTATTTTCCGTCTAAATTAATGGAATCCTATTTGTTTTAATTATAAAAATACCCTAATAATTTTAAAAATTTATAAAAATGACCCTAAAAATTTACAAAAATTATAAAATAGTCTATTTTCAGTTTTTATTTAAAATTTTCTGTTTTTTATTTCTTTTTACTATTTTTCATAACTATAAAAATATACTATATGATCTTTTTTAAAAAATATTTATTTTTAAACTTTAATGTACAAATTTTTAATTACATATTTGTATGTCATGTTTGATTTACATAAGCATATTAATTTTTTAATAATATAGTTTTACAATAATGATACTTTTTTTTAATCTATTTTTTCAATCTAAAGAATAAGATTATTTAACTAATACTAATTTTTCACAAAAAATTAAACAATTTGCATAGATTAAAAAAGAATCTATTGGTATACTTTAATGTATTATAATTTAATTCAACTGACTTTAGATTGTATTTTAAAATTTAAAAGGAAATCAAAACTAAAATATAAATTTTTTTCAAAAGGCCAAGTACAGACAGAAAGTAAAAAAAAAAAAAAAAAAAAACACCTATTTCGTTTCTACGTTGGCCCAACACAAGAATATAGTGTCGTGGCATTTACAAAAATGGTACAAAATATTTTTATAAAAAATATGTATATTTATTACTGTGAGGGTTTAACATTTTGTGATAATGTTTTGAGAATTAATATATCTAACTTTAGCAGGAAGTCTTTTTTTAAAAAAAAATAATTAAAAAAAATCTACTCCAGTACTGAACTCTACCTGTTTTTACATTAAAAAAAATTAAATTTCTCCAGTGAGAATCAAATCTCGAACACAGTTTTAATCATCTCATATCTTAAATCACCTAACCATCTAATGCAACACTCTTACCTTTAGTGGATCCCGCTTAAACGTGGGTAAAATCTCTTCCGGTTAGAAATACTTTGTTGACAATTAATCTTATATCTACTCTCATGAAACTTAACACCCTAAATACCAGACAGTACCCTATATTTTAATTTAATAAATATTTTAATTGGATAATACAATCTATAGTCTGTTTAGTTAATTTGTAATAAATTAAAATGTACTAATATATATTTTTTTAATCTATGCTAAATTTTTTTTTGTAAAAAATTAGTTTTAGTCAAAAAAATCTTATTCTTTAAATTGAAAAAGACGGATTAAAAGAATAATATCATTATTGTCTAGCCATATTATTAAAAAAATTAATATGTTTGTGTAAATCAATCATGAGTTACAAAATATAAATCTATAAATTTGTACTGTAGTGTTTAAAAATAAATTATTTATTTAAAAGATCATATAGATATTTTTTATGGTTATGAAAAATAGTAAAAAAAATAAAAAAAAAGAAAAATTTAAATAAAAACTGAAAAGAGACTATTTTGTAATTTTTGTAAATTTTTGGAGTTCTTTTTATAAATTTTTAAAACTATTAGGATATTTTTGTAATTAAAACAAATAGAATTCCGTTAATTTAGACGGAAAATAGCAAAATGGACAAAATCGGCTAACGGTTGGATAGTTTAGGGTAATATTGGCTAACCAAAAAAGAATAGGGTCGAATTAACGACGTATGTAAAGTTTTGGGTAGATCCGCCAATTTTTCCTTTATTTTCCTATTGGTAAAATATACAGAATGAAATTTAATTACTCTAGCAAAGGGAGCAGATGGAGTTTCATCCAAGTGCAATGTTATGACAGAGTTACATAGTTAAATGTATGATGTTATAGTGAATCTCCTAACTTTGTCAATCAAGAGTACTGTTTTCAATAATTAAATATTAGAAAAAAAAATTTAGCAAAACAAAAAAGTCTCACATTTGATTACACAAAAGTGTATATATATATAAAGTTTAGTGTTTTACATTCGATAGCATTTAGAAGGTTTTTCTTTTTTCTTTATTTATTTTTATTAAAAAAGGTTAAAGATGGACAGAGTTTGTGGCAGACACATAAAAATTGTTCCTAAAATTTGTCTCTAGCTGTTCTATAGTATATTCACAATGTCCTCATTACCCTTCAAAAAAAAAAAAAACAATGTCCTCATTGTTTGATACTCTGCCAGTTTAGTGGGTCAAAGGCGTGTTTTTGAAGAGAGATTCAAAGTAGTTTGTTGCTAAGCTGATGATCATTTACTTGTCAATTTCTTTTTTAAATCCAATTTTCCAACAAAAGATAAAACTATCTCATCTCCACTGATCACTTCAAGACCTAACTAACAAGGGTTTTCATTAGGACTGTATTTTACATTGCAGAATACACCAAAGCTCACGATTGAAACAAAACAAGAAGAAAGTACAAAGTTTGCAACATGATCACAATTTCATGCGATCAACACATGAAAATTACAGGACCATCAAATGGACATGTTACACAAGAGTTTACATCCAGTAATAATGACAGGGTAGATACTTTTTTTTCCCCCCTTGTTCTTCTTTTTTGGGTTGGGGTGGGGTTGGGGGTGGTTGGTTGGGGATTGATTACTCAAGCAAAGTAAATGTGGTAAGGTCAGATCCTCCACCACTGTGGAGAGTAGTAGGAAGAGTAGGTTGAAGGCGCAATGCCAATAAGCGAGGATAGTTCAGCACTGAACTGTAGTCCCCTCCATTATCAACCAGTCCATAGTGTGGATCTTCTTGTCGAGCATCCTGCACATAATACTAGTGCCAATAAATACACTATTTATGCATAAATGTCCAATCTTCAATATTACATATTGAAAAGTTTACTCCCTATTTATATGTACTCCCTTGCGTCCCAAAACAAGAGTCATGTTTTCGGCTCTTAATCTTGTGACAGAGTGACTACATATATGTTTACAAATCACAGAGTTGCTTTTTTGATTTACATAAATAAGAAAGTTGAAAGTTTGCACTAACCAAATCAAGCAGGAGATTCCTGTGTATCTCCTCAACATTCCTTTGCTGAAATCATAACAAATGAAACTCGGCATTAGCGATAAATTAGTATTGATACATCTATAGACAGAGAATTATAAAGGCTTATTGCCAGGAGGATATATATTACCTTTTTCCTGTGAGTGTCGATTTGATTGCTGAGCACCTTAAACTGTGTTTGAAAGTAGACATATCAAACTTTATTATCAGGACAACAGATAAATGTAGTTCCAATGCATAAAATGAACACAGAGCCAGTACATGCACTTTGATTTTCCTTGAACATGGTTAAAAAAGTTTTTCTGAACCAAGTAATTAGTTTTCCTTATACTATGAAAGCAAACAACATAATTTTAACAACATTCATGGAAATTATCAAGTGTCTAATGTCACTATGAAAAAGGGGCTTCAATTTTATTCTAGTAGTTCATCGGAATCGAACCAGGCAGTAGAAAAGATCCCTGGATCATGTCTTCAATTTTATCAAAATAACTCGTCCTTAAATTGAGATATGAGAATCATAAAAATAAATAAATAAATTTAATCGAGTGATTTGGAAAAGATTAACCAAACCTTCCTCTCCCGAATGGCCTTGACAGAATTGTCCACATCTTCAATCAGAGCACCCAGCTCTTCATAACTCAGTTCATCCAAGCTCTCCCCCATCCTCTGTCTGCATCATCCTCAAATGAAATCATCTCTCCTTACAAAAACAGGTTTTTACTAAAATTGATGAAGCAATTAAAAATTACAAACCTCATCTCCGTAAAAATATTCCTATTCACATCCTTCAACTTCTTCAATTGTTCTTGCATCCTCTGAACACAACACATACATAATTAAAAAAAATATATACATCATATATGTAAGAAGATCGGTTTAAGATGTAAAATATGAGAACAACCTCATAGTGGGTGTTCCACAGATCCACCCCTAAAGCCTTCTGATACTGATCCACCATCTGCTTCGTCCTGTTCCAGAAAAAAAACAGAACAAAGTATCAATCAATTTACAGATATGATTTCATAGGTGATAAAAAGGATAACACCACACACACACACAGACACACACACACACACACACACAAACTTACGAGGTAGAAGGACTGATGTACTCATGAAGCTTGTGGGTACTGGAAATCATGATGATGGAAACCTTAGCATCACACAAAACGGTGAGCTCATGAGCTTTCTTGAAAAGCCCATTTCTTCTCTTGGAGTAAGTCACCTGCCTGTTAGTCTGATTCTCTATCCTCTTGATCTGGATCTTCCCACGAGCCATTTTCTTTTTTGTTCCTCTCTTTCTCTTCTTCTGTCTTTGGATCTTCTTAAAGCTTCTGATGATGAAGAATAATGACAATAATATGACCTCTGTTTTTTTTTTTTTTTTTCAAGCTAAGAGCAGATTTAGTTAGTTCAAGAGAGAATATGAGAGAATCAGAGTAGTTGTTGAATCATTGAATGAATGTTTATGTTAGCAATTGGTACACGGCTGCACGTGAATTTTCTGAACACGAAAAAGAGAGGTTGAGAAAGCATTAAGGTCCATCGAGTTGCCAAAAATGGTAAGACTTGCCAAATGAGTGATAAAGTAATGGCAGAAGTTGATTAAAGTCTTTTAAGAATCGGTCACTTCTTCGGTATCAGTCACTGTTAATGTGTGTTTCTTCTCTTCTCAATAAAATTGACAATTGGGCTGTCATATGGGTCCCCCACTTCTTCTTCCTCCTCTCTTTCTTTTCTTACCGCAATTTTTGTTTTGGATTTGAAGCAAAAGCAGAGGAATAACTCCCGTCCTGTCTCCTCTTCTAGCTCTTCTTTTCATCTTTTTTCTTTTCGAGTACAAGCCTTTTCCAACTCTTTGATCTGCATATATATACTTTGTCCTGTTGCGCTTGCTTTGATAGTTAGTTTAATTTAGTTTTGTTCAGTTCACTTAAGATTTTATTTATTATTCTTCCCGTTTCACAAAAATAATCCACATTAAGTTTTGAATTTTGTATTATTTTTAGTTAAATTTAAAAACTCAATTTGAACTTTTTTTTAGGATACAAAAGCTTTAGAATATTATTTTCGAGCAGAGGTAGTACTTTTTTAATGTAAAGGAAGGCGAAGGAGTAAATAATTGCTCAATAACAATTTGTGAAATAAACTCCAACAAAATAACATAAAATAATGTTGGTCGACTTGTTTGTCGGGTTATTTATATCGACCGGATAAGTCGACGAAACGAATTGCAAACATAACATACAAAATAAGTGATTGTCGACTTTGTCATCGGTTTAATTATGTGACGACTGACGAAGACATAAATCATTCGTTTGCCAAATGCGAACTACATACAACTTTCATTTTGTGTAGGAAATCCTTATGTCAACTGTCAACTTTAGTTTTTATTCTTCTCCTTGGGCTGGGAGTCAGTATAATTTAGTTGTTGTTGGCCCAACTCAAATAACGGCCGGGTAATCCTAAAGCTAAATTTGAACCTCTTCCCCCTGATGTGAAGGTTCGTTAGCTTTTCCACGGTTTGTTAATTGTTAGTTTTGGTTCAATTGAACTATGTTGTTCTTTGGAAATTGAAGTCATTGCGAATTTGAGTTTGGGGGAAGAAATGGTAAAGAGTAAAAGGGAACTAATATTGAATCTTGTCACGATTTCCTTCTTCCTAAAAAAATTTTGGTCATAAGTATAAAAGTATGTATATTTAGAATTGATTAAGAATACTAGAATAGGTTTCATATCATTTTTGCTTTGGCCTTGTGCTAGGCTTATAATGCATCAAAGGTAAAAATTGCAAGAGTTAAGGATGATTCCGAAGAGACATCAATGTATGCTGTTGCATACAAGACTCTGAATGCAAAGATTGAGAAAGTGGTTGATGACGACATAGCTGTCTTGCTGGATGACAGTGGGCTTTGGTTCTGACGTGGAGGACTTGGAAGAGGACTCTGTGGTTAAGGCAAACTAAGTGCTTGTTTGGACGTGAACTTGATTTATATTTTATTCATTTTACCTCTTAAACACAAAATTCAATGGAAAAGAAAACATTATCCAAACAACTTTTTGATTTACATTTTAAAATCAAACTTATAGTATTTTGTTAGTGTAGTGACCATTTTTTAGAACTAAAAATAATTCAGTGACTAAATCCAAAACTTTACACATTTATTTAAATTTGCCTCTAGTCAAAAAATGTTTTCTACAATTGATGGTGGTTAGGAAAAAGTTTTTTGGAATATGTATTGAAATATCAAGTACGAAAAATATCATTAAACAATCAAAAAGTGTCAATTTTAATCACTATAAAAAAAAATTTCAAAAATGATCACTAAACAACAGAAATTGTCGTTTTTGGTCATTGTAAAATATCAAAAAAGCTAAATTATCATCCAAACAACTTTTTCATTTCTCAATAGGTTTTCAACTTAAAATACATTTTACTTCTAAGTCAAAAAAGAAACTAAGACGGCGTCCAAACAAGCACTAAATCTTTTGAGCTTTGGTGCAGTCGCTCGTTATGGATTTAGCTAGGCACGTAGCATAGCAACAAGATATAAAGTGTTTATTCTGAATGAAATGAGAATTCTGAAATATGTGATATTCGATGAGTAGTTGAGGTTGAGACATCATTGCGAAATGGGAAATACTTTAAGAAGACTAATAATCAGTGTGTAACTAACTGGAGTTTTTTACTTGAGTTTATTTAGAAAAGAACAATTATTGTAACAGTAAGTAAGGTACTTTTTTTTTAGGTGCATAGAAGGAGGCAAAAGCCTAATGTAGCTTTATTACATTGCGCGGGGGGAGGGGGGGGAGGGGGGGAGAGAGCCCCATTACATCATGTAATAGCCATTGCCTAGCTAGTGGTGGCGGGTTATCTAACTGTAGGAGACCCCAACCGACGGTGGGAAGCCATGCTAAGCAGTCCGCGACATAGTTTGCTTCTCTAAATATGTGCTCCAGTTGAACCTCCCAGTTTCTTGCTAGGAGCTCTTGAATTCCACCAATCAGTGCCTCATGCGCAGAAGAAACTTGCCTCTTCTTTTTCTTGACCAATTGGACCACACACTTGCTGTCAACTTCAGCTATGAGGTGCTTCTCACCTTTATTCCACGCCAAGTTTAATCCATGATATAGACCCCAAAGTTCAGCGCCTGTGATTGACGTGCTTCCTATGTTGACACTGAAGCCATCATTCCAATTACCTTGGTCATCCCTCAGAACTCCCCCTGCTTTTGCGTTACCCGTTGCATGGTCATACGCTCTATCCGAGCTTCGACCATCCTGGGGGTAGCGGTTCCCAGCCAATCAACCTTTGTTCCCATCCTATCCCAACCCTCCCATTCTTCTTTGCAGTCCGAATTTCCGTTGCAATTTCTATAATTTTCTTTGAGATTGCTCCAATTTTTCGAACTCCCTGCATGTCTTTCTCGGAGAAGACCAATTCGTTCCTCCAGTTCCAGATCATCCAACAAATTATCCCAAAGGAGCACACCAAATTGTCCCCTGTCGGTGATGGTCTGGCGCACAAATTATTCTGAAGCCAGTTTTTTGTCTCCCCGACAAAGAAATCCTCTCTTCTATCCTCCGGCATGAATCTTAACCACAAAAATTTGGAGAAAGGGCAATCTCTTAGGACATGTTCCGTCGTTTCTTCAGCTGTCTCACATCTCGGACAAGATGGCGACGTGTTAAGATGTCACCTGAATTTTTCTTGGTTGGTCATCAGTCTTCCTTTGGCAGCCTACCACAGGCATGTTTTTATTCTTTATGGGCCCTGCCATTTCCAAATCGTCTTCCACAAGGGAGAAGGTGGGCTTTGGAGTTCCTCTTCAAGCATAGCATATGCCAATTTTACGGAGAAATCTCCTCTCTCTGATGGTCCCCATAATCTTCTATCTTCCCCTCTCAGCGGTGATGTCGGAAGAGTTGTTGCGATCTTCATCAGGACTGTAACCGGCAAGGCTCTTTCAAATAGCTTCCAATCCCATTGCCCTAACGGTGTCACAAAGTGTTTGGCAGTCCACTGTAGTTGTTCAACCGAGATAGACCCAATTGCAAGATCACACAAAGGGCTAGGACCCAAAATCCAAAGGTTTGTCCAAAACTTAACTGTGTTGCCGTCATTCAACGCCCATCTGACACCCTCCTGTATTGAGCTTCAAATCTGTCTTATGGAACTATATACCCTGGAGCTTGGAGTATTTTTGAGATCACTTGGACCAGGAGATTCTGGGATTCCATATTTCCTTTTAATAGCCTTGACCCAGAAGGCATTCTTATTCTCCAAAAGACCCCCACCCAAGCTTCATAATAAACGCCTTATTCATCTCCCTGGGCTTTTTGAGGCCCAGCCCACCCATCTCTTTTGGCCGGCAAACTTCAACCCAGCCCACCAAGCTCATTCTCCGCGTATCTATGTCGCCACCCCATATGAACCTCTGACATGGGCGTTCAATCTCCGATGATACTATTGCTGGCAGCATCCCCGATTGCATAGTGTAATACGGGAGTGTGCTAACAACAGACCTGGTGAGAGTGATTCTACCCGCCAACGTAAGGGAGGAAAGCCTCCAACCCGCCAATTGTGCCCTAACCTTGTCGATCAAATGGCCATAGAGGCTTCCAGTGACTCTTCCGTGGATTAAGGGGACCCCTAAGTATTTCCCCAGGTTGTCGACTTGTCGGAAACCCAATCTGCGTGCTAGGGCCGCTCCCTGTTGTTTATCAATGTTTTTAGAGAAAAAAACTGTAGTCTTGGGCTCGCTGATCTTCAATTCGGATGCTTCGCGGAAGAAGTGCAACACTTGCTTGAGTACATCCACTTGTCTAATTAATGCATCCAAAAAAAGCAGTACATCATCTGCGAACAAGAGATATGGAAGGTTTATGCCGTGCCTCCCCATTTTTAAAGGCTTCCAATCACCAGAGTGCACCTTTTGTAGGATGGCATGTCCCAATCTTTCTATGCACAACACGAAGATATAAGGTAAAATCGGGTCACCTTGACGGATTCTGCGAGTGGGGCGAAATTCCTCCGAGATTGACCCGTTCCACTGGACCTTCATCGCCGCAGTAGTAATACACTTCATTACAGATTCCACAATCGGTTGCAGGAAGCCAGCTTGTTGGAGGGTATCTTCAATAAAATCCCACAGACTCATGTCGTAGGCCTTTTCAAGGTCGATCTTCACCGCCATCCATTCCTTCTTTCTCGTTTTAATCCTGATAGAGTGCACAGCTTCTTGGACGAGTACCACATTATCTATAATTTGTCTGCCTGGCACAAAGCTTACTTGGGCCTCGTTGATGAGATATGGCAGGACCACTTTAACTCTGTTTGCTAGCAGCTTGGTAATTATTTTATAGCTGACGTTACAGAGGCTGATTGGCCTGAATTTAGACATTGATTCTGGATTTGGCACCTTTGGGATAAGCACAATGATCGTTTTGTTTATTGGCTCCACAGATGCACTCCCTTGGAAGAAATCCCTTATAAAGTTGCAAACCAAAATCCCCACAGTTTGCCACTTTTTTTGGTAAAAGATGGCATGGATTCCGTCCTCCCCAGGGGCTTTGAGGGGGTGTATATCTCTCACAGCATCAAGTATTTCATCATCAGAAACTGTCCTCATCATGTAATTAAAATCAGAGTCCACAATTTTAAGGAAGCAATCGCGAACCTGATATTTAATTGGCAGTTAGAGATGATGCACGTACAGTTTCTTCAAGTATGCCACTGCCATTGACTTTAGTTCTTCCTGATCATTGGTGATTCTTCCCCGATCATCCTTTAGAGCTACTATTCTGCTCTTTCTTCTTGCACCTTTCACATAGGAATGATAAAAGCTGGTGTTCCTATCCCCATTGGCAGCCCATTCTCTGCTTGATTTCTGAATTAACAAAAGTTCTTCTTGATATAGGATCTCTGCCAGCTCCTTCTGTAGCTCCCCCTCAAGCTTCTCCAACTTCTGAGAAAAGTATAGTTCCCCTGCCCTTTGTATCCCTGCAATTCTGGCCAAAATTCTCTTCTTTCTTTCAAAAATATTTTCGAATACATTAACGTTCCACTTTGCCGCCTCCGTTGTGAAACGACTTATAGCTTGCGGGAGGTTTATATGCTGGTCCCATCCCTCCCGTGCCATCCTGTCGAAATCCTCATGCGTCATCCAAGAGGCCAAAAATCGGAACGGTTTAATCGGGCGATTGCCTTGCTGAAATTCTTTACATGTTACCAAAACAGGGTTATGATCATATTGGCTTCTAGGAAGGTTGGTGGCAAAGCCATTCTGAAATCGACAACTCCATTCGCTATTCGCAAGGAATCTGTCTAGCTTCTTCAATAAGCCTTTCTTCTTCCACGTGAACTTTGATCCCACGGTTCTTAAGTCTTCCAATCCACAGTTATCAGCCCAATTAATGGCCAAACTACAAGGTCCCCCATGTCTCCTTGCTCTGCCTTTCCTCTCAGATTCGTACAGAGTACAGTTTAAATCTCCTCCTACAAGCTAAGGTTCTTTAATTCCTGCTCCCAAAAGATTCAGTTCTCCCTATAGTAATTTTCGAATACTATAAGTCGAACTTGCGTATACAAATGTCACAAGCGATTCAATCGACCCCTTAATGATTCGGGTATGGATGAATTGCTTGTGACATTTCAAAATTCTAACTTCCACATCTTTATTCCACAGCAGCCAGATTCCTCCAGAGAAGCCATCCACTTCAATCCAAAAAGATCGGTTAAACTTGATGTATTTTATGAAGTCATCCGCCTTTGTGCCACTAATTCTTAGTTCTAGTAGGGCAACCACATCCGGGCGATTCTGCTTAACTACAAACATAAATTGACTACGCAATTCCTTGGAACTGGCTCCTTGCACGTTCCATGACAAAAGCTTAAGATTGCTATTCATAATTAAACTATTTACAAAGATTTGGGCTAACACCCTTTACAGAGGACTTGGGACCACCGACAAGGAACCGGCGTCTTCTTCCATAACACAACATTCTTTTGGAGTGGAGAGATCTGTTTGCCCGCCATCGCTGCTGCCAACACCGGTGACAACTGTATGGCCTCTGGGTCCGGAGGAAAATTTTCCATTGGGAATTCATTTTGGTAAGTTGGTTGATTCGGAGTGGTTGTTGGGTTAGGTATTGGTTTATGGTATGTGGGTGTGGGTTCTGAGTTGACCCTAACAGCTTGGTGGCATGAGGGATCTAGTGTTGAGGGTACTTGGACTACTTCCAGTCCCACTTGGGAAGTTGAGACTTGATGTTTGGTGGTAGGTGGTGGGGAAAAGTCTTGGTTTGGGTTTAAGGGTTCGGTGTGGGTGTTTTCTGGATGATTACTTAATGGGTCAGGCTGGGTATCTGATGGGCTCTTTTTGAAGGAGCTTCTTTTTTCTTGGGCTGACATCTGTATGGGCTTAACAGGTTGGTTTCTGGTGGGGTTCTATTTGGGCTGGCTTGGCTCTTTGTTGTTAGGTTCAATTAGGGGGTATGATCGGGTAATAGGCTTGGTTATGGTTGCTTCCCTCCCTTGTTCTCTGTCATGGTGGTTTAGGCACTGGTGGGATGGGGACTCCTCCAAATTTTCAGCTTCTTTTTCTGGGTAACTGGGACACTTGCAGGGGTCATGTGATATTGTCACATCATCCTCTTCTTACTTCTTGGAGCCACGAGAAGCGGGACCCTTGTGCTTGTGCTTTCCTGGACGACTCACCAGAAAACTTTGGTTTGTCCATCCTTACTTTTCCACCTTTGGAGACCTGGACCCACTCTTCTTGGTTAGGCTTCACATGCCTTTTGTCTTTTCCTTTGGTGGTAGGTGCTCCATTACCCATTGGTCCCTTCCCTTGTTCAACAGCACTGTTTTTCGCCGCGGGGGACTGGCAGCAGTAGGACATTTTCCGGTCAGGTGGCCATAGCAGCCACAACATAAGCACATATATGGCAAATACTCTACCGTCTGAATGCGGCCCTTAAACTCAAACCGGGTACATAACGGTTTGTCTAGTTGTATCTCCACTGCCATTCGAGCAAACTTTCCCCTTGATTTGGAAGCAGTCTGGCGATCTATGTGTATTACTCTCCCAAAAAGTTGCCCCAATTTAAGAAGAAAGTCTGTATTATAGTATCGGACTGGGAGTCCTGGTAGTCTGATCCACACGACCATGGATTTGACCACATGCGTCTGTGCATCAAAGGAATCATCCCAAGGCTGGACATGGAGATATGTATTCATGACTATCCAGGGACCATTATTTTAGCACCCTCTCAGCATCATTATCATTCCATAACTTCACCATAAAGTAATCCCTTTACAAGTCCATCACAACGAATCCCTTTGTACCTTTCCAAAGCTTTGCTAATTGCTATTCAAGTCGGTCAGAGACAAGTGCCTTAGGCACAGGGCCACTTCTATCGAACACTAAGTCCTCATCCTTTATTTCCAAAGGTTGGTCCTCCTCAAACATTGGTCGCTCCATCTAACGTTTGCCTTGAAGGATTTTGTCCCTAAAACTCATGGGCGGTGAAAGGGTTGGATTAGTCTGGTTTGGCGGTTGGGTCGTTGCATCGGATTTAGTGGTTGGTTGGGGCGGTGTATCGGGTTTGGGTGTTGGTTGGGGGTGGGTGAAAAGGGATATGACAGAGAAAAAAATGTTTTAGAGTCACATTAATTAAATAAATAAATTAAATAATTTTTTTTAAAAAAAGGGTGGCGGCCGGTTGGACCGCCACCCAATCGGTTTGGCGAGCGGTTTGCTCACCAAACCGGGGGTGGTGGCGCATGATTTGTGCGCCACCCCCTTTTAAGGGGCAAAAAAATTCTTGCCATCACAAGAAGGGCGGCGAGAAAAGTGCACGCCACGGGTGTAAGGAGTATTAGATTATATTCTCAGAAAATATGTGAAATTTGAACCTAAAGTATACAAAAAAAAAGAAGAAAAATTGACAACCCCAACGTTATGTCTAAAAAACAAATACCTCCCCGGCATTTCCATAAGGACACTCACCCCCTTTGACTGTCGTAACTTTAAACAATTTGCCATTTTGACGACCTGATCGTGGTAAAGTATAATGACATCGTCAAATTTCAATGTGTAAAGAAAAGTCCCTTAATTCTGTAAAAGAAATTTTTTCTGGACCACACCTATCCTCGACCGTACCCACCTCCCACACCTCCTCCACATTCGTCTCCACCACCTGTCTACCCCCCATCTCATTCGCCTCCATCCCCATCACCTCAGCCTTGATAGAATTCCCACCGCCTCCGCTACCTTGTATAGAGCCTCCATCACTTCCACGTCTCCACCACCGTGCCAAGAACCGCCACTACCACCACCTTTACCTTCTCCTCCCCCACTACATATGGTTTCTTTTTCATTGATTTAGATTTTGATGCATCTACCCCAGTTTAAATTCAACTAAATACCTATGATAGTCGCCTTTCATTTTCAGATAAAACACTTTGGAATTGGTAGGAGACCTAAGATCCCATCACAGATCTTGTTGAGCTCAGCCTCAATTTTTCCTCTATAATCCTTAAATAACTTTGAAAATCTCTATAACATCGTTATTGGTATTCTGGATTCTAGTTGGATTTTGAGAAAAATAACAATGCGACGAGAAGAAAAATAAGAGGTAAAACAATAATATTTGGATGCTAATAATTTCAGAAAAATTGACTAATCCACCCTAAACTTTACATGTGTTGTCAATTCTACCATATTTTTTTTGATTAGTCAATATTACCCTAAGTTATCCAACCGTTAGCCAATTTTGTCCAATTTGCTGTTTTCCATTTAAATTAACGGAATTCTATTTATTTTAATTAAAAAAATACCCTAATAATTTTAAAAATTATAAAAATAACCTCAAAAATTTACAAAAATAACAAAACAGTCTTTTTTTAGTTTTTGTTTGATTTTTTTGTTTTTTATTTTTTTTAATATTTTCATAACTATAAAAATATACTATATGATCTTTTTAAAAAAAACTATTTATTTTTAAACTCTAATGTAGAAATTTATAATTTGATATTTGTAAGTCATTTTTAATTTACATAAATATATATTTTTTTAATAATATGGTTTAACGGTAATGATATTATTTTTTTAATCCATTTTTTTCAATCTAAAGAATAAAATTATTTAACTAAAACTAATTTTGCACAAAAAAATAATACATTAAGCATAGATTAAAAAAATTTATTCGTACTTTAATGTATTACAATTTAATTCAACAGACTTTAGATTGTATCATAAAATTTAAAAAATAATTAAAACTAAAATATAAATTTTTTTGTAAAAAGCCAAGTACGAAAAGAAAGTAAAAAAAAAAAAACTATTAAATTTCTACATTGGCCCAACACAAGAATATAGTGTCATGACATTTACAAAAATGGTACAAAATATTTTATAAAAAAATATTTATATTTATCATTGCGAGGGTTTAACATTTTGCGATAATTTTTTGAGATATTAATATATCTAACTTTAGCAAAAAGTCTTTTTTCAAAGAAAAAATAATATAAAGAAAATCTATTCCAGTACTAGACTCCACCTTTTTTTAAAAAAAGAAAAAAGAAAAATTAGATTGCCCCAGTGAGAATCGAGACATCGAATACAGTAATTTTATCTCACATCCTAAATCACCTGACTATCTACCCTCTCGCTTTTAGTGGACTCCGCTTAAATATGGATAAAATCATTCTTCCGGTTAGAAATCCTTTGGTGAGACTTAATCTTATATCTACTCTCATGAAACAGAAAATTTGGCTGATTATTTTTTAATCTATGCTAAATTTTTTAATTTTTTGTAAAAAAATTAGTTTTAGTAAAAAAATATCATTCTTTAAATTGAAAAAAAATGGATTACAAAACTAATATCATTATCTTCTAGCCATAGTATTAAAAAAATTATTTGTTTATGTAAATCAACCATGAATTACAAATATGTATATGAGTATATCTATAAATTTGTGCAATATTGTTTAAAAATAAATTTTTATTCTAAAAGATCATATAGTATATTTTTATAGTTATAAAAAATAGTAGAAAAGAAATAGAAAACAGAAAAAAATTAAATAAAAAGTGGAAGGAGACTATTTTGTTATTTTTACAAATTTTTAGGGTCATTTTTATAATTTTTAAAACTATTAAGATATTTTTGTAATTAAAATTAACAGAAAATCCGTTAATTTAAACGGAAATTGGCAAATTGGACAAAATCGGCTAACGGTTGAATAAATTAGGGTAATATTGGCTAATCAAAAAAGAATAGGATAGAATTGACAACGCATGTAAAGGTTAGGATAAATCGGCCAATTTTTTCCTAATAATCTCTATTGTTGTTCCTCTCTACTCTCTTCTTCTCCGGTGACCAATGGGAATGAGTAGTGATTGGGGTTGCAGTCAGAGACTAGAGTAACAATTAAAATACAGATAGTCACAAATTAAATAGCAGCATCCACACGAATAAAAGTCCATGCTATCTTCCGCACACAAATACCAATTCACCCTACTAAATAATAATATTAGAAATTTTGAAAGAGGCCGATGGCGACATATCATCATGTGAATCCAGAAATCAAAGGAGGCGGAGGCAGCTGCAATAGTTTATAAGTCCCCAATTCATTTTTCCCGTAGGGACATAAAACGTAATTTCACATTTCGACTTTTCTCGCTCATAACTACACCGGAGGCACCGTGAGTTTTTAGTGAATGTACATCTCTGGGCATATTGACTACGAAGTTAGGGTGGTCAAGGGGAGTGACGTCCTTATACAAATGTTGGGGAGGTATTTGTCCTTTTGATATAACTCAGGAGGATTTTTGCCCTTTTTTTTTTAAAAAAAAGAAAAAACTAAACCAAACATGGAAAAAAGTATAAATTCTTTTAATAATAATCATTTCTCCTATATTTTAATAAAATTATACAGATTATATAGTAATGTCTAAAAATACAAATCTAATATAAAATGTTAAAGTATGTATCTCAACTTATAAAAAGAATTTGTTAAAATATACCCCCTCCATCGCATAATTATTGTCCAATTTTGAAGATCCAAAAGTTTACTCTTGGTCAAACTTAACCATATTTTTGTTAAAGTTTCCAAATATACCCTGCATACATGTTTAATCGGCAAAAGGTTTTAACCTCCATTGCTTCTTTCTCAAATTACACCCAATTTCAAAAATAAAACCCAGTTCAAAATACAAGAACATCACCTTCGTTTGTCTTCACTCATGCGTCTGGAATCAAATCAAATTATTTTATGAAGAATTTTGTTAGAATCTTCCTACAAGGCAAAATATAGCAAAGAAACGCCTTGTTCATTGTCTTTTGCAGTTTTGTTCCACAAATCACAAATCATCCATTTTTTCTGTTTTATCTCATCTTTTTCCCTGTTTCTGCACAATTTGAAGTCTCAACAAACAAACTGGAAATAATGTATCATCAGGCTCTCTAGCTAGTTTAATTACCACGTAATTCAACCCGACCCAGAATCCACCCATAAATATATGTTGTGGTACAAAAACAAACTGTCTGAAATCAATTATGATCGCCAAATTAAAGTCGGCAACATTGATCGGAAGTTGGAGGTTGGGTATTTGAGATCAAGATGGAGAGAAGGAACAGGGTAGAGAAGGAAGAAGAAGAAGAAAGGGAAGCTTAAATGGATCAGGGATGGAGAATATGAGGTTGATGATTTAAGGGATAAGATTCAGTCTTCAAGTGGGAGCCGTTTCGCGTTGATCAAATCCCAGTTCGGATACCACGCCGGAAACAACCGAACCAAAACTCCAATTGAATTCATTCGAATTTGGGGAAAGTTGTTACTCTGAGTCTCATTGATGTTCCTCCGGATGATTCTTGTCGGAAATATGGTTTAAATTGACAAGCCGTCGTCACACTAGTCAAATAATAATTACCTACTTAATACAATTACTAGTAGTAAAGTAGCAAGCAGGGTCGATCCCACAGAGAAGGAATACTAATTACCGGGTATAAATTACTCCTATTATTATCTAGATAAATGAGGATATCAGATTTATAAAATTTAAAACTAAAATAAATAAATAAAATAAAAGCAAATAATATTAATTCAAATAATCAGACAAAGAAAACCTAGGACATTGGGTTCACCTACCAAATATTTGGTTTAGTTCAATTCACAAATATCTGACTTTTAACCTCCATTAATCTCACAACAATTCACCTAATTAAGAACTATACACTCTCGTGTTATAATTCTCTTACTTATATTAATCATATGACTACTCTCGTGACTATAGGGATTAACAAAAGCACATTAAGATCATTAAGAATCAAATATTGCAAAGGTTATAATCTTACTCTCGTAGCTTACACCCTAAGTCTATTATTCCTACGAACTAATACTAATCTTCTACTCTCGCTACTTCGATTAGTATTCAGACATGTAAATAGTGGCCAATTACTTACACGAATTAAAACAAGAATAACAAATATTAATTAATGGAAAAATCAAATAATAATGAACTAAATAAACCAAATAAATTCGGTGGCTACACCCAAGCCCTAGATTAAAAGAATTTAGCCACTAAATATTATTAAAATTAATTCAACAATATTTAGAGACATAATAAAAAAAATTAAATAATTAAAACTCCAAAACCCGAATGAAGCCAAAAACTCCCCGACGGTGCTAGCTTTGCGGCTGGTGGTGAAGAAGCTTTTGACGGTGCGTGACTCTGCCGGTGTTGATGCTGCCGCTGCGTGTGCGAAGGCAAGGAAGATGATGATGAGCTGGTGTTGGAGGCTTCGGTGGCGTGGAGCTAGGAGGAGAAGCAAGGTGGTGAAGGGAGTGGGGGGAAGGTGGCTGCCGCAAGTTTGGAGGAGTTTGGGCTGGGGTTTAGTGATGAAGGTGATGAAGAGTTGATGATGGTGATGATGCGTGGATGATGATGATTAGAGAGAGAGATGGAGAGGTGGTAGAGATGGTGCTGCGTGGATGAGAAGCAGATTTGCAGCGGCGAAGTGGCTGCCGGTTTTAATGGAAGCTAGGTGGAGGTCGGCGGGGGATAATTTCAGCCGCGAAGTTTCGGTTAGTTTTCGGTCCAGTTCTGATGTAAAAATAAATCCCTAATCCTCCTTTTATAGGCTTCCGTCAAAACCCTACTTCTTGGAGAGCAAGAAAACTTGTTTCCCAAATAATATCGGGATTAAACTTCTTATCCAATTCCAATCCCAAATCAGCCGCACCATCATCGTTTGTTCGGCCAATTTCCAAAAACTAAATAAAATTCTAAAATTGCATAATCGGCTCTCCAATTCTCTAAACTCATTAATTTCTTCCCCATCAATTGCTCCAATCTTCAATTTTTTCCCATTGAGTTGCTTTTAATTCGATTTTAGCTCAAAACTTCAACAATTCTTCATTTGAGTACAATTCCTACAATTAAAGATAAAATCACATAAATAGCATATTTATACTCAAAATATATTGCAAAAATCACAAATTAGGGATATAATAAATAGGTAAAATATAAGCATATCATAAATCGATTGTAGTTTCAATTCAGGATTTGGAGGAATTTCTTCTTAAATTGAAGATATGCGGGATTTGGGATTGAAGAGATGCGGTCACGAAGTTGGAATCGGCGGTGCCCAGAAGCCAAAGGGCCGACGGTTTGAAGAGAGAGGATTTGACGATCTGTTCCCGTCAAGGGTATATGTGTAACTTAGTTAATAAAAAGTCAAATCGGACAATAATTTTGGAACAAATTTTTTTTGACAAACTGGATAGTAATTATGGGACGGAGGGAGTAGATTATCTGTATCGGGCTCTTATCTTATTAGGCAACAAATATTATTTCTGTAATATTAAATTGTAATTCTTTTCGTCCCAAAACAATCATTTTGTAATATAAATCTTAAAATTCAATGTGAACTATTTTTTCGGGACGAATGGAGTAATTGTATAGATTCAATAGGTCCACTAACAGTAATAGTTACAGTAAAATCGTACCCGTAAAGCGGCAGGGTTAGCTATTAAGTTGGTGTTTTCTGTGTCTTTGATGTTACGCTTAAAAAAATGAAAGTCAATTTTCTCTCTAATATAAATCTCTATCGTCACACACCCAATAAGCGATCTCAACACACTCCCCAAATTAACACACACACACACACACACACACACACACACACACACACACACACACTAGTATAAATCAACTCTTCCCCGTTTTCTGATCCCCCATTCTAATTCCCCCTTAAATTCCCCTTTTCCCAGATCTATATCTCATAACTCAGATCCAATTAGGGTTCGTAGGTATTACGATTTGATCTCGCACACCGACGGTTGAATTTGATTTCAATTGAGGGGAAGATTTGATACAACAAAATGTTAACGAAGTTTGAAACGAAGAGTAATCGAGTGAAGGGTTTGAGTTTTCACAGCAAGAGGCCATGGATCTTGGCCAGTCTTCACAGTGGTGTGATCCAGTTGTGGGATTATCGCATGGGCACTCTCATCGATCGGTTTGACGAGCATGATGGCCCCGTCAGAGGCGTCCACTTCCACAAGTCTCAGCCTCTCTTCGTCTCCGGAGGTATGATTCCGTTGTTCGTATTTCCAATGTCAATTGCATTTCGTAGTTCCTGAATCTGATTATTTTGCTCGCCACCGATCTGATTAAAACCTGTTCTTGTTTGTTTGGTGGATTCTGTAATTGCTGGTTTTGAGCTAAAAAATGTGGTTCATAATGTTAGAAGCTGGTGCTCTGTTCCTTTTTAGTCGGGGATTCACTTGGTTTTTAAACTGTCACGCTGTTTAATTATTCCTAGAATTGTCGTTATTGAGTTTAGCTGTATTTGTGAACCTCAGTTCCCGAATTGAAGTGTACAGATAGAGACTTTAGGATTCCTTATCGTGCCTTATTCTGAATAGGTCACTCGTGATCTGGATCCTGGAATACTGATTTAGAAATCAAATAAAAGTGATTGGATCTGTAGTTAAATTTTGTTACTGGTCATTAGCCTTGAAAAGAAAATTGGGATCTGGGCACCCTAGCTCTGGTAGGTGTGTGTGTTCTGAAGCCTCCTTCCTCCCTTGATTTTCATGTGGCACACGTCAACTTTTGCAGGTGACGACTACAAGATCAAGGTTTGGAATTACAAGTTGCATAGGTGCTTGTTTACATTGCTTGGCCATCTTGATTACATCCGTACTGTTCAGTTCCATCACGAATATCCCTGGATAGTCAGTGCAAGTGATGATCAGACAATTAGAATATGGAACTGGCAGTCCCGTACTTGTATTTCTGTCTTGACTGGGCACAACCACTATGTGATGTGTGCCTCATTCCATCCCAAGGAGGATCTGGTCGTATCAGCTTCTTTGGATCAGACCGTTCGAGTTTGGGATATTGGTGCTCTGAGGAAGAAAACTGTTTCCCCTGCTGATGATATCCTGCGGTTAAGCCAGATGAACACAGACTTCTTTGGTGGCGTTGATGCTGTTGTGAAGTATGTGCTAGAGGGTCATGATCGAGGGGTGAATTGGGCATCATTCCATCCCACTCTCCCTTTAATTGTCTCCGGAGCTGATGACCGTCAAGTGAAAATCTGGCGAATGAACGGTACATACTTTTCTTTTGTTTCTCAAATCGCTTGACTGCACTGCATTTCCTATGACTTTCTTGTTTTATAGGTTAATATCGCCCCGTAATCATGTAGGCAGTGCTAATGTATGTTTGAAGTGGCTAGAATTTGTGGCCATGTCTCTTTCTGTGGAGCGTTCTTAAAGCAGACTTAGTTTCCAATTACAGAAAGTATTTGGTGATTGTAATATTTCATCACCACTCCTTTCCTAGGTTTTCCAGTATCTGTCAGTTTGATAAATTGATGGTTAACTTTGTATGGTCCAATATCTATGTGAAATAGATGATATTTAGCATTCTGTCTTCAGATATGTTGGAAGGAATTTATCAGAAGGTTCAATTTGTATGAAGTGATTTTTTTATTTTATTTTCCGTTATTCTATGAAGCATGTACTGCTTATTTTATTTTCTTCTGTGAAGTCTGCTCATTTTCTTCTCCGTATTTAATTTCTTGGTGTGAAGTTGCCACAAGAGAAAGGGAGATTAAATAAAATCGCATTGCCATTTACATTGGCATTGAATTTTGACATCATTACATTTGGTAAAACCAGCATTTTTTCTTTACAAACTAATTTGTCTATTCTTCTTCAGACACAAAAGCATGGGAGGTTGACACATTGAGAGGGCATATGAACAATGTTTCATGTGTTCTATTCCATGCAAGACAGGATATCATTGTCTCAAACTCAGAAGATAAGAGTATTCGAGTGTGGGATGCTACAAAGAGAACAGGTCTTCAGACTTTCCGTAGGGAACATGACCGGTTCTGGATCCTTGCTTCTCATCCTGAGATGAATCTCTTAGCAGCTGGCCATGACAGTGGCATGATTGTATTTAAGTTGGAGAGGGAACGCCCTGCATTTTCTGTGAGTAATGACTCTCTGCTTTATGTTAAAGACCGCTTTCTGCGTGTTTTTGAGTACTCAACTCAGAAGGATATTCAGTTAATTCCAATTCGAAGGCCTGGTTCTAACAGCTTAAATCAAGGCCCCCGCACTCTTTCGTACAGTCCCCTTGAAAATGCCGTTTTAATCTGTTCAGACATGGATGGAGGTTCTTATGAACTTTATGTTGTACCCAAAGATAGTTACGGTAGAGGTGATACTGTTCAAGAAGCAAAAAGGGGTATTGGAGGTTCAGCAGTTTTTATTGCCCGAAATAAGTTTGCTGTACTTGAGAAGAGCAGCAACCAGATAGTAGTAAAAAATATGAAGAATGATCCAATCAAGAAGTGCCCTCTTTCTATTCCTACAGATGCAATTTTTTATGCAGGCACTGGAAATGTATTGTGTCGTGCAGAAGATAGAGTAGTCATATTTGACACTCATCAGCGTACTGTTGCTGGAGAGCTTCAGACTTCTTTCATTAGGTATGTTGTGTGGTCAAGTGACATGAGTAGTGTTGCTTTGCTCAGCAAGCATTCAATTGTGATAGCTGATAAGTCACTTGTGCACCGTTGCACTCTTCATGAGACGATTCGCGTCAAGAGTGGAGCTTGGGATGATAATGGTGTCTTCATATATACAACACTGACACATATCAAATACTGCCTTCCTAATGGTGATAGTGGGATCATCAAAACTCTGGATGTCCCCATATACATCACCAAAATATATGGCAATACCATTTTTTGCTTGGACCGAGATGGCAAAAATCGTCCTGTTATCATTGATTCAACTGAATATATTTTTAAGTTGTCATTGCTGAGGAAGAGATATGATCAGGTCATGGGCATGATTAGGAACTCGGAACTGTGTGGGCAAGCGATGATTGCATATTTACAGCAGAAGGGCTTTCCTGAAGTTGCTCTGCATTTTGTCAAGGATGAGAGAACAAGATTCAACCTAGCTCTTGAAAGTGGAAATATCCAGATAGCTGTTGCATCTGCCAAAGAGATTGATGAGAAAGATCATTGGTACAGGTTGGGAGTGGAGGGCCTTCGTCAGGGTAATGCTGGTATTGTTGAATATGCATACCAGAAGACCAAGAACTTTGAAAGATTGTCCTTCCTTTATTTGATTACAGGTAATCTGGACAAGCTGTCCAAGATGATGAAGATTGCTGAAGTTAAAAATGAAGTTATGGGCCAGTTCCATGATGCCTTATATATGGGTGATATTCAAGAGCGCGTCAAGATTTTGGAGAATGCTGGTCATTTGCCTCTTGCGTATATCACTGCCAAGGTCCATGGGCTTGATGATGTTGCAGAGCGTATAGCTTCTGAGCTGGAGGAAGTTCCTTCCTTGCCCCAGGGGAAATCTGCTTCGTTGTTGATTCCCCCGAAACCAGTGCTCTCTGGTGGAGATTGGCCTTTGTTGATGGTCACCAGAGGTATCTTTCATGACCTTGAAAATCCTGGCCGAGGGGCACAGGAAGAAGAGTATGAAGAACCTGCAGGCAATTGGGTGGAAGAGTTGGATGATATTGGTGAGGCCGACAACATTCCAAATGGTGACAGCGGTGTGGAGTTTGATGATGAAGAAATGCATGAAGAAACTGGATCAGGGGGATGGGAACCTCTGGATCTGCCTGCTGATGTCGACACACCAAAGACTGCTCCAAATGTTCGTTCTTCTGTATTCGTGACACCAACTACTGGAATGCCTGTAAGCCAGATTTGGACTCAGAAATCTTCTCTTGCAGCAGAACATGCTGCTGCAGGCAATTTTGACACTGCAATGCGGCTTCTTAACCGGCAATTGGGAATAAGAAACTTTTCTCCTTTGAAGCAACTATTTATAGATCTTCAGTCTGGAAGTCATAGTTACTTGTATGCCTTTTCCTCTGCACCTGTGATTACTGTTGCAGTAGAAAGGGGCTGGAGCGAGTCAGCAAGTGGTAACGTTCGAGGCCCACCTGCTCTTGTGTTTAACTTTTCTCAGTTGGAGGAGAAGCTGAAGGCTGGTTACAGGGCTACTTCAGCTGGGAAATTTACTGAGGCTCTGAAAATCTTCTTGTCTATTCTACATACAATACCCCTTATTGTAGTCGAGACGCGAAGAGAGGTTGATGAAGTTAAGGAATTAATCATCATTGCAAAGGAGTATGTTCTGGGTGCGCAATTGGAACTGAAGAGGAGGGAGATGAAGGATGACCCTGTCCGTCAGCAGGAACTAGCTGCCTACTTCACTCATTGCAATCTCCAAGCTCCTCACGCCAGACTCGCCCTTATGAATGCCATGAGTGTTTCCTACAGGGCTAAAAATATGATCACTGCTGCTACCTTTGCTAGGCGATTGTTGGAAACCAATCCGCCTAATGAGGATCAGGCCAAAAAGGCCCGTCAAGTTCTTGCGGCTGCTGAGAAGGACATGAACGATGTTTCTCAGTTGAATTATGATTTTAGAAATCCCTTCGTGGTGTGTGGGGCAACGTATGTGCCAATATATCGCGGACAGAAGGATGTCACTTGCCCTTACTGCAGTACTCACTTTGTTCCATCACATCAGGGGCAATTGTGTACTGTGTGTAACCTCGCTGTTGTTGGAGCCGATGCATCTGGCATTCTTTGCTCACCTTCACAAATCCGATGATTTTGAGTTATTCCATACGTGTAGTTTGTTCCAACAGGCCGTTACCTTTCCTAGGAAAGTTACAGGTACGGGAACCTACCCACCAGTGCTTTAGTTTTGTGAATTCTGCGATCAGTTACCTTAAAATTCAGTAGCCTTCTTGTTTTATATTGTGGAATGCTTGCGTTCTTGAATTCAATATATGCATGTTCATATTTTTCTTTTTGAATGTTAACATGCCAGTCTTTCATTTGAAAAGTTGGTCCTCTTTACTTTCTCTGGTTTAAATTTTCAATTCTGAAGCTACTCTATTACTATGGACTTTGTTCCTCTTTCCCAAATCCCATTTTTGATAAATCCATATTGACTTGAGCTTTCAAAGGGAATGATCAGTGCAGGTAACCATTGATTTATCCCGTGAATCCATTTCAGCCTATAACTTCAGCCTCTGTTGTTTTTATTCTGTTCTCTTCTTTGGTGTTGAGTAATCTTGGAGGGATAGAATATTTGGAATTTTCTTGCATCTTCACGCTAGAAATGTTTCTTGTGTGCTGCAGATATATTTTTTTTCCGATTGTTATTGGGGAGAGTTTCAAATCAGAAGGTTTTTGTAGAGAAAGCTGGAGGAGGCTGCTGAGAATGTTTGTTTTGATAGGTCGACCACTGTTGCTGCATCATCAACTAGGCAAAAGGAGCTTTACTCTGTTGATGGATCTGATTTTGGTTTTTGCCATTTCTCTGGTGTATCTGGTGATGAATAATGTGTTGGAATTATTTAAGTACTATATATTTTCTTTTTGTATTAATTCAACTATACTGTTTTTGTTTCTTCTTACTTGTAGTTCTATCCTCCTGTACGAGATTTCGTTATTTTTATCATATTTACTCTGCTGGATTCAGTCATATCTTTTGCGTCCATTTGGTTACTTGAAAGCTGCTTTAAAGAGATGATAAGAGTTACTATCTACGACTCAATTAGCACAACAGACGGTAAAACCTTACCACTAAAGACACAAGAAGAATTTTGAAACGGAGTCCATGTTGTCTTGCGTTTGATTTGATCCCGCCAGTTCCTGCATTTTTGTTTGGCTGAGAATAAACCCTGAAGTTCAATCAGTTCATGTAAGGTCCCATTCGCTGCCGGTTAGGGTTCCGACCATTTAATATAGTACAATCACATAAATAGGAGTGTTTCCAAATCAGTTTTGCAACGTAAAATTTCTGCAGTAGTATAAATTATGTCACACTTTTGTCTCTAGAATCAGCCCAGGTACGAACTTCATGTTTCACTACAAGTAATTAAAAAGATAAGACTGAACAACATATTTTTTTATTGAGAGACCAGGTTTAGACGGTTTTTCACCATCTTGGTATCCAAAGATATTAATCATTCTGTTTGAATTTTTAATTTCAGTAAAAGGAAAATCCAAAACAAAACAATCATTTTGGAACAAATAGAATATCTATATTAAAAATGACTGGTTTGGAATTACTACCTCTAGTACTCCTCCATTCCAAAATAAGTGTCATTTTGGCAAAATGGAGAAATTCCAAAATAAGTGTCGTTTTCGGATTTCAATGTATTTTTTGTCAAAAATTTCCAAACATACCCTCAAAAGAAATGATATTATTGGGGAACATTTATTTTAATGGGGTTGATTGAGGATATTCTAGTAATTTAGTTACCTTATTTAATGTTTTCTTAAACTATGTGCAAACTCTAGAATGACACTTATTTTGAAATGGAGGGAGTATTTAATGAATTATTACACGCTAATGTAAAATAATAATGATGCTGAAAGATTAAAGAGAAGCCTACACATTTCTACTCTATTAGTTCCTCACCTAATATTCCCACACTAGTACTACTACTAGCACTACTCTAAACATTAACCATAGCTTAAATTACCATCGGTTTTAAGAGATTTTATCGGTTAATCTTGATCATTATGTCCAGCACATGGAGGACTGGTGGGCCAGCTCCCTAAGTGTAACACCTAGTTACATGGACCCACAGCTGTGATGACTAGGATAGGGACCGATTATCCCTTTTTCACTTCATTTTTTTCAAGAATTAAAAAATAAAATAAAAATAAAGCAAATTCCAGCTAATGAGTAAACTGTGAATGCGTTAATTTCACCAAATCAATAAGGTTGACAAGAGTTTAGAATTCTTCGTACTTCAATGGTTTAGTCTTCCAAGCATATCGACTTTGGAGTCAGGATTTTAAAATCACAACAGCGAAAACAATAATTTTATTTTACAAGGGTAAAAATATAAGAAGAAATTAAGCCCAAATAGAATTGGAGAAATTCGTTTCCATTAAAATTCTGAATCACCCAATAAAAAAATAAAAAAAATCAGGTGAGGGGATGATCGCGGTTATTGGCTCGCCCTAATCTACCATTAGATTTTAATGAAAGTTAGAGACACTGGCCATCTGTAAGTACATAGCTAAATAAATCAAACAGGCTAGCTCTACATGTATTTTTGTGACCAGTAGTTTCTAAAATAATGAAGGCTTCAATTATTTTTTGCATTCTGCAGGCTGTATACCACGTACAGTGCTCTACCTAATTCTCATCTGTTTTTTCTCTTGCGGTAATGAAGTTCTAAAGTGTCATCAGCTAAAACTCGTAGTTTTGTCAAAGGATCGCCCTATAGATGTGTTACATTATCACGTTGTAACGAAGATCTTACGATGTGGGACAATCTAAAAAGAAAATTGTATTCTCTTTATAATTAATAAAATACTCCTGCCTCAAAATGTGTCTGGTTTAGATTTTCACTTTTTTTAGTCCAATTTGTATTAAAAAAAATTAAACTGATCAATAATTTCGGAACAGAGGTTATAACTATTTTAGGGTGAAAGGGAGTAACTAATATTTTTGCGATAACAAACATTTTCCTATTTTATCCAAATTCAATACATGTTCAATTTTTTCGGGAATAACGAAATTCCCCTGTAATTCCTCAACAGTCCTCTAATCCTTTTTATTTTCTGCTTCCCAATAAAACTCCGAATAGAGAAAGTGAAACATGTTCATAGCATTATTACATGGGGAGTTAGTCTATGTACGTGTTTCATTTGTAAGTAAATAAAGTTTAATTTTTTATTTTACAAATGTGATCCGAGAGAGTGTAAAGAACCAAATGATACGGGGATCGATTCCTGTATGAAAACATGCAGTATTTTTACACGCGATAGCCAATATTTATAAGGTATCTATTATCGATAACAATAACTTCGTCTCATCTTTATTACAGTTACGTGTATAAGCATATCAATGAGGGAGACAACTAAAGAAAACAAAAAGTCTCTGGAGGGAAATGCCACTTTAAATATAACTAGCCAAGTTTCAATACCTCAAAATTTGCTTTGTATATAATAGGTGCTTGCTCCTCGACGGGGAAAATGAGCGTATGATGAAAAAAAATATTACATCGACATTATTTTATGATTATATTAATAAAACGTGCAAATTCATTCCGAAAACTATATACACATTAGTGTGCAATTCATCTTATATGAACACATTCATCTTATTCTCCCATGCATGCATTGTAATGCTTAAATAATCATGCCAAATTTAATCGACATAGTTGAAATTCAGATATATTATATGCCCATTTCGTCTAATTTAATAGTTCTCTTATTCCCGTAAATTCTAATTATTAAAATAGGACGAAAAGAATATATATGGGTATATCTCTAACTTTAGAAGTGGACGTGTAATTGCAAAATTATCCAAATGGAGAAGAATATTCATTCATGCATACATGTGTTAGGAGGACAAGATCTGAAAACTTGTGGATTAAGGGAGTAGTAATAGTAGTTGCAGGAGACAACGACAAAGGGGGCCAGAATATTGATTCAATTCTGATTCTCCAGAAACATTAAGGAAGAGGAGAAGAGGAGTCAACCGGGGGGCTAAAAAAGCAAAGCTCAGCACAGGGCTCGAGAATTTCAGCCAGAAAGACACCATTATTGGGACTCGCACACTTCCTCTCCTGTATATTCATTCATTCATCATCATCATTATCATCATCAATGATCATCAAACCCATCCCTTCCCAAAAACCTTCTTCTCCTCCGCCACCACCACCACCAATCCCAATATATTTATTTACATTCGTCAATGTTGTTCATTTTGAGTTTTGAATGTTATTAAAAAATATAATTACAATAGTAACACATTTATTTTGGATTCTTCGTGACATTATTATTTTTGTATTCTTCGTCTTAACAGATATCTCTGTTAATTAAATTCGAAAAAACAAGATCTATTAGTATAACGACCATATACACAGCTATTTTTGAGTCGCTGGATTATATCTATTTTCAATATCATGATTAATCCAAAGTTACACTCCTCTTGCCACTTACAGGCATCTACATTGCGATGTTGTGACAATATAAGTATATGAAATTTTCACCTACATTTGATTGTCATTCTATTCAAATTATATTCGTACCGTAATTCACATGACAACCCGCTTTTACTTGGTCTTTCTCTTTGATCGACGTAGTACTTAGTATTCAAAATTCAGTCCATTCAAACAAGCAATAAATTTGATTTTTACAACTATTTCTTCAACAAGATTTCCTCATCCGTAACACAATCCCTCCCTAATAAAAAGGCTAAAGAAAACTTCCCGTCGTCCCTCTGAGTCTCAGAGATAGATAGATAGTAGTACTGGATGTTGATGGACAGATGATTTGATACAGCAACGAAGCAAAAACTGCAGTAAAAAAAGCCAGCAATATGTACATTTTTCCATGATCCATCACCCAGCTGATTTTCTGGGATGACCATCCCACAACCCCACCCCATATATCCTTTCCATCCACTTTCATTTTTCCTTTTCTTTTTTCCTCTCAATTTTAATTTTCAATTGTTTCCTTTTCTTTCTTATATCACAAACTGTCTACCATCTTAATAGTGATTAAAATATCCGTATCAAATCTTAATTTAATTTGCAATACCCAAAAATGGACAATTTAGCTTGCCAGACTTATGAAATTTTCAGAATTCTGAAATTTGGAAAGTCTTAGAAAAAAAATCCATAAAAACGCCACGTTGACTAGAATAATAATGGTACAGTATTGTACGTACTATACTATAGTTCTTATTTTTTGCGGGGGATTTAATTTGGCAGATTTCAGGTTCTAAAATCAACTTAATCATCGTATTTTGAGGTCTGTCACTCATGGATTCGAGCCTATATAGACCGTGGTTTCATTAACTAACAATACTTAACTTTTTAAAAGGCAATTGTTGATTTGTTCGATTACGTTAATACTATTATTAAATTTTCAATACGACAAGTATTAAAGGGAAAAAACGACAAGCTTTTTTTCCGTTTGAGAAAACAATAGTAAAAATTACTGCCATGCTCTGACGCCCAAAAAGAAGGCCGAAACAATTCTCAAGTCCCCAAGTTATATCATGCAAATAATTAGGCGTAATTATAATAATGTGCCGCAGGCAGAAGGTCAAATAGTAAAAAGAATGAGTCTCGGGCCCCTAAAAATCTACAATTTGTTTTACTTTGCCAAAAAGGAAAAAAAAAATGAAGAAGAAGAACACACTGCAATTTTCATGATTGAATATCGGCCACAAATTAGTGGATTTCACGTTTTGTTACACTAAATTAATATTTAAATATTTGATTTCGATCTAATGATTTAATTTAAGCTCCTTTTTGATAATTTGTCAGGCCTCGAGGGATATAGTACGGCTGAATTTCGGCCCTCCTGGTCCCGTTTTGGCCTTTAATTAAATCATATTATTGGCCTCTAATTCAGGGTTATCACGTGTTTGTTAAAGATGACATTTCTTTTTTAATTAATTAATTAATATTTTTGAGGAACACATCATAAGCTTTCTCCCTGTGACACATGGTAACATGGTATTCCATTCTCCAAAAATGATTATTCAGTTAACTTTTTTTAATATAAAAATGGTATCAAAAATAAAAATTTAAATCAGATAATTATTTCAGAATATGTATAAATTATAACATTTCAAACTCTTTTTTGGTTTTAGTCAATTATGCAATGAAGTTATACAGTTTCAATCTTTTAAAGGTTGGTCCTTTGCCAATTTCGAACTTGTCAAATCGATTTGACACTGATAAACTACATTCTATTGACCAAATTAAACTAATTAATGATGAGATTACATCAACGGATCATATACTTACCTAATTATGATGTAAGTATGTCTAACTGAATTAGACCTAAATATAGATTTATTTTACTTTTTCTTTTTTTTTTTAAAAAAAAAAAACCATGAGACTGGTGGTGTACGTTTAGGCTTTTAGCTACCCCAATAGAGTGTCTGGTGTGTGTCATTATTTGTGTCGACAAAAAGAAGTCAATTATTTATATTTCAGATGAACTTCAATAAGATAACAGATTCAAATAATGATGTCACCAAAAATGCTAAAAATTATGAGAGATAATTCTGTCAGAATAATCCAATCAATAACTTAAAAATGATACATTATTTTCCGTATGCATGAAATCTTTTATCTAATTATTTGAACCGTCGAGTGCACCATTCAGTCATGACAATATAATCTTTCTCCTCATTTGTATTCTTTTTGTGAGCATTTTCCAGGTAGATTCAGGCGACATGATGGATTATGTAGAACAAGTTCTTTAAAGTTGGAGAAGAAAAAGAAGATCAAAGATTAAAGTTTTTTCTGGGCTCGGGGAATGATATATACACACTTATTATATAGATCAAAGATTAAAGTTGGACGTAGGAGTGGTAGGCATTATCATGAAAATACACATCCTACTTTGGCTGCATTCACAAAATTCAAATCCGCGTATTCTCTAACTTCATTATATTTAAATGAAATCCAAAAGAGATTCCACCAATACCATATATTAAATCGAGCACATTAGCTTTAGATGTCTTTAATCACATGGTGATGCCAAAAAAAAAAAAAAGAAAAAAAAAAGAGAGATATACCAGAAATTGATATGATATCTAATACTTCAGAAAAAGACTATTACATTCTGCGTTTTGTGTTTGTATATCCAAAGATATACTCCTTCCGTCCCAAAATTATTGTCCAGTTTGAGATTTCACTTTTAGTATAATTTGAACTAAAAATGAAAACTCAAACTGGACAATAATTATGGGACGGAGGGAGTATTTTGTTAGAAGGAAAACCAAGAAAAAATCAAACTTACTTTCAAGTTTCAAGAGATGAATTTAGCTTTCTGATTTCTCGGTCAAAGTTCATTTTAGTAACGAAACCATATATATTACTATAGACGTGTTATTTTTCGGAAGTAGACTAATGTCGTGTTAGTGTATTTTGCAACCCTAATCTCCTTTGCATATGTGGCCTAGATATACCTATACTAATAAATACGACGTGGAATGTGGAATACACCAAAGTAGATGGAAACTTGAGTTTGCATACATAAAGTGAAGCAAATTTGTTATTGTTGGAGAAGGGATCTTTCCTTCATTTCTCCTGTTTGGCCTTTACGAAGATACTGTTGTTATTATAAAACCAACCCTCTTTTTTCAATCAAAAAAGAAGATGAAGAAGAAGAATATTGTATTAATTGATCCATGCATTATTGTTGCAGGTGTATATATACAAAACCCCGAGTGAGAAAAGGAGGAGGAATGAGGGACCTCTAATTGGGTCTTTCTTGCATGTTACATCAACTCCTGTTACTGTCAATGTGGAGTTGACCTCTAAATAGAGCACTATATGACTATACTACGGCCTCTTATTGATCCTATCAACTTAATGAAATTCATAATACAAAAAAGCTTGTTACCAAAACTCGATGTTAAAATGATTACATAAAGAATTAGAGTGGAATACGAGGCGTTTATATCTCTTTCAAAAATCCAAGGCTAAGACCTAATCAGCATTTACTCGATATACATATAGTAGTAGTACTACTCCGTAGCTGATTTTCTTTAAAAGTGTTTTTTTTTTTTTAATTGTTCTTCACGTTGTTTAAAACCCTTACCAAAACTTGAACCTAATATTTTTTTATTTATTTTTTTTCACGATGAACCCACTTAGCCCGGATGAAAAAATTATTACCAAGATCGGTGAATCGTTTCAGACATTGTTGGGTTCGTACATGTTTAACGAGAAACAAATTTTATTACGCATTGTTCAAATTTTGAGACTCGTTTTCTTACCTTGTTTTTTAGATAACAATTATTTTGTTCCCCATTGATAATTCAGTAAACATTACTCCTATGTTAATGGGTTAGTAGATGAAGTGTCGTTTGTATTTCATGCTCGTGCCACTAAACAGAAAATATTCCCTCCATTTTAAAGTATAAGTATGTAAGTATCAGTATTAAACAACTTACATGCAGTTTAATAAACATCAAAATAAGGTTGTTAGATTATTCTCAACTCACCTTATTAAAACAGTTATCATTACTTCTGTTTTCTTTTGAGGAATATTCTTGAAAATTTGAACAAAAAATGAATTTAAATCTAATAAAAACGAAACTTATTTTACAATTTCTCAATTATCCTAAAACTATAGTTATTTCAGAATGAAGGAGCACAACACTACAACATATTGATCGGTGACGGAAGGCCTCCAAATGATACATAATGCTTTGTAATTTCATGCAAACAATAATAAGTGCATTGGTGGTGTAAATATGGGGGGAAAAAAAAGAGCATTCTATTTTAGTTCAAGAATAGTATTAAAATCGGATAGATGATTTTTATTTAGGAGCAAATATATTTCTAACAAATACAATAATGATGAGTACTACAAAGGAAAGGTCTAAAAATCGAAGAGCTGAAATTTGCTGGTTGAAAGTTGAAACTGGGGTGATTAGACAAGATTACTGTTGACATTCTTGTCAGCCTTGTCAAATTCTTAGAAACCAGTGGAAGGAATGTAGTAGTTAATAAGGGCATTAAAAAAAAAAGAAAATTAAATTAAATTGCCAGCAGTGACTCCAGTGCCCTAGCGTCTATGGATTAAGCCTACGACCACCTATCAAAATTCAGTGTGACCTTAATCATAGTCCATTGATTGGTCTGTGAGAAGAAATTAGTAAAGTCACCGTAACATACTGTTTCCTCATTTGGTAGAAATTGCTTTTATGTGTCCGTAGGAAAATTAAATACACCACACAGTAAAAATTTTTTAAAAAAAAAACAAAAGGAAATTTTATTTTTTTTTAAAAAAAACCCGCTCTTAATTATGGGGGTCAGAAAAAAAGAGAGAAAAAAGTTTAGAGCGTGTTTTCCGGTGCAAGGACGAATAAGCAACAGCTGATGGAACGCCACGTGGATGAGACACTACCGTTAGATTATCATGCAACGGCTCTGATGATGACATGAAGTTGGGGAGAAGAAACTGTAGAAGCAAGTGGTAAAAAGAAATGGATTTATTTATTTATTTATTTTTTTGGTTGCTCTCATCAAACAAAGTTGAAAGTCCTTCAAAGAGCCAGTTCAGCTGAAACATATTGGTAAGTTGTGATGCGTGTTTCTGTTTGGGTTTCTAGTGTGTGAGTGTGTGAAAGAGAGTGGACAGAGACAAAAAGAGAGAGAAAGAGAGTTTGGAAGAAAAAATGGTACTGGTGTTGTTGTTGTTGTTGTTGTTGTTGGTTGTCTTAAATTGAGGGGTTTGCAGAAGGCCATGGCGGCGTTTGCAGGAGCTGTGACTTTCCCTTTATTAATGCTTTGAAATGAAACAAACGACAGGCAGAAGAATTCAATTTTGAGCCATTCCAAACATTAAAAAAGAAAACCATCTTTTTTCTTCTTCATCTGCTACTACTACTACTACTACTACTACTACTTACCTTTTTCCCTTCCTTGATCCTTCCCTCTCTCTTGTTTTTTTTTTTCTCTATCTCCATTAAAAAAAAGCTGCCAGAAAAATAAAACAAAAAGCAAGAGAGGGTTCTTTTTTTCTTGCTGCTTGTGTTTGTGGGTTGTAGGAGAGTCAGAATATAGTAATAGTATTTTCAACTTTCAAAAACATATTCTCTCGTATAGTAAAAAGGAGGGAATACTACTACTACTTACTAGTACTACTACACTACTACTACTACTAATACATCTTTCATCCATCCTTTTGTTTTGCCCTTCACTTTACTACTGTTGTTTGCTGCAAAGACAAAAGACAAAAGAAAAGAGTAAAAAGAAGAGGAGAGGGTATTTTTTGATGGTTAGTATTCCAACTCATCTAGGTTGAGGGCTTGTGTTTTCTGGGCTATGGATTTTCTATTAGGCTTAGCTGTTATTAGGGAGGAGAAACAATGTCTGGGTTTTTCTCGCTAGGTGGTGGTAAAGACCAGGAAGAACAACAAACTAATACCAACAACAATAGCCTGTATCTGTTCAAGAACAATAACGAGGAGATCTATCACAAGGGTTTTGAGCTATGGCAGCAATACTACCAATTGCATCATCAACACCGAATCCATCATCATCATACACAAATCCAGGATGTGGATTTCTCGGTGGGTCCCGCTGGGGGTGCTGGTTCTGCTAGGAGAATCATCAGCACTACTAGTGCTGGTAGTGGTGGGAGTGGGAATAGCATTGGTGATGATTCATCTTACCATATTAGATCAGCAGGGTTTAGGGTGACGACCAATACGACGACGAATATGAGGCACGCCGGCGGCGGAGGAAGCAGCAGCAGCGGCGGCGGAGGTGGAATTAATTGTCAAGACTGTGGGAATCAAGCTAAGAAAGATTGTGCACATATGAGATGTAGGACTTGCTGTAAGAGCCGAGGTTACCATTGCCAAACCCATGTGAAGAGTACTTGGGTTCCCGCTGCGAAAAGGCGTGAAAGACAACAACAACTCGCAGCTCTTCAACAGAATCAACAACAGCTTCAAACCCAACAACAACATCAACAACTCAGTTTAGGAGGAGGAGGAGGAGGAGGAGATCAGCTTCATCATCAACCAAAAAGACCCAGAGAAAATCCTGCCTCTTCTTCTCTTGCTTGTATTCGTGTCCCCTCTTCTTCCACTGGTAAAACGTCTTTGTTTGTTGTTTCTTCTTGTAGAATTCTCTTCTTAAATAAACAAACTTTGTTATGGGGGTTTCCACTTCCCACTCTTATCTCCATCACCTAGATGATTTAGATTTGAGGTCTTTAGGTTTCTAGAAAGAAGCACTACAAAAATATAAAAAACAAATCAAATGCTTCTATATATAAGCCCAAAAAATGCTCGCTAACCTCTTCATAGGAAAGTGAAAGGTAAATATAGAGCGAGAGGTATATAGCAGTAGAACTTATTGAAGTTAGTTAGTTACTAGTAAAAAAACCCACAACATAGAAAGAAGCTACTACTATATGGCTCTTCTTTGATCATCATCATCATCATCATCCCTTTGCGTGTGATCAATGAAGTCTTCCAAATTTGTAGAGTTATCAAGTCAGCTCAATAGTTAGTCACCAACCCCTTTTCTCCCAAGCTTCCATTATTTCGGTCTACACTTTAATAATAATACTATCAATCAATACCACTGTTCTTGAGTAAACCTGACGTTCAAAGGTAGTAGTACTCTTGGAGGAATGTTCTTTCTTTTTAGACTTTGTTTTTTTCAGAAAAAAAAAGAAAGAAAAAGAATTCAGAAAATTTCCTTCCATCCGTTGTTGAGTTCTCTTTCTTTTCTTTTTTTTTTGATGATGTTGTTGTTTTCTTTGGTGTGATTGACGATGATGGACTAGGGTTAGAGGTGGGTCACTTTCCGGCAGAAGTGAATTCGCCAGCGGTATTTAGGTGCGTAAGAGTGAGTGCAATGGCTGATGAAGAAGAGCAATACGCTTATCAGACAGCTGTCAACATTGGCGGTCACGTTTTCAAGGGAATTCTCTACGATCAAGGCGTTGAATCCCGTTACGCTTCTGGCAGCGGCGGCGGTGGTGGTGGCGGTGACACCTCGGCCGGCGGTGGCGGACTGGGTGGAAGCTCTTCTCATCATCATCAACCGCCGCTTAATCTCATCGGAACAACTGGATCGGCCGCCGCCGTCACGGTGGCGACTCCCGGTACGAATCCCGGTCTGACCATGCTTGACCATTCCGTGTATGCAACTCCACTCAATGCATTCATGGCTGGTACGCAATTCTTCCCCCCACCAAGATCTTAGGAAATTGAAATCCACCAAAAAAAAAAAAAGTGGGCTAATTAACTCTCTGATATGATGATTATTGTTAGACCAAAAGAGCCACTCTCAAGTGCTATAGTAGTATTAATCTTCATTGCTGATCATGGATGATGTTGTTGGTTGTTATTGTTGTTGTTCTAATTTAAATTCAAGTGTATTAATTCACGTTGACATTTGATATAACCGAGCATTCTTGTAGGAAAGAGAAGTTTGTACCAAGAGCTTTTAAAAGCTCTTTCTCTCTCACTCTCTTTGATGTTTGTTAATTATTTCCATTTTGAATTCTAGTTTTTATTAATTAAAATGGCTTCTTAATTTTCTCACTTGTTAAAACATGTGGATGTGTGAATGTGTGAATTTTTTTTTTTAGGCATATTCTGTGATGGTTTTTTTTTTTTTTTTTTCCCTTTCTACACATTCTTTATAAGTTTTGCCTATTTTGGGGTGTGAATATTTTGTTGGCTTATTCATTCCGATGGGAAGCCTGCTTTTTTCCGCCCTTTTTATCTGATTCCATGCCGGATAAAACTGGGACTAGATAGCTGGTTTTCTCATGTTGGTTTTGGACCATGAGTTTTTATTATTTTGTTAGCTACTCATCATCACTAAAATCCAACCATGTTTTATGGCATAAATGTGATAAAACCCCTCCATCTGATCAACTCAGACAAAAATGTTTGTACTAGCGGTCCAGCTCTCTTTCTTTCTTTCTGCAAGTCTTCTTCTTCCCCTCCCATGCAGAGCAAATGGCAGGTTGACATCACAGTCCCAAAATTGTACCATGTTTTGAAGAAAAATGTACTTTACATAGGGGTAATAAGGGGGCTGCGTTACTTTTTATTTATTAACCTGCTGATCATATCTAATCTGTTAAAAGAAACTTGAGGCAGACTTTTTAATTAAATTTATAGTGATGGAGAAACGTGCAATGGATGTGACTTCCCTTGAAAAATGGGAGCGCTGTTCTTCTTCATTGTTGTTTGTAATTTAACAATGTCAAATCTACCTTAATAATTTCATTGTACTAGCAGTACTACTAGTCTACTAGACTACTACTACTGCACAACTACATATGCATAATTTTATGTTTTTTTCTTTAAAAGTACTAATCTTGATTGATGATGATATAGAGACTGTAGGGATGAAATGGTTTTTGTGATTAAAGTCGTGGTTTTGCTGTAGACTACTAGATTTGGTAACTGACGTATCGAAATCTCAAACTCTAAGAAGAAGAAGAAGAAGAAAGAAGAAAGAAAGAAAGAAAAGAAAAGAAAGGCTTTTTTTTTCCTATATTCGAAACTTGTGTCCCATACTCCCGATCCCCTTCTTTATCATTTGTATAGTTCGTACAGGTCTATCAGGACAACACACACTTTTAACGGATTTTTTGGCACAGATTCTCCAGTTATCTTGTTGTTCCATCCATTTCACTCTCCCTTGGACTTTTCTGCTATAATAGAATAAGGTTGTTGACATCATTTCCCTCTTATAATATCCTCCTCCTTCCTCTCCCAGAGCCCCCTTAGTTCATCTTTCCCAAGAAGTTTGTTTAGCTTTGCAGTAATTTGGTTCTGGTCTTAGCCATTTGGGCATCTCTTTGTTAGTGTATAGTTCCTCTCTTTAAAAATTGGTTCTCCGTGATGCTGATATGGAATTCAGGATAGATTGTGAGCTTTAGGGATCTTATTACATGTCTGAATGCCATTTAGAAAGAGTATATATACATGAATAAAAGCTTATTTGGAAGCGTCATTACTAGTAATAGTTCAACAAATATAACTTCGATACTCATTTTGTAACGGAAGGAGCAGTACGTTTTAAGTTTTAATAAGAGGGATCTTTCTTGGCTTGATGAATACTTGAATGAGATGAAATTCAATCAGGTTTATATGCAAAAAGAGTTTACCCTAGTTATTTTTTTTAGCTTGTAGATTGATGGTCAAAACTTTAAAGGTATGAGATTGGAGATGTGTACAAACGTCATAATGACAAATTTTCTAAGAAATAAATGGTTTTTTTTTTTTGAAATTCTTGGCAATGCGTGGTCAAATTGAGTCTTTAAGTAGCTTGTTATATATGTTCAGTTTGGACCACAAAAGCTACAAGGACAAAAAGTGAAATAATATGAAACATTTGGGGATGGGTAACTTTGCAGATTTCAAGCCTTGAGAAACTAATCCCGCCACATGTATTACACAAATTAAGGAAGATTTTAGCGGTACCTCTCTGAACAACTTTAAACGGTCTTTTGTTTTCCTTTTGGAAAGACTTCTTCCACATATAGCCTCAAACTGTGTGTATGTGTTGCGCGATATAAGATGCTGTTGATAAATTCAGTGCTGATAATGCGCAAAAGTTTCTCATTGTTGCAATATTTAGTAGCGTTTTTTTTTTCTTTTTCCGGCTTCAAAGATGAGATGCAATGGCCTAAGAGACTAAGACAAAGAAAATAAAAAAATATGAGACCGCCAGCTGCTACATCGTGCTTCACTATGGCTTAATGCTCAATTTATTTTTATTTTTTATTTTTAAAAATAAATCTTCGAATTTCAATTTTATCAAACTTTCTCATTTTTTTACTTTATATTTCCAGTGCTCTTCAGTTGAAAATCCATCCTTATTTGGTGTTATGGTATTTTGTAACTGGAATACGCTCCTCGGTGCAAGTGACGTACTTTGTGAATTTCAATTGTGATTTCTTCTGCATGTAATTATTTTTTGATTAATACATATATGATCAACTTTTAAAACCTAACATATTGGGTTGATGCATTTGTTTTTAAATGCATTACGATATGCACCAAAATAAAAACCCTTGTTTCCTTGTTTCTGGTTGGTTCTAATATTTTTGAACATATGTAAATTTTATTTATAACCTGTCACAATTCTCTCTGAGATATATCATAGTACCAGAATGATTATTTTGTTTACTGTAATAAAAAATAAATAATTATTTTGAGATTCATGAAACATGAGATCTTTCTTTTGGGTGGGTTGGGGGTGGCAGACTAGCGAACAACGTTCAGTTGATAAGACTAGCCAACAATATTCAACTGATGAGACCGACCAATTTCAATTTGTTCCCATCGATAGATAAACATTTGTATTTTCTCAACCTACAAAAAAAAAAAACAGAAGAGAAAATTATGAACACAAAATTGTAACGAGACAACTGGGCAAAATGTTATAAGTGTTCACTCGTCTACCATGCTTTTACGCGAAGAAAAATGCTAGGTAGAACTGATTGGGGCTCACCATATACATATTGTCCAAGATTTGTTTTATGTACTTATAGAAAATCATGGTTTGGAGAAGATTGCTGTAATTTTACTTCCTTGAGAAAGAACTTCTTAAATGCAACTCTTGAGAAAAATAGAATACAATTGAACTCGGCGAACTGAGCCCGTGACGTTTTATTAGTCCTCCTCCTGATCAGTTATCTGATAAAGTCAAAATGATATTTTCGTAACTATATTCACCATACATTTTCTTTCAATCTGGTTGCGAAATGAAATAATTAGGAAAATATTTTACCATGTAAACAATTAGTCATTGTTATTAATGATGTATGTATACGAAAAATGAAAAAAGACAACAATCTAGTTAACGAGTTTTGCCTGCGCCATTATAGTTTTTTCTTTTTATCTTATAAGACTAAACAATTAATTATCTAAAATTTAATTTTTAATTAGAAATGATGGAGGGATGGATTGTTATACTAATATTTAATTTCCTTACATGACAGACCTTATATATTTTGCACGCCACCCCCTTTTTTTTTTTTCATTTTTTCGTGACTAAGGTGCTTTCATAAATCTATAATATGCCGTTTTCTCAAATAAGTGACATGATTATGAAACTGTTTACTTATATATTTCTTTCTCTAAAATAATTGTTTTGCATAAAATTTTTATTTTGAATATTTCAAATTAAATAATCATTTTGAACTGAAATGAGCGACAAACAAAATTTTTATTTTAAGACGAGAAAGAGCATATTGAAATTCTTAGTGGATGAAAAGGAATCTCTATGGCATGCGAGAAAATAAATCCCGAACGTACGATGATGGACTTTCAGATAACAAACAATTAACACCATGCAGAGCCGGGCAAACTTCAGCTCGCGTTCAAACTGGAGACACCCAATTCATCCTGCTTTTTTATTTTTATTTTATTTTTTTTCTTTTGAATATACTATATATATATATATATATATATCTTATTCTTCCCTTTGTCACGAACTTATTAAACTATAAACCAACAAAATTCGAAACTGATCCATTAGATGCATGCTGATCGTGCCAAGTTCAAAAGGATAGGAATAATTAGGGAAGAATACAAACAGAAAGGACAATGAGAAAATCCCAGTTTGCCAACATACGTGGGAATTAGGTCATTCCATTAATTGATCAGCGAAAATGCCAAAAAACTCATATCTCTGTGCTAGGCTTTTTAGTAATATAGGGGCATGGAATGTGAATTGGTATAGGTTGAGGACAGCCGCGTGCTTGGGATTCTGCTGCTGCCCCCTTTTCCCTCTGCTTTCTTCTAAATTGACCCCTGAGAGATTATAACACTTCTCACTTGTGGTCCAAACCTCAACTTTGTTACAAATGTTGCTACTACCATTATACTCTCTTCATTCTCAGTATATTTTGTCCCAAATCCTTTTTTTCCCCCCTATCTTCATTCCGATTAATTATTTGTCGAAAGTCAAATAATAAATGCCTGTGATCGTAGCTGTAAGAAGAAGGGAAAAAAAAACAAAGAAAAAACTGTGGAAATGGGAGTTCCTCAATTTGCATGACGGATACGTAACCCGTTCGTTCCTCCTAATTAATCCCATCCTTAATTGTGGACTGTGGTTAATTTCACTCGGCTAGCTTTCAAGATCTTGGACCGTTTTCCTCGCTTTAGTTATTTGGTTTGTGGAAACGCGATTAATGGTCCCAAAAGTTCCCTTGTTTATGGAGAATAACTCTTGTTAAGTTTAATGCATTATCATCACCAAACTATATATAGACGCCCTTGAGATCGATCGCCCCATGACAATGTCTGAAATAAGTCAAAAATGCGTCACACCCCAAGTTCACTTAATTTAGTTAAAATTTAAGTTAGAAATAAGTCCATTCTACTTATGTGTCCAGACTCCAGACTATTTGTTCGATGAGAAAGTTGACGTACTGAAATTTAAACTCAAAAAGTATTATCAATTCACTCATTGACATCATTTGTTGGATTACAAAGTCAACGAGGTGAAATTCACGTTCGAGCTTGCCATTTATCTGATTTCTGACCCATAAAAAATACTAAACAATTCGCTATCGTGGAAAAAAAAAACTGCGGATGGAGCATGATGTTATAGGGATAATGTCTTATTGAAATGTATCATGAGTCTTTTATTGTAACAAAAAAAAAGAAAAAGAAAATTAACTTCCGAAAAAATATCGCCTGACTTTTTCGTCCAGATCAATTACTCGACGACAAAGCCGACGTCTTCATTTCTGGAGAAACTTACTAATGGGCCAGTCTGTTTACTTTTTAAGAGAAGGAAAAAATCAAGGCCGAGTACAGCCCAAGAAATGGACCCATTAAATTGGGCCTCATATCGGCCTATGAAGAAGTGAAGCCCAATATAAATCAAGAGCCTTTGACTAAGACGCGTAAGTCGTCACATCATCGATCACGATCAGAAGTTTGAAGTTTGGTGGACGAGGGAATGAAGCAGAAAACATAGCGACTAAAGCAAAATCCTTTAATTTAGCGTCAAGACAAGCCCGCGGAGGCAGCGCAATTATATTTTATTTTAGTTTCTTTTTTTAATCATCATCATAACGAAATAAGTAAAGAAAATTAAATTAAAAAAAAGGCTGTGTGTGGCCTCTGTGTTACTTTCCGGGAAGGTGAGGAATTTGTTCGGCAGACGGCAGTCTGACTTCCCTCCGATCACGTTGTCGAATCGGAGGATCAATACGCGGTCATTGCTTCCTGCGAGCGGCATTTGTGATCTACAACGCAGCGAATTAACATTGAGAAAGGAAAAGCTGACGAACTCCCGGCGATGGATCTTCTTCGGTCGGAGGCGATGCAGTTGGCGCGGTTAATCATACCGATGGAATCCGCTCATCGCACTATATCATATCTCGGTGATCTAGGCCTTTTCCAGTTCAAAGACGTAAGCTATACGTCTCACATTGTGATTTATTTTTCTTTTGTTTTTTTTTTTAATTTTTGTTGTAGTTTTTGTCCTTGAGTTGATACTGTCGGTTGCATATATGATTTTTGATATTTAGAGTATGTTTATGCAACTTTATCTTTTTTAAGTTTAGATTTTAGAATTGTTTATCTTGTTTGTGTTTTCTGCTTCGTTTAGCTGTACAATTGTTGTGTGCATTTTGTTCTCACTGTTAGTCTGGAGGTCCTTACTAAAGGAAAGATAAAATGAAGGAGTTGTTCTCGGTAATTCTTGCTTTTTATTGCTTATTCTCTACTGCTAGTTTGTATCCCAAGATAAGTAGCTCTAGCTTTATCTCTGTTATTCTGTTGAGAGTATGTTGGAAGTGTGAGTAAAGTAGAAAGAAGGATACTAAAATTTTAATGTGGAATTTGGTTGGTATTCAGAAAGTTACACTAACTCTATCACCTTTCTAAGGTTGTAAACACTTATCTTCCAGGTTTGTTCTATTGTTCGTTATGCGGTTCCTTTTCTCTTGTCGATTTTTTGAAAGTATTGTTTATAGACTTGATTGCATACGGACATATTAGATAGCTAAGCTTAGTGCCGGAGGGAAGATAGATCAATGAACAATTCATTGTATAGCGTCTTTAAGCTCAGTTCGAATGAAGGTGAAGGAATTTTTATCTTTCCTCTTAAGTTTTAAGGCAATTTATGAACCAAGTTGCTTCCTGGATGTCAAATGCATTCTCGTTATCTGTCTGCTGCGAAGTGCATTGAGCACGTAAGTGTTATCAATGTAGCTCTCAAATTTATTCCGCTTTTCTGAATTTTTGCTCCTGTTTTTGACCACCTGAACTCTGTGGAACTTTGAGTACTCGTGATGATCAACCTTCACTCACCCTTCTTGCCCCAAGTTTCACATAATTTCCAATTTCCCTCTCTCTACCTTGTTTATTTCTCTAAATTAATAGAATCTACTGTTGTTTGTTTTCACCAGCTGAATACTGAGAAGAGCCCATTCCAAAGGACCTATGCTGCTCAGGTTAGTTTATTTCTTCTTCTTTTCCCATGACTAAGAATTTGGTCTTATTCTACTTCACATATTGGGATAATGGATGTGTCGTTATTAGTTTATGTTGTAATATTTATGCTGTCATATTCAACGTTACATATTTAAGTTGGCTCAACTGGTAAAAAAAAAAAAAAAAACTGTGTGTATCCATTTCAATATCTTCTGCCATAATGTCTGGAGTTCATCAAGAGTTTCAAATTGCTGATTTGCTCGCTTTCTTTCAATTACTGGGACTAGAGTACTAAACAAGTCAGTGAAAGGTAGCTTGACGACTTGACCGCCAGCTGAGTTGTAATAATTAATTGAATGGTGCTATATTTGTCATAATATGTGACTATCTTTCCTTGCGTGGATCAAGTAGAGAAAGATGACATTTTGTTGCTTTAAGTTTTATTTAGTCATTCTTTGGCTTGAATACATACCTGTTGATAAGTTTCAGTTGCATGTAAGAGAAGCATACATGTTGATCAATCTGCATTTGTTTAGTGGATTCAGTAGTCCTTTTGAAATCTTTCAAATGTAAAAGTAAAAAGATTCTAGAATAAAGTTAATCAATCTGCATTTTCAAGGAAGTTGGTAAATTTTTTTAATCTTATTTCCTTAAAAATATTTACCAAAGTTAGAAGAGAAGAAATTTGTTATTTTCTAGGGTAATCGGATTTGCATTTTTAAGGATTTACTCTATCTAATTTTGTGCAGATCAAAAGATGTGCAGAAATGACACGCAAGCTTCGCTTTTTTAAAGAACATATGACAAAAGCTGGCATTTTACCTTCATCGAGATCTACTCTTGCTACAGTTGTTAATATGGATGACCTAGAGGTTAGTTTAGTTCTGATTCTGTTTAAGTGTTTCTTGTTTAAGCAACATTTATCCATTTGGCTTTTTCAGCATTATATCTTAGTTGCATGCCATGTTTTCATAGTTTGAACGACTATGGCAGGTAAAACTTGGAGAACTTGAAAGCGAGTTAATAGAGGTGAATGCAAATAATGAAAAGCTACAACGATCATACAATGAGCTTCTGGAGTATAAGCTTGTAATGCAGAAGGTAAGACCATTTTCAGATATAGGAATTACAAGAATAAGAGGAACTTCTTTCAGTTGTTTTCATGCTTTCTTTTCTGTGAATTGATTATGTTTATTATCTTCTGAAATTTGTTGATTAGGCCGGTGAATTTTTCCATTCTGCACAAAACAGTGCAGCAGCCCTGCATCAGGAAAATGGATCACAGATTCTTGGAGAGGGGTCAATTGACAGCCCTCTTTTACTTGAGCAAGTACTGAATCCTGATTTGATATGATAGTTTTCTGAAGCTAAGATTACTATTTTTATTCTAGAACTTCTTGGTTGATTTCAAGCAGGAAATGTCTATGGATCCTGCAAAACAAGTTAGGCTGGGTTTTGTAAGTGGTCTCATTAGCAGGGAAAAGTCGTTGGCCTTTGAGCGAATTTTATTTCGTGCAACTCGCGGCAATGTCTTTCTCAAGCAAGTCGTTGTGGAAGATCCTGTCATTGATCCTCTTTCTGGAGATAAGGTTTATACTTACTGGAGCTTTTGGCATTCTGTGTGAGAAATGACATGTTTCCTGGTCTAGGATCTCTTTGTCTAATAATCGGTCCTTTATTATGAACGCCCCCATGTTCTCTTCATTGTTCAATGAAGTGATATTTTGTAGTAATCGAATATGGAGTCAGGTTCTTTGCTTCACTAAAAAACACGAAAAAGCTTTTTTCTTCAAAAATAACCGACTAAAGTTGAAATTCATGGGCCCCACATTCTCTGAGTTTTCATAAGATTTGGGAAGTTATGTGTTTTCTATTATACTTTTCTAAATTAGTTTTATATGTGATGCTGCGATGTGGTTAACTTTTGGATATCCTTCTGGTGCTTATTCAGATGGAGAAAAACGTATTCCTTGTGTTCTACTCTGGGGAGAGGGCCAAGTCAAAAATACTTAAAATATGTGATGCATTTGGAGCCAACCGGTATCCATTCACTGATGATTTAGGCAAACAGTATCAGATGATAACAGAGGTATGCTTTCTTTTTCAGGTAGCATTTCAATGGATTACTTTATATTCTGGGGGGTGTTTGTCCTTCTCAAGAATGCATATAATGTAGCTTATTATTGTTAAACGTAATATGTAGGTTTCTGGTAAGCTCTCAGAGTTGAAGATAACCATAGATGCTGGACAGCTGCACCGATTTAATATTTTACAGGCTATCAGTTTTGAGTTTGAGCAATGGAACCGTTTGGTTAGTCTTTTATGAAGTGATTAATTGTCTAATGCTTATAGTCCACTTATGTAAAGGCAATGTTTCTTTTTTGTCACATGATTGTTGCGATCATCTGAAGATATGCTTTATTCTTGTATAGGTGAAAAAGGAGAAGTCAGTTTATCACACTTTAAATATGCTGAATTTTGACGTGACAAAAAAGTGCCTAGTTGGAGAAGGATGGTGTCCTGTCTCTGCCACAGATCAGGTGGTTTATCACATTTAATTCCTATGATTTTTTCTATTTTACATTTGCTTTTTTATTTTATCTCTTCCCCCTCTTTTTTTTGTGAACTACAACTTTGGCTGATTGATGACTTCATTATATATCTGGCAGATAAAAAGCTGTCTGCAGAGGGCCTCTTTGGATAGTAACTCGCTAGTTGGAGCCATATTTCAGGTCTTGGAAACCCAGGAATCACCGCCTACATATTTTCGCACAAACAAATATACTTCTGCTTTCCAGGAAATTGTTGATGCATATGGGTGAGTTACACCTTTGTGTATGTTGGAGGATTGGGGGTGTGGGATAATCATGGTCTTTTAATGAAGCTCCTTTCATGGGGTTTTTTCGTTATCTTTTATTACCATGTAAATATGGTCCTATTTGCTTGAGGATGTTATCTGAAATCTCGGATACAATAGCGATCGGCTCTTGAGCAATATGATTTATTTTGATGTCTGTGTATTTCCAATTGAACCTTTCTTTGGTTTATTAGTGTAAGCTATTGATGTGAGGTCAGGCTACATAGAGAAGAGTTTTACAATGTTGTGTTTATCGTTTTAATGACACTGGATACAATTTAATTGGTTTTTTCACCAGTGATCTGTGATGCTTATTTTACAGAGTGGCAAAATATCAGGAAGCAAATCCAGCCGTTTTCACTATCGTAACATTTCCCTTTCTATTTGCTGTTATGTTTGGAGACTGGGGCCACGGAATATGCTTGTTTATTGCTACCTTGTTTCTCATATTAAGGGAAAAGAAATTGTCCAGCCAGGTATTGAACTCTTTGGAATTCATAGATAATATCATTCCTATCTTACCATTCTTGATTGATTTTACTATCAAGCTGCCGCTGAAAACTTGAATGTGTTAAGTCTACTTTTAACATTGCAAAGAAGCTTTTAGTTTACTGTTTATATCTTATGCCAGAGATTTTACCCAATCCCTTCTTACTTTTCCCGAGAAGACCCATTCTCCATTGGATGTACATAAAATGATAATATTTTCTTGACAAGAATTATTTTTTCGTTTGGTTGCATATTCTAACACATGAAAGGTCATCTTTGTAACAAGCATGGTCTGCATGATGGTGCTATTATGTATGGTCAATCGTTCCCCGCTGAATAGTTTTTTGTTGCTTTATAAACAACAGAAGCTTGGGGATATTATGGAGATGGCTTTTGGTGGTCGTTATGTTATCATGATGATGGCACTGTTCTCAATATATACAGGTCTTGTATATAATGAGTTTTTCTCCGTGCCTTTTGAAATATTTGGACGATCTTCTTATGCTTGCCGAGATTCATCGTGCAGGTACCCTAACTAGACATTTCGCTCCCCCTTCTTCTTTGAGACTGTTGTAACTAATTGTTCGTTGTCCTCGATGAAGAATCAGCTTACGGTTCTTACATAAAATCCACTAGTACAACCATTAGTGGTCCACAATTGAAAATAAGTGGAGAAGTCCACTAAAGAGCTTACATGTATTATAAAAGAAGGAAAAGAAAATTATTACATTTACAAAGTTGTCTTTGGGGTGGTGGGAGTAGTAAAAGTGAAAAGCTCATAATCATTAATGCTATAATTATTATTTTGTTCAGGGATGCTTCTACAGCAGGCTTGATTAAGGTGCATGGAACCTACCCTTTCGGTCTTGATCCTAAATGGCATGGTACCCGAAGTGAGCTTCCATTTCTCAATTCCTTGAAGATGAAGATGTCAATTTTACTTGGTGTTGCTCAGATGAATCTTGGAATAATTTTAAGTTATGCCAACGCAAAGTTCTTTAAGAATGATATAAACATCCGGTAAGGTTTATCACCGTGCTTCCTGTTGCTCAAGTTGATGAATAAATATGTGCTGGAGTTGAGTTTATTTTTTCTCGTGTTACCCCTTTATGCATGCTTTATGCTTGGTGACTTACTTATGCATCTTGCCTCAGGTACCAATTTGTTCCCCAAATGATATTTTTGAATGGCCTGTTTGGCTATCTGTCACTTCTCATTGTCGTTAAATGGTGCACTGGCTCTCAAGCTGATCTTTATCATGTAATGATATATATGTTCTTAAGTCCTACTGCTGATCTGGGTGAAAATCAGCTATTTTTTGGCCAGAAGTTCCTCCAGGTTCTAATCTTTTTATGGACGGTTCTGTTCTTATTAGACAACAGTGTGGGTTCATTTTAAGTTATTTTCTTGTTTTTGTGCAGCTTTTGTTGCTATTTCTGGCACTTGTTGCTGTTCCTTGGATGCTATTTCCAAAGCCTTTTCTTTTGAAGAAACAGCATGAGGAAGTATGTTGAAGTCTCATTTCCTTTAATTGTACTAGATTCTGCATATTTGTTCTCATCTTATCTTCTACTTATATGCCCTTTCCAGAGACACCGTGGTCAATTGTACGAGCCCCTTCATAGCACCGATGACTCGTTTGAATTGGAAGTAGATAGTGATTCTCATGGGCACGAGGAATTTGAGTTCAGTGAAGTTTTTGTGCATCAATTAATCCATACCATAGAGTTTGTCCTTGGAGCAGTCTCTAATACAGCTTCATATCTTCGCCTGTGGGCACTCAGGTATGTTTACGTGCATGGGAAACTGAATTCCTGTTAAATTAAGTCAAATAAAGCATCAATTGCTGCTGGGTTCAAAAAAGAGAGAGTTAGAATAAGTTCATAAGGTCTTCTTATGCCGCCCCAAGCGATAGTGATAAATAGACTAATGAGATAAAACAGAACTAGATTCTCTCTACTTTTTCCCAATATAAGGCCTTATACCTATGCACACAAGAGTCCAGGTCAACATAAAACTTCTTTGTGCAGATGCAATATCTATATTTGTACCTCTATTCAGATAGTCATCCAATGCTTATTGATTATTAATGAGTAATGAGTAATTTGATCGTTTCTTTTATTGCTTATGTAGCCTTGCACATTCTGAACTTTCCAGTGTATTTTATGAGAAGGTTCTGATTCTTGCTTACGGGTACGATTACTGTCCTTTTCAGATTTTCAATGAAGAGAAGATTAAGCTATTGTCATTTATTTAATGAGGTTTTTCTGATTTTTTTACCAGGTTCAACAACATCATTATTCTCATTATTGGCATAGTTGTGTTTATATGTGCTACTGTTGGCGTATTGCTGGTGATGGAGACCCTAAGTGCTTTCCTCCACGCCTTACGACTTCACTGGGTGGAATTTCAGAACAAGTTTTACGAGGGAGATGGTTACAAGTTTTCTCCATTCTCATTTGCTTTAATCAGTGAAGATGAAGAATGATGCATAAAACCTGATTCAGTTTAAGATGGTATATTTTACAAGTGGTGCAGATTTGAGAAGTGCAACATGGCATGGCTGCAACATTTTGGTAATAGAATCTCTTTTTGTGCTTGCTGCACTATAACTCAAGGGTATATATGTAACATATTGATGTAGTTAATTTTTTTCTACATTTCCATCGGAAAGGTGGATCCCTCATAGTAAGGCGAAAAGGGCAGGGTTCTATGAAAATGCAATTAGTAAACCTTGTTCTTTTATTTTGATTAACAAAGATGCATACTTTCTCCTTTAGGGGGCTTTTGCAAAAAACTGTTACCAACAGTAGACCGTGAACGTCACAGCATATTCTGCAATCAAGAGATGGCTTAACTTAAGAGCAACTCGCAGAAAGTTGAGGCCCCAAATTGAAGATGAATTTGACTAGGAATAATGGACCAACTAGAAATTGAGATAGAATGCTATAAGACCAATTCCATTAAATGATACATGCGTGAATCCCCCACATTATACGAATCTCCGGTGTGCATTCCACTTAGCTCATACTTATTATGTGAGTTCTCCCGAGTTGAGTTAGCCACGTTAACGCAACATCAGTTATCACTGTAATTTGGCCAATCTGGAAAATTTCTGCTGAAAATTTGATGTTATCGGGTCGAATTACTATACGTATTAGGCCACTTCATTTTAGGACGTGTGTCACGGAATAGGGTTGGAATAAGAATTAGTAAAAATTTAGGATCTTTTTGCAGTTTCGTAAGAGTTAATCAAAATGATGAATGAAATGTATGTTTCTGTTTTCTCCCCAGATTGTTCTCTTTCTAGGATTTGGTCCGACCTACCACCGGGTCGTGACAATTTGTTCTAAGTATTAAACGTCAGGTTATGCACAATGACAGATTAACAAAAGACTTAAGCAGTAAACCCTACTGCAAACAGCAGGTATTAAACATATTTATACATTCTACATTTACTAATTCGAGTTCCTTAAAGTTTAAAGAGCAGAGAAACAACTGCCATCTCCAAGAATACATATGATGGCAGATTAATATTTACAAGCATACGAGTATAAAGTTCTATTTCAAATAGATTTCATGTGTATCAATGATAAGTTAACACATTACTGAGAGGGAATGTGAATAGAAGCCACTGAAGACACCATCGAATCTACCCCGCATGGATTATGACCCCGGCAGATCTTGTAATATCCTTCCTCTCCCCAGTTCGCACCCCAAGAGTTCTTTATAATCCAGTAAGGCTTTTCCTTGAGCCGAATAGGAGCATATCCAGCTGAGCCATATCCAACTAAAAGGACTCCATGATCCTGGTGCTTTGAACAAACGTATGGACAAGAAACTCCTCTCATGTATGTTTGCATCCACACGGCATTGATCGCAACTAGAGTTATATATATAAAAGAATTAAAGATTATCTGCTAATCCCAAGTAACACAGGAGAAACAGTTTCTTACCCATTGGCAGATTGCTTTTAAACACTACATATCTTTGTGAGTGGTTGGTGTGATAGTAAGGATGAAAATGTTTAAAAAATTGACATTAGCGGATTAAAGAGAAAAAAGGTTATTGGCAAAGTTAAATACCTGCAAGAGGTCCACTCTTCACCAGATTCGCAGCAATTTGTTCTTCATCAATGGACACAACACTGAAGTTTGAGACACTGGCAGCAATTTTGCTCTTGTCAAATTTGCATGTTCCACGATCAGTGCCTGTGTAGGGATAATCTTTCTCCCGTTCAACTCCACCATTTTTCAATATGTACTCGAAAGCGTTGTTCATCAATCCGCCATTGCACCCAGAGTCACAGGAACCATATTCTTCTGGATCACACTGCAACAACATGCTTTGATAAGACAACAACACCATAAAAAATTCGACAAGCGATAGCAACACAACTACCATCTATGCATATAATAGTTCATAGCAACCAAAACAACTTCAGTGCATTATTAAGCGACCACTCTCTCTTAGTTCACATAGAAGCCTAAATATTTCCACCTCAGTAAGGAGCAAACTGAGTAGACGACAATCCATACTCGCACTGTATTCCAACAACATTTGGACACTAAAACCACAACAGTATTTCGAGCAATAAAGGAGATTATTTAGTATCAACAGTATATTTCTGCTAGAACAGCAATTATACACATTGTCATCATTCTGATAATGAGGCCAACAACAAATCCACATGGAGCCTAAAAACATATAATGCAAGCACGTCTATAAAAAGATAACCAGAAGAAAACTCATGTTCACATATTTTCCAGCATCAAGGGCACACATTTGTACACTAAAAAAATAAGAGATTTCAATCAATAAGCGATGAAAAATCTTTTGCTATCTGACGTATTTATAAAATCTCACACTTAAATCCACAGACTGGGTCCACCGCACACTGACTAAACTACAGAGCTACTGCAGATCTATATAAACTGTGTGTAGTAGCTATACTACAAAGTTAAAGTCCTGTGAAACATAAAATTCAAGGATATTTCTGCAATTGTACACATAGAAAAAAACTTTGACTGCAGAACTATGTAAGGTATAGGACAGTGAACTTTAATCCACACTTGACTAGTATAACTTACTGACCGAAACAACACCAATTAAATTCTCTGTCGTCATCGATCAGAACAATTTGATTTCTAATTTATAAGAGATAAAAAGCCAACGCGAGAAAACTCGAACCTCGTGATCACAATCTACAAGTTGCTGCTCACTGAGACTGACAAGCTCTCCAGTCGCCAAATAGTGAGCTCCTTCCACTGCTCCGATTGTACTGAACGACCAGCACGAGCCACACGAACCCTGTAACATCACCAAGCTCCATTAGAATATAGTAACGATGAACATCCTAAGTGTTTACAAGCATAAGGAGTCAAGTAGTACCTGATCTTTGACGCCGGTTACGGCACCATGGTCACGCCAGTCAAAATCAGCCGGAAGATTCTCGGTAGGGAGAATCGGAGCTTTATTAGCGTCGGCAGGAAGCCTGAGCCGGCGCTTCTGCTTGTGAAGTCCGAGGAAGTTACGGCGGAACTCCTTGGGCGTCAAGTCGGAGAACTTAGTGACGCCGTGGACAGCGGAAGGGTCGAGAAGCTGATGACGCTTAGCTCGGCGCAAGTTAGACTTGAACACCGAGAATCTGTAATCATGCTCCTCCTGAGTGGCATAGGTTTTGCCGAATTTAGCCTTGAATAGCGAGAAGTGATGGTCGGCGTTCAGAAGCGGATCTTCATCGCCGTCCGACGATACTACTTGTCTGATCAACGGATCGTCTTGGAGAGCGGAGACGGTCTCACCGTCGGCTTCCGTCAACGCAGCGACGGAGGAGATAATAGTTAGGCTGAGAAAGAGGGAGAGTAAGAAGAGACGATCCATTGGAGAAGAAGAAGAGTGTGGAAAATGGAAATGAGGAATGAGAAGATTTTTTCCTTCTCTTTTCCTGCAAGTGGATATGGAAATGGGTTTATATAATTGGGTCCGGGGTAGATAGGCAGGTAAGGAATGAACGACTCCTGTTTTAACACGTGGTGACGCACTTGTTTTTTCTTTTCTTTTCCCATAAAATTAGTTATTAAATTATACTCTAATATACGTACTGTATTGTATGTGTATAATTATTAATGTGTGTAAGGCGTATGGACAAAAGACAAGAGAAGGAATGTTTGAATTGCTTCTGAAAGCCAAACAAGTTTGGGGTGTTCATTTTGTTTGGACTTTTGGACGCTAATTCTTGATTAAGTAATTGCACTTTATGTCTTGCCAACAATAATTTGTAATTTGCAAGTCAGGAACATCTTAGCAACATTGTTAGTCTTCTGACTCCATTAATAATTCTGTTTACTATTACCATATCAATAAATTTCTATCTTTTTTTTTAATTTTTAATTAACGTTCAACAAACATGATTTCAATTATAAAGGACAATACAAATAATACGTTTGTTAGTCTTTTATGTTTAAGAGTAAATTCATACAATTTCACATATAATCAATTTGAAGATTATGGTTAGTGAACGTTTTCTCAACAAGTTCAACAATATTAGTTAGTTAAAATTCACCAATCGAAAAGTTTCTCTATGCAGCAACGAAAATTTGTCACTTTTATTACTCTCATATCTAGTTGTGCATTCTAGCTTCAAATACAGTAAATTCAAAGGCTAACATAAACTAATCTTATTTCTCAATATAATTAGTTGGCTAAAAGATAAATGATTCCTATTCGTATTGTTATCCTCATTAATATATTAACAGCTAGGTAATAGAGATCAGTCATTGCTTTTGATGGTAGATAATGCAAGGAAAGAATAGTATTCTCTCTGTCCTACTAAAACTGAAAATGCAAACTGAACAATAATTTTGGGACGGAAGGAGTAACTCGTAATGTCAGTTTTTAAGAAGATAAATTTGGATTTGATCATTTGCTTTTTCATTTTTTGGGTTATTCACGTGATTATGTATTTGTTTATCCTTTATATCTATAGAACTTAATTAAAGCAGCATACAAAAAGTATATGTGTCAGCACCACAATGAAAATTTTCCCGTCAAAAGTTATTTTCAGTACAAAATCATTTTTGACATGCGTTACTCCAACTAATCAGAAAAAAAGATAGAATAGATAAATACATAAATCCCTTAATTATAGCTACATAAAAATATCTTAATTATAGGTATATACTAATCCTTTAAAACAACAATATTTTGTTGATAAAATCAAATGTAAGGAAATCCCCTTAAATCAAGTGAAACACTAGTAATGTCTTCACAATCCCCAATTTCAAAGAATCTCTTCCATTCTACTCCTCTCTCACATTCGGGCCTTTAAATAAATTACTTAAAATCTGACATCAATTATCAATCCATCTATTTCTACAACAGAGAAAAAATAAGCTGTCATGAAAGAAATTTGATTTTTTAAGGATGATTTTTTTTAATTCTTCTGTTGTAGATATTGATTTATGATTTATGTAAACCCGGACATAAGTTAACTGTTATAAATTAAATGTTGTAAATCTAGGCATAGATTTATGTGTAATAGCTCACTTTCTGTCCTTTTAATCGATTTTTTATTCTTTTAGTTTTTTTAATTCTTTTAAGAATGATTCTTATTTTTTATTTAATCAATTTAAAAATACAGGCGACATTCCGACCATTCGCCCGGGATAAGTATCGAGTACACTTTTGTGGTTAAATAGAAGAGCAAAGAGATATTTTGGGCGGGAGGCCCACAACCAAAGCTTTGGCGTGACTTCAGCGTATACCGTTTACGGTATAATCTAACACAGTTACACAAGTACACGACCTCCAAGTTTGACAAATTTTAGTACACTTCGTTTTCATGTCGTAAAGGAGGATCTTTTTCATAGAAAATATCAAAAAAATACAGTCGATTCAAGTACACTTCACCAATGACGTCTGCTACTCTGGAGCAATCATTGAAAGAAACAAATTATTGGGTTACTTGGGTACCGGTGGCCCATAAAATTGATAGGCCAGTTAACTTTTGTGGCCCAAACTTCTAATGGCATGACAGTTTAGATCTAGAGCCTTGCTAATGCTAGCTGCGTACAAATTAGACTGTTGGTTTTTGCTTGATGGCGGTATCAATGGGGCAAAGAGGAAATTACTTAGAAGCTTCTTTCAGCCCAATCCAATTTTTCCTCCAGCTTCTTTCAAAATAATTCAATCAACTTCTTGTACTTCCTACTGTTACTATTAGTGGAGTCACCCCAAATGTAACAATGTGTTATCTTAGGAACCATTTGTTTTAACTGTCAAATACATGGTAAAGTTTACGCACACTTACCTTCCATGTTTTTTTCTTTTCAAACACGTATAAGGAAAGAAAAGAAACCAATGAGAGAATCTAGAAGCACCTCTTCTTCAGTGTTGATGCTCCAAAAGTAAAATACTACTCTTTCCGTTTCAAAATTATTATCCAATTTAAGATTTCACTTTTAGTACAATTTGAACTAAAAATAAAAACTAGATTGGGCGATAATTTCGGGACGAAAAGAATAATTAAATTCTTCCTACCGTTACTATAAGGTGTTCCTTTTTTTTTTTTTTGTGACTCTTATAAGGTGTTCCTAAATCCTAAATCCTAAGGTAGGGAGTTATTTCTTGCTCGCTCAAGGTAAAAATAAAGTACAGCTGGGCCAAAAAAAAACAAAAACTGTACATGCATTAGTGGAGTTCCAAGTACCGAGACTAAGGAAATTGGGCTTTAAAATGTTGGATTTGTCCTACCTGTCAAGTTAAGCCCAGAAAGAATCCACGAGGAAAAATGGTTGACTGGAATCATCAATTCGGTCAACAATTTATTCAGTCGTATAAAGGTGTGAGAAAGGAGACAGAGATCTCTCCACCGCCAAAATAGGGCAAGAAGCCAACAACACTGTAACGAGCAATTTGGGAAACACACTCTTAAAAGAGTTTCAACAACTAAAGTACTGTTTCGACGAACGAAATCGAAGTTTGATCAATAAAACTGAACCGAGATTTTAGCTCAGTTTAGCTCTTGGAAATTCACGCCGGAGCTTCGCCGGGAAAATAAATATGGAGGAAGACGGAAACAGCAGCAGCAGCAGCAGCGCCGCTGTGGTTGACACTACCAAGTCCGACAAATCCGTGTGGCTCATGAAGTGTCCCCTTGTCGTTGCCAAATCTTGGCAAGCTCAAGCTCAAGCTGCAGCCGCCGCCGCCTCCTCTTCTGCTTCCTCCTCCGCCGCCGATTCACTTCCTGTCTCGAAAGTCGTCGTCTCCCTTGATCCTCTCCGCCCTGACGACTCACTCCAGGTTATTCGATTCGTACTAACATATTACTTTTTACTTCCAATTTTGCTTTCTGGATTAAGTTAGTTTGTTGGATTCTGCTTTTTGTTTGACTTGATTTCGCTTATGGATGTGGCTTTTATGTTGAAATATCTTGTTGGATAATTGAGTGTGTTTTCTTTTCGAAGATAGCTTGAATATGATATTAATTTAGTGTGATTGTCTGGTATTGAAGTCTCGTATCTATACAGTTAGCTGATGTTGTAAGCGTCTGAATTTCCCAAATATTGATGATTTTACGCATGGATGATTGGAACAATCCTTGATCTTAAGTTGTTATTGCTTTAAAAGTGTTCAACCGTGTTTCTGAGCTTCTGCTTATTGTCTCTTATTGATGTTTGCTCTCCCTTAAGTATGTCCTTGTCTTACTCTAAATGCGAATCCACATTGTATTTTCCTGCCTATAGTTCTGGTACCACCTGCGATCACATCGTCGTGTTAGGATGTGTATTCCCATATCAGGATCATGCAGTTAAGTATTAGCAGTATATCAGTTCATTTACTTTATTCTTTGTCCTGTATCGATTGTTTGAACAGATATAACTTTACTTCAGGCATGCCTTCATGAATAAATTTGAAGTTTTAGTTTATATTTTCTTTACTTGTACGTTCTCCATGTGATTTCTCAATTGGGTGTTGGATGGGGGCCGGAAGTTGTGTATGGACTTCTGTTGCCCTTTCTATTTTACTGTATTCAATTCCTCAAGACTGATTAGATGGTGCGTTTTTTTACTAAGATATGATATGACATGTTGTCACCCTTTCTAACTGTTCTATATTTTTTATCAGTTCACCATGGAGATGGCTGGAAATGACACTGCAAATATGCCGAAAAGTTACTCATTGAATATGTTCAAAGAATTTGTTCCCATGTGTATTTTCTCAGAGACACCTCAAGGTGAGCAGAAATAAACTCCTCAAGCCTGATCACTGATGGATTTTATTTTGATTGTCTTTTATCTTGCTTATGTTAGCTGTATGTAGACATCATTTATTGTATCCAGAGTGAATATTTTTCCACCCCCAGCTTATGTGTTTCCATGCTTAAGTTTGTCTACCTTGTCGGTGGGATTTATGCCAGAGGCTACATCAGAACTTCACTCTTTTTGATCCTATACTTTTTCTATGTGGCACCTTTTAAAGTTTTTTCTTGATGTTGCTGGGAAGAACAATGTCATTATCTATTATTGCTTTGCAGGAAAAGTTGCTGCAGAAGGGAAAGTTGAGCATAAATTTGATATGAAGCCTCATAACAAAAATATGGAAGAGTACAGAAAAATGTGTCGTGAAAGGACTAATAAATCAATGATCAAGAATAGGCAAATCCAAGTATGCCACCTTTGTTTGAGTCTCTTATAAATACCTGTCCCTCGTTGTAATCCTTATCTAATTTGATTGTCTAACAGGTAATTGACAATGATCGTGGTGTGCACATGAGGCCTATGCCTGGGATGGTGGGGCTAATTGCATCCAATTCTAAGGTACTTGCCTTTGTGTCCTTATCCTATTATCAAATTACGCCAACACCTTTTATTCTCTCCTTTATTCTTGTATGACTTTCCAAGTCCCGTGTATGAGGTATACCTAAGTTGCTGTTGTTAGTTTGTGAAACCAACTTTTGAGCTGGCTACAAAGATATGAATGATAGAATCTGAAAAAATCTAGCACCTGATTGCCCTATTGGATGCTACTGGTATCAGTAAGACTGTATAATTTTACCTCATAAAAAGCTGAATTTGGGAGGGGTAAAAACTAATTTTAGACTCTGGTTACAACATATCATTTCTCTGTTTTTCCTTACAATGAACTTAAAATCGATTTCTCCACTTGATGATGGTGTTGTGCAATGTTGAGGGAGAGAAGCTTTGTAAATGATTTCTCTAGTAAAGGTTTCCTAAGACTGTCAACAATGCTATATCATCTATGTTCACTCATCGAGTTTTCTATGCTGCAGGATAAGAAAAAAGCAGCTCCAGTTAAACAAACAGATGTCAAAAGAACCAGACGCGACCGCGGTGAACTGGAAGATATCATGTTTAAACTTTTTGAAAGGCAACCTAATTGGGCCTTGAAGCAGCTTGTGCAAGAAACGGATCAACCTGCGGTATGTTACTTTTTGCTAATGTCTCTTTTCTTCCCGTTATTTTTTTTGCTGCTTGGGATGATAATCGCTCTTGGTTTTTTTTTTTTTTTTTTTTTCATTTTGAGGGGGGATTGGGCTCTTCTTATGGTTGTTTCTCTGCAGGAATGTTTTGAACTTCACTGTAGAGTATATTTAAGGAAAACAGTAATTCTTTAAGTTGTTTTCTGTTCAATAATGTTGTGTGGCTCCATATTTGCAGCAATTTCTGAAGGAGATTCTCAATGAGTTATGTGTTTACAATAAAAGGGGCACAAACCAAGGAACATATGAGCTGAAGCCCGAGTACAAAAAATCTGCTGAGGATACAGGTGCTGAGTAAATGTCTCTTTCTGACTGTAATTAGTTTTGAAGTTGACAATAAATCACCTAACTTGAACAAAAAGACACTCGATGTAGTTTTCTATTTCATATAGCTGAAACGAGCCCCTGTTCCACTGGTCTTGACCATCTTGTTGAAGAACAACACTCCATTTGAAGATGAGTGCAGTTATACAGATGAAACTTTTTATTATTATTTTTTATTATTATAAATATATAAAAGAGGGTCAATGTAGCACTATATCTATATTCTCAGTTCATGTAGGATAGTACGGCTATGAGTTGCTGACTTCTTCTTTTCTTTTTCCTCATAAACTTCTTTCTGGTATGTAAACATGCTGAATCTGTACAATTGTTTTCATTTGTTGCTGATACTTCCAACCATCAAAATAACATACGGGCAGAAGTTATTTCGCTGAAGTTCATATAATAAATGATAATCAACATAGATGGGTGGGCATGTCAGACGAACTGGGGATCACTCAAAAGAAAAATCCCATCCAATCTCCCAACAGACCTAAAATACAATTAACTGTTATTCTAATCTCCTAGGTCATGTCTTGAGCAAGCGTATATTTCTTCTCTACTGGCCACCTATTGTTACATACTAACAAGCTTATTCCAGACGCTCACTTGTTGAAAGTCATTTCTTGGTCTTTGTTTGTTCCATTGCAATCTTGTCCTCATTGTATGAAATTCTTTGCAAATAGATTTTATTTCAAACTATTTTACTTCCGCATGTTTGGAGCAAGAGCTAAAGAGTTGCTTAACTTGGAAGCTCTATATAATTTCTTCTCATATGTAGTAATCTCACCATGTTTTGAAGCGACCTGTGCACATGCATATTGGAAAGGTGTCATTTAGCTCTATAACCATGCTAAACCATGTTTATCTGTATTAACTTCTCAACACAGCTGTTAGAAAACATTTGATAATATTTAACAAAATGATGACACTGGTTTCCCAGTGGACTTTTTAGTTTTGGGGTAAGGAGGCGCGGTTACTTCTTGTGGGAGTTACAGGACTTAGATATGTTAGGAAGTCACTCATTAAAATTGAGGAATGAGGTTTAAGATTGCTTATCAGTTCAGTTTATTAGTACTTTGAATGCAAGAGGTGTGAACTTCTCAGCTATCTATATCTTAATCTTTTTTCTTTATCTTTCCTAGTTCTTAACTGCTAGAAATGAACTGATCATAACAAATTTGGATGATCTGTTGGCCAACGTTGAAGGTCATCTGAAACTGAGGATATATGATAATTACTCATATACATTGTCTCTAACAAGCTGAAGAGCTTGGTATTTATTGAGAAAGTCACAATTATCATTTGTTTTTCACTGATAACCATGCAAGAATCGAAATATTAGTTGGGTCTCTAAGTTTCTTTTTCTTGGTAGCCTTCAGGGTGACGAAGATAATTCTTCGATGGAGGCTTAAGATTTGTATGCCTTTAATTAAAGATACAAAGAATTGAAACATCATCAGACCCTCAACCATTTAGCCAGCATGTGGGGATGCTATTTGAAACTAATGATCGCATAGCTGACACTATTCTAAAGCATCTGCTGTAGTCATTTTCGTGTGAGCATTCATGTCTATCTTGGAGTTTGATATATAGTACAGGTCTATTCTTATCTTAAAACAAATTGGCATGTAAAGTTCTTTAAGAGTATGTGTTGATTGATTGTTATATTTTCTCACGCCGCATGTGTGGTATTGTTTAGGCAATACCAAGAGCTTATTGTATGACAAACTGATGGCACGATTATTCCGAGTTAGGTTCAAGTCTCTTATTGCAGAGCTGCTTGTACAATACAACCTTATATGATCAGAAAGATCATTTGATTCCTTTATTTGTGGTCACCCTCTTGGATTGTGCTTCATTGAGTAAATCCTAGACTGATTTAAGAACTCTCCTTGATCATGAAAGCCACTATAACATCATCCATCGATCCTGTGTATTTGACAACTCCAGTCACTTTAATAGTAGTGAAAATGACAAACTAGGAATCTTTTTTGTCAGTTTTTGAGGATTGCTAGAGCATCTCTGCGGAGAGATGCTTTATCTATCTTCTCAATTGTGCCACTAGATACTGCATCAAGTGTGCTGAGAACTTTAGTCGAAACTGGTGGGCTTTAGTTTGCAAGCTTTGGGACCCTTTAATCTCAAATGGAAAAATGGTGGAATTCGAAGGAAGTTATACGTTAATGGAGACTGTGTCACTCCCGTGGACGTGGATGTCAAAAGTGGTGTAATCAATCAATGAAGAGAGAGAAAGTGTGTCAACCATTTTATGATGAAGATTAGAAACGGTCCTACTATGAATGGTATTTGATGTTACTGGGTCAATTTTTCTACTCAATTAGGTGACCATCATTCATGTGATTTGGTGATTTTTTCTTTCCTTTTAGCTCTTGTTGCTCACAAACAGGGCACATATTCAATCTCCTTTAGCATGCTTGTTTACAAGGCCAATTGATTGCTTTGGTACGTTATGATTTGGTATCATTTGCATCACCTCATCTGGATGATATTATAAGCGTACAAGTTTATGAATCCTAAATTACTCGGTCGAGCTTAGGTGATCCATCTTTTACCTCCCCTTGGTTACATGTGTAAAACATGTCTTGTCATCAAACCCTCTTTGTATCTCATATTGATTGATTGCAGTTGTTTCGAAGCTTGATCCTATGTTTTAGTCCTCGTCCACGTTCATTTGTTGTCTGTAGTTGAAATACAGTTATATGCACATTAAAATGTGTAATGGTATCTTGCTTGTGTAGTTTAAGAATATCTTTAATCATTGTCGATAGCCATGGAGATGAATCAGTGATACTATAATGTGTAGCGAGTAATCCATAACCACAATAAAGTTTGTCAAAGTGCAATCAAGTTGATAACTTGAAGAGTAGCTAGGGAATGCATTGACTTGGTCAACTGGTTGGCTGGTGCTGTAAAAAGTTGAGATTGTTTTTTTTTTTTCCCAGTCAACTTCCACGCGCAAAAATGTTAGTTAAGTATATGCAAAATGGTGTCAATTTACGTAATTATGACTGCAAGCTTGCATGAGGAAGTGAATTTGCCCTCGTAGTCTTGTTTGGTGTCTTTGGAAAACGACTTGAGGAATTTCTCTGTTTTTGTGATAATTACCTTTGAGATGAGCTTAACGGTGTGGGTGGGTGGAGTGGAATCACTTTTCTTATAAAAAGATCCAAACGAAAGCAGTGAACAATGGTGCGAGTGCTTTATCCACTAATAAGGCCTAAAAACCAGAAGAAAGACGCCAATCTAGGTAGTGCCAGGATTAGGAACACCTACACAAAGCTGAGAGAAACTTCAAAGAGTAGATCCATCAAATTTGCTAAAAGTTGGCACAATAAAGCATTAGTTAATTGCAGATTTTGTTCGAATACTCTTGACATGTTGTGTTATTTACGACCCTTTAATCAAAGGGTTTGTCTGTGAGGAGGGTTCCCCACCAAAAGATTTGGGAAAGGGTTTCTACTCCACGATGCGCAATAGTTATGCCTCAAACTTCAATTGTGTTAATTTTTTTAAATTTTTTTTAAGGCATTTTTAGGGTCCGAATTCTCTTTAGTTTCTACTCAATTTTTTAAAGAGAAAATCTTTTTAAGAAAGGAAAAAGGGAGAATTTATTTGGTTTCCACACTCCAACTTTTTGAGGAAAGATTGATACTTCACTCGTCCCAAAATTATTTTTCAGTTTGAAATTTTATTTAGTAAAGTTTGAACAAAAAATGAAAATTCAAACTGAATAATAACTTGGAGTACTATAATTTATAAAAATCCCTTTTTCGAGCAACTTGCGAGCCACTTGCTTGATCACCAATTCAAGTGCAAACGAAGAACGCAAACTAATTCTCATTAGTTGTTGCGCGTAAACAGATGAGTACAGAGAGTTCAATGATTCTTCTTCATCTCAATCAAAACACATATTCGATGATTAATGTTTGGTTTTGGTCTTCAGCACAAAGTGGCAGAGAACCAGGTGGGTTTTGTCTGGTGAACACAGTTCATCAACGCCCTCTGAAACTAGCTATTTAAGTCGGGTGGGGTAGGGTTCGATTTTGCCGAATCATGACTCTGTCACACGGGTGGCTTCTGGGCTTCAGGCATTCAACGTCCAAATTAATTGACCACCATACTCTTCTTCTATGATCCATCACAAAAATATTTAATATATATGGTTGCTTATCACGGTCACACCCCTTGACATTTATAAATTTGATATATAAACTAATGTCATTGAGAGAGGTCAAATTTGTACGTACCAGTATGTTTATTGTGATCGTTAGGACGTTCATGTAATTTAATGAAGTCTTTTCATTATGTAGACAATATCGTTTTTCCATTAACAATGATTGAATTTTCATACCGTAATGCCTTTCATACTTAATGATTTTGGTTCTCTATATTCCATCGAAAGGGGCGGAGCTATATACAAGAGAACTGGAACAATTGTCCCAGTTAGAATTTTTTTTTTGCTATTAACCCTTGAAATTTTAAATTTTTTTTTTAAATTAATTTTTGCCCCAACTGAATTGAAAATATTAGGGGTAAATATATTAGATTAGAAGTTTGAAAAATTTTGCTCCATCATATGTAGGGGGCTTGGCTCCGCCCCTACATCAAACTCTGAATTAAATATCAGAATCCGTCTTAAGACTTTGACATTCGAGGATATAGTTTTTTTAAAGCTTTGAAGAAAGGACTTTTTTTTTTCTCTCATATAATACATGGTGTCCACTATCAACAACAGTGACTGATCAGAGGATGATCTTTTAATTTCTTCGAACCTAATTGTAATTACTGCCCTGAAAATATGTGATCAAAAGTCACGAGGCTAAACCATGTAATGTTGTATTCAATCAAATTAGCTAGTAGTCATGAAGGGGCACATGTACAGGTCCACGGACCAGAGTTTGTGTTTTAAGGGTGGATACCCGGCAGCAACGATGGCCTGACGCAATTGTCAAAATTGATTTCAAAGCCTAGTTGATTCCAAGACACACACGAGTAGTCTATTTACTACTACTACTCTAAATGGGCACAACCAAATTAATTTCTCGTGCAAAACTGGAAGGAATCTTCTAGCAGAAACCGAAATGACTCATCGAGGGGCATTGGCATTATGATTGGAATGGTATCTGTCTCCACTCCCTCCATATATAGTTTTGTGGGATGGAAAAAAAAAAGGCAGCATGGGAAACACCCATTTCCAATGTTGTCTCGCTACGTATGACCAATTGCCTCGTGCATGTCTATTTTCTTTCTCAATCGCTTGCTTTGTTAAAAGTTCTATTCACCTTCCATGCGTAAGTGTATACAATTTAGCGAGAAAAATAAAGTTATCATTATTATTAACTATAGACAAGATGCAAATATGGGTTATTAAAAATATTTAATTACTTTCCTTTGTTGGTGAATACTTAAGAAAACAGGATATGCTTTTAGCGCTAGGTTCATTAAACAAGAATGTCAGAAGATGA